ACATAAAAAGAAGAGAGAGAGGTGAAAGAAAGAAAGAAAGAAAGAAAGAAAGGAGGACACTGAAGGAGGGAGAATAAGAGGAAGAAGAGGGGGAGGCACTTGTGGAGGCACGTAAGAAGACACTGCAGGTGATACAGAAGGAGACACAGAGGAGACACAGAAGCAGATTCTGTTGTAATAAATGGAGGCAATCTAAGTATCCCTGACCCTCAGGTAAGCTTCCTCTCCCCTATATAGGCTCAGCTGTTCTCAGGCTTCACATGCTTTACACTTTGTGCTCTTTTTACCTGTATTGCATGTTTTATATGTACCTATTAGTTTCACATACATCATGTGTTCCTTACAGATTAAGTTTTTTTCGAATCGTGTTTTGCATGAGTCATGTTTCTCATGTATGATGAATTTAACATGTAACATGTTTTACGAGTATTACCTATTTCACGTGTATCACATGTTAAAGGAGAAATGTTTGTTTCACACATATCTTGTGTTTCAAAAGTAGTATTAGTTTCAATTGTATTTTGTGTTTTGTGCATGTTTCGAACATGTACATGTTTCTCATGTATTAAGGGCATAACAAGAAGTACTACTTTACATAAAATATGTTTCTCATGTATCACATGTTTAATGACAGACATTTATTACACATTAAGTTGCGAGTGTAACAGGTAGTTATAGTTTCACATATAACTGCTTAGTCTGCTTAAGGGCAGTCCACTTCGGGTCAGCAGAGTTTGCTTCAGGTCAGCATAGTCTCCCTCTGGTCAGCACAGTCTACTTCTGGTCTGCACAGTCTACTAAAGGTCAGCACAGTCTATTTCAAGTCTGCACTGTCTACCTCAAGACAGCATGGTCTTCTTGAGGTCAGCACAGTCTACTTTAGGTCGGCACAGTGACTTCAGGTCAGCATGGTCTACTTGTAGTCAGCACAAGCTACTTTTTTGCCTGCTCAGTCTACTTCAGGTCACCACAGTCTATTTGAGGTCTTCTCAGTCTATTTCAGGTCTAGACAGCTTTCATTAGGTCATCTCACTCTACTTTAGGCAAACAGAGTCTGCATCAGGTTTTCATAGAGTGCTACAGGCCTGCACAGTTAACCTAGGTAAGCACCTCAGGTTTACCTCAGGTCAGCACAGTCTACCCTTGGTCAACACAGTCTACCTTAAGTCTGCACAGTCCACCAAGTTCAGGAAAGAGTACATTAGATCTTTACAGTATCACTTTCCACTTCAGCTCTGCACAGTCTACTTAATATCAGCACAGTCTACCTTAGGTCTTCACAGTCTACTTCAGGACAGCACAGTCCGCTTAAGGTCAGCACTGTCTACTTAACATCACATGGTCTACTTAAGTCAGCACTGTACACTTCAGGCAACCACAGTCTTCTAAAGGTCTGAGGAGTCTGCTTCAGGCTCATGAAGTCTACTTAAGGTCAGCACAGTCAACGCTAGGCCAGCACAGTCTACCTCATGTCAGCACAGTGTGCATCAGGTCACCACAGTCTACTTCAGGTCACCACAGTGCATTTTCAGTCAACACAGTCTCCTACTTTAGGTCCGCAACAGCTATTTTAGGTCTGCACTGTCCACTTCAGACCTGTTTTAAAATAAACCCCAGACCTGCACTTGCTCTTCTTCAGTCTACTTTAAATCAAATCAGTCTGCTTTGGAGAACTAGTCAACTTCAGATCTGCACTATCTACTTCCAGCCAGCATAGTCTGCTTCAAGACTGCTTAGTCTACTTTAGTTCAGGAGTGTCTCCCTCAGACCTGCACAATCCACTTTAGGTTTAAAGTAAATCCCAGACGTGCACATTCTACTTTAGGTCAGCATGGTCTACTCAAGGCTGTACATTCCATCTTAGGTCTACACAGTAAACCTCAAGGGAAGCATAGACTTCCTTATATCAGCACAGTCTTCTTAAGGTCAGCACTGTCTACTTATGGTCAGCACTGTTTGGTTTAGGTCTGCACTGCCTACTTTAGGTCACAATAGTCTTCTTCAGGTATGCCCAGTTGCATTTAGTCTACTTCAGGCCTACATGGTCTACTTAAGGTTAGCACAATTTAGTTCAGGTCTGCAGAGTCCAGTTTAGGTAAGCACAGTCTACATAAGGTCTGCACAGTGTGCTTCAGGCCCCCTCAGTCTACCTTATGTCAGTGCAGTCTACTCCAGGTCAGCTGAGTGTGCTTTTGGTAAAAAAAAAAATTCAACACCAGTTCCAGGTATTTAAACTTTGGTCAGCACTGCCTAGTTCAGGTCTTAATTGTCTACTTCAGATTTGTTCTGTCTGCTTTAGGTCAACTAGTCCTTTTCAGGTCTGCACTGTCTATTTTAAGTTAGCACAGTTTGTCTTCGATCTGTACTGTCTCACCTTAGATCAAGAAAGTGTACTTTAGGTCTGTACAGTATGCAGTTTTGCACTTTCCACTTTAGGTCTGAGCAGTCTATATATTGTCAGCACCGTCTTTTTCATGTCTACACTTGAGGTCAGCACAGTCCACCTAGGCCAGCAAAGTCTTTTTTGTTTTAGCATGATTTACCTCAAGTCAACACAGTCTGCTTTAGGTTAGCACTGTCTACTCTAGGTCTGCACAGTGTGCTTCGGATCTGCACATGGTCTTCAGGTCAGTACAGTCTACTTCAGGCCAGCACAGTCTACTGTTCATCATCACAGTCTACTCTAGGCAAGCAAAGTCTCCCTTAGGTTTGCACAGTCTACTACAGGTCTGCAAATTGAACCTAGGTAAGCACCGTCTACCGCAGGTCAGCTCAGTCTACTCTAGGTTTGCACAGTCAACCCTAGGTAAGCACAGTCTTTGGTCAGAACATTCTACCTCAGGTTAAAACAGTCTGCTTTATGCTAGAGCAGTCTACTTGAGGTCAGCACAGTGTGCTTGAGGTTAGAGCAGTCTACTATTGTTTAAAAAATGTCAACTTTCGGTCGGCACAGTCTACTACAGGTCGGCACATTTTACTTTAGGTCTGCACTGTCTAGTTCAGATCTGAAAAGTTCACTTTAAATCTAACAAGCTGGCTTTGGAGAACTGGTTGATTTTAGGTCTGTACTGTCTACTTCAAACCAGCATAGTCTGCTTCAAGTCTGCTTAGTCTACTTTAGGTCAGCACAGTCTACTTCAGACCTGCACAATCAAGTGTTAAAGTAAATCCCAGACATGCACATTCTACTTTAGGTCAGCATAGTCTACTCAAGGCTGTACATTCCATTTTAGGTCTGCACAGTAAACTCAAGGTAAGCACAGACTACTTCAGGTCAGCAAAGTCCACTTAAGGTCAGCACTGTCTACCTCAGGTCTGGACAGTCTGGTTTCAGTCAGCACAGTCCATTAATGGCAGAAAAGTCTACGTTGGGTCTTCACAGTTTACTTAAGGCCAAAACAGTCCTCTCTCGGTTCACACAGTTTTCCTCAGGTCAGCACATTCTACCTCAGGTCAGCACAGTCTACCCAGCTGAGCCCAGTATATTTCAGGTCTGCATATTCAGCTTCAGGTAAGCACAGTCTACTTAAGGTCCACCTCAGGTCTGGACTGTGTATTTTAGATCTCTATTGTCTGCTTTGGGTTAGTACTGTCCACTTCAGGGGCCTCATCTATAAATGCTAGGTACGCACAAAAGAAAGTGTACGCCACTTGTAAGCAATGTTTGGAAAAACCAACTTGATAGGAGAATGTGTTTACCTTCACGGCAGCTTTGACCCTGCTGTACGCACAAAATCTAGAGAAACGAGAAACTGCGACCACAACAGTAAAAGGAGGAAATTAAAGACAGCTATGTGTAATTGATACATTTGTGTGAAATAATTGAATATTACATATCTCACAACATATATCATACATTAAGGATATATTTGCAAAAACAAAGAAGGAGGAAAAATGTTTATTGATGCCCCAGGGAGTGTGCGAGCAAACACATGCACACACGCACGCAGCTACACACAAAGCCTTTATTATTGAATCAATCATGTTCCGTGAAACAAACCTTACACGTAATAATAAAATCTATTCACATAAACAATAAGGCAGACAGTAACTGTGTTCCCAAAATGTGCCATACCAAAAAAGTTTCATATTAATAACTAAAATTAAAATGACATGATCGTTGGCAAAACTACTGATCAATTTGGCTACAACACCTGTAGCTGATCAGGAAATTAAGTTATGGTTGAATATAAAAAGGCACGCACACACAATGCAATCACAATGCATAAGAGCACACAATGGCTTCTCTGGCTTATCTGGCACTGCTAGAGGACGTGGTGCAAGGGAGACTCCAGAGGGAGCAGATCTCCAGGGACCAGCAAGATCCACTGGCTCATGGTGCCAAGCGGGACATGAGCTGGTTCTGACTGCTCCTGGACCTCTGCAATGCGTTAGGCTCAGCATCACAGAGAGGCTCCAGAAGGAACCACGCTGTGCCAGTCCCTCTGCAAGTACTGGGTTTCCTGGCAACCGGTACCTTCCAGAGGGAACTGGCTGACAGGTCAGGGATATTGCAGCCTGCCTTCAGTCATGTTATGCCAGATGTGTTCAAAGGTATGATTGGTTTGTCACAACTGTACATTTCCTTTCCTTTCTCAGTGGGTGAACAAGCAAACAAAAAAAATGCAATTTGCAGCAATGTCTGGTTTCCCTAATGTAATTGGTGCCATTGACTGCACTCATGTTGCAATAAGGGCCCTAGGTAAGAATGAAAATGCTTTTATTTACTGAAAGCATTTTATTCTTTAAACATCCAAATCCTATATGATGCAAACATGATGCTTAAAAATGTTGTGGCTCATTGGCCTGCATCTACGGCTGCACAATGGCTTATCTGGCACTGCTGGATCACGTGGCACAAGGAAGACTCTGGAGGGAGCGGATCTTCAGAGACATGATGCTCACATATGTTGTGGCTCGTTGGCCTGGATCTACCCATGATTCATTTATTCTAAGGCACAGCAGTGTAGGGCGCAGACTTGAGGCTGGAGCTGTGCAGGATGGCTTGCTGCTTGGTAAGAATTTGGTTACTCCTTTTGAAATATTGGATTATTGCAACTACATTCTACTGCAGAACCTAATCCCTTCTCTAACCTTGCAGGTGACAGTGGATATCCCCTCAAACAGTGGCTGCACACCCCTTTTTTCAACCCACAGAGGGAAGTTGAATAGAATGCGCACCACAGCCAGACGCGTTGAAGTCAAGCGGGCCATCGGGATGCTAAAGGGCAGGTGGCAGTGCCTCGATACCACAGAAGGGAGCCTCTCTCACACACCTACAAAGGTGTGTAAGATAGTGAGGGCGTGCACTGTGCTGCATAACATGGCACAAAAGGAGAATGTACCTCCAGCTGATTTCAGTGTTGCCACTAATGTTGACCCCCATCTGCTTGTACTTGAAGGAAATGCTGCCACTGTATGCCAGCAGCTAGAAGTGATGTGACACATATGAAACGCACAAGAAGTAGAGGGAAAACTTTAATTTGTTCACCAACTGTTTTAATGTTGCATTGATGTCTGTCAAGACGCATTTAATCTCCTGCAACTCTTTGGCCACTTCATTGATAGATGTGATTATGTCCCTCTGATCTTGCAGGACTGCATCTGTGTGGACACGGCTGCTGTGGGAGGGCACACATGGTGCTGTGGAGTCACCGGCCTCACTCTCTCCAACCACAGCTGCAGCACCACTAACCAAGCTGAAACACCCAGGGACTGAAAAGAAATATTATTTAACTTTAGATAAAATAAGCTATTGTGAATTACATTCTAAATGTTTGTAAATTGTCATTTGTACTGTTTCAAACAAGAGAATACAATTACATTCATTGGGTGCTTCTGGCGCATTTGGTGCTTCAGGCGCATTTGACACATATGTGTCCCCCTCCGCCTCCGTCACCACACTGCTCAGGAGGGATTCCCAAATGATCCCTGCCAGTTCTTCCTCTGTCAGTTCCTCTGAACACTGGTGTGCCCTTTCCCCCACCTGTCGCACAGACAATTTTTCTGTCAAGGGCAATACGCCTTTTCCCTTCCACTTTAATGTTGGACCATTTCTTTTTGACTTTAGCCACGGTCTGACCCTGTGAGGCAACCGTATTTACGACATCTGCAACATGTCTCCACTCTTTAGCCTCTCTGGCATTAGTGATGCCTGCACTGTGCCCACCAAATAAAACACTTTTTTGCATGTCCAACTCACTTATTAGTGTCTCGATCTCGCATTGAGTAGAGTTTCTCTTTTTCAACTTTTTTCAGTCTCGGTCCATTGTGTCATTGGTATCATTGAATATTCATACAGGGCGTTCACCTGCCCTTTGCGGGGTGAAGCGCTTTCTCATGTGACAACTTAAGAGTTGATTGTGATTTATAAATGGAAACAGGCGTGAGACGTGCATGCGCATTTTGGAAAAAATCTGGACATTTTTGTGCGCACGCCTTTCCTGTTTCTTGCATATGCCACCTGTAGTGATCTTTCCTACGCACAGCTTTATAAATGAGACCCCTGGTCTGGTAAGTCTACATTAGGTTAGCACAGTCTACTTCAGGTCTAAACAGTCTACTTCAGGTCAGCACAGTCCATTTAATGTCAGGACAGTCTACGTTAGGTCTTCACAGTCCATTTCAGGTAAGCACAGTCTTCTCAAGGTCTGCAAAGTCTGCCTTATATTCATGAAGTCTGCTTCAGGTCTGCAAACTCAACCTCAGGTCACTAGCCTCCCACAGGTCAGCACAGTGTGCTTCCGGTCTGCATAGTCTACTTCAGGTCAGCCTGTCTACTTTAGTAGACCAGTCAATCCACTTCAGGTCTGCACAGTCTATGTCAGGTGCACAAAGTCTTCTTTAGATCAGCACAGTCTGCTTCACGTCCTTACAGTCCGCTTCAGGTCTCAACAGTCCAGTTTAGGTCAACACAGTCCAATTTGGTCAACTGTCTACTTCAGGTGAGCACAGACTTATATATTTCTGCACAGTCCAGTTTAGGTAAGCACAGTCTACTTAGGGTCTACACAGCATGATTCAAACTTTTGCAGTTTACTTCAGGTTAGCGCAGTGTTATTAAGGTCAGTTCAGTGGGATTAAGGTTTGAGTAGCTACTTTAAGTTTGTGCTGTCTACCTCCGGTTAGTGCAGTGTGCTTCAGGTCTGCAGTCTTCTTTAGGTCAGCACAGTCTACTTTTTGTCTGCCAAATCTTTTATAGTCCTCCCAGCCTAATTCTAATCTGCACAATCTACTTCAGATCAGCAGAGTCTACCTTTGGTCTGCACAGTCTGACCCAGGTAAGAACCATGTACTTTAGGATTGTACAGTCTGCTTCAGGTCAGTAGAGTCTTTCTTAGATCTACACAGTTCACTTCAGGTAAGCATAGTCTGCTTAAGGTCAGCACTGTCTAGTTAAGGTCTGCATCTTCTAATTTAGGTCAGAACAGTCTGCTTCAGGTCAGTCCAGTTGACTTCAGGTCAGCAAAGTCTACTTCAGGTCTGCACAGTTCACTTTTGGTCAACACAGTCTACTTCTGGTCAGGACAGTCTACTTCAGGTCAGCAAAGTGTAATTCAGGCCTGCACAGTCTACTAAAGGTCAGCACAGTCAACCCATGTCAGCACAGTCTTCTTGAGGTCAGCGCAGTCTACTTCAGGCCAGCACAGTCTACTTATAGTCAGCACAAGCTACTTTTTGCATGCACAGTCTACTTCAGGACAGCACAGTCTATTTGTCTTATTAAGACATAATGTCTTATGTCTTAATGTATTTTAGGCAAGCAGAGTCTGCATTAGGTTTGCATAGTCCACTACAGGTCTGCACAGTTAACCTAAGTAAGCACTGTATACCTCAGGTCAGCACAGTCAACCTTCGTAATACACAGTTTACCTAAGTCTGCACAGTCCACCAAGTTCAGGAAGGTGTATAAAAAGTTTGTCACTTTTCATATCAGGTCTGCACAGTCTACATTATATCAGCACAGTCTACCTCAGATCTACACAGTCTACTTTAGGGCCGGATAAGTTTAGCACTGTTTACTTTAGGTCTGCACTTTCTGCTTTAGGTCAGAACAGTCTGCTTCAGGTCAGCCCAGTTGATTTCAGGTCAGCAAAGTCTACTTCAGGTTTGCACAGTTCACTTTTGGTCAACACAGTTTGCCTCTGGTAAGCACAGTCTACTTGAGGTCAGCAAAGTGTAATTCAGGTCTGCACAGTCTACTTAAGGTCAGCACAATTGACTTCAGTTCAACTCTACTAAGCATGCTCTACAAATAGCACAAGCTACTTTTTGCGTGCACAGTCTTTTTCAGGTCAGCACAGTTTATTTGAGGTCTTCTCAGGCTACTTCAGGCAAGCAGAGTCTGCATTAGGTTTGCATAGTCTGCTATAGGTCTGCACAGTTAACCAAAGTAAGCACCGTCTACCTCAGGTCAGCACTGCCTACTTCAGGTCATCATAGTCTACTTCTGGTTTGCACATCTACTTAAGGCTAGCTTATTTACCAAATAAGCTGGCCTTATGACTCCTTCAGAAACGCGATGATCAGAGAACAAACTGGAATGACGTGTTAAATCAAAAATGTTTTTTATAAGGAATGAGTTATCAGATGAATTATTAAATATAATGAGAAATAAATCTCTCTTCAATACTCAGAAATAAAGGTAACATGTCTTTCAGCCTCCTCTTTATCCATGGTTCCTCAATGTGCATGAGAGGCATTATTTCATGCTCTTTTGAGATGTGCTGCTGTTGCTAGGTTACCACCAGCTGACTCCCTGTTCCATTTTTAGACCTAAGCTCAGAGAGGTGGGGGAAGGGAGGAAAGCGAGGCATTTAAAGCCCAGGAAAAAAGGAGGCAAAAAGGGGGAGAAAAGAAAGAAGCAACAGCAAGTGAGATAAGAGAAATCAGAGACAGAGGGAAAGAAAAAGTGTGTGGGGGGGGGGTGTATAAAAAAATTAAAATAAAATAAAATAAACAGAAAATAAAGACTAAAGCAAAAATAAGTTAATAAACAAATAAATAAATATACAAATTAAAATATTCAGAATATTTAAATTAAAACAAAAGATATATATACGCCTGATTTTCTCTCCAGCTCTTCAGGGTTAAACACAACATGAGAGACAATCTGCAAACACAAGAGACCTTTAAAAAACTGAACTGATCACGAAGACCAGGTGCAAATCTCAATACACAAGAACGCAAAGAACATTCTTGTGGCCTTAGGAGAATATTCTTGCAACTTGTTCTTGGGAGAAGGTTCTTGCCAAGTTGACGAGAACACAAACGGCTGTTAACACATTTGAGACAATGCATTCTTGCTAGTGTTGCACAATAGCGCCAGAGCGCCCAGCTATCAAAGTCAGCTGATGTATAACGGTGTCATGTTTATTCATTGTAATAAAACTTTTTTTTTTTTGAATTAACAAAAGATATATAGTCATGGTGTATTTATATGGGTATATTTATATATTTTTCTTTCAATTTCAAGTGATAAAACATTACTGAAACCATTATGAATCCTCAACTGTACAGTTACACTTACAGTTACACATTTCCATCACTCTTTGACATTTGATACCTGTGGTGATTTCCCAGCACCGTCTTCTTTTGAAATTTTGGGTTAGAACCATGAATGGACGTAGTAAAATAATGACAGTTTACAGTAAGGTCCAGTTACAGTTACAGTAAGTGCAAATTGTGGTGATTGGCTGTATGTGAGTCGATTTCAGTGAGGCAACAGTCTGCACACTCAGAACTCGTGTATCAGTAGGTTCACTCACATAAGAAGTTTAACAATCAACAGACACTGAGGGATGAACCAAGTTCAGTTTATTAACATAACAGTTCATAAAAACAATTAACAGTTGTAACAGCAAACTAAAATATGTTTTTTTTTTTAAAACAGGATCAAACTCAAATAGGTACGCACAGATCAATAGGCATGTGCCAATCCTCCGCACCTTTTATTCGAAGGCTGCTGATCTTAGACCTGCCTTCAGGCTCTCCAAGGCCACCGTGGAAGCTCTGATCCTAATGGTTGATTACCTTACATTTTTCTTTCAGGTTATTCCACTTTTTCATGGCTTGTTTGGAGGTTACGTTGACCCCCAATTCCGTTACAAAGACTCTGAAACACAGAAAATATGTACAACATGTTATTGTGGAAATACTGGCTACATACACACTACAACTTGGTTGGGTGACAGTTCTGTTATTATCATTGTTGTGACAGAGCTGATAATGAAATCACTTGTATTATTTATTTGATGTAGTGGTGCCTCTCACAGTTTGATTTGACTCATTAGTAGTGTTTGCACAGCTTGATAGTGCACAATACTGCTGAACAGCACACCTGGATCACCATCTGATCACCACATGATTTTTAAAAAATATATAATTTCTGTAATTCACTGCTTTATTTTCTTTTTTGATGCAGCAGTTTGTCAGATAGTTACAATGAAACACATACTGGCCACTAAAAGGCTGGCATACAAACACAAAAAACACACTCACTCCCATCCATTTTTGGAGGAATTCCTCCACCGGGTAATAAGGGCTTCATGGGCTGCCCGCCACTCAATTAGGGTGGTAGTCCCCTCAGATGTCCCTTACATGAAAAGTTTAAATGTCACAACATTGATTGGATTATCTACTAGTGGTGTTAACATTACCACAGTTTGATACCTGAGATACATATTGAAACACTGGTGACAATTCAAACTTTTTCTCATAATCATCTTCGCCGGCAAGATATCCGTAAGTTACCGTCCTATACATCCTCGGTAAAATGGGCGTGTCAAGAAAACATCCGGGTATCGTAACCCTCCTTGGTGAGTGTCACTACCTCTGCCACTACCTCGTGTTAGTATTTCTCACCACAGTGAGATGTCAACTTGTGTACTGAGACAGAACTTGTCTGAGACTGATGACATTTCACATGAGACAAGAAAGCAAGAACACAGAAGAACGCATATTGAGATTTGCCTCAAGACTCTGAGTCTACAACACTCTGATCCCAGTGACAGGACTCTGATCTCTTTATTATCTCACTCTCTTTTTCTGTCTCAAGTCTCAGGTGTCATGACGTCTCAGGAAGAGACGCTCTCCTTCAGGAGGTTTTTTCAGTACGTGGAGGACAGTGGTCTTCAAGCCTACGACGGTCTGGTGATCCAAAATGCTTCAGATATAGCTAGAGAGAGTGATCGTATTCGAAACCAGACCAACTGGACCTACCTGCAGGAAAAACACCAGAAGAAGAGACGACAGGAAGAAGCCATTAAAAGGTTAGAAAGATTAAACATTCAAGACCCACAAAATGTTAACCAAATATTTTATTTTCATCAGCTCACTGCCTAGAAGAAAGCTGTACAGTGATTTCTTAAACATAACAGTCAGTCATTTGATCAGTCACTCAGTCAGTCAGTCAATGAGACAGTCAGCCAGCTGATAGTCATGTATCTGATCAGTGTTTGAGTTCGGATGATACAAACCTTTGAAGAAAACCACAGCAACCTTTTACAACAGACCAACAGAAACATCACAGTTGTCAGCATTTTTGACTCTGATATACGTACATTAACATGCAGTTAACATCTCAGAACACAAAAAAATTATCTTGAGATTAGGTCTTATCTGTCACGCAGACACAGCAGTGTAAAAGGTAGGGTGCATAACTTAAGTTGTTCTGTAACTCCAAAAAAGGATATTTAAAACATAAAAATAGAATAAAGAGTATAAATGTATAAGAGTCCTAGGCAATATAGTCAGTAACTGGGGTCTACCTTGTCATAAAAATAGGTCCTTTTATCTGTAACTGGGCAGTCAAATATTCCATCAAGTAGTCTTGCTTTACTTTCTGTAACCATCATAGGAGGGTGAGGCGCCATCCAATCCGGAGTAATAATTTTTCTTGCAGTCAACAACAAAACATGTAGGGCTCTATTTTTGTGCCTCGCTGGAGACGTGCCGCAAGCGCGGCGTAAGTCAGATCCGCCGCGCCGACAAGGCGTTCCCAAGCACAATTTGGTATTTTGGTGAGCAGTGCAGCCCGGCGTAAGTATCCCCCCTCCCTAACTCAGCTCCTCCCAGCGGCGTAAGTCATAGTGAGGGAGGAGAGAGGGCGTAGAGTGGGGCGTCATTGGGCGTCCTCCACACTCTCTCATATGAGCACAGATGGATTTGGTGTGTGTAATGTTGGACCCACTGGTAAGACAAACACCCTTTTCCACAAATAAAGACACTCACATAAAGTTGCATATATTCAAACCTCACGTGACAATGGTGGGTTGTGCGCACAGATCACAACATAAACTCCAAAAATGGCATTAAAATCGGAACCATCTGTGCGTAAATTACGCATCGCGCTCCGTGGCCGGGCTCTTTCTTTCATAGATGTTGGCATATAAAATAAATTTTTTATTATAATATCCGTATGTCGGCTTTAAGTAGATAACGCATCTGAGCGCTGAAACAAATCATCTGTTCAGCCGCCGCTGCTGAAGCAGGACAGAGAGAGGACACGGAGACGTGTCCAGGTCAAGCTGTGTGAGAAATAAGAGGAGGAGGAAGAAAGAAAAGGAGGGAGACAAATTACATATCTTGTTAACTTCATCATGTGTGTCTATTTACTAGATATTTAATTTAATTCAATGCGATTTCAACTGTGTTGATTCGGTCAGGTTGTGTGTCCAAACGTGCTCATCAGATATAGATCAGAATATATCGATATAGATCTAAATGTATGTGCTGACTCAGATTATTAGTTGTTATTGATTATTTAGCGTCTTTGAGTGTTTTTAAAAGTGCTGTACAAATAAAATGAATTATTATTATTATTATTATTTATTGCACTGAAATGTGCCTGACACTGTGGAAACCTGCCGGTGAGGCATCAGTGACGTATGCCAATACGCCGCCGGTAGGGCTGGGTATTGATTCAGATTTTCCAAATCGATTCGATTCGATTTTACAAGGTCCAATTCGATTCGATTCACGATTCGATTCGATATCGATTCAGTCAGGGATATCTCAGTTAAAAATGGCCAAATGCATTGAACTTAACTAGTAACCTTTTGACCTGGTAGATTATTAAAAATTGTTTACATTAAAAATTGCACCCAAACTAGTAGCATTCATCATGTGCATTATTTAAACATGACCAAGTGACTGACAGAAAATAAATGAATATAAATTAAATTAAAATAAATTACATGACAATATAAATAAAGTAGCTACAAAGATGACACAAATAAACAGGACACTCACTTATCTGCAACTGTCTTACAGCTTTTGTGCAATAACACAGTGGTTGTGACACAACTGTATCAAAACAGATCCATCTGTTGACTCAAATAAATGGCAAATTAAAATAGTGCAAATAAGTCCGTTTTTTTTTAACATGGTCAGTATATTTTGAACACACTATGTAAACTGAAAAATGGTGACATTACATCCTGTTTTTCTGGCATTCTGAACTTCATGTCAGTTTTGGTTTGTTTTTCCATGAACACAAAATAGAAAAGTGCTTAAGTCTAAACAGCGCTGAATTACTTCTGAAAATAAGCGTTTTCCTGAAACATTAATGCAAAAGATCTTGTAAACTTCTGAACAATAATCACACTGTGTGACCTTTCATCCCTTTTCTTACTTGTTGGAGAGAGTAAGATTTTTCTGCATGAAAAGGAGCTGATCAACATGTTGAGGAGTAAGGCAGCTCCTTTTTGCTGTGACTATATCACCAGCGGTGGAAAAAACCCGCTCAGATGGGACACTGGTACCAGGTACACAAAGGTACCGTTTTGCTTGGTGGGCCAATAGGGGATAATGCTTTGCACGTGCTCTCCACCATTTGAGAGGATCCTCAGAGAGTGGAATGGGTGTTAGATCCTTGTATTTTTTTATTTCATCCTGGGCCTTTTCAAGTACAGTTTTCTGGGTTACCATCTCTTTTGGCATGTAGGTTGACCCAAGGAGAGACATCAGTGCAGAGGATTCTTTTGGCTTCTTTGGTGGAGTAACATCTTCAATGGGATCAGGCACAGCTTCCTCTGTTCCACCAAAAGCAGATGTTTGCTGTTGAAAACAGGAATAAAATTATTTGGAAAATCACTTGGTACACTATTTGGAATACAATTGCTTAATATTACAATATTAAAGACAAATTAAATTTGAATTGAATACAGTAAGGTACAAAACTGTAAGAAATTAGTTATTTTGTGTCTTTAACTTACATTAGATGCCTCTGCCTGCTTGACACCAGCAGCTTCAGTCACCAGTTGGGAGAATGTGCGGTCCCGGGCCTCATCATGCAAGAAAGGCAAAGCCTTGAAACGAGGGTCTAATGCTGAAGCAACATAGAGCCTGTCCTTTAGGGCTCCATACCTTGAAAAGATATCACATATTTTAATCATGTTATTTCACAGGATATTAATGTGCATGCATGCACACACTTCACATTTTTTAAGCATACCTGGAATTCAGGTTGTTGTATGCAGCTGTCTTGATCTCTTTGATGAGTGTTGAATCTTCAGGGACACAGCGCATCTCCTCCAACAGTTGTGCATGCATGGGTGCGATGATGGACAGCATCGGTGACGTCCCCTCAGACATGGCAAGAGTGGCTGCTTTCAGTGGCTGAAGAGCTTTAACCAGATCTTCTGCTACTGTTATGTCCACTTCTGTCAACGTGCAGAGATCTTTCTCGTTTCTGCGCACTTCAGGTGACAGTAGAGCTGCTGAGATTGCTGGTTGCTGCTCAAGGAACCGTTCTAGCATCTCCAGTGAGCTGTTCCATCGAGTCACCACATCAATCACCAACTTGTGTACAGGAAGCTCCAGTACCTTTTGCTTCTCACTGAGGATGCGGCTTGCTGTAGTGCTATGATGAAAAAATGCGACGATGCATCTGATTCTGCCGAGCAAGCGCGCAGCTGGAGGGACTTTCAGTGCAATTTATGAAGCTAAATTAAGAAGGTGCGCAAAGCAACCAATGTGCTGCAAGCCCACAATCTCCGCAGTGCGGATGATATCTGCAGCATTGTCTGTTACAATGGCTGGCACTTTGTTTGCAAGCTTCCACTCACGGATCGCATTGAGTAACAGGTCGCTGAGATTCGTCGCTGTGTGGCTGGTTTCCACGGCTCTTGTTTGTAGAACATGGCATGCAAGGACCCATTCGTCGCTAATGTAGTGAGCAGTAATGGTCAGATATGAATCTGTTACTCTCGATGTCCAACAGTCGCAAGTCAATGCCACACTCTCCGCTGCCTGAAGCAAAGTTTCGATGCTTTGCTTCAAACATGCATACATGTTTGGAATTGTCACTTCACTTAATTGTTTATGAGTCGGCAAAACATACCGTGGCTCCAGCGTTTTCATGAGACTTCGGAAACCATCGTTTTCAACGACACTGTAAGATCGAATGTCTTTGCATATGAAAACTGCAATTGCCTCGGTTATCTTCCGTGCACGTTGAGAGTTTGCCGGTAACTTGGGGGCCAATACCTGTTCCAGGCTAGTTTGTTTGAGCCGTGCCGAGTCCAACTGTGTTACTGTTTTTGGGTGATGTCTTGTCAGATGGTTTCAGAGATTTGTCGTATTCCCACAGTATTTCACCGCTCCGTTGCATACTTTGCATTTTGCTTGTTTTTTGTCATCCGCGTTGTTCTCTCCGTCTCTTTTAAAACAAAAATACGCCCAAACATCAGCCTTAAACCTCGCCGGGGTTGCCGCTGACGCTGTACTCCCTTCCGCCATGTTTCCCTCTCTTGCTAACAGCGGCTAATAACATCTCGCGAGATCGTGTTCCGTGGAAAGCCGCGCTAAACACTGATCTCGCGATACTGCCAGGGTTGAAACAGGCTGTTCACTGCAAGTTAGAAGATCGATCTATGGATTTATGAATCGATATCTGACTATAAAATGGTGAATCGATTCAAATCGATTTAATCGATTCTTATAACCCATCCCTAGCCGCCGGTCTACCAAAATACTACTAGACCAGCTGCGTTCCGCCTGCGCTGAAAGCTGACCAGGTTTGAATCGGCAAGCTTTCAGCGCACTTTACACGCCGTTGGCGAGCACGAAAATGTCACTGCCCCCGCTGATTCTGTCGACACCTCCCCCTGCCACGCCACCACGCCCAGCTTGGCGGATCTCGGCTCGCCTCCGTGTGCCTCAGTCCACGAAAATACCAAACTGGCCGTAAGCCGGGCTGCGCCAGACGAAAATACAACTGTGCGGGGCTCGCCGCCCTCCGTCACCTCACCGGCGCACACGAAAATAGAGCCCGTAATATCTAACATTGGTAAAGAGGTCAGGAAACACATCTGATAAAAATAACAAAGAGTTCATAGGGAGGTCTATTATTTTCCAGTCAAAAATTTCCAAAATTATTTGTATTTCTAGGCAGTCCCAGAATATATGAGTGTGATGGCCAACTTTACCACAGTTCCTCCAGCATTAGTTTTGTTGGGATTGTTTTTGGAGACAAAAGTTGTTCAGTGTCCCGAAGAACCTGATTTTGACCTTCAGTCAAATTCTTCGTACAGTCAGCTTCCAAACAAATCAAACAGAAGCATAAAATTGCTTTCTAGGTTAGCTTTGTACATTTTTCCAATCTGTATGTTTTGTGACATAACGTCTGATTTGTAAATATCTATTTAGGTCACTTAAAGGCAAGGCAAATTGTCTCAAAGTTGTGAGAAAGATTTAATTACATGCCCATGCAGGAGTTGATTATTATCAGACCACTCTCCGCCCATCTTTTATAGGCTTTGGAAAATATGAATGGTTATGTCAGAAAAATAAGACTGCATCTAACTTGCTGCCAGCTGAGAAGAACGACAGAGATTGTGGACTTCTTTTTCTTCGATATCTTTTACTTGCAAGGAGTCAGCAGCTTATAACAAAGGCAGCTTCCTCTGACTGAGGAATTCAGATTTTTACACATCCTTTATGCAGTCAAGAAACAGACACCCCCACCCACTAACATCATCTCACAAGTGGCATGACATTACAACCGTATCCAAAAAGGTTACAGGTTGCAGCTGTGGTCTGTGCTGGGAAGACAAAGACAACTTAGTTCATCATCAGGTTCCTGCTTATCAGTTCAATGTCACACAGCTGGGAAAACAACCTGTGAGTGAAATTATAGCATTCATCTAGTTCCATGGCTTCAGCGGGAAAGTATCAGTCCCAACTCCAAGGCCATTGTTCTCCTTTCCCATGCTCATTAAAAAGAAATATGACTCTGCAAGCATTCACACCAAGTGGTTTTCAGTAAATGATGATTAACATACTTATATAATGATAAAATACACATGTGATAGCATACACTTACAATTTTTCTTTCATTTTCCTCCTGTTTATCATTATTACAGTATGAACATTTTTCTCACATCAGTAACGTACAACTTCTTTTGATTTTCTGTAGGCATGTCATATTTTGTTAACATACTGTAAAACGATTTTTGTTTATCATGATGGGCTCAGCTGGACTGCAATGTCCATGTTTTTAGCCTGCTCCACAAGCTTGAAATACACTTCACCATGTTCCTACAAGAGCGTGTCTCTAATGAATACATACACGCAATGAATACACAGAATAATAGTAACACAGTAGCAACTGGTGTCAGGAATTTCAAAAGGATATGATACCAAGGACCAGACGTCATCCAGCTTAGCCAGTCCACTTTATTCACATGATCGCCATCCTCAGTGAAGTCAGGTTTACAATCACCTGCTGAATGATTCCTCCACCTGCATCATTTTCTGGAATGAAAGTACAGCAAGATGTACCCACCAAGGCACATACTCCTCCTGACGCAGCAGTGAGTTGATCCAACACAGTGTGGTCCTGCAGCTCCATCATTCTCAAGGCAGTGAGTTCCTCTTTCACGCCCTCCAGCACTCTGATGGTAATGTTTGCAAAGGTATCAAACCTGTAATCAAGTGTCCCAGTTCTTAACATTGTCTTACCCAATCCTGTCCAGGGAAAAAGTGACAGGATCACCTTCTGACCGTTAGACCACAGCTTATGATCGAGGGTTACGTCATTCCCATAATCAAGTCATGTCGAGGAAAGAGATCTCTCTTTTTCCTACTCTCAACGGCGTCCTGAACACTAATGTTCACTATGAAGGACTGATTAGAAGGGGTTATCACAGCACACCTGCCAGTCCATCCGAGAGGTAGATCAAGAAAAGCATTAGCACCACACATCCACACACACTCTAATTGTGGAAGTGTACCCATAATGTCAGGAACAGTGTGAAATGGTTGACACTGTATACCATGTGGTGCACCTTTTGAATCAGCTGTACAGGGAACATATGTCACTCTACAATTTGATCTGTCCACCTTTACGAATTAGGTGTCTTTGTCCTCCACCAAGTGGATGCAGTTCTCGTAACAGATGAACTTAGTACTCAGAGGAACGTGGAGTGGTCCATAGATCTTCCTGTTACCTGTAGAGCCATTTTTCAACAGGTTATGGAAAGAGAACTTTGAAAACTCAGGTGGAGTAGGTGTAGCCTGACCTGTTTCGCCATCTACAATCTGTTTCAGAACCCTTGGCCACAAAGCTGATTGCTATGCTTCAGGAAATAGTCTGCTGTCATTCAGGTACAGCTATGGAACCACGTATGAGTTTGTTTTGGCCAGGGACATCCTAACCTGGTGTCTCCTCTGTAGGGAGAGAGGATCATCTGGCATTCTATAGGCATTCATGATCTCTTTTGTCTTCAACATTTTGATCATGTAATCTACCAATACTATGTCTAATTCCCTCTCAGATTCTGGTGATAATAGTCCAAATTGGGGTATTACAAATTTTCTTCCAAATAAGATTTCAAAAGGAGTTGAGCTTTTGTTGGAATTTGGAGCTATATAAATTCATAATTTTAACAAGTCCAAACAATAAATCAAGTTTTTTCTTCTCCTCTCTTCCATAGCTTTCTTTAATTTATTTTTAACCATACCATTATGTCTTTCTACAAGGCCTGCATTCTGTGGATGATTAACACAATGATGTTTTAAATCAACATTTAATCTAAGTCCCATGTTTTTTATTTTTGTTTGTTTTTTTAATTTTATTATTTCATTCACAAAATGAGTTCCATTGTCACTATAGATTTGTTTTTAAATGCCGAATCAAGGATTTATTTCTCTGCACAGGATTTTCACTACTGTTAATGCATCTGGATGGGTGACGTGAAATAATTCTAGTGAAAGAATCTATAATCATTTCTTTCCCTCACACTGATTTAACTCTATGAATTCCATGTGTATGGCTTCAAATGAAGCGTTGGTTGGTGGAAATTGTCCTCATTTTGGTCTTACATTACCTTGAGCATTATGTCTAGCACAAACTGAACAAATCAAACAAAACTTTTTTTGAATAGTTTATGAATTCATAGGTAGTAAAGTGTTGATTAGCTACTACACTCATCCCTCCTGTCGAGACATGGCAAGGCCCATGCCTTGCAATTGCCCCCTCTAAAGCTGTGTTTGCTGATCTGACAAAAATCTTTTGTTTGGCAAACCTCATCTGTGGTAGTTTATGTCTAAGAACTGCTCTTTTGCTCCTGAGTCACACAAAAAGGCTACAGGTGAACCACGAAACATTAACTTTATCTGCAGTTTTGTGTCTGCATAGAAAAATATTTTCTCCAAGTTTAGCACTTCTTCCTCCTCTGTCTCCTCTCTGTTAAAATTCCTGCCTCTGAACCTGCTTCTTCCTCGTCCTCCCTGTAATAGTCTTCAAATAATTCATCATCTCTCCTATTGCCTCCCATTGCCCTATAGTTGTCCTTCTTATCTCATGTAGGATGACATTCATTGTCACATGTGGAGTTGATCTCACGTTGAATAGCATTATAGGGAGGGTGTTGATTCAAGTTAGTTTTGTGTCTGCACAGACTTTAGCCAATTCTATTTTAATAGTGCGATTATGGGGCATCTGGGACTGGAAAACTTCACAGTCCTGCTTTGAGTGGAACCTTTGGATTTAACTGATAATATATTTACAATATACAGTATACAATATATTTACCTCACCCCCACCTCAAAGTGTCTTTGAGGTGGGGGTGCCACCATTGTTAAGAAATAAGAGCTGTTAACTTTCGAGCTCGCACAGTGACCTCTACTGTGTACCTCTTCGCACAAAAAATTTATTAATCCAATTGGAGCTACAATCTTTCCTTCATGATTTCTTCAGAACTCTTAAATTTTGTTGCTCCTTTTTCTTTCTATACCAGTTTTTTTAGATGGGACAGCTGCTTCCTTCACATAGAACCCTTTGTAGTTTTTCACTTACTGCTTTGGGTAATTTGCCTATTTACATTGCATCATGTTATGGCTTTCGCTGCCATTTCTGCTGCATTAATTCCTCTTGCTACTCTGCTGTCTGCTTTTTGGTGTTCTCTGCACTTTACTATGGTTGCGTATTTTCTTTTTCTTTTTTGTTCCAATAAGGTATAATAAAGATTAATCAGTCGGTTCAAATGTTTAACAGGGATGCCAGCTGAGGTCACGAAACCTCTTCCTCTCCAGCGACACATGTCTACATGTACCACATACACTTCATAGGCTGAATCGGTTTAGTCACAGATTTGTCTGATAAAAGTTTGCATGCTTCTGCATAGGGAAGGATTCTTTGGCTCTGGAGGAGTCAAGGTCGTAATATACATATATATATATACTGTATATATATATATATATATATATATATATATATAAATTAGCAGTCTGCATTAAACCTTTCTGCCATTTTTAACTGCCTTTTCTATCTTTCATTTCTTTATTATTATAATTATTATTATAATTATTATTAAAGTTGTCTTTACTTTTAGCTTTTATTCTTTCAACTGATAAGCATGAAACAGGCTGTAGCCTTCAATCAAATTCATAAAGGGAGTAGGAGGCTGTCCTTCTATTGGCAACAACTACAACAACCACCCATTGTTGATACACCTTTGTATTATGTCTTTTTCTTACACGTGTTTTATTTATTTATCTATTTTTATTTATTTATTTATTTTTCCTTTGTATTCCCCTTTTTGCTGTCAAAATAAGGTCACTCTGCAACCTACTTCAACTGTCAGTGGTTTTAGGTCACCCGCTGCTTCAGTTGCAGAATTTAAACCTTCATTCACACACTCACACTCACTTCTCTTCAGGCCTCTCTGTTTTCTTGACTCTTTATTCATAAACAGTCATCACACACCTTTTATCCCTATTTATACTCACACTACGTCTCGTCAGGTCTTCTCGCTGATCAATGAATCGCATCACCCATCTAGGAATCTGGATGTTCGGGTCTGGTCCGCTGGCCTCTTTTGTCACCCAATTTTAGAGTGGAGGTCTTTCTCACAGGCCTCAGGCCTCTCTGTGCACAGGTTTTAGCTTCTCCGGTACCCACTTCCAGTCCCAGATGAGATATTGCGATCGGGCTCAAAGGACCAAGTATGTCAGAAAAATAAGACTGCATCTAACTTGCAGCCAGCTGAGAAGAACGACGAAGATTGTGGACTTCTTTTTCTTCGATATCTTTTACTTGCAAGGAGTCAGCAGCTTATAACAAAGGCAGCTTCCTCTGACTGAGGAATTCAGATTTTTACACATCCTTTATGCAGTCAAGAAACAGACAACCCCGCCCACTAACATCATCTCACAAGTGGCATGACATTACAACAGTATCCATAAAGGTTACAGGTTGCAGCTGAGGTCTGTGCTGGGAAGACAAAGACAGCTTAGTTCATCATCAGGTTCCTGCTTATCAGTTCAATGTCACACAGCTGGGAAAACAACCTGTGAGTGAAATTGTAGCATTCATCTAGTTGCATGGCTTCAGCGGGAAAGTATCAGTCCCAACTCCAAGGCCATTGTTCTCCTTTCCCATGCTCATTAAAAAGAAATATGACTCTGCAAGCATTCACACCAAGTGATTTTCAGTAAATGATGATTGACATACTTATATAATGATAAAATAGACGTGATAGCATACATATAACATTTTTCTTTCAGGTTAAAACTCCATATGCCCTTCTAAAGGCATGGCCCATGACAGAGCTCCCCGTAAATTCCCCGTTTTTAAACTAAATTCCAGACCTTATATGTGTGTATAATCTATCAATTATGGAATTTAATTATTTTATTCTTATTTATTTATTTATTTTGAGATTGCTGGCGAAAAACTAGAACACTACAGAAGAGTACCCCCAGTATGGATTTTAGTTAAATAGAGATCCATCCAGTCTCTACGTCTCTGAATTCCACCACCGCTTGCAGCTGAGCTGGGAGCTGCCAGCATTAATGTATTCACTTAGGTGATCACATAATTATTAAAGTGATCACATGTGATCACATAAATTGTAACATGAAGGAGAGATCCTTTATTTTTTCGTGTTTTGATACTAACAGACATGAGTTCACCTGAAGACTGTCTCACCTGCAGGACAGAATAAGCACTTGTAGTCAGGTTAACAGTCAGCATTTGTACTGAGCCTTAGGATCAGTTTTTGTGAAACATTATAGAGTTTATGTTTGTAAAGTGCTTTGTGATTGGCTTGTCTTTCCTATGATTGGTCTGTCCAGGATTGGTGAAGATGTTGCCATGGCAACAGAGGGGGCATTCTCTGGGAAACATTTCAGGATGGGTTTCATGACAATGCCAGCACCACAGGATCGACTTCCTCCTCCCAGTCAGGGCTTTGCCGTCCGATCCCAGTCCCTTCACTCGGTGGGAGGAGGAGACGAAGACCCTAACCAAAACCCAAAACTACCCCCACCCAAGCCCAAGCGGGACCCCAGCACCAAGCTAAGCAACAGCTCTGAGACCATGAATGGGTACGGACTGACAGGCAGAAGGGACATGCAAGAGACCAAAGAGATCCCAGGGCAGGCTGAAGGTAAGAGCACAGACCAGCACCTGCTGGAACACCTCATGTTTGCATCATTAAATTCAGATCCACCCAAAACCAATAACCACAACCCTGCCCTGACCTCGCCTGATCTGCCCTGTAAACAAACACCTTGGTTATTATCATTAATCAATTTAAAAAAAAAAGAAAAACTCAAAGGAAAAGGCCACCATATCTGAAACTCTACTGTATATAAAGGATAAACTGTTCTTTCTTCATTCCTGACTCACTGACTGGCTCACAATCCTTGCAGTCAGCCTCAGGAGGTTAACTTTGATAGAGTCTCTGAGCAGCAGAGGTATAAACTCTTGTAATTCGGACCAGAGCCATTGCTGCAAGCAGCGGGAGAGAAGTTTTATTAAAATTTTTAAACTTTTCACCCTCTTCACGGGCCTGAAAACTCCTGAAATTTGGCAAGCGAGTCGGGCCTGGCTAAAATTTGTGTAGTTTGCCGTGCCCCTACATATGAAAAGAAAAAAAAAGACTCGCGAGCGCACCCTACAGTTTTCATGCTCTGGGAGTTTCCTGTTTAACTTCCCCTACACTGGTTCCACCTCCACAGGATTTTAGTCATTTGACAACAGTCAAGCACCAGACAATTTGACACCAAAATTACGTCGGTAAGTCTTAGCGCCACCTGGTGGCCTTTAAAAAGGGTCATTCCCCTCTGCCGTATGTTGTAGCACAACATATGGCAAAGGGGAATAGGTTTTCCAGTTAATGGCCTGTAACTCCTTTTTTATTGAGGGAATGCAGCTGAGATTTGTTCAGGACACACCTGAAGGGGTTCCAGAAAATCTAGAAAATGAGTACCTTGTTTTGTTAAACTGCACCTAGGTGGCGCTATGAAATGTCTAAAAAAAAAAAGCAATCTGTGGTATAGCTATTTATATGCACAGCCAAATGAAAATTGGTACACTGATCGGGAGCAGCGTCCTCTTGAGGACTCCAATGTCAAAATGGTAATCAAACAACAAATGGCTCCAGAGCACCCCCTACAAAATATCTAATTGTAAGCCTCGCTCTTGTGTGTGACCCAATCCTTTGAAATCAAAAACATTTATGTTGGACTTCAATACGAACATAAAGATCTCAAATGTCAAATGGGGATCCAATAAAAAATGGCACCATAGCGCCCCCCTACAAAATTTAAAAGTGTAAGCCCTGCTCCAGTGTGTGAACTAAACCTATGGAATCAGGGACAGGTATGTAGGACCCCTAGACAACTATAAGGGCTCACCTGTCAAAATGGAGATCTAACTTAAAATGGCTCCATAGCGCCCCTACAAAATTTCAAAATGTAAGTCCTGCTTCTGTATGTGACCCAAACCTATGGAATCAAAGACACTTGTGTTGGACCCCAAGATGAACAAAAAGGGCTCCAAAGTCAAAATGGAAATCCAACTAAAAATGGCTCCAGAACACCCACTACACATTTTCACAATGTAAGCAATACTTCTGTGCGTGACCCAAACCTATAGAATCAATGACACTTATGTTGAACCCCAAGACAAACAAAAGAGGGAGGTGGTCCACAGAGGTAGTGGCGCGACATGGCTCAAGCCTGATAGCGCCCCACAGGGTGCTATGTTTTTTGGACATTTCAGAGCTCCACCTAGACAGAGTTAAACAAAACAAGGTGCTGATTTTCTAGCCTATCTGGTACCCCATCAGGTGTGTCCTGAACAAACCCTTAGCTGCATCCCATCAATAAAGAAGGAGTTACAGGCCATTAATCAAAAAACGCATTCCCCTCTGCCACCAGGTGGCGCTACAACATACAAACGAAAGTTTGGTGTCAAATTGTCCGGTGCTAGACTGAAATGAATAAAATCTTTGGGAGGTGGGAACAGTCTATGGGTAATTATAGAAGAAACTCTGCAAACACGAAAGCTGTTGGATGCACTAGCAAGTTATTTTTTCACATATATAGGGCATGGCAAAATACATGAATTTGAGCTGGATCCAACCCACCTGCCAAATTTCAGGAGCTTTGATGACAGCACTCAATCAGGTAACAAAGAACAGGTGTTATAAGAGCTTAGAGCAGCAGTGCCTGACACCTGGTGCCAAAACTGTGAACTTAGAGTGTTTCTTGTCATCATCAAGTGATAGAAACTCTTTAGGTTTAACTCTGTGTTTGCTTTCTGCAGCGCGATGCCATCTCTTTGATGACGACTTGAAAAAGATGCCTCCACCTAAACCCAAACGGAATCCCAACACCCAGCTTAGCACCTCTTTAGATGAGTCTTACATTTGTAACCATAGACACAGGAAGTCATCTCTGCGTTGGGACCACTCTGTGTCCCAGAGTCAGGGTCCAGCATTCAAGGACATGGATGATGAGGAGCCAGTTTACATTGAGATGGTGGGGAACATACTGCGCGAGATGGGGGGTCAGGAGGTATTCAGCGATGAGCAGAATGAATCAGTGTATGAGGAGATGAAATACCCCATGGAGGACTTTGTGCAGGACCCTCACTCTGTTCTGATTGACCCTGAAGCCTGGTCATCTCGAGGTGCTTCTTTAGACATCCCCCCACCTTTCCCCAACCTCTTGACCCCTCGCCCACCACTGCTTGTCTTCCCCCCTGCACCTGCTCAGTGCTCCCCTAACTCAGATGAGTCTCCCCTGACCCCCCTGGATGTTTCACGGCTCCCCGTGATGGACAATGTCTCATACAGCAAGTCAGGTGGTGTCGAGCAACCACAGAGCTCTGGCCACAACCGCAAGGACCGAGACTGGGACAAAGACCGGGATCTGTCTTCCACCCACACAATCACTTCCTCTGGCCGTTCATCTGCCCCACCCCTTCCCTCAAATTTCCACAAGTCATCACACAGTGGCCATGGTTACCCCCGCAGCCAATCAGCTTGCCCGTCTCCAGTAAGTATGGGCCGCTCTCTGACCCCTCTGAACCTGAAGAAACCACCACCATATGACATCCTAATGGCTGGAGGAAGTGTGCCCCATTCCTCTTCTTCCTCCTCCTCTTCCTCTCACCGGGCAGGTGAAGCAGGATCCAAACTCAGTAACTCCTCCTCTACCCATGGTTCCCTGCAAAACATGCCAATGAGGTCACAGACGCCGACAAGCCCCATGGACGACCTCAATAACCCCTTCACCTCTGGGAGACAGGTGGTAAAGAAAGGCAGCAGGAAGAGCCGAGAGAGCACAGGTGAGAAATGTATATCTATGTTCAACAGGTAAAATATCTGTAAAATATCAGTTTAATATATCAATTCATTACCTGTATAATATCAACTCAATATCAGAGTTATATCAGTTTATCATTGTCTTGCTGAAATATGAGGGTCTTCCCTGAAAAAGTCATTGTTTGGATGGCAGCAGGTGTTGCTTCTAAACCTGTAGATATTGTTTAATGCTGAACTGTTAAGTTGTTCTTCTAACAGCTTTTTACCTGTTTGGTTATTGTCATAACAACCTTTTACCTTTTTTGGTGTTTGTCTTGTTTTGCTGTTTCAGCCAATAGGAAATCATCAGAGTTGTATTTTCTTTAATATATTGCTGACAAATCAGAACTTTATAATTGAATTGAGGCTGAATCCTCCAGAGGCATGTAGAAAACAGCAGCTCTGTAAAGAGGATTACCATCAGTTATTGTGTCACCATGGAAACAATGTTGTCATGGTGACCTCTTTCAGTCAGCGGATTTACTGCCTTTCTTCTTCCTCCTCTTCCTTGCTTTAGTTTTTAAATGTGTTTGAGGGTTCAGGAAGACAGGGCAGTACATCTTTTTGAGTTCTTAAATAAATGTAAGAAAAAAATAAATTCTTGCTGGAGATAAAAAGTAAAACATAGACTTTAAATGGCTCTCTGACATTTTTGTTATACAACATATGATTTTTGAATCCCTGAATCGTCTGAGATCAGCCATATGATCACCTATCCATGGGTTCTGACCCCTGAATGTTCCCACAACCAGTTCCTGCAAGGAGTTGGTACTGTCACTGCCCCCCCCATTTTACCAGCCAGGCAGGCAGTAAACATTTCTGGCCCTAGGCCAGTTGCTCACAAATGACCAAGCATCTTAGAGGACTTTCCCCCTCAGGTTTGATTTCCTCCATGTCCCACAGAACCAGCATTACTTTGGTGATGGCAGTAGTGCCATCAAAGTAGGGGGAAGTGTCTGCAAAATCAGCTTAGCGTACACTAACAGACAAGAACTTAGAAAAATAATGATCTGTTTATTACAGGATAAATGATGGTACAACATACATGCAATAAATGATAAGATAATGAGGATAAATAATAATAGGTGAATAAATAAAGATTCTGAGTCAGGCTAGGAGCACTGAAGTTAATGATAGTGAGTGAATATGCGCTAACATATTAACCTACACTAACTTTGGTGTTGAGATAAATTTGGACGTGGATTTGGAGGAATCTAAGATTACCAGAATAAGTGGATATCTGAGTTATGAACGCATGAGAAAGCATCAGCCCTCTTTGGAGCTCTGGAGGTTTGCATACTTAAGTGAGACTGGTCCTTGGAGAAGATGGAGCAGGTTCCGAAGGTCCGGGGCTACCTGCGGTTCGAGCGGTTCAGCTCAGAAGACGACTGAAGTCAGCCGAAGGATGGGCCAGGAGTTGTAGCACTCGGGCCCGAAGCAAAGCCGGCGCCTGTGGATCCTGTGGATGCTCGTTTGGACGCTTCTTTGGTCTCACTCAAAAACTCTGGCACAGAGGATGACCTGGGCCTGCTGGGTTGCGTTCAGAGGTGACTTTGAAATCACGCAGATAACTCAGGGAAAAAAAAGAGGTTCGATGACCAGTGGAAACTTTCAAAAATGGCTTCACGAAATTAAAGAAAAATCAATCAAAGGCTTAATCTTGAATTGCTATGCGCACAAAAAGTTGAAGTTTCAAAACTTGAACTAAGACGATGTTAAAGAAAAATCAACGTGAATCAACACGTGGTGTAAAATTTAGAAGACTAAGAAAAAGTAAGACTAAGTAGTAAGAGCTAAGAGAAAATGAAAAGTTGAACTGAAGAGTAGAAGAGCAATAAGAGAAGAGAGTGTGTAAGAGACTAAGCGAACAAGAGTATACGGGCAAGAAGAGCATAAGAGGCAGAAGAGAGTGAGCAACCCCACTTCACTGGTTTTATCTTCTCACACTGGGAGTGTCTCTGGCGTGTGTGTGTGAGGAGAAAGACGAGGGGTCGTGGGGTCTCCAAGCAGAGGAGACCTCGGATCTCTGATTATTTGATCTAACTTATACTTTTGGCTGGTAAAAGAGTCAGATCTGATACTCACCCACGATGATTAATATCATTGAATGCTTGGTTTCATGAAAAAGATTTGATACTAAACACATATGAATGAAATGTAGGATCACATCAAACATTCTCATTATGTTTTAAGTATCACACTGAACATGCTAAATTACTCTGAAATGAAACAGAGAGTAACACATAGAAACTGTGAACAACAAAAGAGTAAATACATGTGAATGAACTTCATTATGATTAATAATGGATTCTAAATACTCACATTCAGATTATTCAATGACATTATAACCACCTAATGGTTAAAATACTAAATAAACGATTAAAATATAGACCAAACTTTTCTAAACCATTTCTGTTACTTAGAGTAAAGTTATGATTCATAGTCAATAAATTTAACTCTTAAAAGTTCATGAAACAGTCTGAAAAGCTGTTGGTCTAAAGAAACTAAAGAATAAAGGGTTTATTCTTTCAGAGTGATAACTCGGCTTCTGGAGCACATAGAAAAACGGGAAACATCTCATTTTAACACAAATTTCATGATTAGACAGATTAGTACATTGCTGAATGCATAAGATGTCATGATCAGTCATTTGTATTCTTTCTCCAAAGGAATGCAGTTTTTATCAGTACATGGTTGAGCAGGGTTTTACGACCGAGGTCTGGAGGTCAGTGTCCTGCTCCTCAGAGCTTATCTTGGGGTCTGTATGTTCAAGACGGTAAATCTCAAATGGGAGATCTGGGTTGAGGCGTTAATGTTTATTTAAATGGTCAGTGATGGCGTCAGTTTGAAAGGTAATAAAAACTCCGTCTCTGTTCTCCAAATTGACCAATCGTGAAGAGTCAGAGGTTTGGTCAACCTCCAGTCGTGTCAGTTAGGTAACCTGAAAGTGCAAACAAGTCTGGAAAGATTTACATCCTGTGTCCTGGGACCAGATAAGAAAACTTTTCCTTCAAGGAATGTGTGAGTTTCACATACAGGGTTGTCTTTGATCCATATCTGATCTGATGATTAACCCTAACCCTTACCCTAATGGTCACTCAACCAGACCAACTTAACTGTAGCAATTTGAATTTATAATAAATGTCCTAAATTAATAGAATTAAATTATGACATTTATGCACTCGTTGAAGGGGCACCACCCACCTTTTTCTGATGGGGAAAAGACAAAACAAAGTTGATTGCAAAAGGGACAATACCTCACTGCGGCTGCGCGAACAGTAGCAAGGAAAAAAATACAGTTCATGCTGCCTCTCTAACAGCGGATTATTTCAACTACACACCTCTTGGGAGTAACAAGAGTTACACAGACAGATCTCACAACAGCAGACAAAACTGCAGACATACACTCAGAAATGCGGCAATTTGTGAAGAATAATTGTGTCTAAAATCACTCTAACAAAACCTCTCACTGGAAACAGTGATCTCCCGCGACAGGTAGCTAATCTGCTGGGATGAGGAAACAAAATGAATCCCTTACAGTCACTAGAATTTCGTAGCAGACTATAGAGAGTTCAGATACTCCGGACCACGGATTGGAGCTTCGCGAACACCGGGTCCAGCCCAAGGCCTTTAGTCAAGCGTACAGCGATGCTGAAATCATGCACTCAACAGTTAGCACTCTGGATTCCCGTATCGGCAGCACACAGCGGAAGCTGTAGCCTCACTGCAATCAAAACAATAATCCACGTGGTCCAGGCTCACACACAAACGTATGCAGCAAAATCACTGTTTTAGCAAGAGCTCATATCATCAGAACATGAATCAGAGACACTTCAAAAGGCCAGTTCAGTTATTTCAAAAATGCATCGGAAACACATCAAGCATACTATCCAGTAATTTCAGCAAGCATAGCATAGATTTTAAGGGAGTCTAAGTTGAGAAAGATGGGTTTTCTCACTAGTTTAGGGAGATAATCTTAAGGTTGTCTGTCAGTGTTTCCAGAAGTCGGTTTGAAATGCCTCAAGCGGCCACACAAAATAGTATGTAGCAATTTGAATTTATAATAAATGTCCTAAAATAAGAAAATTTAATTTGACATTTATGCACTCATTGAAGGGGCACCACCCACCTTTTTCTGATGGGAAAAAGACAAAACAAAGTTCAATTGAGAAATCAAACGTTGAATCAGTCCTAAACAGATTTAAATCAATCTCACATATGAGGCCGGAATACTCATTTCAGGGACTTCGCTTCTGGAAGGACCACTAAGAGATGACAACTTAAAATTAAATGGACAATTTATTGACAAATGCTAGGTGAAAACATAAATTCAATAAATGACGATCAAACAATGAGAAAATAAAAGAACACCTAATGAATAAATGAAGGAATGGTTTGAACTGAACCTAAGACTGGAGGTTAATGATAGTGAGTGAATAAGGAAAAATTTAACCCACGTTAATTGGGTTACGAGGATAAATTTTGAAGAGGAATTTGGAGAAACTAAACTGTAATTAAGGATATAAGCTACTGAATGCTTGACAGCATCACTCAGTTGATACAGCAGTGTCGAGGGGTTTGCCTACCTATTTGATGTCAGTTCTCAGCGGGAAATCTTGGAGTGGATACGCTGAAGTTCCTGGCTACCGGACCAGATGCTTGGAGGTTCGGCAGGTTCCCACCCGCAGCACACTGTGTCAGCGCTGTTGGATACTTTTAGCTCTCTCTCCTCTCGGAACCAGGTGACAAACGCAGCTAGGAAGATGATGCTGGTCGGTCTTCCGGGCATTCAGGGTTAGCTTTACTGTGGATTAATTTGTGCCAATAACATAAGAAAATACTTTCGCTGGCCAGTCGATATTGTCTTCAGGAGTCACTGTAGCGAACTAAACAAAATAAAAGACTGAGACTTAGGTACTCTATGCGCGCAGGTAATTACTGATGCTTTAAAGAAACTTAGGCATGGCTTCATCCAAGTTTCTGGAAAAGTCTGAAACTTAAGGCAAATAACAGAAATGCAGGGAAAAATTACAAGACGATGGGCGGAGACAAAAACGCCAACAAAGGGAAAAACACAACAGAGTGAGCGGTGTAAGCTCAGCTCTTTTAAGCAGTTCACGTGGGGCGTGAAACAAAAGAGGGGGCACTCATGCACTCTTTGTTCACAATGCAGGCCCGTTGGCTGGCAAGCGAATAAAAATTAACTTGCGATATTAAAAAACGAGTTAGATCTAATTTACTCACTCACTATGATTAAAGCCATTTATCAAATCACATACGATCAAGTTTCACTTCATTGTTTCTTATGAGCAGATGCATCAAACCATAACATTGAATGTAAAGTAAACTTTAATCAGCTGTTTTCCTGATAATCTATAACCTGAGGATTAACAACTCTTTGAAAGTTAGAGAGGGATAGAAAACCAAATTATCTTTTCGTACAGAAACACCATCAAGCATAAGAAACACATACGTGATAATACTTAATTAAAATATAAACTTGTCAATCGATACTTAGTAAATGATTAAAATATATATTGTGGTGAGGTAGATAAAACATAGCATTTAAACATTCAAAACACTCTTAACTCAAGTATAAAAGAGTTTACAGTTACTACTTCTACAATTGCTAACCTATCTTGAGAATACCATTGACTAAGCTACAAAGTACAGTACAGGCCAAAAGTTTGGACACACCTTTTCATTCAATGTCCTTTTTTTTTTTTTTTTTTTTTTTTATATGACTATTTACATTGTAGATTATCACTGAAGGCATCAAAACTATGAATGAACACATGTTGAATTTTGTACTTATAAAAAAAGTGTGAAATAACTGAAAACATGCTTTATATTCTAGTTTCTTTAAAATAGCCACCCTTTGCTCTTGATGACAGAAATACTTGGTGACTGACTCTGTCACAAGGTAACCCTGACAAGGCACACCTGTGAAGTAAAAACCATTTCAGGTGACTACCTCATGAAGCTCATTGAGAGAACAGCAAAAGTTTGCAGCGCTATCAAAAAAGCAAACGGTGGATACTTTGAGGAATCTGAAATATAAGACATGTTTTCAGTTATTTTACACTTTTTTCTTAAGCACATGATTCCACATGTGTTCTTTCATAGTTTTGATGCTTTCACTGAGAATCTTCAATTTAAATACTAATGACAATAAAGAAAATGCATTGAATGAGAAGGTGTGTCCAAACTTTTGGCCTGTACTGTATATAACATGCAATATAATTGAATTCAAGGAATAAGTATTTGGCTTCTGACCAAAACCATATTCAGCAAACACCACTAGGAGGAGCTCTTGGTCCATGGAATACCTGGAATAAATTTGTGAAGTTAACAGTTTGGCTTGTGGACATGCTGGACGAATGGGACAAAGACTGTTTCATTGCTGATGTGGTGTAAAGATAGAAAATCCTGATTAAGTGTCCATTAAACCTGAAATTAAACCATTTGCAGTTATTCTCTTCATTCTGCACCTAAAGAGAGTCACAGGAAAAACAAGTCACTCAGAGAATTTATGGCAGGGGTCTGTTTCAGGGATGGGTGCCCCAAATGCAGCCTCAGTTAGAGTTCTCATGATCTTTGGGCCAACCTTAAGGCTGAGGTGTCAACTATGAGCTATCCTTGCCAAAGTGAGAGGGTGAATGTTTATTCGGTCTGGGGGTCCTGTTGTTGATCAGCAACTTTGTCTCTTTGAAGTGTAAAAGATTCACTATCAGCCTTTTGGGAGAGCGCCTCTCGGCTCTGTCCAGGGGTCCGTAAAAAGGCCATAACTTTGGTGTGGAAAGTTACTCCCAACTCTTCTACTGATCAGGGGAGCCTGCATTCCTTTGAGGGTAAACTAACGGTGAAAAAGGAGAAACCACTCGTCTCCTGTTACATAACACAGCTGAAACCGTGATGCTGATAATTAATTATCCACATTAAATATCCAATAAATAGTCACCCATGATGGTGTTAACAAGAAATTGTATTCCTCCTTCACCTGGACCCCGACACATCTCTGCAGTCATTGCCCAAGCAGGGCCTAGGCCTACATGTCACTGTTATAAAGTTCAACTACATGCACAAAGTTCATTTGACATGCAAACATTAGTGATGTGTTTTTTACGCACAGGTGGTTCTGATTTCAATCATGCCCTGCATTGCATTTATTTAAGTTGTGATCTGTTCACACAACCCACCCTTGTCACGTAGGGTTTATCTATACTGTATATGCACCTTGATGTGAGCGTAATTATTTGTGGAAAAGGATGTTTGTCATACTGTCGGCCCAACCTTGGACACACCAAATCCCTCTGTGCTTATTTGAGAGAGTGGGAAAGATGTGACATCCTCTGCAACACTTGTTGATTGGTTGCCTTGGGTAACCACGGTCTGGCGTTGCTGTCCCTAGTCATATTGAAATGGGCTCCTCCCCCTAAATGGCGATGGCAGCGTAAAAACGTATACATTTTCATCAGAAGAAAATACAAAATGATGCATTAATTGAACTGAAGGGGATAACTACAGGATCAAAGGCTAGGCGTAAAGAGGAAAATAAATAAGAACTTGGTGAGACACTGTCTTCCACTCCTCGGTGACAGACAATGAAAAAGATAAGTAAAATCAAGCAACTTATTGTAAATAATAATATCTAGTGCCTAGCAAGGCACCAACAGGGCTGAGCTGTGTCATACCGCCACCTCTGTGGACCACCCCCTTTTTTTGTTCATCTTGTGGTCAAGCATAAGTGTCATTGATGACATAAGTTTGTGTTCCACACAGGAGCTAGGGTCACATTTTGAAAATTCGTAAGGAGTACTTTCGAGCTATTTTTAGTTGGATCTCCATTTTGACATTGGAGCCATTTTTGGTTGGATCTCCATTTTGACATTGGACCCCTTTTTAGGGCCCGAGCGTAGCTGCTAAGCAGCTGCGAGAGCCGTATTGTTCCTGATGGATTCTTCTTTCTTCTTTAGGGCCCGAGCGTAGCTGCTAAGCAGCTGCGAGAGCCCTATTGTTCCTGATGGATTCTTCTTTTTTCTTCTTTAGGGCCCGAGCCAGCTGCAGAGCAGCCGGGCGTAGAGCCCTATTGTTCCCCAAGTGGTTTTTCTTTGTTTCTTTCTTTCTTTAGGGCCCGAGCGTAGCTGCTAAGCAGCTGCGAGAGCCCTCTTGTTCCTGCATGTTTCCTTCTTTCGTTATTATTTTTCCTCCGCTTTAAACTGGAAAATGGCCCACTTCCCACTGGCGAAAACTCAGGAAATTTGGCAGGACGACCGGGCCTGGTGAAAAATTCGATATTCTGAAGTCGCTCAAACAATAAAATGCAAAATGGCTCCATAGCGCCCCCTAAGGTGAAAATTCACACCATTGACTGTCACGCCTGTACGCTTTGTCATATTGACACAAAATTTGACACACACGTATCTCAATAAGATCTACAAAAAAGTCAGTGCGGGCATATCTGTCAAATGTACGGTTAAAGGGTTATTTCGCATTTTTTGCCGATCCGCACACATTGGAATTTCGCTAACTCCTCCGAAGGCTTTCGTTCCACCGGCACCACATTTGCTCAGGCCAATCTACACCCCATGGCCATTAAAAGTTGTACAAATCATGACGCTGCACCCCACAGTTTAGGTTCTAGGGGGCGCCAAAGATAACCCAAAAATCCACAGTCTTAAAAGTCTTATAACTTTTTATTTTTGTCCTCACTGGCCTCCAAGTTTTCTAGGATGATGCAATGTCCAGCCATCAACACATTTGTGAAAAAGAGCGCCCCCCCATGGCCGGAGAAAAAGTCAAGTTGTTCCTGCCCATCGCTCAATGGCTTAAACGCATCGCTCTCTCGGCAAAACCGAAAGGAGGAGCAACTTGCCATTTGGATATATCTTAGCTGTGTTTGTGCCCTCACTCATGTTCCAGACTTTTTTCAAATAGGACATGGAGTTTGTCTGCAGTGAGCGTTTTGGTAGAAACTGCGCCTCCCATTCATTATAATGGTAAATGACCACAGACAAGTGCGCACACCATCTTTGGACCTTGAGTGTGACGCGATCGGGAGGGGGAGGAGGTTGCGCTGGGGGCAGCGCGACACGGCTCGGGCCCGCCAGTGCCCCATCGGGGCCCTAGTTCTTTCTTTCTTTCTGTAGGGCCCGAGCGTAGCTGCTAAGCAGCTGCGAGAGCCCTGTTGTTAGGGCCCGAGCGTAGCTGCTAAGCAGCTGCGAGAGCCCTGTTGTTCCTGATAGATTCTTCTTAGGGCCCGAGCGTAGCTGCTAAGCAGCTGCGAGAGCCCTATTATTCCTGATGGATTCTTCTTTCTTCTTCTTCTTATTATTTTTCTGCCCCTTTGAACTGGAAAATGGCCCACTTCCCACTGGTGAAAAGTCATGAAATTTGGCAGGACGACCGGGCCTGGTGAAAAATTCGATATTCTGAAGTCGCCCAAAAAATCAAATGCAAAATGGCTCCATAGCGCCCCCTAAGGTGAAAAATTCACATGATTGAGTGTCACGCCTGTACGCTTTGTCAAAATGACACAAAATTTGACACACACGTGTATCTCAATAAGATCTACAAAAAAGTCAGTGCGGGCGTATCTGTCAAATGTACCGTTAAAGGGCTATTTCGCATTTTTTGCCGATCCGCACACATTGGAATTTCGCTAACTCCTCCGAAGGCTTTCGTTCCACCGGCACCAAATTTGCTCAGGCCAATCTACACCCCATGGCCATTAAAAGTTGTACAAATCATGACGCTGCATCCCACGGTTTACGTTCTAGGGGGCGCCAAAGATAACCCAGAAATCCACATTCTTAAAAGTCGTATAACTTTTTATTTTTGTCCTCACTGGCCTCCAAGTTTTCTAGGATGATGCAATGTCCAGCCATCAACACATTTGTGAAGGAATTTTTACTCCCCAAAAGAGCGCCCCCCCATGGCAGGAGAAAAAAGTCCATTTTTTCTTGTCTCCTAAGGCGAAAATTCACACTATTGACTGTCACGCCTTTACGCTTTGTCATATTGACACAAAAATTGACACACACATGTATCTCAATAAGATCTACAAAAAAGTCAGTGCGGGCGTATCTGTCAAATGTACGGTGAAAGGGCTATTTCGCATTTTTTGCCGATCCGCACACATTGGAATTTCCCTAACTCCTCCGAAGGCTTTCGTTCCAAAGGCACCACATTTGCTGAGGCCAATCTACACCCCATGGCCATTAAAAGTTGTACAAATCATGACGCTGCACCCCACGGTTTACGTTCTAGGGGGCGCCAAAGATAACCCAAAAATCCACAGTCTTAAAAGTCTTATAACTTTTTATTTTTGTCCTCACTGGCCTCCAAGTTCTCTAGGATGATGCAATGTCCAGCCATCAACACATTTGTGAAGGAATTTTTACTCGCCAAAAGAGCGCCCCCCATGGCAGGAGAAAAAAGTCCATTTTTTCTTGTCTCCTAAGGCGAAAATACACATTGTTGACTGTCACGCCTTTACGCTTTGTCAAAATGACACAAAATTTGACACACACATGTATCTCAATAAGATCTACAAAAAAGTCAGTGCGGGCGTATCTGTCAAATGTACGGTTAAAGGGTTATTTCGCATTTTTTGCCGATCCGCACACATTGAAATTTCGCTAACTCCTCCGAAGGCTTTCGTTCCACCGGCACCACATTTGCTCAGGCCAATCTACACCCCATGGCCATTAAAAGTTGTACAAATCATGACGCTGCATCCCACGGTTTACGTTCTAGGGGGCGCCAAAGATAACCCAGAAATCCACATTCTTAAAAGTCGTATAACTTTTTATTTTTGTCCTCACTGGCCTCCAAGTTTTCTAGGATGATGCAATGTCCAGCCATCAACACATTTGTGAAGGAATTTTTACTCCCCAAAAGAGCGCCCCCCCATGGCAGGAGAAAAAAGTCCATTTTTTCTTGTCTCCTAAGGCGAAAATTCACACTATTGACTGTCACGCCTTTGCGCTTTGTCATATTGACACAAAAATTGACACACACATGTATCTCAATAAGATCTACAAAAAAGTCAGTGCGGGCGTATCTGTCAAATGTACGGTGAAAGGGCTATTTCGCATTTTTTGCCGATCCGCACACATTGGAATTTCCCTAACTCCTCCGAAGGCTTTCGTTCCAAAGGCACCACATTTGCTGAGGCCAATCTACACCCCATGGCCATTAAAAGTTGTACAAATCATGACGCTGCACCCCACGGTTTACGTTCTAGGGGGCGCCAAAGATAACCCAAAAATCCACAGTCTTAAAAGTCTTATAACTTTTTATTTTTGTCCTCACTGGCCTCCAAGTTCTCTAGGATGATGCAATGTCCAGCCATCAACACATTTGTGAAGGAATTTTTACTCGCCAAAAGAGCGCCCCCCCCATGGCAGGAGAAAAAAGTCAATTTTTTCTTGTCTCCTAAGGCGAAAATACACATTGTTGACTGTCACGCCTTTACGCTTTGTCAAAATGACACAAAATTTGACACACACATGTATCTCAATAAGATCTACAAAAAAGTCAGTGCGGGCGTATCTGTCAAATGTACGGTTAAAGGGTTTTTTCGCATTTTTTGCCGATCCGCACACATTGGAATTTCGCTAACTCCTCCTAAATCTTTTGTCCCATCGGCTTCAAATTTGCTCAGGTCAATCTACACCCCATGGCCATTCAAAGTTGTACAAATCATGACGCTGCACCCCACAGTTTACGTTCTAGGGGGCGCCAAAGAGGACCCAAATATCCACATTTTTAAAAGTCTTATAACTTTTTATTTTTGTCCTCACTGGCCTCCAAGTTTTCTAGGATGATGCAATGTCCAGCCATCAACACATTTGTGAAGGAATTTTTCTCCCCAAAAGAGCGCCCCCCCATGGCAGGAGAAAAAGTCAAGTTTTTCCTGCCCATCGCTCAATGGCTCAAACGCATCGCTCTCTCTGCAAAACCGAAAGGAGGAGCAACTTGCCATTTGGATATATACTAGCTGTGTTTGTGCCCTCACTCATGGTCCAGACTTTTTTCAAATAGGACATGTAGTTTGTCTGCAGCGAGCGTTTTGGTAGAAACTGCGCCTCCCATTCATTATAATGGGAAATGACCACAGACAAGTGCGCACACCATCTTTGGACCTTGAGTGTGACGCGATCGGGAGGGGGAGGCGGTCGCGCTGGGGGCGGCGCGCGGCGGCTCGGGCCCGACAGTGCCCCACCGGGGCCCTAGTTTCTTATTAGGGCCCGAGCCAGCTGCAGAGCAGCCGGGCGTAGAGCCCTATTATTCCTGTATAGGTTTTTCTTTCTTCTTTCTTTCTTTCTTTCTTTCTTTCTTTAGGGCCCGAGCGTAGCTGCTAAGCAGCTGCGAGAGCCCTATTATTCCTGATGGATTCTTCTTTCTTCTTCTTCTTCTTATTTTTCTGCCCCTTTGAACTGGAAAATGGCCCACTTCCCACTGGTGAAAAGTCATGAAATTTGGCAGGACGACCGGGCCTGGTGAAAAATTCGATATTCTGAAGTCGCCCAAAAAATCAAATGCAAAATGGCTCCATAGCGCCCCCTAAGGTGAAAAATTCACATGATTGAGTGTCACGCCTGTACGCTTTGTCAAAATGACACAAAATTTGACACACACGTGTATCTCAATAAGATCTACAAAAAAGTCAGTGCGGGCGTATCTGTCAAATGTACGGTTAAAGGGCTATTTCGCATTTTTTGCCGATCCGCACACATTGGAATTTCGCTAACTCCTCCGAAGGCTTTCGTTCCACCGGCACCACATTTGCTCAGGCCAATCTACACCCCATGGCCATTAAAAGTTGTACAAATCATGACGCTGCATCCCACGGTTTACGTTCTAGGGGGCGCCAAAGATAACCCAGAAATCCACATTCTTAAAAGTCGTATAACTTTTTATTTTTGTCCTCACTGGCCTCCAAGTTTTCTAGGATGATGCAATGTCCAGCCATCAACACATTTGTGAAGGAATTTTTACTCCCCAAAAGAGCGCCCCCCCATGGCAGGAGAAAAAAGTCCATTTTTTCTTGTCTCCTAAGGCGAAAATTCACACTATTGACTGTCACGCCTTTACGCTTTGTCATATTGACACAAAAATTGACACACACATGTATCTCAATAAGATCTACAAAAAAGTCAGCGCGGGCGTATCTGTCAAATGTACGGTGAAAGGGCTATTTCGCATTTTTTGCCGATCCGCACACATTGGAATTTCGCTAACTCCTCCGAAGGCTTTCGTTCCAAAGGCACCACATTTGCTGAGGCCAATCTACACCCCATGGCCATTAAAAGTTGTACAAATCATGACGCTGCACCCCACGGTTTACGTTCTAGGGGGCGCCAAAGATAACCCAAAAATCCACAGTCTTAAAAGTCTTATAACTTTTTATTTTTGTCCTCACTGGCCTCCAAGTTCTCTAGGATGATGCAATGTCCAGCCATCAACACATTTGTGAAGGAATTTTTACTCGCCAAAAGAGCGCCCCCCCCATGGCAGGAGAAAAAAGTCCATTTTTTCTTGTCTCCTAAGGCGAAAATACACATTGTTGACTGTCACGCCTTTACGCTTTGTCAAAATGACACAAAATTTGACACACACATGTATCTCAAAAGGATCTACAAAAAAGTCAGTGTGGGCGTATCTGTCAAATGTACGGTTAAAGGGTTATTTCGCATTTTTTGCCGATCCGCACACATTGGAATTTCGCTAACTCCTCCTAAATCTTTTGTCCCATCGGCTTCAAATTTCCTCAGGTCAATCTACACCCCATGGCCATTAAAAGTTATTCAAATCATGATGCTGCACCCCACGGTTTAGGTTCTAGGGGGCGCCAAAGATAACCCTAAAATCCACATATTTAAAAGTCTTATAACTTTTTATTTTTGTCCTCACTGGCCTCCAAGTTTTCTAGGATGATGCAATGTCCAGCCATCAACACATTTGTGAAGGAATTTTTCTCCCCAAAAGAGCGCCCCCCCATGGCAGGAGAAAAGTCATTTTTCTTGTCCCATAAGGTGAAAAAACACATTGTTGACTGTCATACCTGTACGCTTTGTCATATTGACACAAAATTTGACAATCACATGTATCTCAATAAGATCTACGAAAAAGTCAATGCGCGCGTATCTGTAAAATGTACGGTTAAAGGGCTATTTTGCATTTTTTGCCGATTCGCACACATTGGAATGTGGCTAACTCCTCCTAAGGCTTTCGTCCCACTGACACCAAATTTGCTCAGGCCAATCTACACCCCATGGCCATTCAAAGTTGTAAAAATCATGACGCTGCACCCCACGGTTTACGTTCTAGGGGGCGCCAAAGATGACCCAAATATCCACATTCTTAAAAGAATCCACATCCCCCCCCCCCCCCCATCCCCCAACCCCCATGGCAGGAGAAACAGTCAAGTTTTTCCTGCCCATCACTCAATGGCTCAATCGCATCACTCTCCCGGCAACACCGTAACAAGGAGCAACTTGCCGTTTGGATATATCCTAGCTGTGTTTGTGCCCTCACTCATGGTCCAGACTTTTTTCAAATAGGACATGTAGTTTGTCTGCAGCGAGTGTTTTGGTAGAAACTGCGCCTCCCATTCATTATAATGGGAAATGACCACAGACAAGTGCGCACACCATCTTTGGACCTTGAGTGTGACGCGATCGGGAGGGGGAGGCGGTCGCGCTGGGGGCGGCGCAACGCGGCTCGGGCCCGACAGTGCCCCACCGGGGCCCTAGTTCTTTCTTTCTTTCTTTCTTCTTATTTTTCCTCCCCTTTGAAGGGGAAAATGGCCCACTTCCCACTGGCGAAAACTCAGGACATTTGGCAGGACAACCGGGCCTGGTGAAAAATTCGATATTCTGAAGTCGCCCAAACAATAAAATGCAAAATGGCTCCATAGCGCCCCCTAAGGTGAAAATTCACACTATTGACTGTCACGCCTGTACGCTTTGTCATTTTGACACAAAAATTGACACACACGTGTATCTCAATACGGTCTACGAAAAAGTCAGCGCGGGCGCATCTGTGAAATGTACGGTTAGAGGGTTATTTCGCATTTTTTGCCGATCTGCACACATTGGAATTTCGCTAACTCCTCCGAAGGCATTCGTTCCACCGGCACCACATTTGCTCAGGCCAATCTACACCCCATGGCCATTAAAAGTTGTACAAATCATGACGCTGCACCCCACGGTTTACGTTCTAGGGGGCGCCAAAGATAACCCAAAAATCCACAGTCTTAAAAGTCTTATAACTTTTTATTTTTGTCCTCACTGGCCTCCAAGTTCTCTAGGATGATGCAATGTCCAGCCATCAACACATTTGTGAAGGAATTTTTACTAGCCAAAAGAGCGCCCCCCCATGGCAGGAGAAAAAAGTCAGTTTTTTCTTGTCTCCTAAGGCGAAAATACACATTGTTGACTGTCACGCCTTTACGCTTTGTCAAAATGACACAAAATTTGACACACACATGTATCTCAATAAGATCTACGAAAAAGTCAATGCGAGCGTATCTGTTCAATGTACGGTTAAAGGGTTATTTTGCATTTTTTCCCGATCCGCACACATTGGAATTTCGCTAACTCCTCCGAAGGCTTTAATTCCACCGCCACCAAATTTGCTCAGGCCAATCTACACCCCATGGCCATTAAAAGTTGTACAAATCATGACGCTGCACTCCACGGTTTAGGTTCTAGGGGGCGCCAAAGATAACCCAAAAATCCACATTCTTAATAGTCTTATAACTTTTTATTTTTGTCCTCACTGGCCTCCAAGTTTTCTAGGATGATGCAATGTCCAGCCATCAACACAATTGTAAAGGAATTTTTACTCCCGAAAAGAGCGCCCCCCCATGGCAGGAGAAAAAAGTCCATTTTTTCTTGTCCCCTAAGGTGACAAAACACATTGTTGACTGTCACGCCTATACGCTTTGTCAAAATGACACAAAATTTGACACACACGTGTATCTCAATAAGATCTACGAAAAAGTCAATGGGCACGTATCTGTAAAATGTACGGTTAAAGGGCTATTTCGCATTTTTTGCCGATTCGCACACATTGGAATGTGGCTAACTCCTCCTAAGGCTTTCTTCCCACCGACACCAAATTTGCTCAAGCCGATCTACATCCCATGGCCATTCAAAGTTGTAAAAATCATGCCGCTGCACCCCATGGTTTACGTTCTAGGGGGCGCCAAAGATGACCCAAATATCCACATTCTTAAAAGAATCCACATCCCCCCCCCAAGGCAGGAGAAAAAGTCCAGTTAACCCTGCCCATCGCTCAATGGCTCAATCGCATCGCTCTCCCGGCAACACCGTAAGGAGGAGCAACTTGCCATTTGGATATATCCTAGCTGTGTTTGTGCCCTCACTCATGGTCCAGACTTTTTTCAAATAGGACATGTAGTTTGTCTGCAGCGACCGTTTTGGTAGAAACTGCGCCTCCCATTCATTATAATGGGAAATGACCACAGACAAGTGCGCACACCATCTTTGGACCTTGAGTGTGATGCAATCGGGAGGGGGAGGCGGTCACGCTGGGGGCGGCGCGACGCGGCTCGGGCCCGAAAGTGCCCCACCGGGGCCCTAGTTCTTATTATTTTTCTGCCACTTTGAACTGGAAAATGGCCCACTTCCCAATGGTGAAAACTCATGAAATTTGGCAGGACGACCGGGCCTGGTGAAAAATTCGATATTCTGAAGTCGCCCAAACAATCAAATGCAAAATGGCTCCATAGCGCCCCCTAATGTGAAAAATTCACATGATTGAGTGTCACGCCTGTACGCTTTGTCAAAATGACACAAAATTTGACACACACGTGTATCTCAATAAGATCTACAAAAAAGTCAGCGCAGGCGTATCTGTCAAATGTACGGTTAAAGGGCTATTTCGCATTTTTTGCCGATCCGCACACATTGGAATTTCGCTAACTCCTCCGAAGGCTTTCGTTCCACCGGCACCACATTTGCTCAGGCCAATCTACACCCCATGGCCATTAAAAGTTGTACAAATCATGATGCTGCACCCCACGGTTTACGTTCTAGGGGGCGCCAAAGATAACCCAAAAATCCACAGTCTTAAAAGTCTTATAACTTTTTATTTTTGTCCTCACTGGCCTCCAAGTTTTCTAGGATGATGCAATGTCCAGCCATCAACACATTTGTGAAGGAATTTTTACTCCCGAAAAGAGCGCCCCCCATGGCAGGAGAAAAAAGTCCATTTTTTCTTGTCCCCTAAGGTGAAAAAACACATTGTTGACTGTCACGCCTATACGCTTTGTCATATTGACCCAAAATTTGACACACACGTGTATCTCAATAAGATCTACGAAAAAGTCCATGGGCACGTATCTGTAAAATGTACGGTTAAAGGGTTATTTCGCCTTTTTTCCTGATCCGCACACATTGGAATTTCGCTAACTCCTCCGAAGGCTTTAGTTCCACCGCCACCACATTTGCTCAGGCCAATCTACACCCCATGGCCATTAAAAGTTGTACAAATCATGACGCTGCACTCCACGGTTTAGGTTCTAGGGGGCGCCAAAGATAACCCAAAAATCCACATTCTTAATAGTCTTATAACTTTTTATTTTTGTCCTCACTGGCCTCCAAGTTCTCTAGGATGATGCAATGTCCAGCCATCAACACATTTGTAACGGAATTTTTACTCCCGAAAAGAGCGCCCCCCCATGGCAGGAGAAAAAAGTCCATTTTTTCTTGTCCCCTAAGGTGAAAAACCACATTGTTGACTGTCACGCCTATACGCTTTGTCAAAATGACACAAAATTTGACACACACGTGTATCTCAATAAGATCTACGAAAAAGTCGATGGGCACGTATCTGTAAAATGTACGGTTAAAGGGCTATTTCGCATTTTTTGCCGATTCGCCCACATTGGAATGTGGCTAACTCCTCCTAAGGCTTTCGTCCCACCAGCACCAAATTTGCTCAAGCCGATCTACATCCCATGGCCATTCAAAGTTGTAAAAATCATGACGCTGCACCCCACGGTTTAGGTTCTAGGGGGCGCCAAAGATGACCCAAATATCCACATTCTTAAAAGAATCCACATCCCCCCCCCAAGGCAGGAGAAAAAGTCCAGTTAACCCTGCCCATCGCTCAATGGCTCAATCGCATCGCTCTCCCGGCAACACCGTAAGGAGGAGCAACTTGCCATTTGGATATATCCTAGCTGTGTTTGTGCCCTCACTCATGGTCCAGACTTTTTTCAAATAGGACATGTAGTTTGTCTGCAGCGACCGTTTTGGTAGAAACTGCGCCTCCCATTCATTATAATGGGAAATGACCACAGACAAGTGCGCACACCATCTTTGGACCTTGAGTGTGATGCAATCGGGAGGGGGAGGCGGTCGCGCTGGGGGCGGCGCGACGCGGCTCGGGCCCGAAAGTGCCCCACCGGGGCCCTAGTTAGGGCCCGAGCCAGCTGCAGAGCAGCCGGGCGTAGGCCCTATTATTCCCCAAGTGGTTTTTCTTTGTTTCTTTCTTTAGGGCCCGAGCGTAGCTGCTAAGCAGCTGCGAGAGCCCTCTTGTTCCTGATGGATTCTTCTTTTGTTATTATTATTATTAGGGCCCGAGCGTAGCTGCTAAGCAGCTGCGAGAGCCCTCTTGTTCCTGATGGATTCTTCTTTCGTTATTTTTCCTCCGCTTTAAACTGGAAAATGGCCCACTTCCCACTGGCGAAAACTCAGGAAATTTGGCAGGACGACCTGGCCTGGTGAAAAATTTGATATTCTGAAGTCGCCCAAACAAAAAAATGAAAAATTGCTCCATAGCGCCCCCTATGGTGAAAACTCACCTGACGCCTGTACGCTTTGTCAAAATGACACAAAATTTGACACACATGTGTATCTCAATAAGATCTACAAAAAAGTCAGTGCGGGCGTATCTGTCAAATGTACGGTTAAAGGGCTATTTCGCATTTTTTGCCGATCCGCACACATTGGAATTTCGCTAACTCCTCCGAAGGCTTTCGTTCCACCGGCACCAAATTTGCTCAGGCCAATCTACACCCCATGGCCATTAAAAGTTGTACAAATCATGACGCTGCACCCCACGGTTTATGTTCTAGGGGGCGCCAAAGATAACCCAAAAATCCACATTCTTAAAAGTCTTATAACTTTTTATTTTTGTCCTCACTGGCCTCCAAGTTTTCTAGGATGATGCTATGTCCAGCCATCAACACATGTGTGAAGGAATTTTTACTCCCCAAAAGAGCGCCCCCCCATGGCAGGAGAAAAAAGTCAAGTTTTTCTTGTCCCCTAACATGAAAATACACATTGTTGAGTGTCACGCCTAAACGCTTTGTCATATTGACACAAAAATTGACACACACATGTATCTCAATAAGATCTACGAAAAAGTCAAAGAGCGCGTATCTGTATAATGTACGGTTAAAGGTTTATTTCGCATTTTTTGCCGATCCGCACACATTGGAATTTCGCTAACTCCTCCGAAGGCTTTCGTTCCACCGGCACCAAATTTGCTCAGGCCAATCTACACCCCATGGCCATTAAAAGTTGTAAAAATCATGACGCTGCACCCCACGGTTTAGGTTCTAGGGGGCGCCAAAGATAACCCTAAAATCCACATATTTAAAAGTCTTATAACTTTTTATTTTTGTCCTCACTGGCCTCCAAGTTTTCTAGGATGATGCAATGTCCAGCCATCAACACATTTGTGAAGGAATTTTTACTCCCCAAAAGAGCGCCCCCCCATGGCAGGAGAAAAAAGTCAATTTTTTCTTGTCCCCTAAGGTGAAAATACACATTGTTGAGTGTCACGCCTGAACTCTTTGTCATATTGACACAAAAATTGACAATCATGTGTATCTCAATTAGATCTACGAAAAAGTCAAAGAGCGCGTATCTGTATAATGTACGGTAAAAGGGCTATTTTGCATTTTTTGCCGATTCGCACACATTGGAATTTCGCTAACTCCTCCGAAGGCTTTCGTCCCACTGACACCATAGTTGCTCAGGCCAATCTACAACCCATGGCCATTCAAAGTTGTACAAATCATGACGCTGCACCCCACGGTTTAGGTTCTAGGGGGCGCCAAAGATAACCCAAAAATCCACAGTCTTAAAAGTCTTATAACTTTTTATTTTTGTCCTCACTGGCCTCCAAGTTCTCTAGGATGATGCAATGTCCAGCCATCAACACATTTGTGAAGGAATTTTTACTCCCCAAAAGAGCGTCCCCCCATGGCAGGAGAAAAAAGTCAATTTTTTCTTGTCCCCCAAGGCGACAATACACATTGTTGAATGTCACGCCTGTACGCTTTGTCATATTGACACAAAATTTGACAATCACGTGCATCTCAATAAGATCTACGAAAAAGTCAATGCGCGCGTATCTGTAAAATGTACGGTTAAAGGGCTTTTTCGCATTTTTTGCAGATTCGCACACATTGGAATGTGGCTTAGTCCTCCTAAGGCTTTCGTCCCACTGACACCAAATTTGCTCAGGCCAATCTACACCCCATGGCCATTCAAAGTTGTAAAAATCATGACGCTGCACCCCACGGTCTACGTTCTAGGGGGCGCCAAAGAGGACCCAAACATCCACATTTTTAAAAGTCTTATAACTTTTTATTTTTGTGCTCACTGGCCTCCAAGTTTTCTAGGATGATGCAATGTCCAGCCATCAACACATTTGTGAAGGAATTTTTACTCCCCAAAAGAGCGCCCCCCCATGGCAGGAGAAAAAGTCAAGTTTTTCCTGCCCATCGCTCAATGGCTCAAACGCATCGCTCTCTCGGCAAAACCGAAAGGAGGAGCAACTTGCCATTTCGATATATACTAGCTGTGTTTGTGCCCTCACTCATGGTCCAGCCTTTTTTCAAAAAGGACATGGAGTTTGTCTGCAGCGAGCGTTTTGGTAGAAACTGCGCCTCCCATTCATTATAATAGTAAATGACCACAGACAAGTGCGCACACCATCTTTGGACCTTGAGTGTGACGCGATCGGGAGGGGTAGGCGGTCGCACTGGGGGCGGCGCGACATGGCTCGGGCCCGCCAGTGCCCCACCGGGGCCCTAGTTATTATTTTTCCTCCGCTTTAAACTGGAAAATGGCCCACTTCCCACTGGCGAAAACTCATGAAATTTGGCAGGACGACCGGGCCTGGTGAAAAATTCGATATTCTGAAGTCGCCCAAACAATAAAATGCAAAATGGCTCCATAGCGCCCCCTAAGGTGGAAATTCACACTATTGACTGTCACGTCTGTACGTTTTGTCATATTGACACAAAAATTGACACACATATGTATCTCAATAAGATCTACAAAAAAGTCAGTGCGGGCGTATCTGTCAAATGTACGGTTAAAGGGTTATTTCGCATTTTTTGCCGATCCGCACACATTGGAATTTCGCTAACTCCTCCGAAGGCTTTCGTTCCACCGGCACCACATTTGCTCAGGCCAGTCTACACCCCATGGCCATTAAAAGTTGTACAAATCATGACGCTGCACCCCACGGTTTAGGTTCTAGGGGGCGCCAAAGATAACCCAAAAATCCACATTCTTAAAAGTCTTATAACTTTTTATTTTTGTCCTCACTGCCCTCCAAGTTTTCTAGGATGATGCAATGTCCAGCCATCAACACATTTGTGAAGGAATTTTTACTCCCCAAAAGAGCGCCCCCCCATGGCAGGAGAAAAAGTCAATTTTTTCTTGTCCCCTTACATGAAAATACACATTGTTGAGTGTCACGCCTGAACGCTTTGTCATATTGACACAAAAATTGACAATCATGTGTATCTCAATTAGATCTACGAAAAAGTCACAGAGCACGTATCTGTATAATGTACGGTTAAAGGGCTATTTCGCATTTTTTGCCGATTCGCACACATTGGAATGTGGCTATCTCCTCCTAAGGCTTTCGTCCCACTGATACCAAATTTGCTCAGGGCAATCTACACCCCATGCCCATTCAAAGTTGTAAAAACCATGATGCTGCACCCCACGGTTTACGTTCTAGGGGGCGCCAAAGATGACCCAAAAATCCACATTCTTAAAAGTCATTTTGGCCACTGCAGGAGTACAGAGTACTGCAGTTCTAGGGGGCGCCAAAGATGACCCAAAAATCCACATTCTTAAAAGTCTTTTTGGCCACTGCAGGAGTACAGAGTACTGCAGGATACACACACATATACACACACGCCAACACACACACACACACACACACACACACACACACACACACACACACACACACACACACACTCAGAGTCTGTTTTTTAGCACCTGCAAAAACATGCTGTTTACATATTTGACAAGAATGCAGAGGCTTCCTTTTGCCCCTGAAAAAAATCAAATTTCAAACACAACTTGACTGTTCATTTCTCCAAAAGACAACCATGAAGCTCCATCCAAACCTGAAGCAGATAGTTGGTGCATGTGTACAGTAACCTGAGGGGAGTGAGGTGACTATTTCTGAGGAGAACATGAGCAGTGAAGATTCACCTTGGAGCTAGAACAGGGACGTGCACATGATTATACAGGGGCAGGGGCTCAAGTTTTTTCCAGTCATTTATACAATATGGAAATTAATGTGAAATTAAAAAACAAAGTATTAATAGAAAGGTTATGACTGTCCTGTGTAGATGACAGTGATATCCAATAGGCTAGGCACTCACGAGTCTGGCTGTGGCAAGTGTAAGTGAAAGCAACACGCACTGGCAGGAAGAACAGCAAACGCCGATGAAGGAAAGGGTCTTTGCAGTGATGGGCGTTACCAGAGAGGACGATGGCCAGAGGACGCGAATGGGACGGGGAGGCAGCGCGTTGGGGGGGGCAGCGCGACACGGCTCGGGCCCGCCAGTGCCCCAACGGGGCCCTAGTTCTTTCTTTCTTTCTTTCTTTCTTCTTTTTCCTCCCCTTTGAACTGGAAAATGGCCCACTTCCCACTGGCGAAAACTCATGAAATTTGGCAGGACGACCGGGCCTGGTGAAAAATTCGATATTCTGAAGTCGCCCAAACAATAAAATGCAAAATGGCTCCATAGCGCCCCCTAAGGTGGAAATTCACACTATTGACTGTCACGCCTGTACGCTTTGTCATATTGACACAAAAATTGACACACATATGTATCTCAATAAGATCTACAAAAAAGTCAGTGCGGCCGTATCTGTCAAAATTACGGTTAAAGGGTTATTTCGCATTTTTTGCCGATCCGCACACATTGGAATTTCGCTAACTCCTCCGAAGGCTTTCGTTCCACCGGCACCACATTTGCTCAGGCCAATCTACACCCCATGGCCATTAAAAGTTATCAAAATCATGACGCTGCACCCCAAGGTTTAGGTTCTAGGGGGCGCCAAAGATAACACTAAAATCCACATATTTAAAAGTCTTATAACTTTTTATTTTTGTCCTCACTGGCCTCCAAGTTTTCTAGGATGATGCAATGTCCAGCCATCAACACATTTGTGAAGGAATTTTTACTCCCCAAAAGAGCGCCCCCCCCCCATGGCAGGAGAAAAAAGTCCATTTTTTCTTGTCCCCTAAGGTGAAAATACACATTGTTGAGTGTCACGCCTATACGCTTTGTCAAAATGACACAAAAATTGACACACACATGTAACTCAATAAGATCTACAAAAAAGTCCATGCGCGCGTATCTGTCAAATGTACAGTTAAAGGGTTATTCCGCATTTTTTGCCGATACGCACACATTGGAATTTCGCTAACTCCTCCGAAGGCTTTCGTTCCACCGGCACCACATTTGCTCAGGCCAATCTACACCCCATGGCCATTAAAAGTTGTACAAATCATGACGCTGCACCCCACGGTTTACGTTCTAGGGGGCGCCAAAGATAACCCAAAAATCCACAGTCTTAAAAGTCTTATAACTTTTTATTTTTGTCCTCACTGGCCTCCAAGTTTTCTAGGATGATGCAATGTCCAGCCATCAACACATTTGTGAAGGAATTTTTACTCCCCAAAAGAGCGCCCCCCCATGGTAGGAGAAAAAAGTCAATTTTTTCTTGTCCCCTTACATAAAAATACACATTGTTGAGTGTCACGCCTGAACGCTTTGTCATATTGACACAAAAATTGACAATCATGTGTATCTCAATTAGATCTACGAAAAAGTCAAAGAGCGCGTATCTGTATAATGTACGGTTAAAGGGCTATTTTGCATTTTTTGCCGATTCGCACACATTGGAATGTGGCTATCTCCTCCTAAGGCTTTCGTCCCACCGATACCAAATTTGCTCAGGGCAATCTACACCCCATGCCCATTCAAAGTTGTAAAAATCATGACGCTGCACCCCACGGTTTACGTTCTAGGGGGCGCCAAAGATGACCCAAAAATCCACATTCTTAAAAGTCATTTTGGCCACTGCAGGAGTACAGAGTACTGCAGTTCTAGGGGGCGCCAAAGATGACCCAAAAATCCACATTCTTAAAAGTCTTTTTGGCCACTGCAGGAGTACAGAGTACTGCAGGATACACACACATATACACACACGCCAACATACACACACACACACACACACACACACACACACACACAGACACACACACACACTCAGAGTCTGTTTTTTAGCACCTGCAAAAACATGCTGTTTACATATTTGACAAGAATGCAGAGGCTTCCTTTTGCCCCTGAAAAAAATCAAATTTCAAACACAACTTGACTGTTCATTTCTCCAAAAGACAACCATGAAGCTCCATTTCAAACCTGAAGCAGATAGTTGGTGCATGTGTACAGTAACCTGAGGGGAGTGAGGTGACTATTTCTGAGGAGAACATGAGCAGTGAAGATTCACCTTGGAGCTAGAACAGAGACATGCACATGATTATACAGGGGCAGGGGCTCAAGTTTTTTCCAGTCGTTTATACAATATGGAAATTAATGTGAAATTAAAACACAAAGTATTAATAGAAAGGTAATGACTGTCCTGTGTAGGTGACAGTGATATCCAATAGGCTAGGCACTCACGAGGCTGGCTGTGGCAAGTGTAAGTGAAAGCAACACGCACTGGCAGGAAGAACAGCAAACGCCGATGAAGGAAAAGGGTCTTTGCAGTGATGGGCGTTACCAGAGAGGGCGATGGCCAGACGACACAAATGGGACGGGAAGGCAGCACGTTGGGGGGGGGGGGGGGGGGGGACGCGACACGGCTCGGGCCCGCCAGTGCCCCAACGGGGTCCTAGTTCTTATTATTTTTCTGCCACTTTGAACTGGAAAATGGCCCACTTCCCAATGGTGAAAACTCATGAAATTTGGCAGGACGACCGGGCCTGGTGAAAAATTCGATATTCTGAAGTCGCCCAAACAATCAAATGCAAAATGGCTCCATAGCGCCCCCTAATGTGAAAAATTAACATGATTGAGTGTCACGCCTGTACGCTTTGTCAAAATGACACAAAATTTGACACACACGTGTATCTCAATAAGATCTACAAAAAAGTCAGCGCAGGCGTATCTGTCAAATGTACGGTTAAAGGGCTATTTCGCATTTTTTGCCGATCCGCACACATTGGAATTTCGCTAACTCCTCCGAAGGCTTTCGTTCCACCGGCACCACATTTGCTCAGGCCAATCTACACCCCATGGCCATTAAAAGTTGTACAAATCATGATGCTGCACCCCACGGTTTACGTTCTAGGGGGCGCCAAAGATAACCCAAAAATCCACAGTCTTAAAAGTCTTATAACTTTTTATTTTTGTCCTCACTGGCCTCCAAGTTTTCTAGGATGATGCAATGTCCAGCCATCAACACATTTGTGAAGGAATTTTTACTCCCGAAAAGAGCGCCCCCCCCATGGCAGGAGAAAAAAGTCCATTTTTTCTTGTCCCCTAAGGTGAAAAAACACATTGTTGACTGTCACGCCTATACGCTTTGTCATATTGACCCAAAATTTGACACACACGTGTATCTCAATAAGATCTACGAAAAAGTCCATGGGCACGTATCTGTAAAATGTACGGTTAAAGGGTTATTTCGCCTTTTTTCCTGATCCGCACACATTGGAATTTCGCTAACTCCTCCGAAGGCTTTAGTTCCACCGCCACCACATTTGCTCAGGCCAATCTACACCCCATGGCCATTAAAAGTTGTACAAATCATGACGCTGCACTCCACGGTTTAGGTTCTAGGGGGCGCCAAAGATAACCCAAAAATCCACATTCTTAATAGTCTTATAACTTTTTATTTTTGTCCTCACTGGCCTCCAAGTTCTCTAGGATGATGCAATGTCCAGCCATCAACACATTTGTAACGGAATTTTTACTCCCGAAAAGAGCGCCCCCCCATGGCAGGAGAAAAAAGTCCATTTTTTCTTGTCCCCTAAGGTGAAAAACCACATTGTTGACTGTCACGCCTATACGCTTTGTCAAAATGACACAAAATTTGACACACACGTGTATCTCAATAAGATCTACGAAAAAGTCGATGGGCACGTATCTGTAAAATGTACGGTTAAAGGGCTATTTCGCATTTTTTGCCGATTCGCCCACATTGGAATGTGGCTAACTCCTCCTAAGGCTTTCGTCCCACCAGCACCAAATTTGCTCAAGCCGATCTACATCCCATGGCCATTCAAAGTTGTAAAAATCATGACGCTGTACCCCACGGTTTAGGTTCTAGGGGGCGCCAAAGATAACCCTAAAATCCACATATTTAAAAGTCTTATAACTTTTTAGTTTTGTCCTCACTGGCCTCCAGGTTTTCTAGGATGATGCAATGTCCAGCCATCAACACATTTGTGAAGGAATTTTTACTCCCCAAAAGAGCGCCCCCCCCCCCATGGCAGGAGAAAAAAGTCCATTTTTTCTTGTCCACTAAGGTGAAAATACACATTGTTGAGTGCTACGCCTGTATGTTTTGTCGTATTGACACAAAATTTTACATACACGTGTATTTCAATAAGATCTACGAAAAAGTCAATGGGCACGTATCTGTAAAATGTACGGTTAAAGGGCAATTTCGCAGTTTTTGGCGATTTGCACACATTAGAATTTTGCTAACTCCTCTGAAGGCTTGAGTTCCACTGTCACCAAAGTTGCTCAGGCTAATCTACACTCCATGGCCATTCAAAGTTGTACAAATCATGATGCTGCACCCTATGGTCTATGTTCTAGTGGTCGCCAAAGATAACCCAATACTCACATTCTTAAAAGTCGTCTTGGCCAGTGAGTGGCGCCAATGGGAGCTCTCTATGAAATCTGATGCTACAGAAAAAGTTAAAAGGCTCAAATCTTTGCTATATTAGTGACTTTATGTCTTAAATGGGAATTTCAAGGGTTAAAAAATTATTTTCATTGAAACATTTGCTAGTTTTGAACAGGGCAGAAGTTAAATATAAGACATGTACAAAAGATCTAATTGATCTCAGCTTTTACCTGTCCAATTTAGGAAGAATAAGTTTTAGCTTTAAGGCCTTTAACAACCAGAGGCCCTTACATAAAGTTTTAGGGAAATTTCAGTGAAGGCCTGGGTGTATGTCTTGAAGTTGGTGTTTTATTTTGTATGAGTGTGACGCGATCGGGAGGGGGAGGCGGTCGCGCTGGGGGCGGCGCAACGCGGCTCGGGCCAGACAGTGCCCCACCGGGGCCCTAGTCTTCTTCTTATTATTATTATTAGGGCCCGAGCCAGCTGCAGAGCAGCCGGGCGTAGAGCCCTATTATTCCTGTATAGGTTTTTCTTTCTTCTTTCTTTCTTTCTTTCTTTAGGGCCCGAGCGTAGCTGCTAAGCAGCTGCGAGAGCCCTATTATTCCCCAAGTGGTTTTTCTTTGTTTCTTAGGGCCCGAGCGTAGCTGCTAAGCAGCTGCGAGAGCCCTCTTGTTCCTGATGGATTCTTCTTTCGTTATTTTTCCTCCGCTTTAAACTGGAAAATGGCCCACTTCCCACTGGCGAAAACTCAGGAAATTTGGCAGGACGACCGGGCCTGGTGAAAAATTTGATATTCTGAAGTCGTCCAAACAAAAAAACGAAAAATGGCTCCATAGCGCCCCCTATGGTGAAAAGTCACCTGATGCCTGTACGCTTTGTCAAAATGACACAAAATTTGACACACATGTGTATCTCAATAAGATCTACGAAAAAGTCAGTGCGGGCGTATCTGTCAAATGTACGGTTAAAGGGCTATTTCGCATTTTTTGCCGATCCGCACACATTGGAATTTCGCTAACTCCTCCGAAGGCTTTCGTTCCTCCGGCACCAAATTTGCTCAGGCCAATCTACACCCCATGGCCATTCAAAGTTGTACAAATCATGACGCTGCACCCCACGGTTTACGTTCTAGGGGGCGCCAAAGATAACCCAAAAATCCACATTCTTAAAAGTCTTATAACTTTTTATTTTTGTCCTCACTGGCCTCCAAGTTTTCTAGGATGATGCAATGTCCAGCCATCAACACATTTGTGAAGGAATTTTTACTCCCCAAAAGAGCGCCCCCCCCATGGCAGGAGAAAAAAGTCCATTTTTTCTTGTCTCCTAAGGTAAAAATACACATTGTTGAGTGTCACGCCTATACACTTTGTCATATTGACACACAATTTAACAATCACGTGTATCTCAATAAGATCTACAAAAAAGTCAATAGGCACGTATCTGTCAAATGTACGGTTAAAGGGCTATTTCGCATTTTTTGCCGATTCGCACACATTGGAATGTGGCTATCTCCTCCTAAGGCTTTTGTCCCACCGATACCAAATTTGCTCAGGGCAATCTACACCCCATGCCCATTCAAAGTTGTAAAAATCATGACGCTGCACCCCACGGTTTACGTTCTAGGGGGCGCCAAAATGACCCAAAAATCCACATTCTTAAAAGTCATTTTGGCCACTGCAGGAGTACAGAGTACTGCAGTTCTAGGGGGCGCCAAAGATGACCCAAAAATCCACATTCTTAAAAGTCATTTTGGCCACTGCAGGAGTACAGAGTACTGCAGTTCTAGGGGGCGCCAAAGATGACCCAAAAATCCACATTCTTAAAAGTCTTTTCGGCCACTGCAGGAGTACAGAGTACTGCAGGATACACACACATATACACACACGCCAACACACACACACACACACACACACACACACACACACACACACACACACACACACTCAGAGTCTGTTTTTTAGCACCTGCAAAAACATGCTATTTACATATTTGACAAGAATGCAGAGGCTTCCTTTTGCCCCTGAAAAAAAATCAAATTTCAAACACAACTTGACTGCTCATTTCTCCAAAAGACAACCATGAAGCTCCATCCAAACCTGAAGCAGGCAGTTGGTGTATGTGTACAGTAACCTGAGGGTAGTGAGGTGACTGCTTCTGAGGAGAACATGAGCAGTGAAGATTCACCTTGGAGCTAGAACAGGGACGTGCACATGATTATACAGGGGCAGGGGCTCAAGTTTTTTCCAGTCGTTTATACAATATGGAAATTAATGTGAAATTAAAAAACAAAGTATTAATAGAAAGGTAATGACTGTCCTGTGTAGGTGACAGTGATATCCAATAGGCTAGGCACTCACGAGGCTGGCTGTGGCAAGTGTAAGTGAAAGCAACACGCACTGGAAGGAAGAACAGCAAACGCCGATGAAGGAAAAGGGTCTTTGCAGTGATGGGCGTTACCAGAGAGGGCGATGGCCAGAGGACGCAAATGGGACAGGGAGGCAGCGCGTTGGGGGGGGAACACGGCTCGGGCCCGCCAGTGCCCCAACGGGGCCCTAGTTTTTTCTTTTTCCTCCCCTTTGAACTGGAAAATGGCCCACTTCCCACTGGCGAAAACTCATGAAATTTGGCAGGACGACCGGGCCTGGTGAAAAATTTGATATTCTGAAGTCGCCCAAACAATACAATGCAAAATGGCTCCATAGCGCCCCCTAAGGTGAAAAATTCACCTGACGCCTGTACGCTTTGTCAAAATGACACAAAAATTGACACACACATGTATCTCAATAAGATCTACAAAAAAGTCAGTGCGGGCGTATCTGTCAAATGTACGGTTAAAGGGTTATTGCGCATTTTTTGCCGATCCGCACACATTGGAATTTCGCTAACTCCTCCGAAGGCTTTCGTTCCACCGGCACCACATTTGCTCAGGCCAATCTACACCCAATGGCCATTAAAAGTTATTCAAATCATGACGCTGCACCCCACGGTTTAGGTTCTAGGGGGCGCCAAAGATAACCCTAAAATCCACATATTTCAAAGTCTTATAACTTTTTATATTTGCCCTCACTGGCCTCCAAGTTTTCTAGGATGATGCAATGTCCAGCCATCAACACATTTGTGAAGGAATTTTTACTCCCCAAAAGAGCGCCCCCCCATGGCAGGAGAAAAAAGTCCATTTTTTCTTGTCCCATAAGGTGAAAATTCACACTATTGACTGTCACGCCTGTACGCTTTTTCAAAATGACACAAAAATTGACACTAACGTGTATCTCAATAAGATCTACAAAAAAGTCAGTGCGGGCGTATCTGTAAAATGTACGGTTAAAGGGCTATTTCGCATTTTTTGGCGATCCGCACACATTGGAATTTCGCTAACTCCTCCGAAGGCTTTCGTTCCACCGGCACCAAATTTGCTCAGGCCAATCTACACCCCATGGCCATTAAAAGTTGTACAAATCATGATGCTGCACCCCACGGTTTACGTTCTAGGGGGCGCCAAAGATAACCCAAAAATCCACATTCTTAAAAGTCTTATAACTTATTATTTTTGTCCTCACTGGCTTCCAAGTTTTCTAGGATGATGCAATGTCTAGCCATCAACACATTTGTTAAGGAATTTTTACTCCCTAAAAGAGTGCCCCCCCATGGCAGGAGAAAAAGTCAGATTTTTCCTGCCCATCGCTCAATGGTTCAAACACATCGCCCTCTCGGCAAAACCGAAAGGAGGAACAACTTGCCATTTGGATATATCCTAGCTGTGTTTGTGCCCTCACTCATGGTCCAGACTTTTTTCAAATAGGACATGGAGTTTGTCTGCAGCGAGCGTTTTGGTAGAAACTGCGCCTCCCATTCATTATAATGGTAAATGACCACAGACAAGTGCGCACACCATCTTTAGGGCCCGAGCCAGCTGCAGAGCAGCCGGGCGTAGAGCCCTATTATTCCTGTATAGGTTTTTCTTTCTTCTTTCTTTCTTTCTTTCTTTAGGGCCCGAGCGTAGCTGCTAAGCAGCTGTGAGAGCCCTCTTGTTCCTGCATGTTTCCTTCTTTCGTTATTATTTTTCCTCCGCTTTAAACTGGAAAATGGCCCACTTCCCACTGGCGAAAACTCAGGAAATTTGGCAGGACGACCGGGCCTGGTGAAAAATTCGATATTCTGAAGTTGCTCAAACAATAAAATGCAAAATGGCTCCATAGCGCCCCCTAAGGTGAAAATTCACCTGACGGCTGTACGCTTTGTCATATTGACACAAAAATTGACACACACATGTATCTCAATAAGATCTACAAAAAAGTCACTGCAGGCGTATCTGTCAAATGTACGGTTAATGGGTTATTTTTCATTTTTTGCAGATCTGCACACATTGGAATTTCGCTAAATCCTCCGAAGGCTTTCGTTCGACCGGCACCACATTTGCTCAGGCCAATCTATCCCCCATGGCCATTAAAAGTTGTACAAATCATGACGCTGCACCCCACGGTTTACGTTCTAGGGGGCGCCAAAGATAACCCAAAAATCCACAGTCTTAAAAGTCTTATAACTTTTTACTTTTGTCCTCACTGGCCTCCAAGTTTTCTAGGATGATGCAATGTCCAGCCATCAACACATTTGTGAAGGAATTTTTACTCCCCAAAAGAGCGCCCCCCAATGGCAGAAGAAAAAGGTCCATTTTTTCTTGTCTCCAAAGGTCAAAATACACATTGTCGAGTGTCACGCCTGTATGCTTTGTCATATTGACACAAAATTTGACAATCACGTGTATCTCAATAAGATCTACGAAAAAGTCAAAGGGCATGTATCTGTCAAATGTACGGTTAAAGGGCTATTTTGCATTTTTTGCCGATCCGCACACATTGGAATTTCACTAACTCCTCCGAAGGCTATCTTTCCACCGGCACCAAATTTGCTCAGGCCAATCTACACCCCATGGCCATTAAAAGTTGTACAAATCATCTTGCTGCACCCCACGGTTTGGGTTCTAGGGGGCACCAAATATAACCCAAAAATCCACATTCTTAAAAGTCTTATAACTTTTTATTTTTTTCCATACCGGCCTCCAAGTTTTTTAGGATGATGCAATGTCCAGCCATCAACACATTTGTGAAGAAATTTTTACTCCCCAAAAGAGCGCCCCCCCATGGCAGGAGAAAAAAGTCCATTTTTTCTTATCCCGAAAGGTGAAAATACACGTTGTTGAGTGTCACGCCTTTACGCTTTGTCATATTGACAAAAAAATTTGACAATCACGTGTATCTTAATAAGATCTATGAAAAAGTCAATGGACACGTAAGTGTAAAATGTACAGTTAAAGGGCTATTTTGCATTTTTTGCCGATTCGCACACATTGGAATTTTGCTAACTCCTCCTAAGGTTTTCGTCCCACTGACACCAAATTTGCTCAGGCCAATCTACACCCCATGGCCATTAAAAGTTGTACAAATCATGACGCTGCACCCCACGGTTTACGTTCTAGGGGGCGCCAAAGATAACCCAAAAATCCACAGTCTTAAAAGTCTTATAACTTTTTATTTTTGTCCTCACTGGCCTCCAAGTTCTCTAGGATGATGCAATGTCCAGCCATCAACACATTTGTGAAGGAATTTTTACTCCCCAAAAGAGCGCCCCCACATGGCAGGAGAAAAAAGTCCATTTTTTCTTGTCCCCTAAGGTGAAAATACACATTGTTGAGTGTCACGCCTATACGCTTTGTCAAATTGACCCAAAATTTGACAATCACATGTATCTCCATAAGATCTACGAAAAAGTCAATGGGCACGTATCTGTAAAATGTACGGTTAAAGGGTTATTTCGCATTTTTTGCCGATCCGCACACATTGGAATTTCGCTAACTCCTCCGAAGGCTTTAGTTCCACCGCCACCAAATTTGCTCAGGCCAATCTACACCCCATGGCCATTAAAAGTTGTACAAATCATGACGCTGCACTCCACGGTTTAGGTTCTAGGGGGCGCCAAAGATAACCCAAAAATCCACATTCTTAATAGTCTTATAACTTTTTATTTTTGTCCTCACTGGCCTCCAAGTTTTCTAGGATGATGCAATGTCCAGCCATCAACACATTTGTAAAGGAATTTTTACTCCCGAAAAGAGCGCCCCCCCATGGCAGGAGAAAAAAGTCCATTTTTTCTTGTCCCCTAAGGTGAAAAAACACATTGTTGACTGTCACGCCTATACGCTTTGTCAAAATGACACAAAATTTGACACACACGTGTATCTCAATAAGATCTACGAAAAAGTCAAAGGGCACGTATCTGTAAAATGTACGGTTAAAGGGCTATTTCGCATTTTTTGCCGATTCGCACACATTGGAATGTGGCTAACTCCTCCTAAGGCTTTCTTCCCACCGACACCAAATTTGCTCAAGCCGATCTACATCCCATGGCCATTCAAAGTTGTAAAAATCATGGCGCTGCACCCCATGGTTTACGTTCTAGGGGGCGCCAAAGATGACCCAAATATCCACATTCTTAAAAGAATCCACATCCCCCCCCCCCCCCAAGGCAGGAGAAAAAGTCCAGTTAACCCTGCCCATCGCTCAATGGCTCAATAGCATCGCTCTCCTGGCAACACCGTAAGGAGGAGCAACTTGCCATTTGGATATATCCTAGCTGTGTTTGTGCCCTCACTCATGGTCCAGACTTTTTTCAAATAGGACATGTAGTTTGTCTGCAGCGACCGTTTTGGTAGAAACTGCGCCTCCCATTCATTATAATGGGAAATGACCACAGACAAGTGCGCACACCATCTTTGGACCTTGAGTGTGACGCGATCGGGAGGGGGAGGCGGTCGCGCTGGGGGCGGCGCGACGCGGCTCGGGCCCGACAGTGCCCCACCGGGGCCCTAGTTGGACCTTGAGTGTGATGCGATCGGGAGGGAGAGGCGGTCGTGTTGAGGGCGGCGCGACACAGCTCGGGCCCGCCAGTGCCCCAACGGGGCCCTAGTCTTCTTCTTATTATTATTTTTCTGCCACTTTGAACTGGAAAATGGCCCACTTCCCACTGGTGAAAACTCATGAAATTTGGCAGGACGACTGGGCCTGGTGAAAAATTCGATATTCTGGAGTTGCCCAAACAATAAAATGCAAAATGGCTCCATAGCGCCCCCTAATGTGAAAAATTCACATGATTGAGTGTCATGCCTGTACGCTTTGTCAAAATGACACAAAATTTGACACACACGTGTATCTCAATAAGATCTACAAAAAAGTCAGCGCGGGCGTACCTGTCAAATGTACAGTTAAAGGGCTATTTCGCATTTTTTGCCGATCCGCACACATTGGAATTTCGCTAACTCCTCCGAAGGCTTTCGTTCCACCGGCACCACATTTGCTCAGGCCAATCTACACCCCATGGCCATTAAAAATCATACAAATCATGACGCTGCACCCCACGGTTTAGGTTCTAGGGGCGCCAGAGATAACCCAAAAATCCACATTCTTAAAAGTCTTATAACTTTTTATTTTTGTCCTCACTGGCCTCCAAGTTTTCTAGGATGATGCAATGTCCAGCCATCAACACATTTGTGAAGGAATTTTTACTCCCCAAAAGAGCGCCCCCCCATGGCAGGAGAAAAAAGTCCATTTTTTCTTGTCCCATAAGGTGAAAATACATATTGTTGAGTGTCACGCCTGTACGCTTTGTCATATTGAAACAAAATTTGACAATCACGTGTATCTCAATAAGATCTACGATAAAGTCAATGCGCACGTATCTGTAAAATGTACGGTTAAAGGGCTATTATGCTTTTGGGTCGATTCGCACACATTGGAATGTGGCTAACTCCTCCTAAGGCTTTCATTCCACCGGCACCAAATTTGCTCAGGCCAATCTACACCCCATGGCCATTAAAAGTTGTACAAATCATGATGCTGCACCCCACGGTTTATGTTCTAGGGGGCGCCAAAGATAACCCAAAAATCCACATTCTTAAAAGTCTTATAACTTATTATTTTTGTCCTCACTGGCTTCCAAGTTTTCTAGGATGATGCAATGTCTAGCCATCAACACATTTGTGAAGGAATTTTTACTCCCTAAAAGAGTGCCCCCCCATGGCAGGAGAAAAAGTCAAGTTTTTCCTGCCCATAGCTCAATGGCTCAAACACATCGCCCTCTCGGCAAAACCGAAAGGAGTAACAACTTGCCATTTGGATATATCCTAGCTGTGTTTGTGCCCTCACTCATGGTCCAGACTTTTTTCAAATAGGACATGGAGTTTGTCTGCAGCGAGCGTTTTGGTAGAAACTGCTCCTCCCATTCATTATAATGGTAAATGACCACAGACAAGTGCGCACACCATCTTTGGACCTTGAGTGTGATGCGTTCGGGAGGGAGAGGCGGTCGTGTTGGGGGCGGCACGACACAGCTCGGGCCCGCCAGTGCCCCAACGGGGCCCTAGTTTCAACTTGGGGTCCAACATAAGTGTCACTGATTCCTTAGGGTTGGGTCAAACACAGGGGCAGGGCTTACATTTTGAAATGTTGTAGGACAGGGGTGGGCAGCCATGTGCCATGGAGAGCCGAGAGGCTGCAGGTTTTCTTTCCAACCCAAAACTCCACCAGGTGATTTCACTGATTAGTCCCTGCTCTCTGCTTGGAGGTAAGGTAATCAGTGAAATCACCTGGTGGAGTTTTGTAGTGGAGTTTTCACCTGGCCCTTTTTGTTCGTCTTGGGGTCCAACATTAGAATCCTTGATTCATAGGCTGTGTCCTGTTTCCGAGACCGCATCGTCGATAGGCGCATTTGAAGTGTGCTTGATGTCATCACGCAGCGCGAACGGTGTCCCATTTGGCACTAAATGCTAAAGAATGCTAAGCGCGCTCAGAGGAGACTTGTTAAAATTAGGGCCATGAAGCATTTGAAGGAACTGTGCTTCAGTATAGGTTTCACAAACAAGGATATACTTCATCCTCTAGCACATCAGCATCACATTGTCATAAGTATAAAGACTTAGAATATATAAGAATATATGAGAAATACTTCTCTTCCACAGGGAAAAAAAATGGTGTACTTGAAGAAAATCACTGCTTTTATTGAGGCAGAAATGAATGTGCTGAGAATATATCCGTTTATGCAGTTTATGAATGACATTGGGCTTTAATTTATGATAGGAATCCATATACTCATAATAGGGTGTTGGTGTCTCTGCAGGTATAGGCTACCGCCGGTGTCAGAGACGTGGTGCTCGTCGGAGCTTGACTCCCTCTGGATCTCAAATGTTGATCATCAGTTGGATTGTTTCTTTAGAAATCACAAAAACTCTCTGAATGACCCGCTGATTCATCCACCGATAACCCTGCAGATGACCAGCTTCAGTCATTTCCCCCTCCACAAAAGCAGCTTTATGACTTTATTTACTTTATGACTTTATTCTCCTAAATTTACAACTTTAATCTCTAAATCTTAAAAGAAAAAAAAACTCAGTGTTGTCCTGATACTCTGCTGTAGTTTTGTCAGCTTTCTTATTTCTAATGTTTTTGATTGTTGTAGCATAGCGGATCAGTTGTCTCTAAATACTGTAATGTTTGGTTTGAAGATTTTAGTGAGTTCAGAGATCATGCTCTCATACAGTCTGAGCTGACTGTCTGCTGTTTTTGGATTTGTTGCATTTTCTTTAAATATGCGCTGCGTCTCCAAATGAGTCCAGCCTCTCACCTGAAATGCGCAGCTGTGCAGCGGCACACAAAGAATTCTGTGCATAAATGCACGCTTGAAAAAAAGGCGGGGGCAGTGTGGTTTAGAGACAGAATTTGAAGCATGCTTAGCATTTTGTGCCAAACGGGACACCGTTTGTGCCGCGTGATGACCTCACGCACGCTTCAAATGTGCCGTTCGACGGTTGTGGTCTCGACACAGGGACACAGTAAGGGTACATAACGGCACATAACGGCAGTGCACTCAGCTAAGTGCGCTTAAGCGCGCTTATCCCGATGCGGTCTCTGAAATGAGACACAGCCAAAGGTTTGGGTTACACACAGCAGTGAGGTTCACATTTTGAAATTTTGTAGGGTGCGCTATGGAGCCATTTTTGGTTGGATCTCCATTTTGATATTGGAGCCCTCAAAAGGATGCCACATAAAATCTGTGTATCTGTCCAGATTTTATGTGGCTGTGTATCTGTAACAATATTACAAATTGCTATCTGGAGACATTTCATAGCACCACTAAGGCACAGTTTAATGAAACAAGGTGCTGATTTTCTAGGCTATCTGGTATCTCATCAGGTATGTCCTGATCAAATCTCAGCTGCGTCCTAGCATAAAGAGAGTTACAGGCCATTAACCGAAAAACACATTCCTCTCTGCCAACTGGTGGTGCTACACCATACGGATTTAAGTTTAATGTCAAACTGTCTGCTGCTGGAGTGATATCAAATGACTAAAATTCTGTGGAGGTGGAACCACTGTAAGTGGAAGTTATACAGGAAATAATTTTAATAATTCCTGCAATTGCAAAAGGGCTCTTGCTATGCTGGAGCTAAGAAATACCCCCCCCAAAAAAAAATAAATAAATAAATAAATAAATAAAAATAAAAATCTGTGATATTGGTAAAGATATACACAGCTAAATAAATTTAGGTACACGGATCAGGAGGGATATCCTTTTGAGGGCTTCAATGTCAAAATGAAGATCCAACCAAAAACGGCTCCATAGCGCCCTCTGTAAAATTTCAAAATGTAAGCATCACTGCTGTGTGTGACCCAAAACTATTTATGGACACTTATGTTGGACCCCAAGATGAACAAAAAGGGCTCCAATGTCAAGATGGAGATCCAACTGAAAATGGCTCTATAGCGCCACCTACAAAATTTCAAATTTGGTAGGGGGCACTATGGAGCCATTCTTGGTCGGACATTGGAGCCCTATTTTTTGATCTTGGGGTCCAACATAAATGTCACTGATTCCAAAAAGGTTTTTGTCTCACACAGGAGCTGGGCTTAGATTTTGAAATTTTATAGAGGGCGCTATGGAGCCGTTTTTGGTTGGATCTTCATTTTGACATTGAAGCCCTCAAAAGGATCCCTGGAACATACCTTAAAAAACTTGTGGAATGAAGCCTGGTATATGCCAAGCTGTTGTTAAAGCCAGAGGAGGTAACTTTAAAGAAAGCAAATCTAAGCAAGAAAAACTCAGATACCTAATAATTATAGTCAAAATGTCTTCTGATCAGTTACTCTTTACACAATAGTCAAGTTTATTGTGTTGCAAATTATGTATATGAAACTATGATCTTTTTTTGTACAAATCTGATCTTGCCTCCAAACATTTGGCCTGTAGTATACTTTTGATTTATACATACAAAATAACATTTATATGGTCATATAGCTCCAAATGGGCCCAGTCCTCACGGGCTTAAAAGAAACTTAGAACAAAAATACAGGCGCCTTAGAACAATAACACACACACAAAAAGAGAAAAATATTGCAAGTGATGCTCCTAATTGCTCTGGACAGGATTAAATTTCTACTTTTTTTGTCATCAAGCTGTACTGTCTGCTTTTCTTTTAAACGGAACTATCAATGACTTGACTGTGAGTGAAATGGTCAAGCTGATCCCTCTCAACAGCCAAAATTGTTAAGTGTGGCAGCCTCTCTTGCGTCATTGTGGACCAATGCCACATATGCAGCCACCTCAAAACAGTGAAAGATCTCTCACAGCTACAACTATTTATAGGTATAGTGAGAGCGATCTTAAGAATCTGAGAGAGGGATAGAAACATTACTGGATCTAGAGCTCTGTACACTGACTGAATGTTATTCAATCTGAGCATCTCTCTTTGGCAGTTTAGGTAGTTCTTTGCCACAAGAACCTCCTTGGATTTCAGCTCATCTTGTGATAAGCAGCCACACCAGAAAGGTGCTCCTCAGCCAGAAAGTTATCTGACTGTGGATCACAAGCCTGAATACCCTCTAGAATGTGAATGTTTACAGAAAAGAAGTGCTGGTTCATTTCTGCCATCATCCTGTCTAAACAAGGAAGGTACAGATTTTTCTTTAAATTTTCAGAGTCACTGATCTCACTTACAACTCAACAGCCAGACTCCACTACATAATTTTCCACGTGTTTCTGCTTCTGCCTATGTCTGCGAGTGCCACATGGTTCAGGAATCTGATTTGCTGCACAGAGGGTCTTCACTTTATCATAAATTTCAGCAGCCTTCTCATCAGTGCGCATCTCTCTCACAGTATCACACACAGCTGCCTTAAACTCAGCAGCCCTGGCCAAATCTATCGACTCACTTTGCAGGTATTTTTGAAGGTTATCAGTTGCAGACAACAGCACCTTAAATACCATAAGCAGGTAAACAGTCAAAAACCGGCTGAGTTTAACATGCAGTCCCACTGCAGTGCAGTTTTAAGCTAGAGATGCACTGGATAACTGCAGGAAAGTTTTCCAGCATTGCATTGACAGAGCACAGCTGGCATGACCACTGTGTTTTTGACAGCTGCACCAGTTCAGTAGGTTGCAAGCCCAACTTGGTCTGAACATCTTTGAACTTATGATGGTTCACTAATGATGTGCTGAAAGTTGTGTGCACACACTGCAGTATGTCGAACAACTGACTGGCCTCTGGTATAGCATGGCAAGTGTGTCAAAGGACTAGATTTAATTGATGGGAGTAACAATGTACATAAATTGCCTCTGGATGATTAACTCTGAACCTTGCCTGTACACCTTCAATAGCACCACTCATAACAGAAGCCCCATCATATGACTGTGCAACACACATGGCATTATTGATGCCACTGAGGGACAGCTTATGTTCAATTGCTAATGTGATGTTTTCTGCATTAAACTCTTTAAGTTCTGTCAGCGCCAGCAGACACTCTTTAACGCCACTTTTCATTCACAAAGCAGGCACATACAGCTAGTTGTTCTCTGTTGCCATCTCTGGCTTCATCTGCCATAATTGCATACTTGCCAGCCTGTTTGATTTCACTTGCTATAGACACCGACACCTCCTCAGCACAGCACTCTATTGTTTCATTTTTAAATGAACAAATATGTGCTGTGTGATGGGGCTGTGTAAGACCACAGGAAGGGGTCGCATTCCTTCACCAGTGTTATGTGTACAAAAGGTCAGGACCCAATATTGCGGAGACAAAATCACCAAAGGTTTATTAACAAAAACATCAACAAGAAAAAACAACATAAAATCACCACACTGGGTAAAAAGGCTCGGGAGGCATGGACAGCTACTGAAAATGAAGAAAAACAAGAGTCAGGAAAAATTACAGAAAAACTCAAACAACCTCTGACACTAAAAGTACAACTCAAATATACCATGTGGAGCAAGTAACAAAGGAATAGAAAGTCAACTAGAAAGTTCAACAGAAAACAAAAGATAAACTGAAAATCACCTCAGAAATATGCGAGGGAAAAAACTAGAACTATAAAGTACAAACAAAGTGACAAACTAACAAAAGACGCAGAGGCACACAGGAACACAGTGATTCGGCTCGAAAAGAAGACTGAGATAATCATCCGTCAAAGAGCAGGACGGGAATCTGGGTTTTAAAGGCCAGCTGATGAGCACAATGAGGTGCAGGTGTGTTCCTGATCAGCCAAGCCAGCTCCGCCCCTGCCATGCTCCAATGCTGCAGGAAGAGAAAGAGAGAGAGCACACAGACGACCAAAACACAAGGATACAGCCCTGGATCATGACAGTATCCCCCCCCCCCCAAACGACCACCACCTGGCGTTCTACCTGGTTTACCTGGGTGTGCAGCATTGAAGTCCTGCAGCAGCTGTGGATCAAGGGTGAGGGAACACGAGATCCAGGAGCACTCCTCGGGACCGTACCCCTCCCAGTCCACCAAATACTGAAAACCTCGGCCTCTGCGGACATCAAGGACCGGATTAACGATGGTGCTGGAGTCTGGAGAGGACTGTTGGTGACCGGCTTTAGGAGAGACACATGAAACACTGGGTTAGTGGTGGGTCGGTCAAGAACAAACGGATCAAAAGAACTAGTTCTTCACTATCTCTGTGCTTGTGTGGCAAAATGGAGGGTTCAACAATTAAATTTTTGTTGCCGAGCAACACCACCTGGGGAGTTTCACCCCAGGAAATAAACCAAACCCTTACAATCTCAAGGTCACACAGATCCGTTACACCACAAAAATAGGGAAGACGAGAGACGGACTTCCAAAAAGAATAAAACAATTTTATTTATTACAACTTTTGTTTTTAAAAGAGCAGAAATATGAATAGTAATCCTCGGAGTGCTAATAAACAATAAATGCAATAGATAAACAAAACGGGAACCAGGAGACTTGGTAACAAACAGACTAAAATAAAAAGGAAAAATTCAAAACCAAAGAAAACCACTGCAAACCAAGGAAAATCACTACAAACCAAAGAAAATCCTTCAAACCAAACAACCACGTGCCACGGCAACTAAAGGGAGTAAAGGGGAAGGCCACCACCGGGGAAGTCTGTCACCAGCTCCTGAAAAAGAAAGAAGAAAATCAATACTACGGTTGGTCACTCCAAAAAGGCAAAATGTAGTACTGTTAAAAAATGGGTTAAATGACCTATTCTAAAAACACACACACACAACACGCCCGCACACACACACATACACACACACACACACACACACACACACACACACACACACACACACACACACACAGCCATGAAAAAAAAAGAATAAACCTAACTTAATATCTGAAACATTTGTAGTTCGTTATCCAATTAATATGTAAAGTATTAATATGAAAAAAAAAACAAAAAAACAAATGTAACATGAACCTCAGCTGTGGGAGGAACCCGGGGTAGGGACAAAGCCCAACAGCTGATAAATTAAAGGAAACTAAACAAAAGAAAATGTTTCAAAAAAAGAAAAAAACTTCCGCCAAATAATAACCAAACCCAACTAAACAAACTAAAAAGTTTCACCCGATAGCCTATACGCTAAACAAACCAAATAAGCCAAAGAAAAGAAATAATTAAAGGGGACCTGCCATCAAAAATGTAATTTTGTGGGGTTTTGTGTCAGATAAGGTCCATATTATGTTCGTCTTATGTTGTAAATGTGAAAACAAACCGTTACGTCGTTTGCATTCTGTAAAGGTTTAAAATAAAGGAACGGGTAAACCAGGCCAATTGAAAAAGCAGGTCCTTTTGACGTCACACTGACCTTGCTCATTATTATTCACGAGCTCGTCCTCGGTGAGCTGCGCCCACTCTCTCGTTCTCGTACTCATTCACAGTCAACATGGAAACGCCCATCAGAGCTGTCCTGCCTGCTGATCTCCAACCCCTCACTTTCTCCACCACAGATGTGCATGCAGCACTGAGCAGGACCAACCCACGCAAGGCAGCTGGGCCTGATGGCATCCCTGGTCGGGTGCTCATGAACTGTGCTGACCAGCTGACGGAAGTGCTCACAGACATTTTCAACCTGTCCCTAGCCCAAGCTGTTGTCCCGGCGTGTCTCAAGTCCACCTGTATCGTCCCTGTGCCGAAACACTCCTCTGCAAAGAGCCACAACGACTTCCGCCCTGTCGCTCTCACTTCTACCATCATGAAGTGTTTTCAGAGGCTGGTTCTGGCTCACCTCAAATCTGGCCTCTATTGCCAACAACAACCTGATATTGAACACCGACAAGACCAAAGAGGTCATCGTGGACTTCAGGAGGACTAGGACTTTCACTCACGCTCCTATCCACATCGACAGAGCAGAGGTCGAACGGGTCTCCAGCTTCAAATTCCTGGGCGTACAGATCTCTGAGGACCTCTCCTGGGGCCTCATGTATCAACGCTGGCGGCGCCAGAAAACCTTGCGTTCGCCAAGATCGGCGCACACGTCCAGATTTATCATCGCGACACTAGCGTCGGTTCCAGCGCAAATCCATGCAAAGTGAGGAGGTGGTGTAGAAGTTGGCGTTGAGCCGATACTTGCATTGACGGCACTTTGGCGACGCTGTATGGCGGTGTTTGGTGACTCACTATGTGACAAGCGTGCACCACATCCCGGTGGCCGAGCAGCACGTCGCCCCACATGACGAACCAGCAGCAGACGGAGGGCTGCGAGCTGATCCCTGCCGGGCCGCCGTCCTCGCGTGGGAGAATCTCATCGCCACAGTGCGAATGGGTAATGGGTAAGTGAATACACAGTTCAATGAGCCAAATTAATTTATTTTCGCCACCAGACGCTCGAGGACATTTACGAACCGGTCCAGCCGCTCGTTGATCCCCGCGATCCCCCTGATGATTTCTTCCAGCGATTGCAGGACCGCCTCCGTGAGGACCCTTCCACTGCGTCCCGGTGGTCCAGCGGAAGCGCCGCGGCTGGTGGACGCTCCACCGCTTGTCGGCGCGCTGGTGCTGGTGCTGGTGCTGGTGCTGGTGCTGGGGCCGGGGGCCGGGGTGGCCCGAATGCCGCTGGTCCTAGCCGACGACTCCGAGCCGGCGGACGGGCTGCTGCAGGCCGGGGTTCCGCAAGCCGGCGACACGGCCGACACATTGATTCCTGTGACACAATAAAAATATTGGTTCATTTCAATTCCTGCCTCTGTGTATCTGTTGTGTTTACATCTATGGCAAAGCATGAAGACATTTGTGTGACATGCCACTTACCCTCCGGCAGGCTGTCTGAGTCGCCGCGGGTAGCGGCGACAATCCCCCCCACAGAAGGCGCCCCCCATAATCGCCACCACCCGCTGCTCAAACGGCGCGAGGGTCTCCTCACCCGGACCCCCACCTGTCTGGCCGGTACTCCTCCGGAGGGCAGCTGTACGCTGCTTGACCTCCACCTTGATGTCCGACCACTTTTTTAATCTCCGCGGGGGTGCGTGTCTCGGAACCCACCGCGTTCACCCTCTCGCAAACTTTCTCCCACTCCAAGTGTTTTCGTTTTGCACTGACGCCACTGGACAGGCTGCCAAATAAAACACGCTGTCGCTCCTCCACCTCCGCCACCAGCACCTCCACCTTGCACGCCGTAAATTTCGTTTTTCTTGTCATTTTGTCTGCGTGCGAGGACAGGGAGACACTATTTAAATAAATCTGCATATTTATAGGTGGGCGGAACGGGGGCGGGCCCGGTCACTCCGACATCTGCGCTCAATTCCAAGCTGATTGGGATTAATCAAAGAAACACACGTGGCTTTCGGCACCCGCACACCTTGATACACACAAATTTTTTTCAGCGTGACGGACCTTGCGTGCGCTCGTTTCCGGTATGAGTCCCACGCAAGTGTTGATACATGAGGCCCCTGGACCCTCAACACCTCGTCCCTGGTCAAGAAGGCCCATCAGCGTCTCTTCTTTCTGAGGAGATTGAGGAAAGTCCATCTATCTCCTCAGATACTGGGGAACTTCTATCGCTGTGCCATTGAGAGCATCCTCACATACTGCATCATGGTCTGGTATGGAAACTGTACTGCCTCTGACCGAAAGGCACTGCAGAGGGTGGTGAAAACTGCCCAACACATCACTGGAACATCTCTCCCTGTCATTAAGACCATCTATGACAGTCGGTGCCTGAGGAAGGCTCACAGCATCATCAAAGACCCCTCTCATCCCAACCACGGACTGTTCACCCTCCTCCCCTCTGGGAGAAGATACTGGAATCTAGCTTCCAAGTCAAGCAGACTCAGGAACAGTTTTTTCCCCTCCACCGTCATCTCCCTAAACTCCTCATCCACTCCTCTTCCCCCTCCAGTAATAGCCCCCCCTCCCTTTCCACCCATCCACGTTCCTGCTGTATCTTGTGACTGTATAACTCATCCTGTGGACATGTGCAACATGGTCACTGGACCTGGACCTTAGTCTAGCACTTCTGTGCAATATGGGCTACGTGCAATATTAATCTGACAGTATTGAATGCATTTATTTATTATTTATCGCTATAATACACATAATTATTTATTAAATTTCTAGCACTGACATGTTTACTTTGCACTCTGGTGAGATGCGAAAATACTTTTCGCTGTACAGTACTTGTACTGTACATTGACAATAAATTGAATCTCATCTCATCTCATCACTCTCCAGCCAGAGCGAGACCCAGCTACCACTGTATCCGCTATGGGTCTCTTCCAAACAACTGGTGTTTCCTTGGGTTCACTGCCGGGAAAATGAACTTAAAGCTGGGCAAAATGAATGAGAAAACACCGCTGGAGATCTCTGGCTTCTTCTTCAACTTCCACCTCCTCTTCGGACTCTGGGTCTAAAATATATGGTTTAATACCTGCCATTTTTAGCCTTTAGCATAAGGTGACCAGACGTCCCCGATTTCCGGGGACAGTCCCCATATTGGATGACCTGTCCCTGGCAAAAGCTGACCCCGAAAATGTCCCCGATTTAAGCGTTTCATGAATGAGAGCAAAAATGTTGCGTGTGGGCTCGAACAACGGTTACTACAGTAGCCGAATAGGTAGGAAGCACAAGCAGTCCTGAACAACAGTTCTTACGGGGGTTATTACAAGGGGCATGCGCTGCTACTAAATAGTACCGAGATTTTGTCTGTGATCACGTAGCCCCTGCAGCCCCTGCACCCTCCCTGCCGCCGCCGCCGCACCGAATATCCCCGGATATCATTAAAGACATCTGGGCACCTTACTTTAGCACACATTAGCAAAATGGATAAACCGAAATCCGAACCTCCACTGCTGAGCCAATCAGAGCACAGCAGGCTTCACAGCAGCGATCCAATCAGAGCAAAGCTCATTACCATAAATGTTAATGAGCCAAAATCAATTGGTTTTCCTGTAAGGTTTTTTAGGCATACTAAAACAAACCATCAAATAACTTTTCAGCTAAAATTATGTCGCAAACATGATCAGAGGACATCAAGGATTATGAAAAAAAGATAAAAATGGGTATGAAATTTTGATGGCAGGTCCTCTTTAAACTCAGAAATAGGTTGTGTTGGGGCATAAACCAGTTCTTTGTGTGGTATGGGATTCCAAAGAAGCAGCAGAGAAACCGAGCAGCCGCACTGTGGCTGGAGGCTGAGGGAAGCAGTCCTTTAGGATGCCCAGCTGGCGACCAACGTAGTGGGCAGAAGTGGAGCCTCGCACAGAGCGCTGAGGAGAGGAGAGCCACAGAGGAGAGCCACAATCTGTGGCTTCAGCAGCTACAGAGAAAGTAGGGCAGGTTACCATGCAGCAAATAAACAACTAAAAAAAAACACAACCAAGCAGCCAGCCTACCAGAGCGAAGTAAGCTTTACGCTCAGGCCAAACCAGTCACCGTCTTTTAGATGATGATGATGATGGAGAGCCAACACCACACTTAAAGCACCTCTTGTACATCCACGCCATCAGTCACCATGGAGGGCCACCAAAACCGTTGCTGCCCGGGATGGCAGGCAAGTTGTGAAGTGTGCCCCCACAGAAGCACAGCAGATCTGGCCGATGGAGGAACGAATAGGTATCCCGCCGGGCAGCTGTCTGGGACAGGTTGATCTTTGAGGGCGTCCTGGCCCTCCTGCTCCACCTGCCAGTGGACCACCCCAACCACACATGAGGAAGGAAGGATCCCAAGGAAAGAGACAGTTGACACATGAAATTCACATTTCTCGGCTTTGGCAGATAACTTATTTTCTAACAGTGTTTTGAGTACTGCACGGACATGTTCTACATGTTCTTCCCAAGAAAGTGAGAAAATCAGTATGTCGTCTAAATAGATGAACACATTTGTTTAGCATATCATGTAAGACATCATTTACCAAACATTGAAACACTGCAGGTGCATTGGTTAACCCAAAAGGCATGACCATGTACTCAAAATGTCCCAAATGTGTATTAAACGCCGTCTTCCACTCATCCCCTTCCTTTATTCTCACCAAGTGGTAGGGTTGCGTAGGTCCAGCTTCGTGAAGAATGTTGTGTCACGAAGAGGGCTGAATGCAGAGTCAATCAGAGGCAGGGGGTATTTATTACCTCCGCCAAGGAGGTTATGTTTTTGGTAGCGTTGGTTTGTTTTACCTCCGACAAGGAGGTTGTGTTTTCGGTAGCGTTGGTTGGTTTGTTGGTTGGTTTGTTTGTTTGTCTGTTAGCAACTTTACGGAGAAAGTTACAGACGGATTGACCTGAGATTTTCACCAGAGATGCGTCTCAGCTCCAGGAGGATCCCATTACATTTTAGTGGTGATCCGGATCGTCTTCTGGATCCAGGAATTTTTTGAAGGATTCTTTATCATTGTGAGATAGGGCACATTTTGAAATTTTTGCATTTAACTCGATAAAAATGGCCACAGTCTTTAGTAAAAAATTACACAAAAGGATCTCAATGAGTTTTATGAGGAGTCAAAGGTTGATCCTGATCCAGACAAAATTCCGGATACTGTGATCCAAAATACACAAAAATAAGGGTGTCATTGGAATTTTCAATGCTGAAAGATAACAAATGGGAGGCATACTAGTGGAAATAAGCGGCACAGTGGTGTAGTTGTTACCTCTGTTGCCTCACAACCAGAAGGTCCTGGGATCAAATCCCGGTTAGGGCATTTCTTGTTTTAGGAATATTATGAACAGTGAACATACCAGTTTAAACACAAATAAATGTTGATAAAAGACACATAACAGTAAAAGTTTTGGTGTGAATCACAATATAAGGGGGGACATGAGCTGCTTGGCGGAGGTCTGCGCTCTCCGAGTGCTTTTCCAGTTTTTAACTGTTATATCATTTAACCCTGTGTAGTCGATGCAGGGGCGCAGGGAGCCATCCTTTTTCCCTACAAAGAAGAAGCCCGCCCCTACTGGAGAAGAGAATGGCCAAATGAGTCCAGCAGCTAGAGAGTCATTAATATAGCTTTCAATAGTTTCTCATCAGGCTTGGTCAAGTTATACAGTTTTCGGTAACGGAGCTCCAGGCAGGAGCTCTATGCTACAATCATAGGGGAGGTGCGGAGGGAGTGAACAAGCTGAGTCTTTGCTGAAAACGTCTTTTAAATCATGGTATTCTGCTGGGACATTACTCAAGTCTATAGTTTCAACAGGGGGCGCAGACTGAGAGGAGCAGGCTGGCAATGCAGAGTGAAGGCAGTGGGCGTGGCAATAAGTACTCCAACTGGGGATAGTAGATGTGGACCAGTCAATATGTGGGTCATGTAACTTTAACCATGGGAGCCCAAAATGACTGGAGTAAGTGGAGATGAGATGACAAAGAATTCAATGTTCTCATGATGGTTGCCAGAGAGGGTCAGTTTCAAAGGAACGGTTCTGTGTGTCACTGTGTTGATAAGTCTGCCGTAAATTGCCAGCACCTCCTTAGTGGAAGTCAATGAGCTGAGAGTCAGGTGTTTGTTTTTCACAAAAGATTCATCCATGAAATTCTTGTCTGCTCCTGAGTCTATTAACACCTGCATGGCATGCGTTTGGTGGGGTTCGTGCAGCAGGATTATCTACTGGCGAGCCTGACCTTTTGGCAGTTCTGAGCAGGAGGCAATGAGGTGACCTTTACATCCACAGTGTAAACACAGCTTCTTCCTCATACCTTGCTGCCATTCCTCGGGAGTCAGGCAGGCCCGCCCTAGTTGCATGGGCTCGTCAATCTGCAGGGAGCAGGATTGGTGATCGGGAGCGATGGTTGTGTTGACGTCGGGCGTGGAGGCATGGTTACCAGAACTGGGGCCACTGGAAACTGGGGCACGTCGGTTCTGATTCACTCTCCTCTCCCTCCCCTCTCTCTCAGCCTATTGTCTATGTGTGAAACAACGAATTTTGCCATACGCATCATCCACGGTGCATTCAAATGTGAGGAGAGGAGGTGATGTGAGTGGTAAAAAATTGTCTCAGTTGTGTCAAACCAACTCCATGCCTTCTCTCCTTCTTCTTTCCTATTTGGTTGTGGCGCCCAGTAGCAAATGAGGGCGCTGAAGGCAGAGCCCTGCCTGAGCTGCATGAGCTAGCCTGAGCAAAAAGAGATGTCTGTTGTCTTCCTGAAAATCATTATCAAAATGAGGAAATTGTGCTATCATATTTATCATTCAATTAAATGTATATTTCAGTCCGTTAGCAATCTCTACACCCAGTGTAGTTGTATCACAGTTGTGCATTAATGTTAGGGGCGCTATGGGCCCGTGCCCAAGCTTTCTGCACTCTACAGCATGCTCAGATCACAGTTCTGCATTAAAAAGTTTGCTTATCCTAGCCAAATTAAAAAAAATTCTTAAGGGGCGACAGGGACCAGCGCCCAAGCGTCTCTAATTTAAATGATGTACTCACGTTCATAACCAGATTGGTTACAAATGGACGCATAGCTACAACATGCGTCTGACGTAGCTAGCTGCTCTACTGGGAGCTGGTCGGCCCCTCAAGCTGAAAAATTACAGGATCCATCTTGAGCGCGTTCCATATTTGCTCTGTAGAGCAGCATTGGGTATTGCATACAGGATGCGGATTTGGAGGGTAGCAGCAGGGTAGTGCAGCCCCGGTCAGCTGGGCACAGTATAGAGGAAACAACATGCTCACAACAGGTTGTTTTGCCTTTCTATTTCCTGTCTATTGTGTATTTCCTGCTAATTTGGATATAATTTAGTGACCGTTGAGCCTCTACTATACGTGAAAAAGCAACGTGATATTACAATTTCGTTTTTTGCAGGTTTACTTTTGTTTAATCAAGTAAATTATGATCCTTTATGCTTTGCTGTTACCTTCAGACAGAGTTAGCAGTTCAAATAGGCTGTATTGGGACAGAGGAAAAAGTGCCTAGAAAGTGAATCTCGTTCCACTTCAGTTGGGCAACATAAACTGTGATTTATAAAATAGCTCTATTGATAGTAAGTACTAAAAAAAAAATCTACTCGTCCATCCAGATTTTTAGTAATCAGTGTTTCGATGTTGGACTATTTCCTATCTGCGGCGTAGTGATACTTGCAAACGCGCAATCGAATATGCAGAGGGGTGAAGCGATTTTTGTCACGTGGACCAATAGGAGCCGAGTCTCGTTGCCATAGTATCAGAAATACACAAACATGGCGACGAGCGCATCTAGCAGCGAGACAAGCGAAGAGGGAAGAAAAGAAAAGGAAAAAAAGAAAACAGCCTTCAAAAGTCCATAAAAAAGGAACGAAACGATGCTATATGCATCTATCATCTGTCCAGAGTGAAGACGTTCTCGACTTTAAAAGGACCCGTTGGGAAACTTACAGAACTAGTGTTAGAAAGTGGCTTTCTCTACAGGGTGAGACAAAGGACCTTGCAGAAACTTATAAACATTGCATTGATATGGACTTTGACAATGTTCCTGATGACGCTGGGTTTCACATGACATGCTACCAGCGATTTATTTGCAAAAGGCGTTTGAGAAACAAGACGGGTCAGTCGAACCCCTCAGCCAGCATCGCCAATGCATCCACGTCCACGGCATCTGAAACTCCGCGAAAGAAGCTTCACTCGAGGTCATAGGCTGTATTGGGACAAAGGAAAAAGTGCCTAGAAAGTGAATTTCGTTCAACTACGCTGGTGCTACTTGTTCAATGCATTTTTGCATAGACAATACCATTCTGGACTCGTCCACCTTCGGGGATTAATAAAGTTCTTCTTACTCTTATCTTTAGCAGCGCTGCTCTTGATTCGATGCTGCGATGGAGCTGATGAGCGTCCTGTATGCTTTGCTGCATTGATTAGAATGGCAACATATTTGCCGTGTAATACGCTATGCTGCTGCCACGCTCCAAATACACATCCTGTATGTTTTAGCCTTCACTCTGCACTTGGCTGCTAATGACAGAAGATGTGGGAATGACTACTGCAAACCCCCTACCAAGTGATTTACCGGAGAACGCTGTGCTGTCCATCAAGCAAGTCACACTCAAGAGGAGAACTCTGCAGGACAAACTAATGCTGAAAGAGCTTGGTCCGGATCGACCAGATGTCGCCACTCAGCAACTGACCACTGAGAAGGGCAAAAAATAAACGCAGACATTTTTAAGAGCATGGTATGCGTGCAAAGCATGGCTAGCTGGATGTCCAAAGAGTAAGGCCCTTTTTGTTTTCTGTGTAAAATAATGGTGACAAAAAAAAATAAAAAAGCTGGCAAAATAAAATTTCAGCTACTGAAACAGTCAATCAACAAAATCTGTTTGTAGTAAAGTAGAGTATATAAAGATTAAAGCCTAATATAAACCATAAATTTATAATAGTGAGACACTACATAAAAGCCAGCCTAAAAAGAGAGCTAACAGACAATTTTCATGCCACAATGTTAGAAACTAATATATTTTAAAGCAGGGTGAAAATGTCCCTGAAAAGTCCTGGACAATTATTTCTAGAAAAGAGTGGGAACCCTGTATTTATTTACCCAGTTTCAATTAAGCTCAGCTGAAATATCAGATGTAATAGAATTGCTCTGTATTTAAAGCAAATGTTTGTGTTGTTTTTCTTTGGCTGATCATATTGATATGCAGCCTGGTTTGTGATGAATGTGGGTCTGCCCTTTACTATTTTTCTGCTGTTGTCACTGTGTGCTCTTTTGATGTAGCCTAACCTGTTGAGATGCAAGTAAATGTACACAAGTACGCTATTGTCAGTTTCTATATCATAGGATTACATTGAATGTAGGTAGGCTGTGTGTCAGCTATAATGCCCTGCTCGTAAGTTGAAATACAGTTTCCCCACCCCATTTGCCCTTGTAGGTCAAGATCGTATGTTTCCTCAATTGTTTTCTTAGAAAGCACCAGAATGTTTCATTTACATTTGAAAACAAAAGAAAATATCCTTGGGGAGGATACCCCCAGACCCCCCTACAGGGTTCTGGTTTCCAAACCTTCAGCCCCACCTACTACTTTTCTCACCAGCCGCCACTGTTATTTGCACCGCTTGGAGGGGTGGAGATGGGAAGAGGGTGTACTTGCGCAAGGCTGCACTGCTCACCAATTTAGCAAAGTGGACTTGGGCTTGCAGAGCACGGATTTAGAGCCCAGAGGCAGAGCTTTGAGGAGACACGTCCACCTTGTTCTCCACATGGTCCCTTTGGAGTGCTCATCCATATCTATTATGTGGAATTGAATGGAGAGACAGCCAGACAGATATATTGGAGAACAATTGGTTAGGGTTGTAATCTTGGTTTGAAAGTAAAAAGACTACCTCCCTCCATTAACCTTACCCAAAACCCTGTCCCAGCCACTGTAAACCAGTGAGCTCATGCACACCTCAGCACCCGGGCTTTAAACACTTACAGGACTCAGTGCCTCCAAAAAATGTTTTTATTGTAGGCTGGCCTGTGGGAATAAGTCTCAGCTGGGGAATGTAATGGGGTGAAGTGAAAGTCTCTTTATTGTTCTCAACAAATTGTGACCTTCAGCTCTCACTGGGTCCGTTTGCAACCGAGTGTGAAGTGGCTTGGATGAGAATCGGCACCTCCAAATCTAAGTCCATGGCTTTCAGCCAGAAAAAGACAGAGTGCCCTATCCAGGTAGGAGAGGAGATCCTGCCCCAAGTGGAGGAGTTCAAGTGTCTTGAAGGAATGGAGCGGGAGATCGACAGGTGGATTGGTGCAATGTGTCATAACCCGGCTCTTAAGCCATGACATATATGGAAACGGATGCAGTGTAGGGCGGGAAGTAAAGATTTATTTTAACAAATTAGAGACTTAAACAATAATTTGTAAATATGGAGTGTGATAGTCAGTGATATCAGTCATGTAAGTGTGGATGTGTGAGTAATGAAGTGTAGGGTGTTGTGGGGTGAAAATAAACCAAAGTCAAACCAAAGCAAAAAGCCTGAGACAGCAGTCCTGTGGCAGGGTCAGAGCAAGAGAGAGAGCCGCACTGGAGAAGGGCCTCTTATGCTCTGTGGCAGCATTAGGCACAGGTGCTTCAATTATCTGCCATACCCACTCTCTCCCAGGTAGCCTTGCAGGGAAAACATGAAATGGCTCCACCAGGATTAGTCCACCAGACCCCAGTTAGGCAGGGCCGTCACCCCCCCCCTCAAGTCGGCGTCCCAAGGAGGTCACCGACATAACGCCGACCCACCTACAAAACACAAGTCAGAATTACTTTTAAAAAAAAAACAAGCAAACAAACAAAAAATAATAATACACCCTCCTCCTGGATACTCCAACCGCAGCTTGGTCCACCCAACCTTGGCAACTCGGCGCCTGAGAAGCAGATTAAGAAGATTGGCAGAGCAGCAGCAGTTGAATAAAACAGGAAAAGGCAGTATATTAATCTCAGTTCACGCCAACTACCACTGAGGAGCACGTGACAAAGCGTCTGCAATAATATTGTGTGCACCCTTAATATGTCTGATGTCGAGGTCGAAGGCCTGCAAAAACAGCGCCCACCTCATCAGCCTCTGGTTCGGACACCTTAGGGAATGCAAAAAGGTCAGGGGATTGTGATCCCTGTAGACCACCATCGGTCCTCCTCCCCCAACGTACACACTAAAATGCTGTAGAGCCCATATAAGTGACAGAGCCTCCTTCTCAATAACAGAATAATTACGCTGGTAATTATTAAACTTTTTTGAAAAGAAGCTGACTGGCCTCACCACCCCTTGATCGTCACTCTGGAGCAAGACCGCACCTGCTCCCACATGGCTGGCATCTACTTGCAGTGTGAATGCTCGATTGAAACAAGGAGCTGCCAGAACAGGGGCAGAGCACAGGACCGACTTCACACTATCAAAAGCTAACTGACATTCTGAAGACCACACAAATTTCACCTTTGCTTTAAGAAGTTCCGTGAGAGGAAACACAACGGTAAAGAAGTTCTTACAGAAACTCCTATAATAACCCACTAGCCCCAAGAACCTCTGAAGTTCCTTCTTTGTAGTAGGTCGTGGATATCTGGCTATGGCCATAACCTTGGCCTGGACTGGAGCTACATGACCCTGCCCCACGACCCGGCCGAGATAAGTCACTGTAGCCATCGCAAAATCACATTTGGCCAAGTTCACCGTGAGCTGGGCTTCAGCCAAGCGTTCGAACAGCGCCCGAATGCGCTGAAGATGCGAGTGCCAGGTATCACTATAGATGACCAAATCATCCAGATAAACTGCACAACCTTGTAACCCTGCCACAACGCGATTCATCAAACGCTGAAACGTAGCAGGGGCGTTCTTTAACCCAAAAGGCATCATCTTGTAGGAATAAAGGCCAGATGGAGTGATGAATGCAGCAATCTCCTGCGCATGCTTAGACAACGGCACTTGCCAATATCCTTTAAGCAAATCAAACTTGCTTACAAACTTCACGGACCCCACCTGATCAATACAGTCATCCATACATGGTAATGGAAACGAGTCAGATTTTGTGACAGCATTCACTTTCCGTAAATCAGTACAAAACCGAGGTGTTCCATCCTGTTTTGGCACTAGGATGCACGGAGAAGCCCAACTGGATGATGATGGAACAGCAATATTATTTTGGAGCATGTATGTGACCTCCGCCTCCAAATAATCACGCTTACTTGGGGCCATACGGTAAAAATGTTGTTTAATCGGTCGAGCATCTCCGACATCAATATCGTGTTTGATCCAGTTAGTTTGCGAAGGGATGTCACCAAACAAGCAAGAGTATTTACGCACCAACTTCGACAGCTCATCACGCTTGGACTCTGACAGATGAGCCAGCAACTTGTCCAAGTTACCAAGTGATTGTGAATTGTTTAGCCTCCCATACAACAAGCTTTCGTCAGGTTCTGGTACCCCATCTCCATCATGCGCCAAACCCTCTGAAGCAACCGCAAGAGCTGGATGCACATCCTCCTTCCGGTGGCAACCCAAAAAGTATCAACTTCCCGGTCATAATATGGTTTTAAAAGATTTACATGGCAGAGACACTTGGTCTTCCTCCGTCCTGGCGTTGCAACAAAATAGTTCAAATCCGAGACTTTCTCTATGACAGTATATGGACCTGCAAATTTAGCCTGAAAGGGTGACCCAACTATAGGCATAAGTGCCAGGACCTGGGGCCTCATGTATCAACACTTGCGTGGAACTCATGCCAGAAACGAGCGCACGCAAGGTCCGTCACGCTGAAAAAAATCCGTATGTATCAATGTGTTTAGACGTGATTTATACTTCGCCCTTAACTTCATTTTTCGATAACTTTTTATGCAATAAACAACTGTAATGTGCATAACTGACCTCGAAATACTGGATTACATTACCTATGATACCATGGAGAGAGATGTAAACGCAACAGATACACAGAAGCAGGAATTGAAATGAACAAATATTTTTAATGTGTCACAGAAATCAATGTGTCGGCCGTGTCGCCGGCTTGCGGAACCCCGGCCCGCGGCAGCCCGTCCGCTGGCTCGGAGTCGTCGGCCAGGACCAGCGGCATTCGGGCCACCCCGGCCCCCGGCCCCAGCACCAGCACCAGCACCAGCGCGCCGACAAGCGGTGGAGCGTCCACCAGCCGCGGCGCTTCCGCTGGACCACCCGGACGCAGTGGAAGGGTCCTCGCGGCGGGGGTCCTGCAATCGCAGGAAGAAATCATCAGGGGGATCGCGGGGATCAACGAGCGGCTGGACCGGCTCGTAAATGTCCTCGAGCGTCTGGTGGAGAAAATAAATTAATTTGGCTCATTGAACTGTGTATTCACTTCTTACCCATTCACACTGTGGCGATGAGATTCTCCCACGCGAGGACGGCGGCCCGGCAGGGATCAGCTCGCATCCCTCGGTCTGCTGCTGGTTCGTCATGTGGGGCGACATGCTGCTCGGCCACGGGGATGTGGTGCACGCTTGTCACATAGTGAGTCACCAAACACCGCCACACAGCGTCGCCAAAGTGCGAATCACAGTCAACGCAAGTATCGGCTCAACGCCAATTTCTACACCACCTCCTGACTTTGCGTTGATTAGCGCTGGAACCGACGCTCGTTTCGCGATGATAAATCTGGACGTGTGCGCCGATTTTGGCGTACGCAAGGTTTTCTTGCGCCGCAAGCGTTGATACATGAGGCCCCTGGTCTCCTGGATTGAACTCATGGTGCTCTGAACGACGGTCATACAATTCTTTCATTCTCTTCTGGGAGAGGCCCAGCTTTTCTCTCGCCATGCAACCAGCCATAAACAAACGATGTCTAAACCCATTGACATATTCCACCAGGTTAGTAGGTGGATTCATACTCACACAGTCCCCCTTCAGCACGGCCAGAGGACCCCGCACAGTATGTCCAAAGACCAATTCATTTGGGCTGAAGCCTGTGCTCTCCTGTACTGCCTCCCTAGCAGCCAACAGAAGCCATGGCAACCCGTCCTCCCAGTCTCTATCCAACTCTATACAATATGAGCGCAGCAGAGACTTAAGAGTCTGATGGAACCGCTCTAAAGCACCCTGGCTCTGTGCATGATAAGCCGAAGATTGGTTCTGCGTAATACGGAGAAGCTTCAACACTTGCCGAAACCATTTAGAGGAAAAATTCGACCCTTGGTCACTTTGGACCACCTGAGGAATGCCAAATATCGAAATGAACTGAGTCAGTGCCTTAACTACTGCCTTGGTTGTAATCGATCTCAGAGGATATGCTGCCGGATATCGAGAGTTCTGACACATCACTGTGAGCAGATATTTACAGCCAGACTTGGAAGGTGGCAACGGACCCACACAATCCACAATGAGGTGTGTAAATGGTTCATTCACGGCCGAAATAGGCTGTAATGGTGCAGGCTTGATCTTCTGATTGGGTTTTCCGGTGAGCTGACACACATGACAGGTCTTAATGTATGTGGAGACATCGCGCTTGACACTCGGCCAAAAGAAGTGTTTCAGGATGTTGAGGTATGTCTTGCGCACACCAAAGTGTCCACACTCATCATGTGCCACCTTCAAGACCAGAGGGCGGAATTTAACTGGCACCACCATCTGGAAAACACCAACATCCACACCATTTTCACTCACTGGAACCCACTTTCTAAACAGCAAGCCATTATGCAAAACACGCTCAAATAGTTCCTTCAAAGAGGAATCCTTACTTTGCTCCTGTGCCACATCGCTATGTGATAGCGACACAGGGAGCTCTGACAGTGATGGAACCTCCAACCCTAAATCACTATCACCGCTAGATGATGCGTCAGGGTCGGACTTGCTCATAGCGCGTGTAACTACACATGATGGAGCAACTTCTGGAGTGCAACCAGAGCCCTCAGACACACAATCAGATGGACAAGAGGTAACCACGGGTGAGGGAGGAGTGTCAGCCCAAACTTTTCCACCAGCCAAACCGTTTGCTCAAGATAAAATACACACCTTCAATAGGCAACGCTGGCCGAACACCAACAGCCACCTCACCATTAACCAGCTCACAGTTCAAAACCATCCTATGCAAAGGAACAGGAAGAATTTTCAGCCCCATCCCACGACTAAGAACACAACCACCGGTATCTGTCTCTCCGGACAAAGGTAAAACAGATTCGACAATGTAGGAATCGTACGCCCCCGTATCTCTCAGGATCTTTATTGGGAACTTATCACCTCCTACAGTTGACACAAACCCGTCCCGAATAAAAGGAGCATAAGCCGCCAAGACACCAGATTCACAAGCATGAGAGGGCCCCACCTCCGAAACACTGCAGCTTCGAACCGGGGCAGCGAATGCAGCAGGCTTAGCTCTCATTCCCCTGGTTTTAGCTTTAAGCACAGGGCAATCTGCTTTCCAGTGCCCTTTCTCATGACAATAATTACAGAGGTTACCACTGTCAGCGTTGCCATACGTTTTAAAATCAGATTTCAACAGGACTTTCTTTGAGCGTTGCATTTCAGTCGAAACATTGTCTGAATAATTTCCTCGTCCACCAAAAACATCACGACCCGCAGAACGCTCTCTAAAACTGTTCCTGTGAAGCAACGCATACTCATCTGCTGAGACTGCCGCAGCAGCTGCAGTAGTGACTTTCTGCTCGGTGATATATTTTGCGATACGCTCTGGAAGACAATTCTTAAGCTGCTCTAGAATCATCAAATCACACAAATTGTCAAATGTAGTGACATAAAGCGCAGATAACCACCGTCTAAAGTGAGTTGACAGATCCCTGACAAACTCCATGTATGTTTGGCCGTTTTTCTTCTCCCAGGACCTAAAACGCTGGCGATATGCCTCGGGCACGAGCTCATATGCCTTCAGCACCGCAGATTTTATTTTAGAATAGCTAGAGCTATCCTCAAGACTAAAGGATGAATAAGCCTCTTGAGCTTTTCCTGAGAGGACACACTGCAGCATAAGGGCACGGTCTACATCAGGCCAGTTTCTAGCCGTAGCCACACGTTCAAACATAAAAAAAAAGGTGTCTGGATCTCTCTCATTAAACTGAGGTAGCAAGCGCAAGTTATTCACATCAAAACGATGAGCAGAAGAGCTAGCCCCCTGTCTGTCCTGATCCTCACCAGATAACCTGCCATCTCTGACCAAAGTCAAGCGCTGCCTCTCCAGATCCAATTTTGCCCTCTCAGACTCCTGGTGGATTCTCACTAATTCAAGTTGTTTTTTCATCTCCAATTCCTGTGTCATTTTCTCATGTTCCTGTTTAATTTTTTCATGTTCCATTTGCAAAATCATAATCTCTTTTTGCTGCTCAAAAGTTAACCACGGTGCCGGAAACTGTAAAGCAGTAGGACTCAGAGACTCCTCCTTGTCTCCAGGCATCAGTCCCTCCTCAACCAATTTTGTTTTTATAGCTGCTTTAATATTTTCTTTAAGGCGTTTGTCTCCGACAATCACAACTGAAAAATGCTCAGCCACTATGAGCAACTGCTCCTTTGTAAACGAATCTAATATCTCCTGAGATGGAGCAGTGATGAAGTCATCAATTTCCGACATTTTAAGTGTATGAAGCTGAATAGCTGAGCAAATACAATTTTACACACAACCAGACCCAGCAGATACAGTGTTTACCCGTGTGCACTAAAATTTAATCTCAACCTGGTTTGGAGTTTCCCCGCTATCTAACCACAGATCCAGCTGACTAAGCTCCCCCCTAGTCTTCATGTGGCCTCTTATGGTGGGTACTTATGCACTAAAGACCGCTGGGTCAGGAGAGCGACTAGCAGGCTAGCAACTCTCCCAAAACCACGGACATGCTCCCAAGCCAAGCTTCAGCCACGTTCGCCACAACACTATCCCACCCCCAGCTCAACGAACTCAAAGGAGAACGTCGCTACAACCTACAAGGGAAAACTCCTCGCCAGTTCACACGCACACAGAGACACACACAGCTATGCACAGGGCAACACAGTATCACTAGGCCCTGCTGCTATCAGCATAAACAAAGAGCAAACAAACTAGTCTCTCAGCAAAATCGAAAAAACAGCAACAAACGCTTCACACAACTAACACCTCATCCTTTCCCTCAAATCCACACATGCAAGCAGACAATAAGTCACCTACTCAGGTAAACAAAGGAACAAAACCCCTGAGTGCACGCACGCTCTGACCCAAATGGAACAAAGACTCAGAGCCAAACTTTATAAATAAGTCCACAGCACAAAAACCCCTACAATCCGCGCCACACAGGTCGCAATGAATATGTAGTGCATTATCTTAACCAACCCCAAGCTGCAAACAAGCCAAAGTGACGCACAACCAGGCACCAAATACACCCAAAACTACAAACACACAAATCTTACCCAAAGAATGCGGACAAAACGGGAAAACACGGCTGGACGAGCCCCCAATATGTCATAACCCGGCTCTTAAGCCATGACATATATGGAAACGGACGCAGTGTAGGGCGGGAAGTAAAGATTTATTTTAACAAATTAGAGACTTAAACAATAATTTGTAAATATAGAGTGTGATAGTCAGTGATATCAGTCATGTAAGTGTGGATGTGTGAGTAATGAAGTGTAGGGTGTCGTGGGGTGAAAATAAACCAAAGTCAAACCAAAGCAGAAAGCCTGAGACAGCAGTCCTGTGGCAGGGTCAGAGCAAGAGAGAGAGGCGCACTGGAGAAGGGCCTTTTATGCTCTGTGGCAGCATTAGGCACAGGTGCTTCAATTATCTGCCACACCCACTCTCTCCCAGGTAGCCCTGCAGGGAAAACATGAAATGGCTCCACCAGGATTAGTCCACCAGACCCCAGTTAGGCAGGGCCGTCACAAATGTCAGCAGTGATGTGGATGCTGCACAGATCTATCATTGTTTAGAATTAGCTGAGTTGAAAGGCAAAGCTCTCAAGTTACCAATCAATCTTTGTCCCTACCCTCACTACCCACAAGCTGTGGGTAGTAACCAAAAAAACAAGATTGCAGGTACAAGCAGCCAAAATAAGTTTCCTCTGCAGGGTGGCTGGGCTACCTCTTAGAGGGTGAGAGGCTTGGTCACCCAGGAGGGGCTCAGAGTAGAGCCGCTACTCCTCCATGTTGAGAGTAGCCTGAAGGGCTGGCTTGGGCCTCTAACCAGGATACCTCCTGGACACCTTGCTAGTGGGGTGTTCAGAGAATATCCCACTGGTAGGAGACACGGGGAAGACCCGGGACATGCCAGAGAGACTATGTTTCTCAGCTGGCCTGGGAATGTCTCCTGGGAAGAACTTGGAGAAGTGGCCAAGGAGAGGAAAGTGTGGGCCTTCCTGCACAGGCTAACTGTTGACCATGGATGGATGGATGGGCGGACAGATAGACAGATGGATAGATGGATAGATGGATGGTCTTTAACATGAGAAATACTGAGTTCAATCAGAGTTATGAAATCTTTATGCAGAAAACCTGTGGGGTTGATTTAATGGACAATCTTCTAACCTGCTGTTTCTTGTTCCCAGTTTGCGACTCTGAGAAAAACATTGACTGTGTTTTCAATCTCTTCAGGAGAATCCAGATCTCTGCCCCTGCAGAACAGCAAAGACAGAGATGGTCAGTCCAGTCCAGTTTCAGGCAGGATGGGGAAGTCTTCAGTCAGCCCCACCATGATGCTGTCAGGAGGAGGAGCAGGTGAGTCAGGCATCTCCACTCTGCAAAGATCAGCTGTAAAGGTGTGCCCAGGTCTGTTTATAACTTTTCTTCTATGCAGAATCAAAGTCAGCATGTAAACTCGGACGTTCAGCCTCCATCTCAGGTGTGCCTTCACCAGGTGGGATGCCACAACGTCACCTTCATGAGCCTCACCACCCCGCCCTCAGCCAGGTACAACACCTGTGAAGAAAAGCTCCCTGTATACCTATCTGTCTAATTGTCTGTCCTTCTGTTTACCCATCTGTCTGTTAACCTGTCTGTTCATCTGCTTATCTGTGTGTTCATCTGTCAGAATTCCATACCTGCCAATTGTTTTTTTGTAATCAGTTTGTTAAAAAAAAAAAAAAATTCAAAAAAACAAACAGAAAAAAAACAGAATAATTAAAACAGGATCAACTTTCCGTCAAAAATAGTACATATGTAAAAAGGAAACATGGAAACATGCAAAAAAAAACACACAAAAACTGGTAAACATGCATACATGTTAACACATAAACCCATCAACAAAACAAATAAACATGCATACATGTTGTTTGGAAATGAAATTGTAAAAAGACAAACAGAGGAGAAATATGACTGTGCAAATTGTTTTATAAAAAAAATATGCGATTGACTAAGTGAAGGTAGGTAAACAGGTGATTAAGTAAACATGTAGTAAACGTGCTTATTTAAATATGTGGTAAAGAATATGTGGCTATTTTAATGTGTAAACAAAGTGTTTTATTAAAATTTTTGTAAATCTGTAGATTTTAGCTGTGAAATAATTAGACAGATGACATGATAAACTGATAAGCTGTTTTTTAACTGAACTTATACTAACATAACAAAATTAACCCAACCCTAACCTGTACTAACATAAACAATATTCTAACTTGAATCCCAAGGATTCTAATGTATTACCCTCATCCAATCTACTAAATATCACAAATAACACCTGCAATGTCTTACAGATCTAACTCCGTCTACACCTGCATCATCCAAAGCCCCACCCATAACTGAGCAAAGGCTGCTCCCTGATGTTTATGATTCGCTCTTGGAGTTTGTTTCACAGAGAAAAGTAAATTACGTCTTAGAGCATTTCTGCATGTCTTTGATTCTACATTTGTATAAACTCTGAGTGGTCAATAATAAACTGCACTGACCCCAAAGGCCCAGGTAGAAAACACTTGTCATGATCAGTGAAGCAATTCTGAAGCATTAATTTGAATCTCCAAATATAATTCTCAGAACATCATACAATTTATCTAATCATAACTTAATTTCATAACAGTAGAGATGTTCTGTCAAATGTTGAAACAGACAGAATTTGGTTGTTTGCAAGTCAGTTGAGGTCATTATGTACCTGAAAACACAGCAAAGACAACATAGTATAAAATTAAACCAAAAATGTTGTTTCATCTGCTCAATTTAAATCTGATGTCTCTTCAGAGTTGTTAAAGGTCCCTTGTTGTTAAAGGAGATAGCGTCCACTGTTTTTTTCCCTCACATACGCCCCTCCGGGACAGCAACCATGTCGAAATTATGACACAGCTGCTGCGTGGTTCTTGGCTGCACAAATGAAGACAGGAGTATATTTCTGCCTCCTTTGTTGGAAGATTTGAGGACCCAGTGGATTAATTTTATTTTTAAGGCTGGTGCTTCCAGCTGCGGGGGTCTGGAGGTCCTCTGAAGAGGTCCTCAGAAGATCTCCAGACCACCGCTCCTGGACCACTGCGGAGGTGCCAGCAGCTCAGAGTGGCCTTGGGGCGGAAGATGTTTACACACAGCTCATTATCATTTAAAGGTACAGGTGCAGAATTAGCCCATTCTTAGTGGCGCTCAAAAAGAGGAGGGTACAGGCTGGCTGATATACACAAATAAACTTCATATTTACTATTGTAGGACCTCTGGGACTGATTTAAACTTGATGAAAAATGTCATAATAGGGGACCTTTAAATGTACAACCAAAAAGGAAAAAAAAACTGCTATAGAGGAACATCCAAACAGGTAGAGCTCTTATGGAGGGGGTGCGAGTACAGGATGGGGTGTTTCCCTGGTTAACACACCTGTCTCTTGTCACTCACACAGACACTCTTGTGTTTACCAAGCTACAGCTTTCACAGCAGCTCAGTACACCACACCACTGTTTGACGGAGATTTGACATAAAATAACAGAGGGAACGTGACCTCAAAAAATATAAAACATCCTGATCTCAGTCCATCACACATCCAAGCAGAGACATAACTGATCAAACATTCAGGAAATATTTCTTACCTTGACTCTAGTGTCTAAAACGTTTCATCCATTTGCATTGTGTGAAAAAGGTTTTAGCTTGCTTTAGCTTCAGGTGTCCTGATAGAAGCCAACAGGAGGAGCATCTCTGAACTTGGTACTGAGTCCAGACCACAGGTCCAGACAGGCTGTGACAAACTCACAGTGTCGAAACCGTGACGCAGTCTGTGTCTCAGTGGATGAAGACCAGAAGTAAACAACTGAGCCGGCCGACCAGAAAAACACACACACACACACACACACACACACACACACACACACACACACACACACACACACACACACACACCATTAAATCATGAACTTTATTGAAAACACAACTGAAAAAAAAAAACACATACAAATTATTTCACCAATAAACAAAAATGGAGAAATTTCTCATGAAAACAACCACCAAGGCAACTGATGCACCCCCAGCTGCAAAAAAGCCCAAGATTCATAAGTATGATGACACATACCTGTAGTATTTGTCAAAAGCTTGATGGCCTCCTGCAGCAACAGTCCACCATTGCAATGCACAGCACTGTCTCCAAACAGAGTCTGGTAGCATCTTATGTAGTGGCCAAAAGAATCTGTAAACTAGGTAAACAGCATACAATTGCTGAGACTCTCATTTTGCTGGCCGTGCAATTCGTGCTGAATAATGATAGGAGAGATGGTAGCAGCCAAACTCAGTACAGTACCATTGCCCAATGAACAGTTGCTAGGAGAATTTCAGACATGTCCAATTATATCAGAGAGCACTACATTTCACCACAATTGGGGGCAGCTTGCAAAAGGGTAAAAACCGCTGTTATAGAGGAACAACCAAACAGGTCAAAAGTTGTTATTGAGGACCAACCAAACAGGTAAAAAGTTGTTACAGAGGAACAAACAAACAGGAAAAAAAGTTGTTTGGTTTGAGGATCAGCAGAGTCCATGTCATGGGTAGCTTCATCATCTGTGTCGGCTCCATTAATGCTGAATAATATCTACAGGTTTAGGAGCAAAATCTGCAGCCATCCAGACAATTACTTTTTCAGGGAAGACCTTTACATTTCAGCAAGACAATGACAAACCACATTCTGCAGGGTTTACAACAGCATGGCTCTGTAGGAGAAGAGTCTTGCTGATAAAATTGGCCTGAAACATTTTGACTATCATGACTAGGGCTGGGTATCACTTGATTTCGAACGATTGCGATTTCGATTCCTTGTTTCGATCCCTATCCTATCGATTCTCTATTTCGATCTTTTAAAAGGCAGCATATAAAAAGAAATGCATGGTTTAAATGAGGGCGCTTACCAGAGTTCCTCTTTTTGGATGAAATTTCAGAACTTGTCCATGAATTTTTAAATTATATGAACTTTTTAAGAACTTTACTATGAATTTCTCACAGGGCTGTTTTCAACCAGTATACAAATATCAATTTTTGTTGTCAGGTCATTTTTCTGTGAAAAAGTACAAGGGCTAACGTTAGTTGGATATTTCAGTTGACCCACCATACACGGTACAATTTGTTTGATGCTTCAAAGTTAGCAGAAGACAGAAGTAATTTATTGTTTCACTTACCTGATTCTGACTGGTTAGCGGACCAGTGTTGTGCTGTAGAATGCACCCCTGCCGTAGAATGCATCCCCTCCTCTCATTAGCTTCTTAAAGTGGAAGAAAATGGTCTCATAATAAAAAAAAACATGAGTATTAGATCATGACAACATGTCAAATGGAGTAGAAAACTTTCGTTTGGTTTTTATGTGTCTCAAAAAGGTGAAATAATCAAAGACGGGAACTTGGGTATTTCTCCTCCATGAATCCTGAGGTGTTTAATCATGTTGGCCGTGCATCCTCCTTTGCATGATATAACTTTTTTGCTAATGTTGCACTGAGATAAGGGTTCATTCTTCCTGCCAAAGTTAGCCAAACTTTTGACCAACGAAGAAGCCACCGAACACCAACGAAGACGGAGCGTATGAGACGAAGCCACAGAGAGAGAAGAGAGACAGAGAGAGTGCATTGCAACCCACAGCGCCTGCAATGCTGTGGGTTGCAATGCACTCTCTCTCTGTCTCTCTTCTCTCTCTCTGTGGCTTCGGCTCATACACTACATCCTTGTTGGTGTACGGCGACTTCTTCCTTGTTGGTGTTTGGCGGATACTTCTTTCGGTCGTCGGACTCCAGCATCGAAACTTGGCATGGAATTTTTAAAATTTGAATGATTCCGGGAGAAATGTTAGTCCCGGTCCCCATGGATGTTCGATTCTCAATACCCAACCCTAATCATGACCCCAAAAACAGGACAAAGGAGACCCTGAACAGTTGAGCAGCTGAAATTCTCTGTGAGGCAAGAAGGGGACAAAATTTCACCTTCAGACGCCTACAGATTGTCGGGGGGAAAGAGCAATGTGACAATTATTATTTCAGACAAAAAAGAAAATCATGTTCTAAGTAGGCATCTTGCCCATCAACATATCTATGTCTGTCTGTGTGTTTCTGTGGTGATCAGAATTTTTACCTGATCAGCTGTATAAAGCTGTTTGTAGATTTATCTTAATAACTCTGTTCTTCTCTTCATTGTTTATTTGGTTATTTGATGTAATAAAACAGGAGCTTTAGCATCATGTTCATGTTTCAAGGCTGGTGTCAGGCTGGGGTCTAATTTGGCAGCTAGTATTTAAAGACTCCTAAACACCAGACCTGTGTGAGGCTGGGAAGTTGCAGATGGGGTGAAATTAGACTTAGTTTGGCCTAGAATAGTAAGGATGTAAGGTGGTAAGTGGTGGACTGTGGTAAGAAATAGTTTGCAGTAAGGGTTAGTTTGTGGTTAGGCTTAGTCTGTGGTTAGGATTTGTTTATGGTTAGGGTTAGTTTGCAGTCAGGGTTAGTTTCTGGTAAGGGTTAGTTTATAGTCAGTTTGCAGTTAGGTTAAGTTTGTAGTTAGGGTCAGTTTGTGGTTAGGCCTTATTTTAGTTAGGGTTTCTTTGAGGTTAGAGCTAGTTGTATTTAGGATAAGTTAGTGGTTGGGCTAAGTCTGTGGTAGCACTGAGTCTGTGGTTATGGTTTGTTTATGGTAAGGGTAAGTTTGCAGTGACTGTAAGTTTGTTGTTAGACTAAGGGCTCTATCTTCGTGCCTCGCCAGCGGCATGGTGTAGGTGTAGTATAAGTCAGCTTCCTTGGCGATAGGGCGTGCCAAAGCACACATTGTTATTTTGGTGAGCAGTGCAGTCCGGCCCAAGTACATCCCCTCCCTATCTCAGCTCTTCCCAGCAGCACAAGGAGGAAAGGAGGTGGGGAGTAGGCATGAAGTTGGTTTAACACAGCTTGGTTTAATTTTCACTAATCACATCAGCTCCTCTCCTAACTGTTAAATCTGTCACCCCAGCAATGTGTATTGCAAATTTTGAGTAGTCAAAAGAATAACTGAAGACAACAAAGCCACATGATGGCGACAGGAGGCGGCCCTTCAACCAGTGTTGCTCTAAAGAGGTTGTGGCGTCCTCCACTCTTTGAAATAAGCATACACACACTGGTAAGACAAACATCCTTTCACACAAATAATGTTAAAATCTGAACCACCTATCCATGAAGGATGCCTCACACACCATGGCCTGGCTTTTCCTTCCGCTAAAATAAATCCTCTGGTCAGCCTTGGCAGCCTTTTTCGCAGCAGCTGGATGGGGAGAGGACGAAGAGACATATCAATCAATCAATCAAATTTTATTTATATAGCGCCAATTCACAACAGTCGTCATCTCAAGATGCTTTTCAAGGAACAAGAGCAGGTCTAGACCACGCTCATTGTTTGATGATCAAGAACCAACCTAAGATGGGTTTTGGCCCATCTCAACTAACATGAGTAACAGTGGCAAGGAAAAACTTCCTTTTAACAGGCAGAAACCTTGGGCAGGACCAGCCTCATGTTAGACAGCCACCATGCCGCTGCTGGGTTGGTGAGGAATGTAGTGTGAAGAGGGGAGAGGGGACAAGATAAGGGAAGGCGAGAGAGAATGAGTAAGGAGAGGGAGGGGGGAGGGAGAGAGAGTAGAGAACGAGGGCGAGAGAGAGACAGGGGGCAGCAGAAACAACAGCAACAACAACAACAGCTCATGTAATGGTGAAGAAAAAAGAGTTCAGTTTACAGGGTTAGGATATGAGTGATTATGGACAGTGTTAAATTAATTGAGTGTGATTACAGTTAGCAGTTAGCAGGCCTAATCGTAGTCAGTTCTAGTTTATGTTATTAATGTCAGTAATGTCAGTGAGGCTGATGTTCATGTCTGCAGTAACAGTAACAGTCCAGAGGAATCCAAGAGAAGAAGCTCAGGGCTTGAGGTGGATAATCATAGATGATGCGGCAAACAGTCCAGAGGAATCTTAAATAACTTAAATGGGCTTAAATAACTATCATGTAACTCTATTGCGTGTGACTATGTATTGGATAATTAATTTAATGTGGTTTCAGCTGCTTTAATTTGATCAGGTTGACTGTCCACATGCAGGCCAATCAGATAAGATATACATCAGACTCGATATACAGTACAGGCCAATAGTTTGGACACACCTTCTCATTCAATGCATTTTCTTTATTCTCATTACTATTTAAAAAGCATGTGAAAGCATCAAAACTATGAATGAACACATGTGGAATCATGTGCTTAAGAGAAAAGTGTGAAATAACTGAAAACATGTCTTATATTTTAGATTCCTCAAAGTAGCCACCATTTGCTTTTTTGATAGTAAGTAAGTAAACTTTATTTATACAGCGCCTTTCACAGACCAAGGTCACAAAGCGCTTTACAGTAAAAGCAAAAGCAAAAACAATACACAGTTAATAAAAACATACAAAGCTAAAATTTAAAAGGCCAAAACAACACTATAGCAACCATAGCAGCCCCAAGACAGTTAGGGAAAATCCTGAACAAATAAAAATGTCTTTAGTTCCCTTTTGAAGGAGTCAACAGACTCCATCAAACCCAGAGCAGGCGGAAGATCGTTCCAGAGCTTGGGAGCAACAGCCTGGAAGGATCGGTCTCCTCTGGTCTGTTCTCTCAATGAGCTTCATGAGGAAGTCACCTGAAATGGTTTTTACTTCACAGGTGTGCCTTGTTAGGGTTACTTTGTGACTGACTCTGTCAGTCGCAAAGTACTTCTGTCATCAAGAGCAAAGGGGGGCTATTTTAAAGAAACTAGAATATAAAACATGTTTTTAGTTATTCCACACATTTTTTATAAGTACAAAATTTTACATGTGTTCATTCATAGTTTTGATGCCTTCAGTGATAATCTACAATGTAAATAGTCGTACAAAAAATAAAGAAAAGACATTGAATGAGAAGGTGTGTCCAAACTTTTGGCCTGTACTGTAGATCTAAATGTACAGACTCAGATAGTTGCACTGAGTAGTGGTTGTTGTTGATTGTTTATTGCACTAAAATGTGAAAATCCTGCCCGTGATGTGTGTCTACTGGTCTACCAAATTACCACTTGACCAGCTGCATACCACTTGCACTGAAAGCCAGGTTTGAATCCACAAACTTTCAGAGCACTTTCTGCAACGTCAGTGGTCACAAAAATGTCACTGCACTAACTGATTCTATCGACACCTCCCCCTGCTGTGCTGCCACACCCAGCTCGGTGCATCTTGGTGTACCTCAGTCTACAAAAATACAAAATTGGCAGTGCGCTGGGCCGCGCCACACTAAAAACTACTTGGGGTGTGCCACCTTGCACTACACTGCTGGCAGGCACAAAAAATAGAGCCCTTAGTCTGTGGTTAGGGTTTTTTGTTTGTGGTAAGGGTTAGTATGTGGTTAGAATTTGTTTGTGGTTAGGGTTATTTTGAAGTTAGGGTTAGTTTATAGTTTGTGTTAGTTAGCAGTTAGGATTAGTTTTTATGAAGGGTTTGTTTGAGATTTGAATAAGCTTGTGGTTAGTGTAAAGTTGCAGTTAGGGTAAGCTTATGGTGTTAGTCTGTGGTTAGGGTTGCATTATGGTTAGATGGTGAGAGTTAGTCTCTTGTTAGTACAAGTTTATGGTCAGGGTATGTTTGCATTTCGAGTAAGTTTGTGGTTAGCCTTACTTTGTGGTTAGGGTTAGTTTATGATTAGAGTTAGTTTGCAGTCAGGGTAAAATTGTGGTTAGAGTTGATTTCTGGTTAGCGTTAGTATGAGGTTTTGGTTAAGGGTAAGGGTATGTTTGGGTTTGGGGATAGTTTCAGGTTTGGGTCACTTTGTGGTAAGGGTTTGTTTGTGGTTAGGGTAAGTTTGCAGTTAATGGTAAGGTTTAGTCTGTGGTTAGAGTTAGTCTGTGGTAAGGGCTCAGTTGCAGGTAAGACTAAGTTTGTGGTAAGGGTTAGGTTAAGGTTAGGGTTTGTTTGTATTAAGGGCTAATTTGGAGTAAGGGTAGTTTTGTGGTAAGAGTTTGCAGGTAAGGTGAGTTTGAGTTCAGGGGTTCAGATTGGTTTGTAGTCAGGATAAGTTTATGGATAGGGTTATATTTTTGGTTAGGGTTAGTTTACTGTTAGTTCATGGTTGGGGTAAGTTTCTGCTTAAGGTAAGTCTGTGTTTAGGGCTAGTTTATGGTAAGAGTTTGTTTTTGGTTAGAGTTAGTATGTGGTCATTGTTAGGTTATGCAAAGGGTTAGTCTATGTTAGACTAAGGGCCAACCCCAAATGTACCCCTTAGCCCTTGTCTTATCCCTTGGTTTCGCACATTCATGTCAAGGGTTGTCCCAATTCCTAAGTAAAGTTAAGGGAAAGGGAAAGGGGTACACAGCCCTTGAAACAAAGACAAACTGGAACCTTGCTTGAAAGTAAGGGGTATGATTTTGATATGATTTTCATAGCAATTACACTTTTTTTTGTTATCAGATATTCAATTATCTGATACTCCACGTAACTTAGATATGTTTTGAAGTGACGAGCTAGCTAACAAAGCTACAGCTATTGATAGCAACACTGATGTCAGACTTGGTTGACAAATTTACAGCAAGCGGGCTATACTACAATGTACTACATTTCATGAATAATCACACAGAATGATCAAACAGCGTAGCTTTATTCAGTACATTAGTAATCGCAAAGGTAGAAGCTACACCAGGAGCTTCTATGTATGCTCTTCTATGAGTAAAATAGAGTGTTATGCATTGTTTTCAACTTCTGTTACTAACAACAGTTCATAATGGCTAAACATTACAAAAGTAGGCATTGTTTTCTAACTTGTTTACAGGTATTGTCACATCAGCCTATGACACAGCCAGCAAGGGGCAAGGCATGATTAACAAGAATTGAGTGGTGTCTCGTTTCTTAGGGGTATGTTTTCACCCCTTCCCCTTGGCCTTCTGTTTTGAGGGCAAAGTGGAAGGAATAGACAAAGGGGTAAGACAAGGAGAATGGGTAAGAGTGATAATTGGGATTGGCCCTTAGTCTATGTATAGGGTTAGTTTGCAGTTAGAGTAAGTTTGTGGTTAGGGTAAGATAGTGGTCAGGTTTAGTTTGTGGTTAGAGTTAGTTTGTGGTTAGGTTTAGTTTGTAGTTAAGGTTTGTAGTCAGTCTGTGGTAAGAGTGGTAGTTAGTTGTGGGCTCTAACAGGATGACCTATGCTGAGCTGTGCTTTTGCAGATGCCGTGGCTTTGTGGTGATGTCACCATGATGGAGATGATCGAAAAGAAAAGAGTTTTGTGTCGAGAGATAAAAGCTCGTCAGCGTCCAGAGAAGAATCTGTATAAACAGGACAGCATGCCCATCTTGCCCAGTTGGAGAAGGAAGCAGCCACCACCATACTCGGCCCCACCCACCACTAACACTGGACACACCAGCAAGGTCTTCTGGGACACGGCCATCTGAAAAACACTTGCACATCATGAAGAATGTTGAACAACAACAGTGAGGACATAGCAGGAATAAGGCCACATCCACCGAAATACTGTGTCTATCTTCAGTGACTTTTATTTCTGAAAAGTTTTCTCTTATAGTTTGATTGACAGAATCTGATGACCTCTTGCTGTCGAAGAGACACATGTCACCGCTGACTCACAGACCCTGTCTGGTAAACCTTCCTGCTGGTTGATCAGAAACACTGAGACCTGATCATTTAGAACACACCTGAAAATGGTCCAAGTTTATTTGATCACATTGGTCTTTAGTGTGTTTGCTCAGGTGTGCTTCTGCCTCAAGTACCACTCATACCTTTGTATCTATGACACCCATCATGTGAAGTAACAGACTCTTCCTCTGGTCTCTGACAGATTTTATGGCCCAATCCCAATCTGACCCCTACACACTCGCCCTCCATTTGCCTTTCCCGCGGAGACTCCACCATATTAAAGGCTGTCCCAAACCACATAGTGCGGAAGGTGTGTGGACCGTTCATCCTTAAAATAGCAAGTCTGCACTGATGCACACTTACAGCGGGATTTGCAGGCAGTGCGCCAGCAAAAATGGAGGAGGAGGAAGCAACATACAAATATAAGTTCCACATGTGTCCACCTTTGTCTCACTGACAAAAAATTAAAAAAAAATTACACAAAAGACATGGTTTGAAAAGATCAAGCAAAACTTGCTTACTTTGCGCTGACATTTGATTTGATTGTGCATGCACATGTCAAATAATAAGGGGGTACAAAGACTTGTGGAATCACATACATTCAGAAGTATAATTCAGCTCATGTCACTCTAATGGTTGCTGGATTTATGACTTCACTGGGACAATGAAAAAACGAGGCAGCCAGTGCGGCCCAGAACTGTACATGATGCTCTTTCAACTAAGAAAAGAAACGCTGCCATGCACAGGACACGTCTTTGTGTTGCTATGGCAATGAGTCTTTCTGTTTTCTGGTGGAAGAAGAGGGTGTCCCATACCCGCTCATCTTATATTATACCCTCCCATTTCAATTGAGGTGCACTCCACAGCTGCAAGTGTCACTTCATTGAGTGACACTCGGTAGTAAAGGGCAAGTGTGTAGGGGTGAGGTTGGGATTGGGCCTATGTTTCTCTGCTGTGTCTGTGAAAATCTGACTTTGAGTTTCTGTTGTTTTCTTGGAGACACAGTTCAATCATTACAGTGAAGCATGTACAAAAAAACAGAAAAACTCTGATCAGCCCTCACACTCTGACCTCTGAAAGCCAGGGAGGATATTGTTGGTTATCTCTGTACAAACTTCAGCTCTAAGGGGTCAGGACTGACGGAGAGCTGGAGACCAACACCAGACTCCATTAAACAACATCTCCACCATAGTCTTTGGTCACACACTTCCCTCTGCAACTAAACCACACAACTTCAGCTGCACATCACAGATTACATGATCACGGGTCATGGCTCACATGGTTCTATGGTCACATGGTCTCAGCCCCTCCCTCTGTGTGCCAAGTCTGTGTCCCAGGGGTTTTTTGTTGAGGTGTGACCAGGTAAGCTTGGAGCTGTCCACCTGTGATTGGACCAGCCACAACACCTGTTAAAACCAGGTGTGAGTGGGGTGGTATTTGTGTGTGATTGCTCTTCATATCAGCACACCAACCATAAAGGAAGAGCAGTGACTGAAAAAAGAGGAATTTCACAGTTTTTGTCTCACTTTGAAGAGTTTCTGACCTCTAAATCCAACCAAAAACGTATATAACACCAACACCTTTAGATTTTGACCAAGAAATATTGAAACAGAATATATATATATATATATATATATATATACACTCACCGGCCACTTTATTAGGTACACCATGCTAGTAACGGGTTGGACCCCCTTTTGCCTTCAGAACTGCCTCAATTCTTCGTGGCATAGATTCAACAAGGTGCTGGAAGCATTCCTCAGAGAGCTTGGTCCATATTGACATGATGGCATCACACAGTGGCCGCAGATTTGTCGGCTGCACATCCATGATGCGAATCTCCCGTTCCACCACATCCCAAAGATGCTCTATTGGATTGAGATCTGGTGACTGTGGAGGCCATTTGAGTACAGTGAACTCATTTTCATGTTCAAGAAACCAGTCTGAGATGATTCCAGCTTTATGACATGGCGCATTATCCTGCTGAAAGTAGCCATCAGAAGTTGGGTACATTGTGGTCATAAAGGGATGGACATGGTCAGCAACAATACTCAGGTAGGCTGTGGCGTTGCAACGATGCTCAATTGGTACCAAGGGGCCCAAAGAGTGCCAAGAAAATATTCCCCACACCATGACACCACCACCACCAGCCTGAACCGTTGATACAAGGCAGGATGGATCCATGCTTTCATGTTGTTGACGCCAAATTCTGACCCTACCATCCGAATGTCGCAGCAGAAATCAAGACTCATCAGACCAGGCAACGTTTTTCCAATCTTCTATTGTCCAATTTCGATGAGCTTGTGCAAATTGTAGCCTCAGTTTCCTGTTCTTAGCTGAAAGGAGTGGCACCCGGTGTGGTCTTCTGCTGCTGTAGCCCATCTGCCTCAAAGTTCGACGTACTGTGCATTCAGAGATGCTCTTCTGCCTACCTTGGTTGTAACGGGTGGTTATTTGAGTCACTGTTGCCTTTCTATCAGCTCGAACCAGTCTGGCCATTCTCCTCTGACCTCTGGCATCAACAAGGCATTTCCGCCCACAGAACTGCCGCTCACTGGATATTTTTTCTTTTTCGGACCATTCTCTGTAAACCCTAGAGATGGTTGTGCGTGAAAATCCCAGTAGATCAGCAGTTTCTGAAATACTCAGACCAGCCCTTCTGGCACCAACAACCATGCCACGTTCAAAGTCACTCAAATCACCTTTCTTCCCCATACTGATGCTCGGTTTGAACTGCAGGAGATTGTCTTGACCATGTCTACATGCCTAAATGCACTAAGTTGCCGCCATGTGATTAGCTGATTAGAAATTAAGTGTTAACGAGCAGTTGGACAGGTGTACCTAATAAAGTGGCTGGTGAGTGTATATATATATCAGTGGCGGGCCGTGCATTTACACCTAGGCCTTCAGTAGTGCTCCGTCTGAATCAATCCAACCCTCAATAACTATTTTATGGCTATAAAACTTCTACTGCAGATACAGCTGCGACACATATAAAAAAGCATCAAAAATAACCTGATAAAATTGCAACATTTTACGCACCAAAAATCCTGATTATTTGTACACAAAATCCATCCTCCTTTCTTTCCTCAAGAAGATTTCAATTACTCTGTTGTGCAGATTATCCGTGCGTTTCAGTTCCATCAAGAAGTCCTTTTCTATCGCCATCGAAGCTAATGCTGAAAGTCGAGCCTGCCCTGTCGTATTTCTGGCATAAGTTTTAATTCGTTTTAGGGCTGAGAATGTCCGTTCAACAGAAGCAGTGGACACGGGGATGGTCACCGCCAAACACACAAATGTGTACAGCTGCCCCATGCTCTCATTCAGATTTTTCTGCTGAAGGAAGTCAAGAAGATCAGTGGGAGATTTTCCAGCAAAATCATCCATGGCATACATTACGGTATGTTCTGTTCTTAGCCGAGGCAGATCGAAAAGTGTTCCATTGGCTCTGTGCTAAGCTGGAAAAGGCTGCATGCGGGAATTTTTTCTGGTATTCCCGAAACTTCTGGGGGTCGAGGAGGGTGACAAAGATCAGTTTTTCGTGGTCTTGAAATCTGGTCTGTGTCTGACAAATAATATTGTCCAGAATCCTGCCGTGGAGTTGGCGGTAGTGCGCGCAAGGATCTTGGGCTGGACCTCTTTGTGCGCTCGGAGCGCCCGCGGTGCGTTCAGTGGCCTCGTAGATTTCCTCGTATCGGCTCCTCTCTCGCTCAACGGTGTCACAAAACTGCTTTACCCTTGCCAGACAAAACTGTACATCCAGTTTTTTGTCCTGTAGTATTGAAAAGAGCACATCTGAGTACTCAAAAATGCCATTAAATGTGTGAAGCAAAAAACAAAACTCAAAATCATCCAGACGTGCTTTAAATCCATCAGCACAGCGCACAGAATCCTCATCATACTCGTCATGATGCTCCAGAATGTGATGAAACAGTTCCTTTAGAGCATTTCTCTTCTCAAAGACTGTATTGACCACTCTGGATGTGTACTGCCACCGTGTTGGTGCCACACGAGAGAGACGCCGCTGGCAGATTTCGTCCAGAAGACATGACCGCTGCGCCGTCAAAACACTGTGCCACAACTTTACCCAGACATTCATTTTCCACCAAAAATCGGATGATAAGACCTGCAATGTCATCGGCTCGCTTCCCACTGGTAACATCTTCAAATCTGACAAACCGCTCCTTGACACCTGTGTCCGTTACATAACGCAGAACCAGTGCGAGCTGCGCTGCGTTACTCGCGTCTGTCGTCTCATCCACCATAACAGAGACAAACGGTGCTTTATTAACTTCCCTTCTGATCTCTTCTCCCATCACTTCAGCAATAGCAGAGATCAGGTCATTTTGTATTTTGCCCGACGTCCCACTAAACACTTTATTAGTGGACAGGTGGTAATGTAAATCTGTGTTGCTCTCAGCAATGAGAGAAAGAAGCTCCACATAGTTTCCTCTGTTTTTGGATCCAGCGCTTTCATCGTGCCCCCGAAATGAAAGTTCCTGCTTGCCCAAAAAAATGACACAGTCTATCAGTCTTTTTAAGATTTCCCTATTTTTCTTCACCTTTTCGTTGTGGAGCTCCGTTTCCCTGCGCACTTGCTCGCTCAGCTGTAGATCCACTCTGGTTTCCCCAAAAGTTTTGGAAAGCACCGTTGCTTGTAAGTGTCCGGCAGTGCTTTGATGCCTCGTTGCTGCCTTGGTTAGGCAAGTCAAATTAACAAATCCAGTGTGGCTCCAAACACCATGTCGATCAGTGGCAAATAACAAGCACTCCCAGCAATACAATTTGCAGCATTCCTCGGAGCCTGTGAGCCAGGAGTACCGCTCGTAGTTAGTGGACTGAAAGTGATGGACAAATCCTTTTCCCGGTTGTGACAGGCTTGCTAGCTTCGGAGTTGCCCGACCTTGCTTAACAATGTCCAGCTTTTCTTGAAAAGTCCGTCTTGAAAATGGCTTTGACAGTAAATCTGCAACCAAATCCATTTCTTCTCCTCCTTCAGCCATTGTGGGTTGACAAAACAGCTATTAACTCAACACAAATATCTTTGCTTGTGCAGCTCGCTACCGATGCAGTTTGCTAGCTCTGGCTAGTACACTCTCTGATTATCCAATCAAAGCGTGTGAATACGCGGACGTTTAGCTAACTCAAAATCTGATTGGTTGAAGCAACAGTTTGATCGACATTTATTTTATGCTACAGGGCCCGCAGAACTGATTGTGAAGGCCTCCAGGCAGATTTCTTTGACCCTGGCAACAAATAGTGGCTGAAATGTGATTGGTTGAATGCTTAAATATGAAAATAGACATCTGGAAGCAGCGCAACCAGGGTAGCTGAGCAGATAAGGAAATAATCGTTCACTTTGTTATACAAGCATGAAATTTGGTACATATACTCTTCAAACCCCACTCTTTTCAAAAAAAAAATGTTAGCCACGCAATATTCCAAGATGGCAGCCCCAAAATCCAAGATGTCTGCCCCAAAATGTGGTTTTTCCTTTACAACTCAAAATGACTTGATTTTAAGCCCCATACATATATTGAAGTTGAATATAAAGTTGGGTATTGCGGACATTTTGGTACCTAGTACATCTCTGTATCCATTACGGTTCTTGAGATACAGCATATACATACTTGTACAGAATTGGCAGAGTGAGAAATTTGTAACACTGATTGCTGTTACGTGCATATGGTTATATGAAAATATCATTTCCATTATCTGTTATTTTCATTAGGGTTATAACATGAAATTCGAAAACCAAGATGGTTGTTATGGTGTTAGGTATGTGTATAAGGTTTTAAAAAACCACTGCAAACGATATGGGTGCGCCCCCTAGTGGTTTGTTTGCCCAGAATCCAAAATTCAACACCTCAGTTTGAAACCCAAAATAAGTGATAGAAGAGATTTTTCAATGGATTCTGTTACTATTGGGTATGGGAGGTGGGGGGGAACTACTTTCTGGCTACTTGCAGGGGAGGCCACATGGAGGCTGGCCCCCCCCCCCCCCCACTCAACTCGTTTGCGGTGTTTTTTAAAAACCTTATACCCATACCTAACACTATACTAAAATTCAGAAGTTTACAAAATTCCCTAATTTTTCCAGATCCCATCTAAGCTAAGTACAGAATTTAGACGTTGATAAAAGCAGGTATTTTAGTACCATGTGCATCTATTACAGTTTGTAAGATACAGCATACTTACTGTGAGTTACACCTCACAGTTGCAACTGCACAGAGCCGTACACATGAGACCCAATTTGTAGCACTTGTAACTGCCACAACAGCCACATTTGGTGAGCTGTTCGCATGTCTTGGCTATTGGAGAGTTGGCTGTCCAGAAGACCTGCCATTCCTCACCAACCTTTTGCCATCCCCAGTCTGCAGAGTCCTTTGCTTCTGGCTGACACTGGGTTGCCTGGGCCCACACACAACCAGCCTGATAGGCAGCACGCCTGGTGTGTTGGAGTAGAGCTACTCTGGTTGGTGGGATAGACTCATAGGGCCTCTGCTTTCTGGCAAACAAGTCAAGCCTGGCCTCATCCACAGTAGCAGCTGTGCTGGATCTGTCATACATGAGAATGACAAACTTCTCAAGCACCTCTATGTCACAGTCCTCCACTGTGGGAGGGTAAATACCCAGTTTGGCGAATACAGGCAAGGATTCTGGACACATGTCCCATGTATGCCAAGCCATTTTCTTGCCTTTGTTGCGGAAGGCAGACACAGTGTCACATCCTGTAAAGGCATGGAAGAAGAGCATGCCTTTGACCTTCTCCTGGCCAACATGCTGAAATATGTCATGCACACTGATCCAGTGCAGAGTCTGACCTTGCCCAAATGCAAGCCACATATGCTGTAGGCTAGCCTCTTGGAGACCGCTGAATACACTTATTGCTAAGATCAGAATATCTGTGTCATTTGCCTTGATCATGATGGATTGGCTACCACTTTCATGTTTGGCGTGCACTAAGATGCGGCTGTCTGCTTCCTCGTGAGAGCATTTATCCAGTCCATCAAGACCAGTTGCATGAGTGCTGAGGACAGCAGGTCCCTTTGTGACGAAATTTGTGCCACCTTGTCGGCAAGGGTGGAACAACTCTGTTTTGTTGTCATTGTGCCTCAGGAAGTTATGCCAGTTAGATAGCATGGTGTTCTTATTTATTACCTTGTGGCTTACCCCCTCGCCACGTTTGGACCTGGTCTCAGCTTTAAGGCTTGATGGGTTTTACACATCAAAGACCAGGGGCCTCATGTATCAATGCTTGCGTGGGACTCATACCAGAAACGAGCGCACGCAAGGTCCGTCACGCTGAAAAAAATCTGTATGTATTAATGTGTGCGGGCGCCGAAAGCCACCTGTGTTTCCTTGATAAATCCCAATCAGAGTGGAATTGAGCACAGATGTCGGAGTGACTGGGCCTGCCCCCGTTCCGCCCTCCTATAAATATGCAGATTTATTTAAATAGGGTCTCCCTGTCCTCGCACGCAGACAAAATGACAAGAAAAACGAAATTTACGGCGTGCAAGGTGGAGGTGCTGGTGGCGGAGGTGGAGGAGCGACAGCGTGTTTTGTTTGGCAGCCTGTCCAGTGGCATCAATGCAAAACGAAAACGCTTGGAGTGGGAGAAAGTTTGCGAGGGGGTGAACGCGGTGGGTTCCGAGACACGCACCCCCGCGGAGATTAAAAAAAAGTGGTCGGACCTCAAGGTGGAGGTCAAGCGGCGTACAGCTGCCCTCCGGAGGAGTACCAGCCAGACAGGTGGGGCTCCGGGGGAGGAGACCCTCACGCCGTTTGAGCAGCGGGTGGTGGCGATTATTATTACAGGGTAAGTGGCGTGTCACACAAATGTCCACATGCTTTGCCATCCCACTGAGCAAAAGACGTATATTAGACGTCTAGTCTAAGTTTATACTTCATTTCAACGTTGGGATTCAGTCTATTTTTAGACGTGATTTATACTTCGCCCTTAACTTCATTTTTCGATAAGTTTTTATGCAATAAACAACTGTTATGTGCATAACTGACCTCTAAATACTGGATTACATTACCTATGATACCGTGGGGAGAGATGTAAACGCAACAGATACACAGAAGCAGGAATTGAAATGAACCAATATCTTTATTGTGTCACAGAAATCAATGTGTCGGCCGTGTCGCCGGCTTGTGGAACCCCGGCCCGCGGCAGCCCGTCCGCCGGCTCGGAGTCGTCGGCCAGGACCAGCGGCATTCGGGCCACCCCGGCCCCCGGCCCCCGGCCCCAGCACCAGCATCAGCATCAGCACCAGCGCGCCGACAAGCGGTGGAGCGTCCACCAGCCGCGGCGCTTCCGCTGGACCACCCGGACGCAGTGGAAGGGTCCTCACGGAGGCGGTCCTGCAATCGCAGGAAGAAATCATCAGGGGGATCACGGGGATCAACGAGCAGGCTCATTGAACTGTGTATTCACTTCTTACCCATTCACACTGTGGCGATGAGATTGTCCTGCGCGAGGACGGCGGCCCGGCAGGGATCAGCTCGCATCCCTCCGTCTGCTGCTGGTTCGTCATGTGGGGCGACGTGCTGCTCGGCCACGGGGATGTGGTGCACGCTTGTCACATAGTGACTCACCAAACACCGCCACACAGCGTCGCCAAAGTGCCGTCAACGCAAGTATCGGCTCAACGCCAACTTCTACACCACCTCCTCACTTTGCATTGATTAGCGCTGGAACCGACGCTCATGTCGCGATGATAAATCTGGACGTGTGCGCCGATTTTGGCGTACGCAAGGTTTTCTGGCGCCGCCAGCATTGATACATAAGGCCCCAGATGTGTCATTGTGTACTTGCTGGAGTACATGTAGATCACATGTAGGAAGTCGAGAGCTGCATACTCCTCAAAAGTCTTGGATCTTTTTGGTGGCAGGACGTGGTCCAAAGCTGACCCATCTACAATGAGAACGTCTGCCTCAGGTTCCTTGTCAACTGGTGGGACATAATTCTCAAGAATAGGGGTCAGCTGAGACTTCTGGCAAGTGTACAATTTTCCACCCTTGCTCAATGCAACAGGGAAGGACTGGTTCTCATGCTGAAAGAACTCCTGGAGGTCATGCTTTGTTACACAGCAGTGATATCACCAGTGTGCCCTGGTTGTGTGCCGATATTCACTCTATTACATCTGCAAGCTTGTACTGTATAAACATCTAAATTCTGTACTGCAATGGCCCCATTGGATGCATAGACCAAAAATATGTGCATGCCAAAAGTTAATGTTTCATAGTCACTAAGATCGGATTACTTCAAGGCAATGGCAGCCATCTTGGACACCATCTTGTTTTTCAAATATAATGTTATAACCCTCATGAAAATAATAGATAATGGAAATTATATTTTCATATAACCATATGCACGTAACAACAATCGGTGTTACAAATTTCTCACTCTGCCAATTCTGTACAAGTATGTATATGTTGTATCTCAAGAACCGTAATGGATACAGAGATGTACTAGGTACCAAAATGTCCGCAATACCCAACTTTATATTCATTTTCAATATATGTATGGGGCTTAAAATCAAAGCATTTTGAGTTATAAAGGGAAAAACACATTTTTGGGGCGGACATCTTGGATTTTGGGGCCGCCATCTTGGAATTTTGCGTGGCTAACGTCATTTTTGAAAAGAGTGGGGTTTGAAGAGTATATGTACCAAATTTCATGCTTGTATAACAAAGTGAATGATTCGGGCTATATTATGCATTTGTCTGCTCTACTAGGGGGCTAGCAATGAAAGGGAGTGGACAGACCATTTGGAATTATTTAATACATATTCATGGACAAAATATAATTAACATCAGTCTGTGATTCAGATATTTTTAGGCCAGCAGAGAAGGCCTTGCAGGCCCTGACGGCCCACCACTGATATATATATATATATATTAAGGCTGTCAAAGTTAACGCGTTATTGTCGCGTTAACTCAAGTGACTTTTATCGCCACTAATTTTTTTGACGCACGATTAACGCAAGCCTTAGCCTGGCTTGATCAAACTATACACACACTGCGTGGATATTCTTGCCGTTGTAAAAGGGTAGAGGAACAGTTGGTGAGGTGTCCAGGCTATGTGAGCCTCGGGGCACTCCGTAGTTTCGGGGATCAGGAAGTAGAGCACTGACTGATACCGCAGCAGACATAAACAAATCCCAGTGAGCAGTAACTAGGATATAATGGATAAGAACACGATTTTGAACAGAAAGTTCAGCTACCTTGCAAGATGGCTCTCTTGACAGGACAAAAGTCATTTGTGTTTCCTGTCGAGCTGAATTTAGTCACCGGAGTACGTCTAGTCTCAAATATCACTTGTCGACCAAGCACACAGCTGATGCAGCGAGCCCCGCGTCCCCCCCTCAAGCAAACACCGCTGAATGTGCAAGGTAAACAGATGGAGAGCTCTAATAAACGCAAAATTGAAACAGAAATCACTAAATGGGTGGCTACCGCTTGTCGGCCGATTAGCATTGTGCAGGACGTTGGTCTGCGTGAAATCATACAGATAGCATCCAATGACTGGACATATGAATTACCTTGTAGGACCACCATTACCACGAAAATCCACGATCTGTTCTCATGTTGATTCTCATGTTGAAAAAAGTATACCAATTTAAAAAAGATCGATTTAGAATGGATCAAAAATATGCGATCAATTTGCGATTAATCATGATTAATTATGATCACAATTCGATTAATCGCGATTAAATATTTTAATCGATTGACAGCCCTAATATACACTCACCGGCCACTTTATTAGGTACACCTGTCCAACTGCTCGTTAACACTTAATTTCTAATCAGCCAATCACATGGCGGCAACTTAGTGCATTTAGGCATGTAGACATGGTCAAGACAATCTCCTGCAGTTCAAACCGAGCATCAGTATGGGGAAGAAAGGTGATTTGAGTGACTTTGAACGTGGCATGGTTGTTGGTGCCAGAAGGGCTGGTCTGAGTATTTCAGAAACTGCTGATCTACTGGGATTTTCACGCACAACCATCTCTAGGGTTTACAGAGAATGGTCCGAAAAAGAAAAAATATCCAGTGAGCGGCAGTTCTGTGGGCGGAAATGCCTTGTTGATGCCAGAGGTCAGAGGAGAATGGCCAGACTGGTTCGAGCTGATAGAAAGGCAACAGTGACTCAAATAACCACCCGTTACAACCAAGGTAGGCAGAAGAGCATCTCTGAATGCACAGTACGTCGAACTTTGAGGCAGATGGGCTACAGCAGCAGAAGACCACGCCGGGTGCCACTCCTTTCAGCTAAGAACAGGAAACTGAGGCTACAATTTGCACAAGCTCATCGAAATTGGACAATAGAAGATTGGAAAAACGTTGCCTGGTCTGATGAGTCTCGATTTCTGCTGCGACATTCGGATGGTAGGGTCAGAATTTAGCGTCAACAACATGAAAGCATGGATCCATCCTGCCTTGTATCAACGGTTCAGGCTGGTGGTGGTGGTGTCATGGTGTGGGGAATATTTTCTTGGCACTCTTTGGGCCCCTTGGTACCAATTGAGCATCGTTGCAACGCCACAGCCTACCTGAGTATTGTTGCTGACCATGTCCATCCCTTTATGACCACAATGTACCCAACTTCTGATGGCTACTTTCAGCAGGATAATGCACCATGTCATAAAGCTGGAATCATCTCAGACTGGTTTCTTGAACATGACAATGAGTTCACTGTACTCAAATGGCCTCCACAGTCACCAAATCTCAATCCAATAGAGCATCTTTGGGATGTGGTGGAACAGGAGATTCGCATCATGGATGTGCAGCCGACAAATCTGCAGCAACTGTGTGATGCCATCATGTCAATATGGACCAAGCTCTCTGAGGAATGCTTCCAGCACCTTGTTGAATCTATGCCACGAAGAATTGAGGCAGTTCTGAAGGCAAAAGGGGGTCCAACCCGTTACTAGCATGGTGTACCTAATAAAGTGGCTGGTGAGTGTATATATATATACACACAGTGCCTTGCGAAAGTATTCGGCCCTCTTGAACCTTTCAACCTTTCGTCACATTTCAGGCTTCATAAAATTTAATATATAATATATATATATATTTTTTTTTTTTGTCAAGAATCAATGAAATTTATTGGATAATTTAAACTTTTTTAACAAATAAAAAATTGAAAAGTGGGGCATGCAATATTATTCGGCCCCTTTACTTTCAGTGCAGCAAACTCACTCCAGAAGTTCAGTGAGGATCTCTGAATGATCCAATGTTGTCCTAAATGACTGATGATGATAAATAGAATCCACCTGTGTGTAATCAAGTCTCCGTATAAATGCACCTGCTCTGTGATAGTCTCAGGGTTCTGTTTAAAGCGCAGAGAGCATCATGAAGACCAAGGAACACACCAGGCAGGTCCGAGATACTGTTGTGGAGACGTTTAAAGCCAGATTCGGATACAAAAAGATTTCCCAAGCTTTAAACATCTCAGGGAGCACTGTGCAAGCGATCATATTGAAATGGAAGGAGTATCAGACCACTGCAAATCTACCAAGACCCGGCCGTCCCTCCAAACTTTCATCTCGAACAAGGAGAAGACTGATCAGAGACGCAGCCAAGAGGCTCATGATCACTCTGGATGAACTGCAGAGATCTACAGCTGAGGTGGGAGAGTCTGTCCATAGGACAACAATTAGTCGTACACTGCACAAATCTTGCCTTTATGGAAGAGTGGCAAGAAGAAAGCCATTTCTCAAAGATATCCATAAAAAGTCTCGTTTAAAGTTTGCCACAAGCCACCTGGGAGACACACCAAACATGTGGAAGAAGGTGCTCTGGTCAGATGAAACCAAAATCGAACTTTTTGGCCACAATGCAAAATGATATGTTTGGCCTAAAAGCAACACAGCTCATCACCCTGAACACACCATCCCCCAACATGGTGGTGGCAGCATCATGGTTTGGGCCTGCTTCTCTTCAGCAGGGACAGGGAAGATGGTTAAAATTGATGGGAAGATGGATGGAGCCAAATACAGGACCATTCTGGAAGAAAACCTGTTGGAGTCTGCAAAAGACCTGAGACTGGGACGGAGATTTATCTTCCAACAGGACAATGATCCAAAACATAAAGCCAAATCTACAATGGAATGGTTCACAAATAAACATATCCAGGTGTTAGAATGGCCAAGTCAAAGTCCAGACCTGAATCCAATCGATAATCTGTGGAAAGATCTGAAGACTGCTGTTCACAAATGCTCTCCATCCAACCTCGCTGAGCTCGAGCTGTTTTGCAAGGAAGAATGGGCAAGAATTTCAGTCTCTCGATGTGCAAAACTGATAGAGACATACCCCAAGCGATATGCATCTGTAATTGCAGCAAAAGGTGGCGCTACAAAGTATTAATGCAAGGGGGCCAAATAATATCGCACGCCCCACTTTTCAGTTTTTTATTTGTTAAAAAAGTTTAATAAACAGTACAGGCCAAAAGTTTGGACACACCTTTTCATTCAATGCATTTTCTTTATTCTTATTACTATTTCAGTTGTAGATTCTCAGTGAAAGCATCAAAAATATGAATGAACACATGTGGAATTATGTGCTTAAAAAAGTGTGAAATAACTGAAAACATGTATTGTATTTTAGATTCCTCAAAGTAGCCACCATTAGCTTTTTTGATAGCGCTGCAAACTTTTGCTGTTCTCTCAATGAGCTTCATATATATATATATGTATATGTGTGTGTGTGTGTATGTATATATATATATATGTATATATATGTATATATATATTTATATATTTATATATATGTCTTTATCAATATCTATAAATGCACCCAAAATGTTATTCAAATTCACTTAAAATCTTATCCTTTATTTAGTCTATCAACAAATAAATAAATCTTGAAACTATTATAAAGTAGAATAACAGACATGAGCAAGAGATAAAAAGCCTAAAAGGTTATCTAAGTAAATCATAATATTGATAAAGTCTGAATCAAAAGTAAGAAATGGTATTAAAATGTTAACATAACAAAGAAGATCTAAATTAAAGAGGAGGGGCTGAAAGCTGAAACAAGAATTAAGATAAGATAAATAGTATTCTTTTCACCGAACAGTATTCTCATTCCACAGAAAAAAATTCTACAAATCCAACCAAAATCATTGGAACTGTGATGATTTCACAACAGAACTTTAGACGACTCTCAAAATTCCATACTGCTACTATTTCACACTGCTTGCCATCCCCGGTGCAATGCTCTCCACAGCAGCCCTAACCTTTATGGTGGTTGGTACTTGTGACTGCCTTTGAGTGTTGTAGAATAAGAATAAGAATAACTTTATTAATCCGCGAAGGGTAATTCAATTGTCTGTTGTCTCACATAATATGTCTCCAAAAGTTATCTACTATTTACACAAGAGTTATAAAGTCTAATGGCTGTTACTACAAAAGATCTTCTGAATCTTTCTGTCCTGCAGCGAAGAGAGAGCCAGCCTTTTTCACCAGTTTGTTAAGATGCCTTGCATCTTTGTGTTTGATGCTTCCTCCCCAGCAGACTACAGCGTGGAACAGAACACTTGCCACCACAGACTGATAGTCTTTGAAGTGTTGAGTAAGAGGCAGTTTTTGTGACTCCAGTCACTGAAGACTCTTATTAGATCTCTGTATTCAGCTTCTTGTCCATTTCTAATACATGCCACAACAGCGGTGTCATCTAAGTATTTCTGGATGTGGCAGGACTCAGTGCTGTATTTGAAGTCCGAAGTATTTAGTGTGAACAGGAATGGCACCAGCACTGTCCCTTGTGGAGCCCTGTACTGCTCATTAATGTCCCAGAAACACAGTTCCCCAGCCTGACAAACTGTGGCCTTCCTGTCAGGTAATCTGTGATCCAGGCAACACAGGAAGGATCCACTCCCACACCTGTGAGCTTGTCTTTCAGTATGGTGGGTTGGATGGTGTTGAGTGCGCTTGAAAAGTAGAAGAACATGATCCTCACATAAACCCCAGGTTCCTCCACATGAGACAGAGCACAGTGAAGCATGTAGAGGACAGTATCATCCACTCCAATGTATTCTTTGTATACAAACTGCAGGGAATCCAGTTTGTCTTTGATCTCAGACCTCAGAGGGCATAGAATCAGCCGCTCCAGGGTTTTCATGATGTGTGAAGTGAGGGCCACTGGTCTGTAGTCAATGAGTTCAGCAGGACATTTTGTTTTTGGTACTGGCACAATGCAGGATGTTTTCCACAGAGTAGGTACCCATCCCAGGTCATTTACTGTGAAAAGCCATCAGATTTTGAAGGACACCATGGCCACGCCCTTTGAACTGAACAGATGATTTTTTGATATGGTCTTCTTCAAGGTCTATCTAACAGAGTGGAAGAGAAATAACATCAATAGTGTAAATGGTTTCCTTTGGAGGAGGCCATTTGTAGGCGCTTACAAAAAGCCCTACTTGTGTTTGAGGGGGCACTATTGCCAGACCAAGCCTCATTACGAATAGTTGTACAGCATTGTTAAAGTAGACTACTGTGGGTACCTCAGGCTGCAGTTTCAGCTTTCTATTCGTAAATTACTAGGAGGAGTTTTGAAAACACCATAAAAAGGGGCCGAAAAATCTTAAAATATCAATATTCAAACTAAAATAGCTGACTAACAGTTGGGCGTGGCCCATGGGTCTAATAGGCTTTTTGTTCATCTTGCAGTCCAACGTGCCATTGATTCCATAAGTTTGGGTCACACACGGGGGAGGGGCTTAATTTTTTAAATTTTGTAGGGGGCGCTATGTAACGAAACAAGATGCTGTTTTTCTAGCTTATCTGGTACCCTATCAGGTGTGTCCTGAACAAATCTCAGTTGCATCCCATCAATAAAGAGGTTGCAGGCCATTGACCGAAAATGCATTTCCCTCTGCCACTCATGATTATTTGTACGTTTTATATCAATATGTATTTATACAGGAAACCCCCCAAGCATGAAAACTGTAGAGTGCACTAGAGAGCCTTTTCTATAGGGGCATGGCAAAATATTTGCATTTGACCCAGGCCTGACCCACCTGCCAAATTTCTGAAGTTTTCTTGCCCATCTAGAGGGTGAAAAGGTTGAAAAAACATTAAGGTTTATAATAACATCAATAATCATTTTCAGAAAAATAATACTGCATCTGACTTGCAGCCAGCTGAGAAGAACAACAGAGATAGTGGACTTCTTTTTCTTCAATATCTTTTACTTTCAAGGAGTCAGCAGCTTACAACAAAGGCAGCTTCCTCTGACTGAGGAGTTCAGATTTTTACACATCCTTTATGCAGTCAAGACACACAAACCCCCGCCCACTAACATCATCTCACAAGTGGCATGACATTACAACAGTATCCAAATAGGGTACAGGTTGCAGCTGTGGTCTGTACTGGGAGAACAAAGACAGCTTAGTTCATCATCAGGTTCCTGCTTATCAGTTCAATGTCACACTGCTGGGAAAACAACATGTAAGTGAAATTGTAGCATTCATCTAGTTGCATGGTTTCAGCGAAAAAGTATCAGTCCCAACTCCAAGGCCATACTTCTCCTTTCCCATGCTCATTAAAAAGAAACAGATATGACTCTGCAAGCATTCACACCAAGTGATTTACTTATATCATGATAAAATACACATGTGATAGCATAAACATACAATTTTTCTTTCAATAATAATAATAATAATAATAATAATAATAATTGGGCCCTATTAAATAATAATTCCTGTAATTTCAATATGGCTCTCACTCGCTGCTTGCATAGTCGGCTCGGGCCCTTATAATTCTGTTTATAAAGCGCTTTCCATCAAAGTGCTGTACAGGCAGTAAAAGCAAACACAGAGTAAAATACAATCAAAGGTTAAACAAGTGCATCTTTAGCTTTCTTTCAAAAACATCCCCTGAGAACAGAGGATACAGGAAGGTGTATAGATGGTGATGAGATCCTCTAGATAGAAGGTGCAAGTCCATTAACAATTTTATAACTCACTAGAAGCACCTTAAAATTAGCTCAAACCTGACAATGTAGCCAATGTAGAGAGACCAGCACCCAGGTAATAAGCTCATATTTCCTTGTCCTCGTCAGGACACAAGCAGCAGCATTTTGCACCATCTGCAAGACCCAAAAACTTTTTCTTCTGCAGTCCTGACAGAAGTGCATTGCAATAGACCAGGTGAGATGTTACGAATGCATGAATGAGGACTTCTACATCTCTGTCTGACGGGATTGGTCTGATCTCAGCAATTCTTCTAAGATGAAAAATGCCACTTTTGACACCTCACTGATGTGTTTGTCAAACACAAGAGTCTGATCAAATATAACCCCAAGACTTTTTTATATTGTCCCTACAATGCCCTACATGATCTTCCAGAGAAGGAGTAACATTTTCAAACAGATGATGCCACTTATGTGGTACAATGAACATCATTTCTGTCTTTCCAGATTTAAGAAACAAGAAAATCTCTGAAAACCAGCTCCTAACAACTGAAAGACAGACCTCAAGTTTGGGTAAGTTAGGAAAACGTTCACATGGTGTAGTGGTCCCTGGAGATGTGGGTATAATCTCAATTTTCACCTTTTTTTTTTTTTTTTTTCTTATTAAGAAGTCCAAAAAAAACCCCTCTTTTAGAAACAGTGACCTCTTCTGGTTTGATGTGGTAGAGAGCGGACATGCGAGTGAGGGGCCCCGGCTGAACTTTCAACAAACCTTCAAGTCAACCTACTTAACAGCGCTTCTCCTTGGGTTTACTCCAGCTTCACCCATTTTTCATATGTGATTGGGCATTTCGACACAATGAGCGCCGCAAAGCCACCATCGGTGATAACTCAAGCAGCTAGCATCTCACTGCAACTGAAAGTTTGGTCAGAGAAAACTTAGAGAAAATCACAAAGATGGAAGCTGCTGTCAAGACTTTGCAGTCTCAAGCCACGGTACTCCTGGAACGAGTAGATGACCTCGAGAATCGGTTTAGGCGCTCTAATCTGCAAATTATTAACGTGCCTAAAGGAAGTGAGAAAGACCAAGACCCAGCGAGGTTTATTTCCAACCTGCTGATGACGGTGGTGGGTTCCGGTGTTTTTAGCTGTCCCCCCAAGATAGAGAGAGCCCACCGCTCTCTTGGACCCAAACCAGACGATGCTTAACTTCCTATCACTTAATTTTAGGAGGTGACTTTAATTGTATAATGAACCCTTTGCCAGACAAATCCTGCATGCGGCAGGATTCCTCTTCTAAAATGGCTAGAGCAATTTTATCATTTATGGATCAAATAGGGGGGTTGGATCCATGGCGCCTTCTCAACCCTGATAAAAAACAATTTTCTTTTTACTCTCAGGGCCATAAAACATTCTCGAGAATTGATTACTTTTCCATTGATAATTACTTTCTTCCTGCTGTTGATAATATATAATATTCAGCAATAGTGGTGTCTGATCATGCCCTATTGTTACTCAACCTCTCATTTAAACTTTTACAAAAAAAAACACCCCCCCCCATTGAGGTTGAACTGTGCACTTTTAAATGATGAAGACTTTTGCCAAACTATCTCCAGAGTAGTGTTGTGTCGTTCATGAATGTTTTGTTCAAAACAACGGAACTGCTGAGTGAACGACGTGAGCAGAATCACTCCAAGACCTGATTTGCGAGCCTGGCATGCTGGTTGGGAGCGGAACTGCCGTCTTTGACTCTGGCGAACGACACAGAGCCAGCGAGCGAGTGGGCGGAGTCTTGTGATTCACTCACAGTGAATGAACGATATGTATCAGTTAGTGAATGAAACAATCTGTGAATGACCTGTATCAGTCAGTGAACAAAACAGTCAGTGAATGAATAGTAAGGTGACCAGATGTCCCTGATTTCCAGGGACAGTCCCCGAATTGGATGACCTGAAAAAAGCTGTTCCTGAAAATGTCCCCGGTTTAAGCATTTCATGAATTAGAACAAAAATGTTGCATGTAGGCTAGAACAACGGTTATTACAGTAGCCGAATGGGTAGGAAGCACAAGTAAGCAGTCCTGAACAACAGTTTTTATGGGGGTTATTAAAAGGGGCGTGCGCTGCAACTAAATAGTACAGAGATGTTGTCTGTGATCATGCAGCTCATGCACCCCACCTGCCCCCCTCACTGCGCCAAATGTCCCCAGATTTCATTACAGAAATCTGGTCACCTTAACGTAACGCCAGTCAGTGAACGAAACAGTCAGTGAACAACATGGTGAACGAAACGAAACACTTCCGAATGACTTTATTCAGGCAGAGGAGGGGGGGGGGGTGTAGTGTCGTTCACCTACTGCTGAACACCGGATTAGTCACTGAGGCTAAGATAAAACAGTGCATTATAGTGCCTTTACATTAATACACGTGTATAAACTTTTCTACAAGAAGGATTTAATTTTCAGCCGATTTAAAGCAATACGCTATTTTAATATCTTTAAACATAGCAGACTCCCCGCTATAGCTGCAATGTTTATTCCACTTGTTGTTATTCTCCCATTTCTTTATTATTAAGTGGAAATGCTGACACAGCATTTCCACTTATTGCTATTCTCCTGTTTCTTTATTATCAAGTGGAAATGCTGATTAAGCATTTCCACATATTGTTATTCTCCTGTTTCCATTTTACTTTATTATTATTATTATTATTATTATTATTATTATTATTAAGTGGAAATGCTGACACAGCATTTCCACTTATTGCTATTCTCCTGTTTCTTTATTATTAAGTGGAAATGCTGATTAAGCATTTCCACTTATTGTTATTCTGTTCTTTATTAAACTTATGAAGTGGAAATGCTGATTAAGCATTTCCACTTATTGTTATTCTCCTGTTTCCATTTTACTTTATTATTATTATTATTATTATTGTTATTATTATTATTATTATTAAGTGGAAATGCTGACACAGCATTTCCACTTATTGTTATTCTCCTGTTTCTTTATTAAGTGGAAATGCTGACACAGCATAGTCCCCAAGACTATAAATCCTGGGAAACATTACATGAAGCAGCCAAAGTGAGAAACCATACCCCTATTTTAGACATTGCTAAAAAAAAACTTGGAGAAAAGGATGTGCCTACAATTTATTATCACAGAAAATGCCGAAGCCTCTTCCAATTCCCTCTTCAATGACTCCAATTGAAGAGGGAATTGGAGTCATTGAAAAAGAAAGCGAACAAAAGCATTACTGGTGATGAAGATGTTGAGTACGGCTGTGTATCAAAAAGGCCTAGAAGGAGATCTTCATCAGCATCAAGGGTGTATGATCATATCTGCATTTTTTGTAAGAAATCTTCATCAGCATCAAGGGTGTATGATCATATCTGCATTTTTTGTAAGAAAAAGAAGATTTTAAAGGGCTCCAAGTCACGTGAAAAGCTTACACAAGCTGTACAACTCAGTGCTGAGGGTGGAAAATGGAGACAGAAGGTGAATCTGAACAGTTGGTGGTACACTGGATGGACGGCCAGCCAGCACCTGATGCGGTCCTGGATCTACTGGCCTGTAACTGTCCAAAGAAATGTTCACTCCCAAAATGTGTCTGTTTTGCAAATGGCCTCAAGTGTACTGACATGTGTATACTGGCAGACTGTGAGAACCAAGCATCCACCTCAGACAGTGTGGAAAGTTCAGATGAAGAAGACATGGAAGAAGTTGATGAAAATGATTTTGATTATTAGGTTGTGAATGTATAGAAGTCAAAAGTATGATCTGTATAATTGAGAATGGGAGAGATTCAGGCCTACACTATTCCTGAACGGCAAACGTAGGGATATACACCAAAATCCTCTTTCTTGGTTTAACTCTGTCCCAGAACAAAGCATAGAACAAGCCAGGAACTGACATGTAGAGACGGTAGCGGGGATCCAGGCCAAAATAAACATACAAAAAAAAAAAAACACCCTCCCCTATTGTTGCTACCTTGTCATGGTGGGGAGGCTTGTGTGCCTCAGTGACCCTGAAGACTACACCAGCCGGGGTTATACCCCTGGTAGGTACAACCAAGCCGGGCAGTTTTCAGGTTAGAGGCCAGTCCAAAAGCAGCATTGCCATCACCCTCTTTCAATGTGCTTTCACTGTGATAATAGTTTAGGGGAAAAGGAGTATTTTGGGCAAATTTTAATGAGTTTTGAGCTCATTTGCGTATTGTTGTCTGGCGAAATTAACATACTTTTCCAACTAGGATTTCATAGGACTTATATTATGTTAGTCTAGATACCTCATAGAAATGATGTATGGTGAAAAGAAACCCTTTCTATAGGTTTTTTGGGGGGTTAAGTTGTATGTTTTCATATATTGACCCATGTAATTTTCGCCTAGTGTTATAAAATAAAATGCATGATAGCACCCATTTAGCTACCACTGCTGCAGTGCTATCACATATTTTCTTACTCTATACATGTATACAATGTCAAAAATCACTATGAGCATTATTTCACACAGTTGATACCGACCAACCCCCCTGGTTCATGGCCTATGGTGTCTGTCTGGTGTACAACAGCTTCGACAATCAAGGGACGTCTTTGGATAAGGATAAGTAAAGTTAGTTGTTTTCTTTACTCGAATATTGACGCACAGTATGTACACATGATACGAACCTTTTACTTGACTGTGATGTCTCTCCTGCTGATTTGCGCTTTCGCTGCTGCTGCTGCTGCTTGCTCACTTTTGGCACTTGAGATTAAGAATTAGAAAAAAAAAACAACACAGAAATGGTATAAAACAATTTAGCATGTTCCAGCACCCCTGGAATTGTATATGAATATCTTAAGACGTACCTTGAAAATCACCATCATCATCATGTTCTATAACAATCGGGTATGTCCATCCCCAGAAGTCGGCATCTGTGGGGTTTCTGCAATAAATAGGTGGTTAATTATATGTTTACAAAAAAAAAAAAAAAAAAAAAAAAAAATTAGTAGTAGTTAGACAGACTTTCATACCTATTAATAGACAGCTTGGCTTTCGATTTGTTCTTTCTACTCAGCTTATTTACCACTGGCTTGTTACTTTTGGCTTTAAAACAGATAAAGACATGATAATATAAGGTGAGTAAGGCGTTGTATGATAAAGACGTAGATACTCACGTACTCGCAGCAAGATCCATGGCAGAACAGGAATTGTCGATTCTGCAGGATGTGAAAAACCACAAACACGCCTAAATGAATCAGAGGTGGGATTGGGGCGCAATTTATACATGCCTACCTAGGTTTGACACGCCCCTATAGGCGGTACCAAGTCCTCCCATTTTAACACGTTCACAGGATTATAGACCAATCAAGCAAAACACATGACAAGATTTAAAAAAAACCCACATATTTCTCAGACACATCTACAACTGTTGATAAAAACAACAAATCCGATCAGCATACGAAAATACCTTTTGCTAGACACCAAACACTTTTGAGAGAATATGGTTTTTTTACGTAGATTTTTTTCTAGCATTTTTGGTATGCATTTTGCCTTTCCTTCCAGTAAAGTGTGTCGATTTTCACAAAATGTTTTAAACTCAAAAATAATTCCTGCCTTTGCCTTACAATGACAAACTAGGCTAATATCATGAGCATTGATTATACCAAATATATACGCTCAGTATAGGCAACCAGTCCGTGGAACGAACTGCAGGATTAACATTATGGTGACTTGCAACGTTAGATCAGAAGTATGAACAGCAAATTGTAATTTAGCCTTTCTAGAGTTCTAACAGCACGAGGATGCGTGTAACTTGTTGAAAACAAATTAACTTTAATGAAAGGATTTCACATGAAACACTGTATTTTCTGAAAACTGTGTGTGTGTGTGTGTGTGTGTGTGTGTGTGTGTGTGTGTGTGTGTGTGTGTGTGTGTGTGTGTTTGGGAGGGTAGGTATGCATGAAAAAAAAGGAAGCTAGCGGGTGACAAAACTCAGTGGCCCAGCATCCTGCAAAAAGGAAGCTAGGAGGTGACAAAAATCAGTGCCATGCATCCTGAGGCTGAGACACATCGTCTCATCTAAGTTGACATCTACTTGCTAAATGGAAATCAGAAGTTAAAACAGCATACGTAAAGAGCCTCTGCTACACACCATATGTCCCTGCATCCTGGTGCTCTGAGACACGTCGTCTCATCTAAGTTAACATCTACCTGCTAGATGGGATCAGAAGGTAAAACAGCATACGTAAAGACCTTCTGCTACACACCAAACACTTGCTGAGAAATGTGACTTTTCCACAGTTTTTTTTTTATTTTCACAAAAGGTTTTAAACTCAAAAAAAAATTCCCGGATGTGACGTCAGTCATCCTTTACCCGGATGTGACGTTGAACTCGGATGTGACGTCAGTCATAATTAATTCCAGTTACACTGCTCCTTAGTGCTGATTGGTTGCGAGCATAGACTGTATATAATATGGACAACCTGGTTCAGCCTACCGCCTGTATACGGATTTGAAGCCAAAAAGCTCTCGGTATTTCTGGGATTTTTCTTCATTTCCTGAAACCAGCGCTGTGCAGTAGCATTGTGCGCATTCGGCCGCGCAGTCGCAGAGAGTCACTGTGATGACGCTCGGCTCAAACAGCGTATCCCCCCCGGGTGAGCTACACAATCCCTGAACGCCCATAGGCTGTATCAGGTGTCAATCATAGCAGTCATAAACCCCCGAATAACTTTTAAAAACGGAGCTTCACAGATAAAAGAGGACTTGAGCACAAACCAGTCTTACAATAACTACATGTCAACATCGCAAGCAGGGGGAAGAAAAATGTATGTTCTGTGTAATAAATTTCTAAAGTTTGTCCACATCCCCATGAGCTTTGCTGGCGGAGGCGGGATTTATTTATATATTTATTTATTTTTACTGCAGCCCATCAACAGAGGGTGCTGTTCTCGGAGTGGCTTCACCCAGCGAGGAGGCAGACGGCGTCTATTCTATTTACAGTCTATGGTTGCAAGGCAGACGCTGCTCATCCGTGTCGTTCATGAGCCCAAACAAAGTTAGCGTGCTACAATATCAGACAGTAGAAACAAACCAGAAAGTACAGGAAATTGTCTGAATCCTCCTTTAGCCACAACCACCAACACAAGCAAGAAAATGAAGAAAATACCAGAGATTCTAGCAGAATAACTGGCGCATAAAAAGGAGGTAGACCATCCGGACAAGAGCTAAAAAAAGCTGGGTCAACAATGATGGGGTACACTTTGGGATCTTACAGACCCTGTAACCTTTATGCTGGACAGGTAAACTGCTTTAACAAAGTTAGTCAAGTGTAGCATAAGTGTTTTTCTTGTCAAACGGGACCTGCTGCATGTTGTAGCGCCACTAAACTGTTTACCTCGGGTCCTGGAGTATGTCACTTAATGCTAGTCCTGCAAACATTGTGTTTGCTGGTAGTCTGTTGGCATCTACAGTAGAACCAATGCTTTTTACTTTCATGTTGACCGGGCTCCATTTGTAATTTTCTGAAGTATTTATCTGCATTATACCTGAAATTAGTTGGAACGATACAAGCGAGCAGGAGCATCTGTTTGTGGGCGGGGCTTGCTGGAGCAGAGACGGAGGGGAGAGGAGGAGCTGAGGTGAAAACTTGTTGGGAGTGGTAGTGTTTACATTCAAGATTTCTCCTAAAAACTGGTACTTCCTCAGATCCTGCCTACCCCTCCTTTAAATTCAAGTTTGACTCCATTCTAACAACAGATTAACTCCACACCAGTTTAACAGTTTGACTTCAGTCCATTTCTCCTCTTTTTGCTTTTGTCTCATGTGTTTGTTGTATCTTGTTTTAAGTCTTTATCGGTTGAGTTTCACATCTCATCCTCTTCTGTATTGTATTTTTATATATTGAGTTTCATGTCTCATCCTTTTCTGTTACAAGTCTTTATTTCCTGAGTTTCATGTCTCATCCTATTCTGTCTCATGTCTTTATCTACTGAGTTTATATTTTTATTTCAATATATTTCACAAAACACAAAAACTTTTTCCTAAAACACAGAAACATTTTTAAATAAAGCAAAAAATATTTTGCAGATTGGAATATTTATTTCTATTGGCCTTAAGTGCCTTCAGAAAGTTAAAGTCAGATGTTCAAAACCTACGCAAGTAAAAGGCTCTATGAGGCTCTATCTTAAATTTTGTACACAAGTATTAGACACATTTTTTTTCTGATTTTGAATGCATTTAAAGGGATATTCTGGCATAGAATTATGTCAGGGTCAAACACACTATAACACCAAGTTAGACACCCCCTTGAGAGACAACCACATGATAGCAATAAACAGCGGTCTACATCTCCATGTGCACACCTCAACCAAAAAGCCACTCTATAGCCACAGATAGTGCTCAGAACAGCACCTAACTTCATCAACAGTACTTATAGGGACCCAGCCATAGTACTAGCCACCAAACATCTTTTCAGCTTTGCCTAGTTTCTTTGGTAAAGAGACTAAACACAACTCACCCACTCTCCTCCAGCAGCTGGTTGTTTGTTGAGGAGTCCTGACGAGTCTTTCACCGTGTGCAGCAGAATTTCGCAGCTGAAGGGGTTCCCCCCACATAGTCAACCGCTCCGCTAAGTGCTATCTGTTTGACAGGCGTGGTGAGGTGTCAACACATTTAATCAGTCATAACTAGCTGAATACTAAATGGATTTTCACACATTTTTTTAATTGCAAATGCCATACATGTAGGTATAATACAGGACACATGGTTCAGGGCATAGCTGTCAAGTCTCCCATTTTGCGTAAGGAAAACTATCGTATTTTCGCCCTCTTTCTCGCTGTCCTCCTGTATTAGTATTCTCTGGTAAATCTGCTGTATTATAATATGATTAAAAAACATTCCTCTTCCTCTCCAAACTGAACTTTGTCATTAGCCCTGCCAGAACTGCCACCTGCAATAGCCTGAGTGGCAATGTCAGCAAAGGTAGGCCTATGAATCATCTAATTATATTTAGAAAGTGGTTGACAAGTGGCCTTTTTTAGATTTCTTCTACACCTGTCTGAAAATGCAAGGGATACTGGAGCTTGGTTGGGTTGGAGAGATGGCTCATAGTAGGGACCAGAAAATTTCGGTTATTTTTAAGTCCAAACCCTAATGGCTCATTGTGTTTTGATATTCATAGTGGGCTTAACAGTAACAGAATATTCTGATATGTGATATATGGTAGGTATCTTGAAACACACACATTAAATATTTCATATTGATTATATATATATATATATATATATATATATATATATATATATATATATATATATTTACACTTCTGTACAGCAGCCAACTTAACGGCCCCCCCAAATTGTGAAGTGACTAACCGTCATGAGCTGAAACACAACTAGGTCAGAGATTATCTAGGCACCCCCTTTTTTGGTACATTATGTTATTGTAACACAAGTAAAAACCTTATAATCATATAGTGGATTTGTAAGCATGTCTTAATTGCAGCATCTTATATGTGTGCCAGTATGTATAATGCTGTTCTTCATTACAATTATGAGCAGCAAGCAGTTCTTCATTGCACATGCATGTGGAACTAATAAACAGAGTCATGTGTAAACAGATAAAATCTGTTTACACCCTAACCCTAACCCTTATAAGCTATTTTATCAAAACAGTGTCCACCCACATGTCAACATCACAAGCAGGGGGGAGAAACATTTAGATTCTGTGTAATAAATTTCTAATGTTTGTCCACAGCCCCATAAGCTTTGCTGGCAGAGGCAGGATTTATGACCCATACTGCAGCCTGTCAACAGAGGGTGCTGTTCTCGGAGTGGCTTCACCCAGCAAGGAGGCAGACTCTGTCCATTCTTTATACAGACTCTGTCCATTTGTTTTCTATTTGATTTTATCACTGAATAAATTGCAAGAGCACTTTCTAAACTTTATATGTCAGACTCCATCGATAAGGTGCTGTCTCTTCTGTACAGCACCTTTGTGGAGTCTCTCCTTGTTATTGTTCTCCGGCATCGGGTCCTCACGTTGCACCGGCACAGTCAACGGCACTCCATTCACCAGTGCAACATTGTGCTAAACTGTACTGGCCCAAATAATGTCCCACACCCCTTCAGGAGAGTACAACAACGTCCCCACTGCTGGACTAAGACAGAGCTACCTGCCTGTTGATAAAAGGCAAGCAGATTGAAATTGTTGAGTCCTATAATACCTTGGTGTCCATTTGGACAATAAATTAAACTGGAAAGAAAATACCCAGGCCTCATTGAAGAACTCAGTCTAGACTTCTTCTTCTCAGAAAGCTAAGATCTGTCAATGTCAGCACTAGGCTTCTGGAGTCTTCTGGCTAGGGTCCTTTTTTATACTGTACTTTGCTGGGGGGGCAGCATATCATCTGATGACAAAAATAGGATCAACAAGATGATCAAGAGGGCCAGATCAGTTATTGGCTTAGTCCCAGAGTCTCTTGAGGCCATTGTTGAGAGGAGAACCAGGTCTAAATTAATATTAATCCTGGGCTACAAAGATCATCCGTTGCACTATGTCTTCAAAGGTCTTGAAAGCTCTTTTAGTGAGTGACTTGTGATGCCTTGGTGCTCCACTGAACGACAAAGGTCTTTTGTTCCAGCAGCAGTGAGATTTTTTAACAGTGTGCGCTAAGGTCTGACTTGGCACTGCTGCATAGTTTTTTGAGGTATTCATTTTAGTATTTATTTATTTTTATCAGGCTTTTGTTGTATTTAATTATGTCCTTATCTTTTATTGTACCACTTTTAAATCATGTTTCACTGGCCTTTACTGTGTTTGTTGTGAATCCGGTATTGAGTCTATGTTTTTTCTGATGTCTCTATGCTGTTTGTTGTCTGTATGAGTCTTCTTGTCCTGGTGGTGAAATTATTTCCCCAATGCGGGATCAATAAAGTCTACCTTACCCTACCTTACCTTAAAATTCATCCCTGTTCACATCTTTCAATAAAATTCTCATTTCTTCTTAAAATTAATCCATTTATAAACCTCTAAGAATGTCAAATACAAAGAGTAGCTTCATTGGCTTCATGAGCAGCATGAGGTGCTACCCCTGGGACGGTAATTCTATAAGTGATGATTAACATTAGCTCTGCTCCATCCCAACTGAGGTACTTCTCAGCTAAGGCCAAACAGCTTCAAAATGTTGTTCCAAAAGTGTTCAAACTCATCCGGCACCCCATATTCTAACTGGATTTGGTATTATTTTATCAGGAAAAAATGTATGTTTTCCTGACAGAGAATTTTAATCATGGAAAACTGTAATATTAAAAAAATGGGTATGTTAGCATGGTGCATGTAGTTATTCCAAGACATATCCACTTTTCAAAACAAACTAACGCCCCTTGCAAATATGTGTTACATGGGATAATCACAAGTTTAAACAAGCAAACCAGTTTTGTAACTCATCACAGGTATTATCAGAAGTAAATGCACTCTCTGGGTCGCAGCTTCAACTTGGCACAGATGCAAATTTTCAACAGCTGCACGTTGTTATCCTTGCGAATGTCTGCTGCATCTCTCAGCAACTCTCTGGTGAATGCAGATGGTGCGTGCAGTAGGCAAATTTTTTTTTTTTGTAGGATGGTAGGGGAAAATACCTCCTCCTTCACCTCTGATTGGCTTGAAAAGCTGGAAACATCATAACATGCTCAAGCCAAACATGGGCTGTTGACTCTGTACATCATACAGAACATTATCGCACTTCCGAATCTCCTAATCCTAACCCTAACCCTAACCTAACAGATGATGACGTTTCACAGCCATAAGGCATAACCAATAGGAGCTCATCATTTCTAGCCAATCAGAGGCGAAGGAGGGGGGATATTCCCCTACCATCCTACAAAATAAAAAGGGAAAGGAGTATCAGAATCTTCTATACTGCTGAAAAACTGGGGTTACAATGGTTTACACGTGAAGGATTTGTGTGTAGTGGAGACAAAAAAAAAATGCTGCCTATGGATCTAACAGATATCATGGGAACAGCAGAGGGCAGCTATACGCCTCGGGCGTCTAGTCCGCCAAAACCATAGACTGTATATACTATGGACAACTTGGTTCAGCCTACCGCCTGTATACGGATTTGAAGCCAAAAAGCTCTCGGTATTTCCTGGATTTTTCTTCATTTCCTAAAACCAGAGCTGCGCAGTAGCAATGCACGCATTCGGCCGCGCAGTCGCAGAGAGTCGCTGTGATGACGCTCGGCTCAAACAGCGTATCCCCCGGGAGAGCTACGCAATCTCTGAACGTCCATAGGCTCTATCAGGTGTCAATCATAGCAAACATGAACCCCCTAATAACCTTTAAAAACAGAGCTTCACAGAAAAAAGAGGACTTGAGCACAAACCAGTCTTATAATAATTACATGTCAACATCACAAACAGGGAGGAGAAAAATGTATGTTCTGTGTAATAAATTTCTATAGTTTGTCCACAGCTCCATAAGCTTTGCTGGCGGAGGCGGGATTTATGACCTATACTGCAGCCCATCAACAGTGGGTGCTGTTCTCGGAGTGGCTTCACCCAGCGAGGAGGCAGACTCTGTCCATTCTTTATACAGTCTATGGCCAAAACCAAAGAAGAAGAGGAAGAAGAAGAAGAAGAAGACCGGAAAAAGAGCACAAGGCGCGGTCAAACCACTCCAAACGAATACAACTGCGACCAAGAGGCGGCTGGCACAGCCGGACTGTGAATGGACAGGAGATGGAAGAGGGAAGTGACGGGTCAGGAAATGATGGGATGGAGTTAGGTGGCGGGAGTAATGAAAGTTGGAATGTTGTGAAAGGGGGAAAGGCTAAGCGCAAACGCAAGAATAATAGGGGACAGAGAGGATTGGGCATAGCGTCTGAGGAAACAGATAGCGAGCAAGCAAGAGAGGATGAGGAAGAGCACAAAGTAATCAGTAGGTTGGAGCAAGAAGGCACCTCGTTTGGTGAGTGGAATCCTGTACACCTTACTAAAGCAATAAATAAACAAGTGGGAGATGTGAAAAGTGCGAGAGTGTTGCACAATGGAGCACTGCTGATTTTTTGTAGAGATAGCGCGCAGTTGGGGAGAGCCATCAGGGTGGATAAAATTGAGGGGAAGAAGGTGGTAGTAACGCTAGCTAGGAAGGGAGGAGGGATCACTCGAGGAGTAATCTTCGGCGTGCCGTTAAGTGTATCTATTGATCAGATCATAGAAAATGTAAAGGGAGCGAAAGTGAGGGAAGCAAAGCGCCTGAAAACAACTTGTGAGGGGGAAAAATGTGACAGTCTGTCGGTTTTGGTTACGTTTGATGAAGAGCGACTCCCTGAAAGAGTGCATATAGGATATATGAGCTACGGTGTGAGGCTCTATGTGCCTCGGCCATTAAGGTGCTTCAAATGCCAGAAGTATGGGCATGTTGCAGCAGTGTGTAAGGGGAGACAAAGATGTGGGAAATGTGCTGGGGAACATGAATATGGGAAATGTGAAATTGGAGCTAAAATTAAGTGCTGCAACTGTGGTGGAGAACATACCTCTGCATACAGGGGATGTGAAGTTAGTAAGAGAGCAGCAGAAGTGCAGCAAATGAAAACTTTGCATGGGATCACATACGCCGAGGCAGCCAGAAGGGTGAGGGTGCAGGCAACTGAAAGTAATGCCAGGACAACCGAAAGGCAAGAAGTAAGAGCACATGAAGGATGCAAAAGAATTAAGGAAGACACAATGGTTGTGGGGAAGAGAGATTTCATACTGTTCATGGTTGAGGTGGTTAACTGTACAGCGCAAACAGACAAAAAAACTGAAAAAATCAAAATAATAGTGAGAGCAGCAGAGAAGTATCTGGGACTGGAGGCAGTCGGGTGGGAGGAAGTGGAGGACCTGTTGAAAAGAGGGGGGTCCAGTTCACAGAATCCATCACAGCAATCATCAGTATGGGATGGAGGATCATCATGGTCCTAAGTATACTGCAATGGAATGCAAGAAGTCTCATAACCAATGGGCAGGAATTTAAGAAGTTTATTTCTGGGCCACAGGACAAGCCAACTATTATATGTGTTCAAGAAACATGGATGAGGGTGCAGTGGGATTTTGTAATACATGGGTACACGGCTGTAAGAAATGACGTAAGCTGTAAAAATGGGACAGGTGGAGGGGTAGCTACCTTTGTAAAGGATGGGGTAGGGTTTAATATAGGTCAAATAGGGACCGATCATGAGTCCATAACGGTAAAAATTTGGACAGGAAGATATGAGCTAGCAGTTATTAATTACTATAACCCATGCAAGAGATTGAGTATGGATATGCTGAATAAGGTACTGGGGGAAGTGCAAGGGAAAATATTGTGGTGTGGGGATTTCAATGCACATAGCACTTTATGGGGGAGTGAGAGAACAGACTCAAATGGTTCAATAGTGGAAGAATTTATAGAGGATAAAGGGTTAGTGTGTATGAATGATGGGAGGGGCACTAGGTATGATTGTGTACGAAATAAGGAGAGTGCAATTGACTGAACTTTAATGTCCAATGAGATGGCAGGTATCACAGATTGGGAAGTGCTAGATGAAATATTAATGGGGAGTGATCTCTATCCAGTAATTAGTAAGGTGGGAGTAGAAATGCAGCAAGAAGAAGAAAGCAGGGTGCCGAGGTGGAAAATTCAGAATTCTAAGTGGGATGCTTATCAGGCAGTGAGTAGAAATATGTTTGAGGAGTTACATGAGGAGCAATGGACAGGTGTGGATGAATGGAATGAGAGAGTGGTAGCAGCTATAATACAGTCTGCTGATGGGACAATTCCAAAAGTGTCCGGGGGCAGAAGTGTAAAAAGTGTACCATGGTGGGATAATAACTGCAGACAGGCTATAAGAGCACGCAACAGGGCATTCAGATTGTTAAAGAAGCAGTATACAATGGAGACATTAATCCAATACAGAAGGTCACAGGCAGTAGTGAAAAGGACGATCAGAGCAGCTAAGCGGGCGTGCTGGAGGAAGTACTGTAGTTGAATAGGGCAGGAGGTACAGCTGTCAGATGTTTGGGGAATGATTAGAAAAATGAGTGGAATAAAAAGAAATATAACAATCCCGATTCTGAAGAAGGACGATAGAACAGCAGTTAGTAATTTAGAGAAGGCGACGCTACTGGCAGAAACGTTGATTCAAGTTCATAGTTCAGAGAATATCTCAACAGAAGCAAAGCAGCATAGGCAGAATGTGCTGACACAAAACACTTGGATTAGAAAGAAAAAGCAGGCAAGAGGGGATGATCTAGATCTGCCCTTTAATATGTATGAGTTAAGAAGAGCAGTATCCAAAGTGCGGCAGTCGTCACCAGGAAATGATGATGTGTGCTACTGTATGTTAGATCACATGGATGACAGGTCGCTGGGGGTAATATTGAAGTTATTTAACAAAGTATGGGAGTCAGGGGAGGTTTCACAGGCATGGAAACACTCAGTAATAGTGCCAGTTTTGAAACCAGGCAAAGGAGCATCAGATCCATCAAATTATAGGCCAATTGCCCTTACATCCCAATTAGGGAAAACAATGGAGAAGATGGTGACAGAAAGGCTGATGTTTTTTTTAGAGAGTCGTGACCTTTTTTCTTCATATCAAAGTGGGTTTCGCAAAGGAAGGAACGCGATGGATTCAGTGCTCAGTTTGGAGTCAGATATTAGAAAAGCACGGACAAATAAAGAAATAGTGATGGCTGTGTTCTTCGACGTAGAGAAGGCATATGATATGTTCTGGAAAGAAGGGCTGCTGATTAAATTAGATAAGTTGGGAGTAGGAGGGAAATTATATAACTGGGTACTGAGCTTTTTATTTAGAAGAACAATAGAGGTGAGAGTAGGGCAGGAATTCTCTCCAGTATTTGAGGTTGAAAATGGAACCCCGCAAGGGAGTGTGTGTAGTCCAGTGTTCTTTAATTGTATGATCAATGATATATTTGAGGAGGTGGGGGGAGGAATAAGTAAGTCATTATTTGCTGATGATGGGGCCTTATGGGTAAGAGGGAGAAATCAAGAGTATCTGCAGAAAAAGCTGCAGGCAGCAGTTGATAAAGTGGAGCAGTGGGCAAATAGGTGGGGGTTCAAACTGTCAGTTGCGAAAACTCAAGTAATATGCTTTGCTAAGCGACACAAAGAGGTGTCAATAAAACTATATGCTCAAACTTTAGAACAAGCCAAAGTAGTACGTTTTTTGGGTGTTTTATTTGATGAAAAACTCACCTGGAAGCAGCATATTGAAAAAGTGAGAGATAAATGTAAGAATGTTAACCTTATGAGGTGCTTGGCAGGGCGAGATTGGGGTGCAACTAGGAAGTCTCTGTTAAACATCTATCAAGTGGTGATGAGGTCCAGAATTGATTATGGCAGTGTGGCTTATATGTTAGCAGCAGAGAGTCACCTGAAGAAGCAGGACGTGGAGCAGGCTAAGGGGCTGAGGATATGCAGTGGGGCGTTAAAGACCTCTCCAGTGGCTGCTCTTCAAGTTGAGGTAGGGGAAGAGCCTCTAAGGATAAGAAGGGTAAAGCACATGCTGGCATACTGGGTATATCTGCAGGGGTACAAAAGGTCTCATCCAGCAAAAGCAATATTAGAGGAATGCTCAGATCACGGCAAGACCAACTTTTGGAGTTTGGGCTGGATTGGGAATGTAAAAGCCAAAAGTGTTGGTTTATGTAACATGCAATATGTGTCAAGTAATTCTTTACCAGAAATCCCTCCGTGGGTATTTCAGGAGCCAACAGTGGACTTTGGTATTCAGAGTAAAGTAAAGAAGAAATCAGGGAATACAGGAGTTATTGTGCAAAGATACATTGAACAGAACTATGCGAATAAACTGTTAATATTTACGGATGGATCAAAGGAGAGAGAGACTGGTCGCACCGGGGCAGCAGTCTTCATCCCAGAACAAAGACTGGCAATTAAAGAAAGGGCTAATGATCATGCCTCAGTATACTCAGTGGAGCTGTTAGCAATTATACTTGCATTGAAGTGGATGAAGGGAGGTAGTGTTGTACATGCGTTAATAGCGTCAGATAGTTATGCAGCACTTGACAGTATCAAAACAATAAAATCCTGTAGGCAAGACCTTGTTATGGAGATTCATCGGATTTGTGTGGGTTCCAGCACATGCAGGTGTTGAGGGTAACGAGGAAGTAGACATACTTGCAAAACAAGCCGTTAGAGCACAAACAATAAAAAACAGCATTCCACTGGGTAGAGCTGAAGGGAAGTCAATAATCAAAACACAGATGCAGAGGGTTTGGCAGGAATATTGGGACATCAATGACACTGGGAGACATTTCTACAGGGTACAGAGCCAGGTGGGTGGAGGACAGGTGTTTGGCAGGAGCAGGAAGGAGGAGGTGGCCATCACCTGTCTCAGGCTGGGGCACACAGGGTTAAACAGCACGCTAAAAGTAATAGGTAAACCCCCCACGGGAAACTGTCAAAGCTGCAATGTGCAGGAGACAGTAGAGCATGTCTTAATGGAATGTAGGGAGTATGACAGAGAGAGGGGAGTATTAAAAGCTGGCTTGAAAAAGGAAAACATTGGATTTACATTAAGGAGTGTGTTACAGAGAACAGAAGAGAGCAATAAACATGTACAAAGATATTTGAGAAGAACTGGCCTAGTTGAAAGGATCTAGTATGCTTTTGGAGGGGGTTCCCCCTTTTTTTTATTTTTTTTATTTATTTATTTAATTTTGTTTGTAAACTGCCAATCTACTGTTCCACACTCCAGTCCGGTAGGTGGCGGCAATGCGCCAAATTGTTGGATGTCAGCCGCCAATCAAATCCAAGAAGAAGAAGAAGAAGAAGAAGGAAGAGGAGGAGGAGGAGGACAAGGCGCCATATTGTCAGCGCGAAACAGCTGAAAGATTGTTACTGCTAACGGACAGATGGACGGAAATATCGGTGCCCCGGCAGTTCATGAAGTTATGTCCCGGTGAACTCAGAGGTTTAGTTCCCGTGAACTCGGTGTTTCTGGCCCGATGAGCCCAGGGGTTTTGTTCCGCTGAATTCGGTGGTTGTGTTCCGGTATACTCGGTGTTTTTCCCGATGAAGTCCGCCAGGATGGAGCAGAGCGACACGTTCCGCCGTCAGACCGAGCTGATTCTGCAGGCGGCGGTGGACTCTGCTGTGTCCGTTGTCCTCGTAACACCTGGACCAGACCAAAGGAAGGGAAGGCGGGTAAGGAGACAATCTTTAAGTCAAACAGTCATTAAAGGTTGTTAATATTTTAAGAGAGGAAGCAAAGAAGAAACAGTAAAAAACAAAGGTCGTCTGAAAAACAAACCATGTAAGACACAGAGACAGGTGAGACACAGAGACCGAGAGTAGGTGACGCAGACAGATTAGTGAGAGACAAACAGTCAGAGAGACGGGTGAGGCAGACAGAGAGGTGAGACAGACAAATAGTCCATGGGCCCGACAGATATTTGGTACACCTCAGGATGGCAAAGGGTCATCATGATTTTTTAAAAGATACATGTCTGTGGATTATATTTTTGTATGATAATCCTTTCCAGCTAAATATTGTTTCTCAGCTCATGAAGTTAACCACCCCTTAAGATAAATTCGATTTTTTTACACTGGTGTATCTGGTTTAGGCTCATGGCAGGGAAATTTCTCAGAGGTTTACAATAACATCAAAGTACGTAGAGGTCTTTAAATCACAAGAAATACAGATTTTCCTGCAATTTTCGCCTACATGATATACTTTCTTTTGGCGATATGCCACCAAGGGACACCAGGGATACAAGACTTACAAACTGCGATACTCTTGGGACTCATAAGATTCAGAATATGTGTAACATACCTATACTATCTCTTTGTGGGAGGTGACTGAGAAGTTTTGAGGAGTCAGCGGTTTAGGGGGCAATCTTAGGCCCGAACTACACGAATGCGGATATATTTCAAACCGCACATATTTATGTCCGATTAGGCCTCCCTACCACACCAAAGCGGGAGTTTGGAACACTCAAACCGGATAAATCTGGATCCAGAAAAACAAGTGGAGAAATAAAAAAATATCTAGTTGGGTCACAAAGTGAGATTCTGTGACCATCCTCTGGCAAGGATGTTTTGACGATTGATTTGACCTCTATGGACCCTTTAGAAAAGATTTAGCCCCCAGGTCCCTCGCAAAAATCCCGGCATTTTTTGCTAGACAGCCAAATTCAAGATGGCGGCCGGCGCCATCTCTAAAAATTAACTTTTGATCTGGATGACCTAGAATCATGTATGAAGGCACTTTTCCATACAAGTCAAGCATGAGGATTCCAAATCTGACATAGTTTTAATCATACAACTTTGTTTTGACCGCGATATTCAAGATGGCTGCCATCTAGTACTGTAATTCTCAACCTTTTCAGGACTTGACCCCCCCAAAACAATCATATTTGAAATGGGTAACCCCTAATTTGTTTGACTCTGTTCCACATATAGATATTGTGAAAATAGCCGATCTACAAGCCCGTAACACATGGGGCTCTATTTCGTGCCTCGCTGGAGACGTGCTGCAGGCGCAGCGTAAGTCAGGTCCGCCGCGCCGACAAGGCGTTCCCAAGCACAATTTGGAATTTTGGTGAGCGACGCAGCCCAGCGTAAGTATCCCCCCTCCTTAACTCAGCTCCTCCCAGCGGCGTAAGTCGTAGCGAGGGAGGAGAGAGGGCGTGGAGTGGGTTTAACACAGCTGAGACCTGTTTTCACCAATCACATAGGCTCCTCTCCTTGCCTTTAAATCCGCCACTGGCGAGGCGTATTACTATTTTTGTGAAGCAGTCAAAGAGATCAAGAGATGTCTGAAGACAGCAATGCCACACGATGGTGACAGAAGGCAGCTCCTCAACAAGTGCCACTGTAAGCGCTGCATTTGGCGTCCTCCACACTCTCTCATGTGAGCAGAGACGGGTTTGGTGTGTGTAATGTTGGACCCACTGGTAAGACAAACACCCTTTTCCACTAATAAAGACACTCACATAAAGTTGCATATATTCAAACCTCACGTGACAAAGGTGGGTTGAGCGCACAGATCACAATATAAACTCCAAAAATGGCATTAAAATTGGAACCATCTGTGCGTAAATGACGCATCGCGCTCTGTGGCCTGGCTCTTTCTTTCATAGATGTTGGCATATAAAATAAATTTGCCTCACAAAACTGAATATTATAATATCCGTATGTCGGTTTGAAGTAAATAACTCATCTGAGCACTGAAACAAATCATCTGTTCAGCTGCAGCAGGACAGAGAGAGGACACAGACACATGTCCAGGTCGAGCTGCGTGAGAAATAAGAGGAAGAGGAAGAAAGAAAAGGAGGGAGACAAATTAAATATCTTGTTAACTTCATCATGTGTGTTTATTTACTAGATATTTAATTTAATTTAATGCGGTTTCAGCTGTGTTGATTCGGTCAGGTTGTGTGTCCAAATGCGTGCCAAACGCGCTCATCAGATCAGATGTAGATCGGAATATATCGATATAGATCGAAATGTATGTGCTGACTCAGATTAATAGTTATTGATGATTATTTATTGCACTGAAATGTGCCTGACACTGTGGAAACCTGCCGGTGAGGCATCGGTGATGTATGCCGATACGCCGCTGGTCTACCAAAATACCACTAGACCAGCTGCGCTCCGCCTGCGCTGAAAGCTGACCAGGTTTGAATCGGCGAGCTCTCAGTGCACTTTACACGCCATTGGCGAGCACGAAAATGTCCATGATAATACCAAACTGGCTGTACGCCGGGCTCCGCCAGACGAAAATACAACTGTGCGGGGTCCGCCACCCTCCACCCTCCTGTCCCTTCATGTCAGGGCATGTTAGCACATGCTGCTTGTTTAGTGCTGCTGCTTTCCTAAATGTTGCCTCAGTCATTCTTTTGAGCCCACAGTTAGAGGAGCTACACATTTGATCTGTAAAGACAGTGTGCATGCAGAATACATGGCTGCTTGAATATGGAAGAAAATAATATACCAACCAGGACAGACAGACAGTCATGTATTCTCCAGTGTGGTAGTCTGTGTAATGAAGCCACATATACCATTAAGTCGACCCAAAGATGATCCCTGACATGAAGGGACAGCCAATCAAATTGCCTGAGTTAAGTACTGCTGCTGACATGAATCAAGCATACTGGATAGTTTGAGTGCAATATTCACTGGCCTTTATGTTGTTGTTAAGTTAAGTTTTCTCTGTACTTGATCACTGGTTGGTGGCGTACCCCCAGATGACAGTGAAATTATAATGTTAGGACTTGTAAGATCCTCAAAGAAAAAGATCATCACTGCATCCAAAGTAATCAACAAACAATGCTAAACCATTGGCCAAATTGTCAAATGATATAAGAAAAAGGCAAAAATTGTGAATATAGCCAATCTACAAGCTCACACGCCTCACAATACAAGGTGTTACGGGTTTGTAGAGCGGCTATTTTCACAATATCTATATGTGGAACAGAGTCAAACAAATTAGGGGTTACCCATTTCAAATATGATTGTTTTTGGGGGGGGTCAAGTCCTGAAAAGGTTGAGAATTACAGTACTAGATGGCAGCCATCTTGAATATTGCGGTCAAAACAAAGTTGTATGATTAAAACTATGTCAGATTTGGAATCCTCATGCTTGACTTGTATGGAAAAGTGCCTTCATACATGATTCTAGGTCATCCAGATCAAAAGTTAATTTTTAGAGATGGCGCCGGCCGCCATCTTGAATTTGGCTGTCTAGCAAAAAATGCCGGGATTTTTGCGAGGGACCTGGGGGCTAAATCTTTTCTAAAGGGTCCATAGAGGTCAAATCAATCGTCAAAACATCCTTGCCAGAGGATGGTCACAGAATCTCACTTTGTGACCCAACTAATCCGTATCCGTAGTGGATTCGTGTGGTCGGACTTTTATGGATCGATGACGTCAAACCGCAGCTCGCGCATGCGAATTAAAAAGAAAAACAACAACAACGATGACGGACAGACAGGGTATTCTTTATGTTTGTTTTGCCCTTTTGGGGCTAATTTCAGCCTTGCAAGTGAACCGTGTTTTATACAATTACATCCACCAGTCAGCCAGCTCACAGACGCGTCTGCTGCGGCCAATATTTTTTTATTTTTTTTTATTTTTATTTGTGCAGTGTGACAATACAAGACATACAACAAACAACAGCATTTGTGGGTTTGGGTTAGTGTGTGTGTGTGTGTGTGTGTGTGTGTGTGTGTGTGTGTGTGTGTGTGTGTATTATATATTTGAATAATAATGAAAAAAATAGAAAATAAAAAAATAAATATTACAATTGTCAGACAAGCAAAAGAAAATTATAATACATTAACAATATCAATAATAATAATAATAATAACAATAATAACAATAATAATAATAAGAAGAAGAATGTGAATAGCAATAATAATAATATGGGTGGAGGGGGGTCTTGAAATTTGTGGACCACCTCGGGTCCCTTCCCACTCGCGTGAGACCTGCCTGCATCTCCCCAGGCCCCCAGACCCCCCCCCCCTCAACCCCCGCATGCCCCGGACTGAATGCGGCACAACACCTTGCCCTATGTATATATATGTATTTAGTCATTGTTATTTACTTTATATTAGGGCTGAAACGATTACTCGAGTAACTCGATTAATAAAATTCCTCGAGGCATATAATTTGCCTCGAGGAATTTTATTAATCGAGTTACTCGTTTAAATCCGGAACCATGTGCAGCGCACGGTGTTTGACACGGACGGTTATTTCTGTTGCGCAGCAGCGTGCTCTTTCTGCTCCTTCCGCTGCCGCGCGTTTCATAGACATAATAAAAGGGTAGACCCCGCTGGGGGTGCTGCGCAGCGAGAAATGCGGCCGCCATCTTGGTCAGGTCAAGCTTCCCATACGCTCCGGTCAATCATATTCATTCATTCAGCGATGCCGGAGCACTGTGCGGCGTATTCCTGTGCCAACAGGCGGACAGCAGAGAACAGGGCTCAAGAAATAACTTTTCACAGTTATGATTAAACGTTTTTTAAACATTGCACTTGACTGTAGAGTCATTTGTAGGCCAAAGAGGAAGACTATCGGTCAACTCCAAAAAGGAAACAGCATTTGCGAACAGCTAGCTTATTCACAATAATAGCAACTTTGGTCGATTATCAACAGATTTGCATTAGATTGAAAAACTTCTGTTTGAGAGAGGTTCTAAGAAACGTTAAGAAATAAAATAGAAAGAAAAAGGAAGAAAGTGAGCTCTGTTTTATTATCTGTTTTATTAAAGATTTCTTTGTGGTGATCTCCTGTTTCATTTTGAAGATTTCCTAAGGACAAAAACTTGAGGAAGAAGTGGGAGATTGCTGTTAGAGGGAGAAATTCGCAGCAAGTGATTCCTCTGTGCTGTGTAGCCAACAAGCAAATTGATATGTAGTTTAGATGCTGTCCTGTCATGCTGTTCTTGTGTTTAAATCTTTTTGATATGTAGGCTATATATTTGTGTGTATTTTCCAGTTATTAAAATAGTGCTTCTATATGACATTATTTGTGTGTGTCTACAAATGGATAAATAAAATTAAACTATATAAAAAATTATAATCAAATCAATATATATTGAATTGGCCTATTAATACCGCCAGTTATTAATAATTATTGAGACATAGCAGGAACCTAGCTCTAAACCTAAATATATCCTTGATTAATTGTTATACTATAATACAGCCACTGCTGCCATGTTCTAAAATATCATTTTATTCTGAGTATTTGAAAACGCCAAAAAAAAATATGGCCTCTATCATGCCTCTTTGAATGGCGTTTGCAGAGAAGAAAATTACGTAGTATTGAGCGAACTATGATTCATTAATGCGCTCAGACTTCATTCCGCCGGTTAAACAGCGATGCAGAGTGAGGCGGATGACCGGACCAAGATGGCGGCCGCATTTCTCGACAGCGCCCATTCGTGGTAGCGGCCGATGCGGGGTCTATCTTTTATTATGTCTATGGCGCGTTTGGTTCAATCATGGAGGGAAACGAGGACAGACAGAGAGAGGAAGAAAGAGATGACACGCAGAGGAAACGGCAGAAAGTGTCTAAAGTGTGGGACCATTACACACTGAAAAGGAAAGAAAACGCCGTGCAGTGCGTTCACTGTAAGGCGGAGTTGGCGTTTCACAACAGCACGTCGTCAATGCTGCAGCACCTTAAAAGAAAACACCCGGTCCATGCATTAAGTTCGCTCTGAGGCAAACGTGATTCAATGCAAAGTATTACAGTGAAAGCAAAACATTTCTTATCCGATTACTCGATTAATCGACAGATTAATCGATAGAGTACTCGATTACTAAAATAATCGATAGCTGCAGCCCTACTTTATATACTTTATAATTATTTATTTATTTATTTTAAATTTTTTTATGATTATTATTATTATTATAATTATTATCATTATTATTATTTTATTATATATATATATATTTTAAATTTCTCTCATATGTGCTTTCTAATGTGGGGCCAATACTTTTATTGGTCATATGGTCCGTCACATGGACCCGACGCACAAGCGTAGCTTCCGCAAACAATGCATGACGCATCACGCTGTTACGATTCATTGGCCAATCATGTAGCTTTGTTCCTGAATTTTTTTTAAGCGGCACCAGATAGGATTGAGTTTGAAGGCTACGTGTGGACGCAGATATTTTTGAGAACGAACACGTGTGGACAGATACATTTATTTAGACAGGAGTACAAAAATATCCTGATAAATAAATATCCATATACGTGTAGTTCGGGCCTTAGTTCTGCAGGGATGATCTCCCATCAGAGATATTAGTCACAACAGAAAACTGAAAAATCCCCTTAGAATGCATAGATTCTGTATGGTTTTTAGGGTTGAATCCATTTCTGCCGGTTGCTCAGCTGTAAAAGTTACTATTTAGTCATAATTATTGATTAATTAGTGTAATTATTGATGTATCGCCCGGAGATAGAAATGGCCATCAATTTCCCATTTGTTAAGAATTTATATGATTGTTTGGTATCATTGTAAAGGGGACCTTCTAGCCTTTCATTTAAGCCCATGGTTGTGTCTTTCTGAAAAACACAGGTCACATGATCTCTTTAAACCATAAATTACACACATTTTCCCACAGAATCGCCTAAACTATATAGTTTCAGTTATCTGAACGTAGTTCCAACACTTGGCCTCTCCTTGAAATGAAGCGCCGGAGGGCATTGATGAAGGAATCTGTGTCCAATGACGATGCTACTTCGATGTGGATGGCTCTTGTGGCTAGGCATGTGAAGAGAACACCATATTTCTTCACCTCATTCCTTCCTCTTTTCACCTCGAAAGGCCCAAAATAATCAACTCCAACATGAGTGAATGGAGGATTGTCTGGAGAAACTCTGTCTTGGGGCAAATCTGCCATCTGTTGGTGTGCTGGAGTTGCTTGCAGACGCCTGCAGACAATGCATTTGGACAGAACTTTTCTTACGGCCACACTAGCACCAGGGATCCAATATCTTTGGCGCAGGCTAGATAGCATGTGGTTCCGGCCTCCATGTCCTACATCCTTGTGTACTTGCTGCAGAATGATGTCAGAAATGTGAAGATCTTTTGCCAAGATGGCTGGATGTTTACTTTCTTTGGGCATAGCAGATCTACCTAGCCGTCCTCCGACTCTCAGAATTCCATCTTCAAGTCTTGGGTTGAGCTTGTAGATATGACTATTCCTCTTCACATTCTCTCCTTTCTGCAGACAGCTGAACTCCTTAGGAAATCTCTTCTTTTAACAGAAGCGTTTTGAGTTCTTCCACAATGAGAGATCTGGCAGTTTGTTCTTTGATCTTTCGCAACTCCTTTTTCATCTCTCTTTCCTGTTGTTGTTCATCCAGTCCTGACTGAGCAAGAGTGATACTCAATTGCTTCCTCTTCTGACTGAGATGCAGCAGCATGTTCTTGAACTTGAGGATCCACCCGACTATCTTCGTTAGATGGTTCCAAGAAGAAAAGTGGGTGATCAAGCGGGCTACTGAATCCATTTCCTCTTTAGCCTGCATTGCATTCACCATGAGACTCACTTTCACCTCTGCGTCATCTAAAGTGATGTGTAGAAAGTCATCTGGATTCACAGGCCATTCCTCTTCAGGCCCAGTTAGAAACTGGGGTCCACAACTCCACGTGTCTTCTTTCAGCAGTGTTTCCACCTTGACTCCCCTTGAGGCCATGTCAGCGGGATTGCTTGTGGTGTTAACATACCTCCACTGAGATGGATTTGACACGCTGAGTATTTTCGAGACCCTGTTGGCGACAAAGGTCTGAAATCTTGACGTCTCGTTCCTGATAAATTTCAGTACCGAAGTACTATCGGTCCAAAAGACTGAGTCTTTAAGTTGCATTTGCAGCTCTTCTCTCCACAATTTGTCTATTCGGCCTGCCATTACAGCAGCCATCGGCTCCATTCGAGGGATGGTAATGGCTTTCAATGGGGCTACTCGAGCTTTCCCCATGATGAAGGCACAGTGTACTTCCCTGTGGATGTTGTGTAATAACAAGTAGGTAACTGTTCCACAACTGTTCCTTTGAGGAACATGTTTCAAACCTTTTGGAGTTCGTTAGAAAAAAAAAAAGGAAAAATTTCGAAAAAATTTTTTTAGGGGGTGTTAGGGCTTCCTTTAGGTAATACCCGGGTATTAGGTTACCGAAAGTAACCCAATACCCGGTGCCGTATCAGTGCCGAGAGTCAAGTGACCTTTGCATGAATATGTAATGTACTGAAGGGGGGAAAAAGTATGATCACAAATACTTGTAATGCTGTTTTGATTCAATCGTTACTATTCATATTTGTAATTAGTTGCCATGTTCAGTGAATTTTACTGATTGATTAAAAGGATGAAAAATGTCTACCTGGGCTTTGATTATCACTGAATTTATTTTTCATTACATCTAAGCAATTGGTGTGGGCATTTTTTACGTAATGCTGGTCCAAAGAATGAATGGAAGTGAATGGGCCTGAGCCGGTTACTGCAGTTTTAAGGCTAACAGTAACCTCTCACAATATCATACATTTCCTAAATCTTCAAAGTCCATTTAATATTGGTGGCCTTTGGATTGTAGGGGACACATATGTCACATAAGATGAGGAGCATGGGGTGCTTAAGTGTGTGTGTGTGTGTGTGTGTGTGTGTGTTAGGCCTGAACGATATATCGTTTGACTATCGTCATCGCGATGTACGTGTGTGCGATAGTCACATCGCAGAGCCTGCGATATTGGAGGTGAATGAACTCATTTAATTTCAAGGGTAACCGACTGAGATACACTCCATGTGACTCTGCATGTACTGTGCAGCGATCCACCAATCGCCTTCGTCCTTAACTCAGTTGCCAATCAGACTCACTTCTCAGTTGCCAATCAGACTACCCTGCCAGCTGTCAATCAAAATCAGGGAGGAGAAAACCCACCCCTGCACATGTTCTGCACATGGAGGGAGACGTGTGTCCGCTGAGAATTACTTTCGGAACTTTACTCATGACTATTAAGCCCAACAAATAAGAACTGTATGGGTTTTAAATTGTACATTTCCGTGGACCACTCTACTATAAGCAGTGCGCGTTTTGCGAGGTGCATGCAATTCTCGGAGGACATGCGTTTCTCGGCACAACACCGCTAACAATAACAACAACGATCGCAAAATGAACAACGAACAAGCGAAAACCAACGAAAATGAAGATTTGTTGCCAAAAAGAAAAGGAAAGTCAGTTATCTGGAATTATTTCGGTTAAAAGAAGGATGATGTCGACCAAAACACGTGTTCTTTGTTCATCTGTTGCCACAATAACGTCCCAGCACAATAAAAGCTAAAAATATCTCTGAGACAGACAGAAGCCGTTCAACTAACATTCACAAAAAGAGGTAAGATAAGTGCAGATTAACTGTCCTCAAGATTTCAGCAGTGCAGCATAACATTAAGTGCTATTCAGGTCATCTGGTGAAAATACTGTATTTTTAATATCGCAATATATATCGCAGGGTTGAAAAAATCGCAATATTATTTTTTTCCAATATCGTGCAGCCTTAGTGTGTGTGTGTGTGTGTGTGTGTGTGTGTGTGTGTGTTGCGGAGGCGGTGATTCACATGGGAGTGGGTGGGGCACGTGCAGAAGTGTGTGTTTAAAGGTGTGCACTTGCCTGTGACACAGATGAGAGAGTCAGGGATGGGTAGTAGCTAGGCCTGGGCGATTTGGGGAAAAAATGATCACGATTTATTTTGTCATATCGTCCGATCTCGATTATTATCACGATTTTTTTTAACTGCCAGTTTTAAAGCATCTGTACTAAAAACTAAAAAAACTAGAAATAAGTTCAACATTTTATTAACATACAAAAGGAAATAAAGCAAATTGAATAAGATTCACGTAGAAAAATATAAAAAAAACATTTTAACTCAAATGTAGATAAATACTAAGTAATACAGAGAATTAGTTTACAGTCCTGAGTGTTTTTGCAGGTATGCAAGACCCAAAATAAACAAATCGCTCCCTCAGAGATAATGAAGATGCTTTAAAATGTAAACGTAGATGATATGCATACCTTTCAACATTTGGGTTATAAAATCCAGGAATTGTTTGTGGCGCACGCTGGGCAGTTTTGGGGTGACCTCGTATGGTGGATATGAGCTAATTACGAGAGTACTTGTCATTAAATTGCTCATCCAAATAAGTTTGAGTGAAGCTGCACACTTTTGTTTAGTTTTAACAATAACAAATGGTAATAAAAAAATAGATACGATATGCCTTGAACTTATTTAGTCCACTAATATTAGTGTTAAAGTCCTCATATGTTTTACATGCTCTCCCGTATGAGGCTCTCTGAACATCTATGTGTGAAATACAGCACTCTTTTATCTGAGGCTGCCCTGAACGCATCAGTCTCGTGTATTTAGCGTTTGTTCCCTTTCATTGAAGTGTTCATTTTGCAACAAACACTGCTTAAATATAGTTTACAGCAAATGGACAAATACAGTGATCGGATTCATGAATGAACATGGACCATTAAACTACGGGAGATTCCCGGGGGAAATGACAATACGGGAGGAGGACGGGAGAGAGGTCTGAAACACGGGACAGTGAAAAACGGGAGTGTTGGCAGTTATGGATATGATTGATCGCTGTTTTTGTCTGGTGGCTGCACTGCTAGTTGTGTCTAAACTGCTAATGCTACTCGTACCGTCAGCAGTGACAGGCTGTGCAGACTCTGCTCGCATTTTCATGCTTCCCGCATACTCACTCGGGAAGAACTTCTTCAAATGATTAAACAGATCTGTTGTGTTGCCGGTTTATTGGCTTAATTGCTCAACGTCACTTTGGAGAGACGTTGAATAACTTCTCAACAATACCATCTTCTGAGGAGGACTCAAAGTCACAGCTGACATCTGTTTTGCTGCCCTCAGCTCTGCGTGTAGCTCCACGTTCAGTCATTCTGTTCACTACTCATGTTTATTTTTCCGGTAACGTACAGAAGTGAGCAGGAAAAGCTTGACTGATTGGCTGATGTGACGCACATTTCCGCCATCTTTGATCGAGTAAATAAGCTCACAGCTGATCACCGTGATCGAACTGAATTTTATCGTGATCATTGATCACGATCATATAATCGCCCAGTCCTAGTAGTAGCCGTAATTTTTGTTGACCGCCACGCGGCCGCTTTGCCATGATTATGAGGGCTTCGCTACCGTTACCCACTCATTCATTCATCACCTTTTTATCCGTTTAATCCGCTGATCTTCATGTTTCCATTCATCCATTTTTGCTGCGCTGTGATAACTCTGTGCTGTTTGTTGAGTGAAAGCATCAAAAGTATCTCTGGATCTCAGCCTATCAATCACCATAGCCTCCCGCAGCGCGTCACAAAGTTACACACTTTAGGACCCAACCTCATACTTTCTCAGCGGATAAAAGGTTTGTTTGGAAGCTGCATCATTTTGCCAACAAAAAAGGCTTAACGAAAATCATCAAGCCGCACCAAAGAACCAAGTCATCACTCGACAACTAGCCCGAGGACAAAGGAGCCACAACTAAGTGCCACGCCATCCATTCACCTGGGAACAAGTAGGCCAGAATCTGTTTACATTTGTGGATTAAGGAATCCACTTCAATTGGAAAGCATCACGCCAAATGAGGGCAATGTATTAAATGGATGCTACGATGGCTGCATCGGCGCATTGACGGAGGCGCAACTTCTCCGTGCCTTATTGGAAAGTGATGTATAAGATGATGTGTAATGTGTGGCATAAATATGCGGTGGCTGATGTTCTCTAAAGGCCTATTGTTTGTTGGAATGCTTGGATCCAACCTGCTCCGTCAATGAATTTAAATGCGATGTTTATGGATGGATTTAAAATGCGCTCTTGATGAACTGTGTTTTTGTCCGTTTATAAAAAAAAAACGATCTAATGAAATGAGTCAAATAAGCGCTTTTGCTGAATGTTCAAGCATGGAAAAGGAAAAAAGGGAAATAAACTGTCGGTCAAAGCTGTGGAAAATAAAATCAAACAGCTCCACCGTGAGCGCAAAAGTGCCATCAATAAAATCAACGCTTATTCCCTAAATAAAAGCGCACATGAAATCCAAAGAAAATGTAACAGAAATCCCCTCACAACTGAGCAACTTGAATGCGTTATGTAAAAATGCCAGCAACCTGCATAATGAATTGCTGCCACTACTTCCTGATGATGAAGTTAAAAGACAGAATGAGTGGTTTTCTAGCATTGTGAATTACAGTGATGCATTCAAAGAACAAGTGGAAAAATGGATACAAGAAAATCTACATGAAAACTCAAATGAATTACCATTTCAAACAAATATTTCTGAGCAACCACCAAAAGAAATAAACCAACAAATTCCTGTCGAAAAAAGCAAGGATTTGTCTGCCGCTGACCCTCCAGTATGTGTTGCCGCTGTACAAGATCCTCAGGATGAACTGCACTGCAGCCCTGTGACAGCATCTCAAATGCAACCAAGAGATCACGCTCACATCATTCTTCATCCTCAGCCTCAAGCTCATCTGCTTGCTTAAAAATGGAAACAAATCTTGCAATCTTGGCAGCAAAACAAAAGGCATTTATGGAAAAACATGCATTGGATGAAGAAGAATTAAAGCTACGCAAAAGAAGAGAACAACTTTTACTGGAGAATGAAATTGCTGAGGAAATGGCAAAACTAAGTGTTATAAAATCACAAGGCAATGTTGGCAGTAAATCAAAGTCAAAGGTTTCAGATGGGATGAACTCATATTATGAAAGGACACGCTCAAAACAACAACTTGATGTCAATGCCACTGAATTTGTCCAGTCGCTGCCAGTTAAACTAAAGCCCAATGCAATTGAAACCACACAGACAGCTGTGAAGCCTAAAGTCACGCGACTTGACAAACAACATCTCCCAGGTCCTTCTTATATGCTCCAACATTATCTAACGGCCCCTGAAGATCCTGTGACCAGTGTTACACAAACTGACGCATCACAAAATGACAGTGTGCTGGATATAATGAGAAAACAAAATGAAATTACAACAATCCTAATGCAACAACAATGCCTCTCAGCACTTCCAAAAAGGGAAATTCCCATTTTTGATGGTAACCCACTCGAATACCATGCGTTTATTAAAGCCTTTGAAAATGGAGTTGAGTGAAACACCAATAACAACTGCGACAGACTCTACTTCCTTGAACAGTACACCAAAGGGCATGCTAAAGAGCTAGTGAGGAGCTGTCAGCACATTGGGTGGATATGTAAAGGCAAAGGCTATATTGAAAGAGCACTATGGCAATGAGCAAAAGCTGGCAGCAGCATACATGGAGAGAGCTTTGTTGTGGCCCATCATTAAAACAGAGGATGCGAGAGCCCTCCAGGAGTACAGCCTCTTTCTGCGTGGATGCTGCAATGATATGGAGGATGTGCAGTATTTAAATGATCTGGACACGCCCACAAACATGGTGGAAATCCTCAAAAAACTGCCCTACAAACTCTGAGACCACTGGAGGTGCCACGCATGTGATCTGCAGGAAAGGTACAACAGAAGAGCAAGGTTTATGGACATTACCAACTTTGTTGAAAAACAGGTGAAAATCTTGACAGATCCTGTGTTTGGAAACATCCAGGACACTGCTATATCAACCAAACAAATGAAACACAAACCTCACCCTCGCTCCATCATCAGAGGAACCAGCTTCGTTACTACAGTGAATCGTGTGGAGAGAACAGCCCAACCTGTGAACGAAGCCAAGAACATAAGACCACCAGCCAAGAAGATCTGTCCCTGCTGCACTGGGCGGACACACACTGGATGTGTGTGCACGGTTGAAAAAAATGGTGCACAAGGAGAAAATTGATATCCTGAAGGAAAATGGTGCTTGTTTTCGCTGCCTGTGTATAGGGCACATCAGCAAAAATTGCCAAAGGAAGATTTCCTGCTCCAAGTGTGGCCAAAACCATTTTACTGTGCTCCATAAGGACAGTGTGGCAACTACAGAAGCGGCAGAGAGAAACGTCCAGGTTACAGTGGACAGCACCTTCGTTTCCAGTGGGCTTACAGGGGCTGGTGAAATGGATTGCAAGCTTCCTATTGTGCCGGTCCAAGTAAAGGCGAAGAGGGGCAATAAAATCATTCTCACATATGCCTTTTTGGACCCGGGAAGTACTGCAGTGTTATGTAGCAGAAGCTCAATTTGTCTGGAAAGAGAGCCAACATTCTTCTCAGGACCATGGGGCAGGAGAAGGTCGTCTGTAGCCACATCGTGCCAGGGCTGGAGGTGGCGGCACTTGAATGTGACAGCTTCATCGAGTTACCAAAAGCATACACTCAGTTGTCAATGCCAGTCCACAAAGCAAACATACCCACAAATAAGGATCTGACAAGGTGGCCATATTTAAAACAGATCTCTTTACCATAGATAGAGGCTGGCAGGCTTAAGTGGATACAAGGGCTCCACCTACTGGACAACTTTGAACTACCCAGATGTCTAAAACCTCTGGAGTTTGGAGATGTTATTATTGCACAACTACACTATTTCTGCGATGCCTGTGATGATGATTTCTGCGACCCTTCTGTCAGGCACACAGAAGGGTAAAGGCTAATTTATGCGTAACGTTACATGATCCGGATACGGACAAAGCTTTCCGTCCATGCTTCGTGGTCTTTTCATCTGTATTTCTGCACGTATCCTTGAAGCTTCCTGATACAGGCCAGACAGAGCAGTACCACCGTGGGGGCAGTGTTGCTGCTGCCCCCACTTGATGTGCATCTGTAGAGAGAAACGAAGAGGACAATGGCGAGGCTTTTTGAGGATCGTCATCAGTTTTTCTCAACGGTACTATTAGAGAATGAATTCTTCATCCTCCAACCGCGAGGCATTTAGTGGCCTGACCAACCACCACTTCTTCCAACGCTGCCTCCATTTCTGTCTCTTATGAAAAGTATAAATTAGGGCCCGAGCGTAGCTGCTAAGCAGCTGCGAGAGCCCTATTATTCCCCAAGTGGTTTTTCTTTGTTTCTTTCTTTCTTCTTTTTCCTCCCCTTTGAACTGGAAAATGGCCCACTTCCCACTGGCGAAAACTCATGAAATTTGGCAAGATGACCGGGCCTGGTGAAAAATTTGATATTCCGAAGTCGCCCAAACAAGAAAATGCAAAATGGCTCCATAGCGCCCCCTAAGGTGAAAATTCACACTATTGACTGTCACGCCTTTACGCTTTGTCAAAATGACAAAAAAATTGACACACATATGTATCTCAATAAGATCTACAAAAAAGTCAGTGCGGGCGTATCTGTCAAATGTACGGTTAAAGGGTTATTCCGCATTTTTTGCCGATCCGCACACATTGGAATTTCGCTAACTCCTCCGAAGGCTTTCTTTCCACCGGCACCACATTTGCTCAGGCCAATCCTCACCCCATGGCCATTAAAAGTTATTCAAATCATGACGCTGCACCCCACGGTTTAGGTTCTAGGGGGCGCCAAAGATAACCCTAAAATCCACATATTTAAAAGTCTTATAACTTTTTATTTTTGCCCTCACTGGCCTCCAAGTTTTCTAGGATGATGCAATGTCCAGCCATCAACACATTTGTGAAGGAATTTTTACTCCCCAAAAGAGCGCCCCCCCATGGCCGGAGAAAAAAGTCAATTTTTTCTTGTCCCCTAAGGTGAAAATACACATTGTTGAGTGTCACGCCTGTACGCTTTGTCATATTGACACAAAATTTGACACACACATGTATCTCAATAAGATCTACAAAAAAGTCCATGCGCGCGTATCTGTCAAATGTACAATTAAAGGGTTATTCCGCATTTTTTGCTGATCCGCACACATTGGAATTTCGCTAACTCCTCCTAAGGCTGGCGTTCCACCGGCACCACATTTGCTCAGCCCAATCTACACCCCATGGCCATTAAAAGTTATTCAAATCATGACGCTGCACCCCACGGTTTAGGTTCTAGGGGGCGCCAAAGATAACCCTAAAATCCACATATTTCAAAGTCTTATAACTTTTTATTTTTGTCCTCACTGGCCTCCAAGTTTTCTAGGATGATGCAATGTCCAGCCATCAACACATTTGTGAAGGAATTTTTACTCCTCAAAAGAGCGCCCCCCCCCATGGCAGGAGAAAAAAGTCAATTTTTTCTTGTCCCGTAAGGTGAAAATTCACATTGTTGAGTGTGACACCTGTACGCTTTGTCATATTGACACAAAATTTGACAATCACGTGTATCTCAATAAGATCTACGAAAAAGTCAATGGGTGCGTATCTGTCAAAGGTACGGTTAGAGGGCTATTTTGCATTTTTTGCCGATTCGCACACATTGGAATGTGGCTAACTCCTCCTAAGGCTTTCGTCCCACTGAAACCAAATTTGCTCAGGCCAATCTACACCCCATGGCCATTCAAAGTTGTAAAAATCATGACGCTGCACCCCACGGTTTACGTTCTAGGGGGCGCCAAAGATGACCAAAAAATCCACATTCTTAAAAGAATCCACATTCTCCCCCCCCCCATGGCAGGAGAAAAAGTCAAGTTTTTCCTGCCCATCGCTCAATGGCTCAATCGCATCGCTCTCCAGGCAACACCGTAACGAGGAGCAACCTGCCATTTGGATATATCCCAGCTGTGTTTGTGCCCTCACTCATGGTCCAGACTTTTTTCAAATAGGACATGAAGTTTGTCTGCAGCGAGTGTTTTGGTAGAAACTGCGCCTCCCATTCATTATAATGGGAAATGACCACAGACAAGTGCGCACACCATCTTTGGACCTTGAGTGTGACGCGATCGGGAGGGGGAGGCGGTCACGCTGGGGGCGGCACGACGCGGCTCGGGCCCGACAGTGCCCCACCGGGGCCCTAGTTATCACTAGCTCCTCCACAGTCGTCATGTTTCTTTAGGGCCCGAGCGTAGCTGCTAAGCAGCTGCGAGAGCCCTCTTGTTCCTGCATGTTTCCTTCTTTTGTTAGGGCCCGAGCGTAGCTGCTAAGCAGCTGCGAGAGCCCTATTATTCCCCAAGTGGTTTTTCTTTGTTTCTTTCTTTTTCTAGCAGCTGCGAGAGCCCTCTTGTTCTGTAGTTTCCTTCTTTTGTTATTATTATTTTTCCTCCCCTTTGAACTGGAAAATGGCCCACTTCCCACTGGCGAAAACTCATGAAATTTGGCAGGACGACCGGGCCTGGTGAAAAATTTGATATTCCGAAGTTGCCCAAACAAGAAAATGCAAAATGGCTCCATAGCGCCCCCTAAGGTGAAAATTCACACTATTGACTGTCACGCCTGTACGCTTTGTCAAAATGACACAAAAATTGACACACATATGTATCTCAGTAAGATCTACAAAAAAGTCAGTGCGGGCGTATCTGTCAAATGTACGGTTAAAGGGTTATTCCGCATTTTTTGCCGATCCGCACACATTGGAATTTCGCTAACTCCTCCGAAGGCTTTCGTTCCACCGGCACCACATTTGCTCAGGCCAATCTACACCCCATGGCCATTAAAAGTTATTCAAATCATGACGCTGCACCCCAAGGTTTAGGTTCTAGGGGGCGCCAAAGATAACCCTAAGATCCACATATTTAAAAGTCTTATAACTTTTTATTTTTGCCCTCACTGGCCTCCAAGTTTTCTAGGATGATGCAATGTCCAGCCATCAACACATTTGTGAAGGAATTTTTACTCCCCAAAAGAGCGCCCCCCCATGGCAGGAGAAAAAAGTCAATTTTTTCTTGTCCCCTAAGGTGAAAATACACATTGTTGAGTATAACGCCTGTACGCTTTGGCAAAATGACACAAAAATTTGACACACACATGTATCTCAATAAGATCTACGAAAAAGTCAATGCGCGCGTATCTGTCAAATGTACGGTTAAAGGGTTATTCCGCATTTTTTGCCGATCCGCACACATTGGAATTTCGCTAACTCCTCCTAAGGCTTTCGTTCCACCGGCACCACATTTGCTCAGGCCAATCTACACCCCATGGCCATTAAAAGTTATTCAAATCATGACGCTGCATCCCACGGTTTAGGTTCTAGGGGGCGCCAAAGATAACCCTAAAATCCACATATTTAAAAGTCTTATAACTTTTTATTTTTGTCCTCACTGGCCTCCAAGTTTTCTAGGATGATGCAATGTCCAGCCATCAACACATTTGTGAAGGAATTTTTACTCCCCAAAAGAGCGCCCCCCCATGGCAGGAGAAAAAAGTCAATTTTTTCTTGTCCCCTAAGGTGGAAATTCACACTATTGACTGTCACGCCTGTACGCTTTATCATATTGACACAAAAATTGACACACATATGTATCTCAATAAGATCTACAAAAAAGTCAATTCGCGCGTATCTGTCAAATGTACGGTTAAAGGGCTATTTTGCATTTTTTGCCGATTCGCACACATTGGAATGTGGCTAACTCCTCCTAAGGCTTTCGTCCCACTGACACCAAATTTGCTCAGGCCAATCTACACCCCATGGCCATTCAAAGTTGTAAAAATCATGACGCTGCACCCCACGGTTTACGTTCTAGGGGGCGCCAAAGATGACCCAAAAATCCACATTCTTAAAAGAATCCACATCCCCCCCTATGGCAGGAGAAAAAGTCAAGTTTTTCCTGCCCATCGCTCAATGGCTCAATCGCATCGCTCTCCAGGCAACACCGTAAGGAGGAGCAACCTGGCATTTCGATATATCATAGCTGTGTTTGTGCCCTCACTCATGGTCCAGACTTTTTTCAAATAGGACATGAAGTTTGTCTGCAGCGAGTGTTTTGGTAGAAACTGCGCCTCCCATTCATTATAATGGGAAATGACCACAGACAAGTGCGCACACCATCTTTGGTTCTTGAGTGTGACTCGATCGGGACGGGGAGGCGGTCGCACTGGGGGCGGCGCGACGCGGCTCGGGCCCGACAGTGCCCCACCGGGGCCCTAGTTCTTCTTTTTCCTCCCCTTTGAACTGGAAAATGGCCCACTTCCCACTGGCGAAAACTCATGAAATTTGGCAGGACGACCGGGCCTGGTGAAAAATTCGATATTCTGAAGTCGCCCAAACAATAAAATGCAAAATGGCTCCATAGCGCCCCCTAAGGTGGAAATTCACACTATTGACTGTCACGCCTGTACGCTTTGTCATATTGACACAAAAATTGACACACATATGTATCTCAATAAGATCTACAAAAAAGTCAGTGCGGGCGTATCTGTCAAATGTACGGTTAAAGGGTTATTGCGCATTTTTTGCCGATCCGCACACATTGGAATTTCGCTAACTCCTCCGAAGGCTTTCGTTCCACCGGCACCACATTTGCTCAGGCCAATCTACACCCCATGGCCATTAAAAGTTATTCAAATCATGACGCTGCACCCCACGGTTTAGGTTCTAGGGGGCGCCAAAGATAACCCTAAAATCCACATATTTAAAAGTCTTATAACTTTTTATTTTTGCCCTCACTGGCCTCCAAGTTTTCTAGGATAATGCAATGTCCAGCCATCAACACATTTGTGAAGGCATTTTTACTCCCCAAAAGAGCGCCCCCCCATGGCAGGAGAAAAAAGTCAATTTTTTCTTGTCCCCTAAGGTGAAAATACACATTGTAGAGTGTCACGCCTGTACGCTTTGTCAAAATGACACAAAATTTGACATACACGTGTATTTCAATAAGATCTTCGAAAAAGTCAATGGCCACGTATCTGTAAAATGTACGGTTAAAGGGTTATTTTGCATTTTTTGCAGATCCGCACACATTGGAATGTGGCTAACTCCTCCTAAGGCTTTTGTTCCACTAGCACCACATTTGCTCAGGCCAATCTACACCCCGTGGCCATTAAAAGTTATTAAAATCATGACGCTGCACCCCACGGTTAAGGTTCTAGGGGGCGCCAAAGATAACCCTAAAATCCACATATTTATAAAGTCTTATAACTTTTTATTTTTGTCCTCACTGTCCTCCAAGTTTTCTAGGATGATGCAATGTCCAGCCATCAACACAATTGTGAAGGAATTTTTACTCCCCAAAAGAACGCCCCCCCATGGCAGGAGAAAAAAGTCCATTTTTTCTTGTCCCATAAGGTGAAAATACACATTGTTGACTGTCATACCTGTACGCTTTGTCATATTGACACAAAATTTGACAATCACGTGTATCTCAATAAGATCTACGAAAAAGTCAATGCGCGCGTATCTGTAAAATGTACGGTTAAAGGGTTATTCCGCATTTTTTGCCGATCCGCACACATTGGAATGTGGCTAACTCCTCCTAAGGCTTTCGTTCCACCGGCACCACATTTGCTCAGGCCAATCTACACCCCATGGCCATTAAAAGTTATTCAAATCATGACGCTGCACCCCACGGTTTAGGTTCTAGGGGGCGCCAAAGACAACCCTAAAATCCACATATTTAAAAGTCTTATAACTTTTTATATTTGTCCTCACTGGCCTCCAAGTTTTCTAGGATGATGCAATGTCCAGCCATCAACACATTTTTGAAGGAATTTTTACTCCCCAAAAGAGCGCCCCCCATGGCAGGAGAAAAAAGTCCATTTTTTCTTGTCCCCTAAGGTGAAAATACATATTGTTGAGATTCACGCCTATACGCTTTGTCATATTGACACAAAATTTGACAATCACGTGCCTTGCCTGGTATCATTTTTTTTCAGCACAACCTCACCTGTGCGAATTTACAGTTATTTTATCATGTTGACATACTGAATTTACACAATGGACCCAAATTCACACACAAAACATAAAATCCGAAGTGGAAAAAAGTAACATTTTTACTGTGAAAACCACAAATATGTGTGATGAACTGTTTTTAAAACTTAAACTTCAAATAAAAATTGTAAACTTCAAAACATATGCAAATTTTTAACAAAGAACATAGTGATTTACCTCTATTTACATCAAAATGCAGGCAATGGCCCAGGCGTTCTTTGTAAAATTATTTACAAAACACTGTATAGTCTCACAAATGTCACTTTTTATTTATGCCACTACAAAAAAACATGATGTAAATGATGCATGATGTAAAACATGATGTAAAAAACTTGTGTAGATCCTCCTCTATGTCAGTCCATGTGTAATTTTTCCATAATTCTTTGTTTTTTGCAGCATTTTTGTTAGTGTAACTGCAGATTGTGCTGACAGTGTCTATGGCACAAAAAAAAAAAAAAATTAAAATGCCTCAACATGAACCCCTGGTGGTCTCTGAGGGTGAAACCTGCTAACTGCTGCAGCTCTGTCAGCTTCAGTCTCCCATGCAGAGCTCTGAGCGCATGTGTGGCTCTGCACCCTTAGCAGCGTTGCTAACTCCTCAGTAAGGAAAGCCTGCTTCATGTCAGAGTTTCTAAACTCCAGAAGAAGTCGATAAAAGTCCCTTTCTTTCTAAAAAAAAGTCGTTAGGGGGTCTGAAAAGTCATTGAATCTAACAACAAAGTCGCTAGGTTTGCAACTACGTGTCCCAGACTGCATCCCTGCTGAGAGTCCCTCCCTCCCTTCTCATGTTGCAGGAAGAACGTAAGCGCCCGCCCCTTGTCAATCAGTCACCATATAATTTTGGATTGGTTGTTGTGGTGAAGTTTTCCACCAATAGGAGAGATGTTGTGGTGTGTTTTTTTTTTCTTTTGGCAAGCCTTTTCCGCCTGTAAGACCTGTCGCTAATGTCTGCATGCTATGTTTTCCTGTCTCATACAGCGCGATCGAGCGCCGAACGTGATCAAAATAAGCAGAAAAAAAGTATCGCGGACATAATTTATCATAACTCTGGTTTTATTTGGCCTATCAACACAATTTAAAAACTGGTATATAGGTTGAGGTCCTCACTTTTGAGATAAGTTGAAACGGAGAGTCAACGAGGCTCCGTCTTGCAGCTACATCCGGTTAAATATGTCATGTGACTTGAACGCACACACACACACACACACAGACACACACACACGCACACACACACACACACACACACACACACACACACACACACACACACACACTCAGAGTCTGTTTTTTAGCACCTGCAAAAACATGCTATTTACATATTTGACAAGAATGCAGAGGCTCCTTTTGCCCCTGAAAAAAATCAAATTTCAAACACAGCTTGACTGGTCATTTCTCCAAAAGACAACCATGAAGCTCCATCCAAACCTGAAGCAGGCAGTTGGTGCATGTGTACAGTAACCTGAGGGGAGTGAGGTGACTGCTTCTGAGGAGAACATGAGCAGTGAAGATTCACCTTGGAGCTAGAACAGAGACGTGCACATGATTGTACAGGGGCAGGGCCTCAAGTTTTTTCCAGTCGTTTATACAATATGGAAATTAATGTGAAATTAAAAAACAAAGTATTAATAGAAAGGTAATGACTGTCCTGTGTACGTGACAGTGATATCCAATAGGCTAGGCACTCACGAGGCTGGCTGTGGCAAGTGTAAGTGAAAGCAACACGCACTGGCAGGAAGAACAGCAAACGCCGATGAAGGAAAAGGGTCTTTGCAGTGATGGGCGTTACCAGAGAGGGCGATGACCAGAGGACACAAATGGGACGGGGAGGCAGCGCGTTGGGGGCGACACGGCTCGGGCCCGCCAGTGCCCCAACGGGGTCCTAGTTATTAGGGCCCGAGCGTAGCTGCTAAGCAGCTGCGAGAGCCCTATTATTCCCCAAGTGGTTTTTCTTTGTTTCTTTCTTTCTTCTTTTTCCTCCCCTTTGAACTGGAAAATGGCCCACTTCCCACTGGCGAAAACTCATGAAATTTGGCAGGATGACCGGGCCTGGTGAAAAATTTGATATTCCGAAGTCGCCCAAACAAGAAAATGCAAAATGGCTCCATAGCGCCCCCTAAGGTGAAAATTCACACTATTGACTGTCACGCCTTTACGCTTTGTCATATTGACACAAAAATTGACACACACATGTATCTCAATAAGATCTACAAAAAAGTCAGTGCGGGCGTATCTGTCAAATGTACGGTTAAAGGGTTATTGCGCATTTTTTGCCGATCCGCACACATTGGAATTTCGCTAACTCCTCCGAAGGCTTTCGTTCCACCGGCACCACATTTGCTCAGGCCAATCTACAACCCATGGCCATTAAAAGTTATTCAAATCATGACGCTGCACCCCACGGTTTAGGTTCTAGGGGGCGCCAAAGATAACCCTAAAATCCACATATTTAAAAGTCTTATAACTTTTTATTTTTGCCCTCACTGGCCTCCAAGTTTTCTAGGATAATGCAATGTCCAGCCATCAACACATTTGTGAAGGCATTTTTACTCCCCAAAAGAGCGCCCCCCCATGGCAGGAGAAAAAAGTCAATTTTTTCTTGTCCCCTAAGGTGAAAATACACATTGTAGAGTGTCACGCCTGTACGCTTTGTCAAAATGACACAAAATTTGACATACACGTGTATTTCAATAAGATCTTCGAAAAAGTCAATGGCCACGTATCTGTAAAATGTACGGTTAAAGGGTTATTTTGCATTTTTTGCAGATCCGCACACATTGGAATGTGGCTAACTCCTCCTAAGGCTTTTGTTCCACTAGCACCACATTTGCTCAGGCCAATCTACACCCCGTGGCCATTAAAAGTTATTAAAATCATGACGCTGCACCCCACGGTTAAGGTTCTAGGGGGCGCCAAAGATAACCCTAAAATCCACATATTTATAAAGTCTTATAACTTTTTATTTTTGTCCTCACTGTCCTCCAAGTTTTCTAGGATGATGCAATGTCCAGCCATCAACACAATTGTGAAGGAATTTTTACTCCCCAAAAGAACGCCCCCCCATGGCAGGAGAAAAAAGTCCATTTTTTCTTGTCCCATAAGGTGAAAATACACATTGTTGACTGTCATACCTGTACGCTTTGTCATATTGACACAAAATTTGACAATCACGTGTATCTCAATAAGATCTACGAAAAAGTCAATGCGCGCGTATCTGTAAAATGTACGGTTAAAGGGTTATTCCGCATTTTTTGCCGATCCGCACACATTGGAATGTGGCTAACTCCTCCTAAGGCTTTCGTTCCACCGGCACCACATTTGCTCAGGCCAATCTACACCCCATGGCCATTAAAAGTTATTCAAATCATGACGCTGCACCCCACGGTTTAGGTTCTAGGGGGCGCCAAAGACAACCCTAAAATCCACATATTTAAAAGTCTTATAACTTTTTATATTTGTCCTCACTGGCCTCCAAGTTTTCTAGGATGATGCAATGTCCAGCCATCAACACATTTTTGAAGGAATTTTTACTCCCCAAAAGAGCGCCCCCCCATGGCAGGAGAAAAAAGTCCATTTTTTCTTGTCCCCTAAGGTGAAAATACATATTGTTGAGATTCACGCCTATACGCTTTGTCATATTGACACAAAATTTGACAATCACGTGCCTTGCCTGGTATCATTTTTTTTCAGCACAACCTCACCTGTGCGAATTTACAGTTATTTTATCATGTTGACATACTGAATTTACACAATGGACCCAAATTCACACACAAAACATAAAATCCGAGTGGAAAAAAGTAACATTTTTACTGTGAAAACCACAAATATGTGTGATGAACTGTTTTTAAAACTTAAACTTCAAATAAAAATTGTAAACTTCAAAACATATGCAAATTTTTAACAAAGAACATAGTGATTTACCTCTATTTACATCAAAATGCAGGCAATGGCCCAGGCGTTCTTTGTAAAATTATTTACAAAACACTGTATAGTCTCACAAATGTCACTTTTTATTTATGCCACTACAAAAAAACATGATGTAAATGATGCATGATGTAAAACATGATGTAAAAAACTTGTGTAGATCCTCCTCTATGTCAGTCCATGTGTAATTTTTCCATAATTCTTTGTTTTTTGCAGCATTTTTGTTAGTGTAACTGCAGATTGTGCTGACAGTGTCTATGGCACAAAAAAAAAAAAAAATTAAAATGCCTCAACATGAACCCCTGGTGGTCTCTGAGGGTGAAACCTGCTAACTGCTGCAGCTCTGTCAGCTTCAGTCTCCCATGCAGAGCTCTGAGCGCATGTGTGGCTCTGCACCCTTAGCAGCGTTGCTAACTCCTCAGTAAGGAAAGCCTGCTTCATGTCAGAGTCTCTAAACTCCAGAAGAAGTCGATAAAAGTCCCTTTCTTTCTAAAAAAAAGTCGTTAGGGGGTCTGAAAAGTCATTGAATCTAACAACAAAGTCGCTAGGTTTGCAACTACGTGTCCCAGACTGCATCCCTGCTGAGAGTCCCTCCCTCCCTTCTCATGTTGCAGGAAGAACGTAAGCGCCCGCCCCTTGTCAATCAGTCACCATATAATTTTGGATTGGTTGTTGTGGTGAAGTTTTCCACCAATAGGAGAGATGTTGTGGTGTGTTTTTTTTTTCTTTTGGCAAGCCTTTTCCGCCTGTAAGACCTGTCGCTAATGTCTGCATGCTATGTTTTCCTGTCTCATACAGCGCGATCGAGCGCCGAACGTGATCAAAATAAGCAGAAAAAAAGTATCGCGGACATAATTTATCATAACTCTGGTTTTATTTGGCCTATCAACACAATTTAAAAACTGGTATATAGGTTGAGGTCCTCACTTTTGAGATAAGTTGAAACGGAGAGTCAACGAGGCTCCGTCTTGCAGCTACATCCGGTTAAATATGTCATGTGACTTGAACGCACACACACACACACACAGACACACACACACGCACACACACACACACACACACACACACACACACTCAGAGTCTGTTTTTTAGCACCTGCAAAAACATGCTATTTACATATTTGACAAGAATGCAGAGGCTCCTTTTGCCCCTGAAAAAAATCAAATTTCAAACACAACTTGACTGGTCATTTCTCCAAAAGACAACCATGAAGCTCCATCCAAACCTGAAGCAGGCAGTTGGTGCATGTGTACAGTAACCTGAGGGGAGTGAGGTGACTGCTTCTGAGGAGAACATGAGCAGTGAAGATTCACCTTGGAGCTAGAACAGAGACGTGCACATGATTGTACAGGGGCAGGGCCTCAAGTTTTTTCCAGTCGTTTATACAATATGGAAATTAATGTGAAATTAAAAAACAAAGTATTAATAGAAAGGTAATGACTGTCCTGTGTACGTGACAGTGATATCCAATAGGCTAGGCACTCACGAGGCTGGCTGTGGCAAGTGTAAGTGAAAGCAACACGCACTGGCAGGAAGAACAGCAAACGCCGATGAAGGAAAAGGGTCTTTGCAGTGATGGGCGTTACCAGAGAGGGCGATGGCCAGAGGACACAAATGGGACGGGGAGGCAGCACGTTGGGGGGGGGGGGCGACACGGCTCGGGCCCGCCAGTGCCCCAACGGGGTCCTAGTTATTAGGGCCCGAGCGTAGCTGCTAAGCAGCTGCGAGAGCCCTATTATTCCCCAAGTGGTTTTTCTTTGTTTCTTTCTTTCTTCTTTTTCCTCCCCTTTGAACTGGAAAATGGCCCACTTCCCACTGGCGAAAACTCATGAAATTTGGCAGGATGACCGGGCCTGGTGAAAAATTTGATATTCCGAAGTCGCCCAAACAAGAAAATGCAAAATGGCTCCATAGCGCCCCCTAAGGTGAAAATTCACACTATTGACTGTCACGCCTTTACGCTTTGTCATATTGACACAAAAATTGACACACACATGTATCTCAATAAGATCTACAAAAAAGTCAGTGCGGGCGTATCTGTCAAATGTACGGTTAAAGGGTTATTCCGCATTTTTTGCCGATCCGCACACATTGGAATTTCGCTAACTCCTCCGAAGGCTTTCGTTCCACCGGCACCACATTTGCTCAGGCCAATCTACACCCCATGGCCATTAAAAGTTATTCAAATCATGACGCTGCACCCCACGGTTTAGGTTCTAGGGGGCGCCAAAGATAACCCTAAAATCCACATATTTAAAAGTCTTATAACTTTTTATTTTTGACCTCACTGGCCTCCAAGTTTTCTAGGATGATGCAATGTCCAGCCATCAACACATTTGTGAAGGAATTTTTAATCCCCAAAAGAGCGCCCCCCCATGGCAGGAGAAAAAAGTCCATTTTTTCTTGTCCCCTAAGGTGAAAATACACATTGTTGAGTGTCACGCCTGTACGCTTTGTCATATTTACACAAAATTTGACACACACATGTATCTCAATAAGATCTACGAAAAAGTCAATGCGCGCGTATCTGTCAAATGTACAGTTAAAGGGTTATTCCGCATTTTTTGCTGATCCGCACACATTGGAATTTCGCTAACTCCTCCTAAGGCTGGCGTTCCACCGGCACCACATTTGCTCAGGCCAATCTACACCCCATGGCCATTAAAAGTTATTCAAATCATGACGCTGCACCCCACGGTTTAGGTTCTAGGGGGCGCCAAAGATAACCCTAAAATCCACATATTTCAAAGTCTTATAACTTTTTATTTTTGTCCTCACTGGCCTCCAAGTTTTCTAGGATGATGCAATGTCCAGCCATCAACACATTTGTGAAGGAATTTTTACTCCCCAAAAGAGCGCCCCCCCATGGCAGGAGAAAAAAGTCCATTTTTTCTTGTCCCATAAGGTGAAAAAACACATTGTTGACTGTCATACCTGTACGTTTTTTCATATTGACACAAAATTTGACAATCACATGTATCTCAATAAGATCTACAAAAAAGTCAGTGCGGGCGTATCTGTCAAATGTACGGTTAAAGGGTTATTCCGCATTTTTTGCCGATCCGCACACATTGGAATTTCACTAACTCCTCCTAAGGCTGGCGTTCCACCGGCACCACATTTGCCCAGGCCAATCTACACCCCATGGCCATTAAAAGTTATTCAAATCATGACGCTGCACCCCACGGTTTAGGTTCTAGGGGGCGCCAAAGATAACCCTAAAATCCACATATTTCAAAGTCTTATAACTTTTTAGGGCCCGAGCGTAGCTGCTAAGCAGCTGCGAGAGCCCTATTATTCCCCAAGGGGTTTTTCTTTGTTTCTTTCTTTCTTCTTTTTCCTCCCCTTTGAACTGGAAAATGGCCCACTTCCCACTGGCGAAAACTCATGAAATTTGGCAGGATGACCGGGCCTGGTGAAAAATTTGAGATTCCGAAGTCGCCCAAACAAGAAAATGCAAAATGGCTCCATAGCGCCCCCTAAGGTGAAAATTCACACTATTGACTGTCACGCCTTTACGCTTTGTCATATTGACACAAAAATTGACACACACATGTATCTCAATAAGATCTACAAAAAAGTCAGTGCGGGCGTATCTGTCAAATGTACGGTTAAAGGGTTATTGCGCATTTTTTGCCGACCCGCACACATTGGAATTTCGCTAACTCCTCCGAAGGCTTTCGTTCCACCGGCACCACATTTGCTCAGGCCAATCTACACCCCATGGCCATTAAAAGTTATTCAAATCATGACGCTGCACCCCACGGTTTAGGTTCTAGGGGGCGCCAAAGATTACCCTAAAATCCACATATTTAAAAGTCTTATAACTTTTTATTTTTGACCTCACTGGCCTCCAAGTTTTCTAGGATGATGCAATGTCCAGCCATCAACACATTTGTGAAGGAATTTTTAATCCCCAAAAGAGCGCCCCCCCATGGCAGGAGAAAAAAGTCCATTTTTTCTTGTCCCCTAAGGTGAAAATACACATTGTTGAGTGTCACGCCTGTACGCTTTGTCATATTGACACAAAATTTGACACACACATGTATCTCAATAAGATCTACGAAAAAGTCAATGCGCGCGTATCTGTCAAATGTACGGTTAAAGGGTTATTCCGCATTTTTTGCTGATCCGCACACATTGGAATTTCGCTAACTCCTCCTAAGGCTGGCGTTCCACCGGCACCACATTTGCTCAGGCCAATCTACACCCCATGGCCATTAAAAGTTATTCAAATCATGACGCTGCACCCCACGGTTTAGGTTCTAGGGGGCGCCAAAGATAACCCTAAAATCCACATATTTCAAAGTCTTATAACTTTTTATTTTTGTCCTCACTGGCCTCCAAGTTTTCTAGGATGATGCAATGTCCAGCCATCAACACATTTGTGAAGGAATTTTTACTCCCCAAAAGAGCGCCCCCCATGGCAGGAGAAAAAAGTCCATTTTTTCTTGTCCCATAAGGTGAAAAAACACATTGTTGACTGTCATACCTGTACGCTTTGTCATATTGACACAAAATTTGACAATCACATGTATCTCAATAAGATCTACGAAAAAGTCAATGCGCGCGTATCTGTAAAATGTACGGTTAAAGGGCTATTTTGCATTTTTTGCCGATTCGCACACATTGGAATGTGGCTAACTCCTCCTAAGGCTTTCGTCCCACTGACACCAAATTTGCTCAGGCCAATCTACACCCCATGGCCATTCAAAGTTGTAAAAATCATGACGCTGCACCCCACGGTTTACGTTCTAGGGGGCGCCAAAGATGACCCAAATATCCACATTCTTAAAAGAATCCACATCCCCCCCCCCCCATCCCCCATCCCCCATGGCAGGAGAAACAGTCAAGTTTTTCCTGCCCATCACTCAATGGCTCAATCGCATCACTCTCCCGGCAACACCGTAACAAGGAGCAACTTGCCGTTTGGATATATCCTAGCTGTGTTTGTGCCCTCACTCATGGTCCAGACTTTTTTCAAATAGGACATGTAGTTTGTCTGCAGCGAGTGTTTTGGTAGAAACTGCGCCTCCCATTCATTATAATGGGAAATGACCACAGACAAGTGCGCACACCATCTTTGGACCTTGAGTGTGACGCGATCGGGAGGGGGAGGCGGTCGCGCTGGGGGCGGCGCAACGCGGCTCGGGCCCGACAGTGCCCCACCGGGGCCCTAGTTATTTTTGTCCTCACTGGCCTCCAAGTTTTCTAGGATGATGCAATGTCCAGCCATCAACACATTTGTGAAGGAATTTTTACTCCCCAAAAGAGCGCCCCCCCATGGCAGGAGAAAAAAGTCCATTTTTTCTTGTCCCATAAGGTGAAAAAACACATTGTTGACTGTCATACCTGTACGCTTTGTCATATTGACACAAAATTTGACAATCACATGTATCTCAATAAGATCTACGAAAAAGTCAATGCGCGCGTATCTGTAAAATGTACGGTTAAAGGGCTATTTTGCATTTTTTGCCGATTCGCACACATTGGAATGTGGCTAACTCCTCCTAAGGCTTTCGTCCCACTGACACCAAATTTGCTCAGGCCAATCTACACCCCATGGCCATTCAAAGTTGTAAAAATCATGACGCTGCACCCCACGGTTTACGTTCTAGGGGGCGCCAAAGATGACCCAAATATCCACATTCTTAAAAGAATCCACATCCCCCCCCCCCACCCCATCCCCCAACCCCCATCCCCCATGGCAGGAGAAACAGTCAAGTTTTTCCTGCCCATCACTCAATGGCTCAATCGCATCACTCTCCCGGCAACACCGTAACAAGGAGCAACTTGCCGTTTGGATATATCCTAGCTGTGTTTGTGCCCTCACTCATGGTCCAGACTTTTTTCAAATAGGACATGTAGTTTGTCTGCAGCAAGTGTTTTGGTAGAAACTGCGCCTCCCATTCATTATAATGGGAAATGACCACAGACAAGTGCGCACACCATCTTTTGACCTTGAGTGTGACGCGATCGGGAGGGGGAGGCGGTCGCGCTGGGGGCGGCGCAACGCGGCTCGGGCCCGACAGTGCCCCACCGGGGCCCTAGTTAGGGCCCGAGCGTAGCTGCTAAGCAGCTGCGAGAGCCCTATTATTCCCCAAGTGGTTTTTCTTTGTTTCTTTTTTCTTTTTCCTCCCCTTTGAACTGGAAAATGGCCCACTTCCCACTGGCAAAAACTCATGAAATTTGGCAGGACGACCGGGCCTGGTGAAAAATTTGATATTCTGAAGTCGCCCAAACAATACAATGCAAAATGGCTCCATAGCGCCCCCTAAGGTGAAAAATTCACCTGACGCCTGTACGCTTTGTCAAAATGACACAAAAATTGACACACACATGTATCTCAATAAGATCTACAAAAAAGTCAGTGCGGGCGTATCTGTCAAATGTACGGTTAAAGGGTTATTGCGCATTTTTTGCCGATCCGCACACATTGGAATTTCGCTAACTCCTCCGAAGGCTTTTGTTCCACCGGCACCACATTTGCTCAGGCCAATCTACACCCCATGGCCATTAAAAGTTATTCAAATCATTATGCTGCACCCCACGGTTTAGGTTCTAGGGGGCGCCAAAGATAACCCTAAAATCCACATATTTCAAAGTCTTATAACTTTTTATTTTTGCCCTCACTGGCCTCCAAGTTTTCTAGGATGATGCAATGTCCAGCCATCAACACATTTGTGAAGGAATTTTTACTCCCCAAAAGAGCGCCCCCCATGGCAGGAGAAAAAAGTCAATTTTTTCTTGTCCCGTAAGGTGAAAATTCACATTGTTGAGTGTGACACCTGTACGCTTTGTCATATTGACACAAAATTTGACTATCACGTGTATCTCAATAAGATCTACGAAAAGGTCAATGTGCGCGTATCTGTCAAATGTACGGTTAAAGGGTTATTCCGCATTTTTTGCCGATCCGCACACATTGGAATTTCGCTAACTCCTCCGAAGGCTTTCGTTCCACCGGCACCACATTTGCTCAGGCCAAATTACACCCCATGGCCATTAAAAGTTATTCAAATCATGACGCTGCACCCCACGGTTTATGTTCTAGGGGGCGCCAAAGATAACCCAAAAATCCACATTTTTAAAAGTCTTATAACTTTTTATTTTTGTCCTCACTGGCCTCCAAGTTTTCTAGGATGATGCAATGTCCAGCCATCAACACATTTGTGAAGGAATTTTTACTCCCTAAAAGAGCGCCCCCCCATGGCAGGAGAAAAAAGTCCATTTTTTCTTGTCCCCTAAGGTGAAAATACACATTGTTGACTGTCACGCCTTTACGCTTTGGCAAAATGACACAAAAATTGACAATCATGTGTATCTCAATTAGATCTATGAAAAAGTCAAAGAGCGCGTATCTGTATAATGTACGGTAAAAGGGCTATTTTGCATTTTTTGCCGATTCGCACACATTGGAATTTCGCTAACTCCTCCTAAGGCTTTCGTCCCAATGACACCAAATTTGCTCAGGCCAATCTACACTCCATGGCCATTCAAAGTTGTAAAAATCATGACGCTGCACCCCACGGTTTACGTTTTAGGGGGCGCCAAAGATGACCCAAATATACATTACAGTAGACAAAGTAGTTTTGCCCACTGAGTGGCGCCAAAGGGACTTGTCTGTGGAGTCTGTGAGTCACTATTGGCCGTTTTTGACTCCTTTAGATTTTACCTTTATATTTCCTCTTACAAAATTTTTACCTTGCCTTGCCTGGTATCATTTTTTTCAGCACAACCTCACCTGTGTCAATTTACAGTTATTTTATCATTTTGACATACTATATTTACACATTGGACCCAAATTCACACACAAAACATAAAATCCGAGTGGAAAAAAGTAACGTTTTTACTGTGAAAACCACAAATATGTGTGATGAACTGTTTTTAAAACTTAAACTTCAAATAAAAATTGTAAACTTCAAAACATATGCAAATTTTTAACAAAGAACATAGTAATTTACCTCTATTTACATCAAAATGCAGGCAATGGCCCAGGTGTTCTTTGTAAAATTATTTACAAAACACTGTATAGTCTTACAAATGTCACTTTTTATTTATGCCACTACAAAAAAACATGATGTAAATGATGCATGATGTAAAACATGATGTAAAAAACTTGTGTAGATCCTCCTCTGTTAGAATTATGGAAAAATTACACATGGACTTTGTTTTTTGCAGCATTTTTGTTAGTGTAACTGCAGATTGTGCTGACAGTGTCTATGGCAAAAAAAAAAAAAAAACTGAAAATGCCTCAACATGAACCCCTGGTGGTCTCTGAGGGTGAAACCTGCTAACTGCTGCAGCTCTGTCAGCTTCAGTCTCCCATGCAGAGCTCGGAGCGCATGTGTGGCTCTGCACCCTTAGCAGCGTTGCTAACTCCTCAGTAAGGAAAGCCTGCTTCATGTCAGAGTCTCTAAACTCCAGAAGAAGTCGATAAAAGTCACTTTCTTTCTAAAAAAAAGTCGTTAGGGGGTCTGAAAAGTCATTGAATCTAACAACAAAGTCGCTAGGTTTGCAACTACGTGTCCCAGACTGCATCCCTGCTGAGAGTCCCTCCCTCCCTTCTCATATTGCAGGAAGAACGTAAGCGCCCGCCCCTTGTCAATCAGTCACCATATAATTTTGGATTGGTTGTTGTGGTGAAGTTTTCCACCAATAGGAGAGATGTTGTGGTGTGTTTTTTTCCTTTGGCAAGCCTTTTCCGCCTGTAAGACCTGTCGCGAATGTCTGCATGCTATGTTTTCCTGTCTCATACAGCGCGATCGAGCGCCGAACGTGATCAAAATAAGCAGAAAACAAGTATCGCGGACATAATTTATCATAACTCTGGTTTTATTTGGCCTATCAACACAATTTAAAAACTGGTATATAGGTTGAGGTCCTCACTTTTGAGATAAGTTGAAACGGAGAGTCAACGAGGCTCCGTCTTGCAGCTACATCCGGTTAAATATGTCATGTGACTTGAACGCACACACACACACACACACACACACAGACACACACACACACGCACACACACACACTCAGAGTCTGGTTTTTAGCACCTGCAAAAACATGCTATTTACATATTTGACAAGAATGCAGAGGCTCCTTTTGCCCCTGAAAAAAATCAAATTTCAAACACAACTTGACTGGTCATTACTCCAAAAGACAACCATGAAGCTCCATCCAAACCTGAAGCAGGCAGTTGGTGCATGTGTACAGTAACCTGAGGGGAGTGAGGTGACTGCTTCTGAGGAGAACATGAGCAGTGAAGATTCACCTTAGAGCTAGAACAGAGACGTGCACATGATTATACAGGGGCAGGGGCTCAAGTTTTTTCCAGTTGTTTATACAATATGGAACTTAATGTGAAATTAAAAAACAAAGTACTAGGACCCCGTTGGGGCACTGGCGGGCCCGAGCCGTGTCGCGTCCCCCCCCCAACGTGCTGCCTCCCCGTCCCATTTGTGTCCTCTGGCCATCGCCCTCTCTGGTAACGCCCATCACTGCAAAGACCCTTTTCCTTCATCGGCGTTTGCTGTTCTTCCTGCCAGTGCGTGTTGCTTTCACTTACACTTGCCACAGCCAGCCTCGTGAGTGCCTAGCCTATTGGATATCACTGTCACCTACACAGGACAGTCATTACCTTTCTATTAATACTTTGTGTTTTAATTTCACATTAATTTCCATATTGTATAAACGACTGGAAAAAACTTGAGCCCCTGCCCCTGTATAATCATGTGCATGTCTCTGTTCTCGCTCCAAGGTGAATCTTCACTGCTCATGTTCTCCTCAGAAGCACTCACCTCACTCCCCTCAGGTTACTGTACACATGCACCAACTGCCTGCTTCAGGTTTGGATGGAGCTTCATGGTTGTCTTTTGGAGAAATGACCAGTCAAGTTGTGTTTGAAATTTGATTTTTTTCAGGGGCAAAAGGAGCCTCTGCATTCTTGTCAAATATGTAAATAGCATGTTTTTGCAGGTGCTAAAAACCAGACTCTGAGTGTGTGTGTGTGTGTGTGTGTGTGTGTCTGTGTGTGCGTTCAAGTCACATGACATATTTAACCGGATGTAGCTGCAAGACGGAGCCTCGTTGACTCTCCGTTTCAACTTATCTCAAAAGTGAGGACCTCAACCTATATACCAGTTTTTAAATTGTGTTGATAGGCCAAATAAAACCAGAGTTATGATAAATTATGTCCGCGATACTTTTTTTCTGCTTATTTTGATCACGTTCGGCGCTCGATCGCGCTGTATGAGACAGGAAAACATAGCATGCAGACATTAGCGACAGGTCTTACAGGCGGAAAAGGCTTGCCAAAAGAAAAAAAAAACACACCACAACATCTCTCCTATTGGTGGAAAACTTCACCACAACAACCAATCCAAAATTATATGGTGACTGATTGACAAGGGGCGGGCGCTTACGTTCTTCCTGCAACATGAGAAGCGAGGGAGGGACTCTCAGCAGGGATGCAGTCTGGGACACGTAGTTGCAAACCTAGCGACTTTGTTGTTAGATTCAATGACTTTTCAGACCCCCTAACGACTTTTTTTTAGAAAGAAAGGGACTTTTATCGACTTCTTCTGGAGTTTAGAGACTCTGACATGAAGCAGGCTTTCCTTACTGAGGAGTTAGCAACGCTGCTAAGGGTGCAGAGCCACACATGCGCTCCGAGCTCTGCATGGGAGACTGAAGCTGACAGAGCTGCAGCAGTTAGCAGGTTTCACCCTCAGAGACCACCAGGGGTTCATGTTGAGGCATTTAAAAAAATTTTTTTTGTGCCATAGACACTGTCAGCACAATCTGCAGTTACACTAACAAAAATGCTGCAAAAAACAAAGAATTATGGAAAAATTACACATGGACTGACATAGAGGAGGATCTACACAAGTTTTTTACATCATGTTTTACATCATGCATCATTTACATCATGTTTTTTTGTAGTGGCATAAATAAAAAGTGACATTTGTGAGACTATACAGTGTTTTGTAAATAATTTTACAAAGAACGCCTGGGCCATTGCCTGCATTTTGATGTAAATAGAGGTAAATCACTATGTTCTTTGTTAAAAATTTGCATATGTTTTGAAGTTTACAATTTTTATTTGAAGTTTAAGTTTTAAAAACAGTTCATCACACATATTTGTGGTTTTCACAGTAAAAATGTTACTTTTTTCCACTCGGATTTTATGTTTTGTGTGTGAATTTGGGTCCATTGTGTAAATTCAGTATGTCAACATGATAAAATAACTGTAAATTCGCACAGGTGAGGTTGTGCTGAAAAAAATGATACCAGGCAAGGCACGTGATTGTCAAATCTTGTGTCAATATGACAAAGCGTATAGGCGTGAATCTCAACAATATGTATTTTCACCTTAGGGGACAAGAAAAAATGGACTTTTTTCTCCTGCTATGGGGGGGCGCTCTTTTGGGGAGTAAAAATTCCTTCACAAATGTGTTGATGGCTGGACATTGCATCATCCTAGAAAACTTGGAGGCCAGTGAGGACAAAAATAAAAAGTTATAAGACTTTGAAATATGTGGATTTTAGGGTTATTTTTGGCGCCCCCTAGAACCTAAACCGTGGGGTGCAGCGTCATGATTTGAATAACTTTTAATGGCCATGGGGTGTAGATTGGCCTGAGCAAATGTGGTGCCGGTGGAACGAAAGCCTTCGGAGGAGTTAGCCACATTCCAATGTGTGCGTATCGGCAAAAAATGCGGAATAACCCTTTAACCGTACATTTGACAGATACGCGCTCATAGACTTTTTTGTAGATCTTATTGAGATACATGTGTGTGTCAATTTTTGTGTCATTTTGCCAAAGCGTAAAGGCGTGACACTCAACAATGTGTATTTTCACCTTAGGGGACAAGAAAAAATGGACTTTTTTCTCCTGCCATGGGGGGGCGCTCTTTTGGGGAGTAAAAATTCCTTCACAAATGTGTTGATGGCTGGACATTGCATCATCCTAGAAAACTTGGAGGCCAGTGAGGACAAAAATAAAAAGTTATAAGACTTTTAAATATGTGGATTTTAGGGTTATTTTTGGCGCCCCCTAGAACCTAAACCGTGGGGTGCAGCGTCATGATTTGAATAACTTTTAATGGCCATGGGGTGTAGATTGGCCTGAGCAAATGTGGTGCCGGTGGAACGAAAGCCTTCGGAGGAGTTAGCGAAATTCCAATGTGTGCAGATCTGCAAAAAATGCAAAATAACCCATTAACCGTACATTTGACAGATACGCCCACACTGACTTTTTTGAAGATCTTATTGAGATACATGTGTGTGTCAATTTTTGTGTCAATATGACAAAGCGTACAGCCGTCATGTGAATTTTCACCTTAGGGGGCGCTATGGAGCCATTTTGCATTTTATTGTTTGGGCGACTTCGGAATATCAAATTTTTCACCAGGCCCGGTCGTCCTGCCAAATTTCATGAGTTTTCGCCAGTGGGAAGTGGGCCATTTTCCAGTTCAAAGGGGAGGAAAAAGAAACTAGGGCCCCGTTGGGGCACTGGCGGGCCCGAGCCGTGTCACGCCGCCCCCAGTGGACCGCCTCCCCCACCCGATCGCGTCACACTCAAGGTCCAAAGATGGTGTGCGCACTTGTTTGTGGTCATTTACCATTATAATGAACGGGAGGCGCAGTTTCTACCAAAACGCTCGCTGCAGAAAAACTCCATGTCCTATTTGAAAAAAGTCTGGACCATGAGTGAGGGCACAAACACAGCTAAGATATATCCAAATGGCAAGTTGCTCCTCCTTTCGCTTTTGCCGAGAGAGCAGTGCGTTTGAGCCATTGAATGATGAACAGGAAAAACTTGACTTTATTCTCCTGCCATGGGGGGGCGCTCTTTTAAAGAGAAAAAACTCCTTCACAAATGTGTTGATGGCTGGACATTGCATCATCCTATAAAACATGGAGGCCAGTGAGGACAAAAATAAAAAGTTATAAGACTTTTAAATATGTGGATTTTAGGGTTTTATTTGGCGCCCCCTAGAACCTAAACCGTGGGGTGCAGCGTCATGATTTGAATAACTTTTAATGGCCATGGGGTGTAGATTGGCCTGAGCAAATGTGGTGCCGGTGGAACGAAAGCCTTCGGAGGAATTAGCGAAATTCCAATGTGTGCGAATCTGCAAAAAATGCGAAATAACCCTTTAACTGTACATTTTACAGATACGTGGCCATTGACTTTTTCGAAGATCTTATTGAAATACACGTGTATGTAAAATTTTGTGTCAATACGACAAAACATACAGGCGTAGCACTCAACAATGTGTATTTTCACCTTAGTGGACAAGAAAAAATTGACTTTTTTCTCCTGCCATGGGGGGGCGCTCTTTTGCCGAGTAAAAATTCCTTCACAAATGTGTTGATGGCTGGACATTGCATCATCCTAGAAAACTTGGAGGCCAGTGGGGACAAAAATAAAAAGTTATAAGACTTTTAAATATGTGGATTTTAGGGTTATCTTTGGCGCCCCCTAGAACCTAAACCGTGGGGTGCAGCGTCATGATTTGAATAACTTTTAATGGCCATGGGGTGTAGATTGGCCTGAGCAAATGTGGTGCCGGTGGAACGAAAGCCTTCGGAGGAGTTAGCGAAATTCCAATGTGTGCGAATCGGCAAAAAATGCGGAATAACCCTTTAACCGTACATTTGACAGATACGCGCGCATGGACTTTTTTGTAGATCTTATTGAGATACATGTGTGTGTCAATTTTTGTGTCATTTTGACGAAGCGTACAGGCGTGACACTCAACAATGTGTATTTTCACCTTAGGGGACAAGAAAAAATGGACTTTTTTCTCCTGCCATGGGGGGGCGCTCTTTTGGGGAGTAAAAATTCCTTCACAAATGTGTTGATGGCTGGACATTGCATCATCCTAGAAAACTTGGAGGCCAGTGAGGGCAAAAATAAAAAGTTATAAGACTTTTAAATATGTGGATTTTAGGGTTATCTTTGGCGCCCCCTAGAACCTAAACCGTGGGGTGCAGCGTCATGATTTGAATAACTTTTAATGGCCATGGGGTGTAGATTGGCCTGAGCAAATGTGGTGCCGGTGGAACGAAAGCCTTCGGAGGAGTTAGCGAAATTCCAATGTGTGCGGATCGGCAAAAAATGCGAAATAACCCTTTAACCGTACATTTGACAGATACGCCCGCACTGACTTTTTTGTAGATCTTATTGAGATACATGTGTGTGTCAAATTTTGTGTCATTTTGACAAAGCGTACAGGCGTGACACTCAATAGTGTGAATTTTCACCTTAGGGGGCGCTATGGAGCCATTTTGCATTTTCTTGTTTGGGCGACTTCGGAATATCAAATTTTTCACCAGGCCCGGTCGTCCTGCCAAATTTCATGAGTTTTCGCCAGTGGGAAGTGGGCCATTTTCCAGTTCAAAGGGGAGGAAAAAGAAACTAGGACCCCGTTGGGACACTGGAGGGCCCGAGCCGTGTCGCGTCCCCCCCCCCCCCAACGTGCTGCCTCCCCGTCCCATTTGTGTCCTCTGGCCATCGCCCTCTCTGGTAACGCCCATCACTGCAAAGACCCTTTTCCTTCATCGGCGTTTGCTGTTCTTCCTGCCAGTGCGTGTTGCTTTCACTTACACTTGCCACAGCCAGCCTCGTGAGTGCCTAGCCTATTGGATATCACTGTCACCTACACAGGACAGTCATTACCTTTCTATTAATACTTTGTGTTTTAATTTCACATTAATTTCCATATTGTATAAACGACTGGAAAAAACTTGAGCCCCTGCCCCTGTATAATCATGTGCATGTCTCTGTTCTAGCTCCAAGGTGAATCTTCACTGCTCATGTTCTCCTCAGAAGCACTCACCTCACTCCCCTCAGGTTACTGTACACATGCACCAACTGCCTGCTTCAGGTTTGGATGGAGCTTCATGGTTGTCTTTTGGAGAAATGACCAGTCAAGTTGTGTTTGAAATTTGATTTTTTTCAGGGGCAAAAGGAGCCTCTGCATTCTTGTCAAATATGTAAATAGCATGTTTTTGCAGGTGCTAAAAACCAGACTCTGAGTGTGTGTGTGTGTGTGTGTGTGTGTGTGTGTGTGTGCGTGTGTGTGTGTCTGTGTGTGCGTTCAAGTCACATGACATATTTAACCGGATGTAGCTGCAAGACGGAGCCTCGTTGACTCTCCGTTTCAACTTATCTCAAAAGTGAGGACCTCAACCTATATACCAGTTTTTAAATTGTGTTGATAGGCCAAATAAAACCAGAGTTATGATAAATTATGTCCGCGATACTTTTTTTCTGCTTATTTTGATCACGTTCGGCGCTCGATCGCGCTGTATGAGACAGGAAAACATAGCATGCAGACATTAGCGACAGGTCTTACAGGCGGAAAAGGCTTGCCAAAAGAAAAAAAAAACACACCACAACATCTCTCCTATTGGTGGAAAACTTCACCACAACAACCAATCCAAAATTATATGGTGACTGATTGACAAGGGGCGGGCGCTTACGTTCTTCCTGCAACATGAGAAGGGAGGGAGGGACTCTCAGCAGGGATGCAGTCTGGGACACGTAGTTGCAAACCTAGCGACTTTGTTGTTAGATTCAATGACTTTTCAGACCCCCTAACGACTTTTTTTTAGAAAGAAAGGGACTTTTATCGACTTCTTCTGGAGTTTAGAGACTCTGACATGAAGCAGGCTTTCCTTACTGAGGAGTTAGCAACGCTGCTAAGGGTGCAGAGCCACACATGCGCTCAGAGCTCTGCATGGGAGACTGAAGCTGACAGAGCTGCAGCAGTTAGCAGGTTTCACCCTCAGAGAACACCAGGGGTTCATGTTGAGGCATTTTCAGTTTTTGTTTTTTTTGCCATAGACTGTCAGCACAATCTGCAGTTACACTAACAAAAATGCTGCAAAAAACAAAGAATTATGGAAAAATTACACATGGACTGACATAGAGGAGGATCTACACAAGTTTTTTACATCATGTTTTACATCATGCATCATTTACATCATGTTTTTTTGTAGTGGCATAAATAAAAAGTGACATTTGTGAGACTATACAGTGTTTTGTAAATAATTTTACAAAGAACGCCTGGGCCATTGCCTGCATTTTGATGTAAATAGAGGTAAATTACTATGTTCTTTGTTAAAAATTTGCATATGTTTTGAAGTTTACAATTTTTATTTGAAGTTTAAGTTTTAAAAACAGTTCATCACACATATTTGTGTTTTAATTTCACATTAATTTCCATATTGTATAAATGACTGGAAAAAACTTGAGCCCCTGCCCCTGTATAATCATGTGCACGTCCCTGTTCTAGCTCCAAGGTGAATCTTCACTGCTCATGTTCTCCTCAGAAATAGTCACCTCACTCCCCTCAGGTTACTGTACACATGCACCAACTATCTGCTTCAGGTTTGGATGGAGCTTCATGGTTGTCTTTTGGAGAAATGAACAGTCAAGTTGTGTTTGAAATCTGATTTTTTTCAGGGGCAAAAGGAAGCCTCTGCATTCTTGTCAAATATGTAAACAGCATGTTTTTGCAGGTGCTAAAAAACAGACTCTGAGTGTGTGTGTGTGTGTGTGTGTGTGTGTGTATGTGTGTGTATCCTGCAGTACTCTGTACTCCTGCAGTGGCCAAAAAGACTTTTAAGAATGTGGATTTTTGGGTCATCTTTGGCGCCCCCTAGAACTGCAGTACTCTGTACTCCTGCAGTGTCCAAAATGACTTTTAAGAATGTGGATTTTTGGGTCATCTTTGGTGCCCCCTAAAACGTAAACCGTGGGGTGCAGCGTCATGATTTTTACAACTTTGAATGGGCATGGGGTGTAGATTGCCCTGAGCAAATTTGGTATCGGTGGGACGAAAGCCTTAGGAGGAGATAGCCACATTCCAATGTGTGCGAATCGGCAAAAAATGCGAAATAGCCCTTTAAACGTACATTATACAGATACGCGCTTTTTGACTTTTTCGTAGATCTAATTGAGATACACGTGATTGTCAATTTTTGTGTCAATATGACAAAGCGTTCAGGCATGACACTCAACAATGTGTATTTTGATGTAAGGGGACAAGAAAAAATTGACTTTTTTCTCCTGCCATGGGGGGGCGCTCTTTTGGGGAGTAAAAATTCCTTCACAAATGTGTTGATGGCTGGACATTGCATCATCCTAGAAAACTTGGAGGCCAGTGAGGGCAAAAATAAAAAGTTATAAGACTTTTAAATATGTGGATTTTAGGGTTATCTTTGGCGCCCCCTAGAACCTAAACCGTGGGGTGCAGCGTCATGATTTGAATAACTTTTAATGGCCATGGGGTGTAGATTGGCCTGAGCAAATGTGGTGCCGGTGGAACGAAAGCCTTCGGAGGAGTTAGCGAAATTCCAATGTGTGCGGATCGGCAAAAAATGCGAAATAACCCTTTAACCGTACATTTGACAGATACGCCCGCACTGACTTTTTTGTAGATCTTATTGAGATACATGTGTGTGTCAAATTTTGTGTCATTTTGACAAAGCGTACAGGCGTCAGGTGAATTTTTCACCTTAGGGGGCGCTATGGAGCCATTTTGCATTGTATTGTTTGGGCGACTTCAGAATATCAAATTTTTCACCAGGCCCGGTCGTCCTGCCAAATTTCATGAGTTTTCGCCAGTGGGAAGTGGGCCATTTTCCAGTTCAAAGGGGAGGAAAAAGAAAAAAGAAACAAAGAAAAACCACTTGGGGAATAATAGGGCTCTCGCAGCTGCTTAGCAGCTACGCTCGGGCCCTAAAAAGAAACAAAGAAAAACCCCTTGGGGAATAATAGGGCTCTCGCAGCTGCTTAGCAGCTACGCTCGGGCCCTAAAAAGAAACAAAGAAAAACCACTTGGGGAATAATAGGGCTCTCGCAGCTGCTTAGCAGCTACGCTCGGGCCCTAATTAATAGAAAGGTAATGACTGTCCTGTGTAGGTGACAGTGATATCCAATAGGCTAGGCACTCACGAGGCTGGCTGTGGCAAGTGTAAGTGAAAGCAACACGCACTGGCAGGAAGAACAGCAAACGCCGATGAAGGAAAAGGGTCTTTGCAGTGATGGGCGTTACCAGAGAGGACGATGGCCAGAGGACACAAATGGGACGGGGAGGCAGCGCGTTGGGGGGGGGACGCGACACAGCTCGGGCCCGCCAGTGCCCCAACGGGGTCCTAGTTAGGGCCCGAGCGTAGCTGCTAAGCAGCTGCGAGAGCCCTCTTGTTCCTGCATGTTTCCTTCTTTTGTTATTATTAGGGCCCGAGCGTAGCTGCTAAGCAGCTGCGAGAGCCCTATTATTACCCAAGGGGTTTTTCTTTGTTTCTTTCTTTCTTCTTTTTCCTCCCCTTTGAACTGGAAAATGGCCCACTTCCCACTGGCGAAAACTCATGAAATTTGGCAGGATGACCGGGCCTGGTGAAAAATTTGAGATTCCGAAGTCGCCCAAACAAGAAAATGCAAAATGGCTCCATAGCGCCCCCTAAGGTGAAAATTCACACTATTGACTGTCACGCCTTTACGCTTTGTCATATTGACACAAAAATTGACACACACATGTATCTCAATAAGATCTACAAAAAAGTCAGTGCGGGCGTATCTGTCAAATGTACGGTTAAAGGGTTATTGCGCATTTTTTGCCGACCCGCACACATTGGAATTTCGCTAACTCCTCCGAAGGCTTTCGTTCCACCGGCACCACATTTGCTCAGGCCAATCTACACCCCATGGCCATTAAAAGTTATTCAAATCATGACGCTGCACCCCACGGTTTAGGTTCTAGGGGGCGCCAAAGATTACCCTAAAATCCACATATTTAAAAGTCTTATAACTTTTTATTTTTGACCTCACTGGCCTCCAAGTTTTCTAGGATGATGCAATGTCCAGCCATCAACACATTTGTGAAGGAATTTTTAATCCCCAAAAGAGCGCCCCCCCATGGCAGGAGAAAAAAGTCCATTTTTTCTTGTCCCCTAAGGTGAAAATACACATTGTTGAGTGTCACGCCTGTACGCTTTGTCATATTGACACAAAATTTGACACACACATGTATCTCAATAAGATCTACGAAAAAGTCAATGCGCGCGTATCTGTCAAATGTACGGTTAAAGGGTTATTCCGCATTTTTTGCTGATCCGCACACACATTGGAATTTCGCTAACTCCTCCTAAGGCTGGCGTTCCACCGGCACCACATTTGCTCAGGCCAATCTACACCCCATGGCCATTAAAAGTTATTCAAATCATGACGCTGCACCCCACGGTTTAGGTTCTAGGGGGCGCCAAAGATAACCCTAAAATCCACATATTTCAAAGTCTTATAACTTTTTATTTTTGTCCTCACTGGCCTCCAAGTTTTCTAGGATGATGCAATGTCCAGCCATCAACACATTTGTGAAGGAATTTTTACTCCCCAAAAGAGCGCCCCCCCATGGCAGGAGAAAAAAGTCCATTTTTTCTTGTCCCATAAGGTGAAAAAACACATTGTTGACTGTCATACCTGTACGCTTTGTCATATTGACACAAAATTTGACAATCACATGTATCTCAATAAGATCTACGAAAAAGTCAATGCGCGCGTATCTGTAAAATGTACGGTTAAAGGGCTATTTTGCATTTTTTGCCGATTCGCACACATTGGAATGTGGCTAACTCCTCCTAAGGCTTTCGTCCCACTGACACCAAATTTGCTCAGGCCAATCTACACCCCATGGCCATTCAAAGTTGTAAAAATCATGACGCTGCACCCCACGGTTTACGTTCTAGGGGGCGCCAAAGATGACCCAAATATCCACATTCTTAAAAGAATCCACATCCCCCCCCCCCATCCCCCAACCCCCATGGCAGGAGAAACAGTCAAGTTTTTCCTGCCCATCACTCAATGGCTCAATCGCATCACTCTCCCGGCAACACCGTAACAAGGAGCAACTTGCCGTTTGGATATATCCTAGCTGTGTTTGTGCCCTCACTCATGGTCCAGACTTTTTTCAAATAGGACATGTAGTTTGTCTGCAGCGAGTGTTTTGGTAGAAACTGCGCCTCCCATTCATTATAATGGGAAATGACCACAGACAAGTGCGCACACCATCTTTGGACCTTGAGTGTGACGCGATCGGGAGGGGGAGGCGGTCGCGCTGGGGGCGGCGCAACGCGGCTCGGGCCCGACAGTGCCCCACCGGGGCCCTAGTTATTATTTTTCCTCCCCTTTGAACTGGAAAATGGCCCACTTCCCACTGGCGAAAACTCATGAAATTTGGCAGGACGACCGGGCCTGGTGAAAAATTTGATATTCCGAAGTCGCCCAAACAAGAAAATGCAAAATGGCTCCATAGCGCCCCCTAAGGTGAAAATTCACACTATTGACTGTCACGCGTGTACGCTTTGTCAAAATGACACAAAAATTGACACACACATGTATCTCAATAAGATCTACAAAAAAGTCAGTGCGGGCGTATCTGTCAAATGTACGGTTAAAGGGTTATTTTGCATTTTTTGCCGATCCGCACACATTGGAATTTCGCTAACTCCTCCGAAGGCTTTCGTTCCACCGGCACCACATTTGCTCAGGCCAATCTACACCCCATGGCCATTAAAAGTTATTCAAATCATGACGCTGCACCCCACGGTTTAGGTTCTAGGGGGCGCCAAAGATAACCCTAAGATCCACATATTTAAAAGTCTTATAACTTTTTATTTTTGCCCTCACTGGCCTCCAAGTTTTCTAGGATGATGCAATGTCCAGCCATCAACACATTTGTGAAGGAATTTTTACTCCCCAAAAGAGCACCCCCCCATGGCAGGAGAAAAAAGTCAATTTTTTCTTGTCCCCTAAGGTGAAAATACACATTGTTGAGTGTAACACCTGTACGCTTTGGTAAAATGACACAAAAATTGACACACACATGTATCTCAATAAGATCTACGAAAAAGTCAATGCGCGCGTATCTGTCAAATGTACGGTTAAAGGGTTATTCCGCATTTTTTGCCGATCCGCACACATTGGAATTTCGCTAACTCCTCCGAAGGCTTTCGTTCCACCGGCACCACATTTGCTCAGGCCAATCTACACCCCATGGCCATTAAAATTATTCAAATCATGACGCTGCACCCCACGGTTTAGGTTCTAGGGGGCGCCAAAGATAACCCTAAAATCCACATATTTAAAAGTCTTATAACTTTTTATTTTTGTCCTCACTGGCCTCCAAGTTTTCTAGGATGATGCAATGTCCAGCCATCAACACATTTGTGAAGGAATTTTTACTCCCCAAAAAAGCGCCCCCCCATGGCAGGAGAAAAAAGTCAATTTTTTCTTGTCCCCTAAGGTGGAAATTCACACTATTGACTGTCACGCCTGTACGCTTTGTCATATTGAAACAAACTTTAACAATCACGTGTTTCTCAATAAGATCTACAAAATAGTCAAAGAGCGCGTATCTGTAAAATGTACGGTTAAAGGGCTATTTCGCATTTTTGGTCGATTCGCACACATTGGAATGTGGCTAACTCCTCCTAAAGCTTTCGTTCCACTGACACCAAATTTACTCAGGCCAATCTACACCCCATGGCCATTCAAAGTTGTAAAAATCATGACGCTGCACCCCACGGTTTATGTTCTAGGGGGCGCCAAAGATAACCCAAAAATCCACATTCTTAAATGTCTTATAACTTTTTATTTTTGTCCTCACTGGCCTCCAAGTTTTCTAGGATGATGCAATGTCTAGCCATCAACACATTTGTGAAGGAATTTTTACTCCCTAAAAGAGCGCCCCCCCATGGCAGGAGAAAAAGTCAAGTTTTTCCTGCCCATCGCTCAATGACTCAAACACATCGCTCTCTCGGCAAAACCGAAAGGAGGAGCAACTTGCCATTTGGATATATCTTAGCTGTGTTTGTGCCCTCACTCATGGTCCAGACTTTTTTCAAATAGGACATGGAGTTTTTCTGCAGCGAGCGTTTTGGTAGAAACTGCGCCTCCCGTTCATTATAATGGTAAATGACCACAAACAAGTGCGCACACCATCTTTGGACCTTGAGTGTGACGCGATCGGGTGGGGGAGGCGGTCGCGCTGGGGGCGGCGTGACACGGCTCGGGCCCGCCAGTGCCCCAACGGGGCCCTAGTTATTATTTTTCCTCCCCTTTGAACTGGAAAATGGCCCACTTCCCACTGGCGAAAACTCATGAAATTTGGCAGGACGACCGGGCCTGGTGAAAAATTTGATATTCTGAAGTCGCCCAAACAATACAATGCAAAATGGCTCCATAGCGCCCCCTAAGGTGAAAAATTCACCTGACGCCTGTACGCTTTGTCAAAATGACACAAAAATTGACACACACATGTATCTCAATAAGATCTACAAAAAAGTCAGTGCGGGCGTATCTGTCAAATGTACGGTTAAAGGGTTATTTCGCATTTTTTGCCGATCCGCACACATTGGAATTTCGCTAACTCCTCCGAAGGCTTTCGTTCCACCGGCACCACATTTGCTCAGGCCAATCTACACCCCATGGCCATTAAAAGTTATTCAAATCATGACGCTGCACCCCACGGTTTATGTTCTAGGGGGCGCCAAAGATAACCCTAAAATCCACATATTTAAAAGTCTTATAACTTTTTATTTTTGTCCTCACTGGCCTCCAAGTTTTCTAGGATGATGCAATGTCCAGCCATCAACACATTTGTGAAGGAATTTTTCCTCCCCAAAAGAGCGCCCCCCCATGGCAGGAGAAAAAAGTCCATTTTTTCTTGTTCCATAAGGTGAAAATTCACACTATTGACTGTCACGCCTGTACGCTTTGTCAAAATTACACAAAAATTGACACACACATGTATCTCAATAAGATCTACAAAAAAGTCAGTGCGGGCGTATCTGTCAAATGTACGGTTAAAGGGTTATTGCGCATTTTTTTCCGATCCGCACACATTGGAATTTCGCTAACTCCTCCGAAGGCTTTCGTTCCACCGGCACCACATTTGCTCAGGCCAATCTACACCCCATGGCCATTAAAAGTTATTCAAATCATGACGCTGCACCCCACGGTTTAGGTTCTAGGGGGCGCCAAAGATAACCCTAAAATCCACATATTTAAAAGTCTTATAACTTTTTATTTTTGTCCTCTCTGGCCTCCAAGTTTTCTAGGATGATGCAATGTCCAGCCATCAACACATTTGTGAAGGAATTTTTACTCCCTAAAAGAGCGCCCCCCCATGGCAGGAGAAAAAAGTCCATTTTTTCTTGTCCCATAAGGTGAAAATACACATTGTTGACTGTCATACCTGTATGCTTTGTCATATTGACACAAAATTTGACACACACATGTATCTCAATAAGATCTACGAAAAAGTCAATGCGCGCGTATCTGTAAAATGTACGGTTAAAGGGCTATTTTGCATTTTTTGCTGATTAGCACACATTGGAATGTGGCTAACTCCTCCTAAGGCTTTCGTCCCACTGACACCAAATTTGCTCAGGCCAATCTACACCCCATGGCCATTCAAAGTTTTAAAAATCATGACGCTGCACCCCAAGGTTTAGGTTCTAGGGGGCGCCAAAGATGACCCAAATATCCACATTCTTAAAAGAATCCACATCCCTTTCCCCCCCCCCCCTCCCATCCCCCATCCCCCATGGCAGGAGAAACAGTCAAGTTTTTCCTGCCCATCACTCAATGGCTCAATCGCATCGCTCTCCCGGCAACACCGTAACGAGGAGCAACTTGCCGTTTGGATATATCCTAGCTGTGTTTGTGCCCTCACTCATGGTCCAGACTTTTTTCAAATAGGACATGTAGTTTGTCTGCAGCGAGTGTTTTGGTAGAAACTGCGCCTCCCATTCATTATAATGGGAAATGACCACAGACAAGTGCGCACACCATCTTTGGACCTTGAGTGTGACGCGATCGGGAGGGGGAGGCGGTCGCACTGGGGGCGGCGCAACGCGGCTCGGGCCCGCCAGTGCCCCAACGGGGCCCTAGTTTTGTTTGTTTTTGTTGTCAGAAACTTTTGACTCCGGCCTGCCCCCGATGGATGTTATGGTTAACATCCATGGCAACATTAAGGATGCATGGAAGTGTGTGGGCAGTGACGGAACCATTGTTTGAAACAGACACGTACATTTTCATACATACGGATAGCATAAATAAGCCTTAAGACAGACAAAAAAGGCAGACAGACAAGTGAGACAGAAGAACAGTTGAGACAGACAGGTAAGGCAGACAGGCAAGTGAGGCAGACAGACAGGTGAGACAGACAGGCAGATAGACAGGTAAGGCAGACATGCAGATAGACTGGTGAGGCAGACAGACAGGTACGACAGACACACGTCAGTCAGACACACAGGTGAGGCAGATGTGTGTGTGTTCTTATAATAGTTTATTTTCGCAAACTTGGAGAAGTTTATGTTTACGTGGAAAAGGTCTGGAAAGGTCAAGAGAGTGGAAACAAGAACTCATGTATCAGCTTGTCCTGGGTATTGCCATTGATTTCCTATATCGAATAGATTTCTATTCATAGAGTCCCATTTTCCATCCGGTTCAATTCAAATGGATTCAATATTTATTCATTAAGGGACATTTCATATACAGTTCCTGTTTTGCTTGAATATGAAAGGGAGTCTAACAGGGATTATCAGTCTGTCTTACTCAAAGTCACTTCCCCCTCTACTGTGCATGTCGCTTTCAGAAAGTGAGCAGCAAGAGCAGCAATCATGTCTTGTTGTGCTGTTGGTTGCACAAACCGTTTTGATAAGAAGAACAAAATGCGCAAGTTGTCTTGCACTATCTCGGAGTGATGCGTTCAGGGCTGCCTCAGATAATAGAGAGCTGTATTGCACTCACACATGTTCAGAGAACCTCATGGGGGAGAGCATGTAAAACAATTGAGGACTTTAACACTAATATTAGTGGACTAAATAAGTTCAAGGCATATTGTAGCTTTTATTGTATAATTACCATTTTTATTGTTCAAACAAAACATTAACTTGTGCAGCTTCACTTATACGTATTTGGATGAGCAATCTAATTACAAATACTCCCATAATTAGCTCATATCCACCATACAAGGTTACCCCAAAACTGCCCAGCGCACGCCGCAAAAGTTTCACGGATTTTATAACCCAAATGTTGGTATGAAACGTGTGAATATGAGTGCGTGTATGGATACCGAGTCACCAGACATCTAAAAAAACTTGGTTGAAAGGTGAAACAACGTAATTTTTAGGTTGTTGAAATACGCCTGTTAGAGCCAGATATGTAACAATGACCCAAAATTTAGGCTCAACATTTTGTAACATTATTGATGAATTATTACATGTTGTGCTTACATTTATTACATCTATTTCAGGTAATTGTTACATATCAGGCTCTAACATAAGGTCTCCATCAGGACTTATTGCAAAAAACCTATATGTGCATAAAATAATGTTTCCGTCTATGCTATTGCCAATTTCTCACCTTGTCTTGGATACATTTTTAATTTTCTCTCCCCCACTAACCCTCCTTATATTACAAGACCCCTAGATTTACAAAGTCGGCACTGGCCAACATCCTCAATAAGCCAAAGGTGGTGGGTCAAAGGCATACTGCAGATAAAAACCTGAAACAGTTGTTACGACCCTGGCTCAGGGGAAGCAACATAAGGGAACTGAAACAACTCAAAGATTTCACCAAAGCATTTATTTACAAGAACTCAAAAACAATGGACGGTATGGGAGCTGGGACAGCATGTCTGGTCTGGCTGCAGGCTGAGAGAGAGCGTGGAAGAGTCTCCCTTGGCTTTTATGGACTGCCCACAGGTGCAGGTGATCAGCTCAATTATCTGGTGGAGCCAGCATATGGAGGCCAGAAAGTGCCACAAAGGAGTCCTCAGGAGTGCCTCAAACAAAACGCATATTAGTGTGGCATATTCTATAGATGCACATGTAACACCTCCTCCCATAAATATGTTGCCATGGGCAACATTTTTTTTTTTTTTTCAAAACAAACACAGTATGCTAACATGTTCAAATTCAATCTGGAAAAACTACGACCTTGAAAGGGCATCAGCAATGACGTTGTCCTTCCCCCGGATGTGCTGGATCGTCAAATTGAAGTCTTGCAGGAAGAGACTCCATCTCATCAGGCGCTTGTTTGGGTTTTTCATCCTGCTCAGAGACACCAGCGGGTTGTGGTCTGTATAGACCACTAGGGGTTGATTGGAGGACACGTATACTTCAAAATGGTGAAGAGCCAAAATAAGAGCCAAAGCCTCTTTTTCAATTGTTGAGTATCTTCTCTGATGGACATTGAATTTCTTGGAGAAGTATCCCAACGGATGCTCAACACCAGAGGAATCCTCTTGCAGGAGGACAGCCCCAGCACCTACATCACTAGCATCCACAGCTAGCTTAAAAGGAAGGTGGAAGTTGGGGGCTGCAAGAACAGGGGCACTAGCTAGCAGAGCCTTCAGCCCTTCAAACGCTAGCTGACAAACATCTGTCCAATCAAACGGGACATTTGGACTCAACAAGTTAGTCAGTGGGGCAGCAACAGTTGCAAAGTTCCTACAAAAACTGCGCTAGTAACCCGCCATACCAAGGAAACGTTTCAAGTCACGCCTAGACTGAGGGACAGAAAAACTCACAATGGCTTCGACTTTGGCATCAATGGGACAGACCTTGCCACAACCAACAACTTTGCCCAAGTAAGTGACTGTGGCCTGCCCAAATTCACACTTGGTAAGGTTCAAGGTCAAATTAGCTGAAGCTAGCAGACTAAACACTTCTTTTAACTGGGCTACATGCTGAGACCAATCTGAGCTATAGATGACCACATCATCCAAGTAAGCTTCACAGTTTGAAACACCTCTCAACACTGTGTTCACCAACCGCTGAAAAGTAGCTGGAGCATTCCGCATTCCAAAAGCCATAACAGTGTACTGGCAAAAGTCATCTGGTGTCACAAAAGCAGAGATTTCGCGTGCCCTCTCTGTTAGAGGGACTTGCCAGTATCCCTTCAGGAGGTCTAACTTGGTTACATAAGATGCAGAACCAACATTGTCAATACAGTCTTCTAAACGAGGAAGTGGGAAACAGTCTGGCTTAGTAAGTGAATTTACCTTACGAAAATCAGTACAAAATTGAGGTGTCTGATCAGACTTGTCAACGAGCAAACAAGGGGAACTCCATGCGCTTACACTGGGCTCAGCAATGCCATGCTTTAACATATAATCAACCTCTTTTCTCAAGATTTCGCGCTTCTCAGGGTTGACACGATAAGGATGCTGCTTGACAGGAGTTGCATCACCAACATCAATATCATGCTGGAGGACATTGGTGCATGTGGGTACATCAGAAGAAACATCTTTAACTGTCTCCTCATCAACAGCCTCTTCAAAGAGGGAGGACAGAGTTTTGTCACTACTCTGTGCAACCTCTAGCTCTTCACGTGAGGGGAAAACATTGTTGAACCCAAACGTCACATCTTTAGCTAAAGTGGTGTCAGAAAGGTCAAGATCAGCGTCACATCCTTTGTCTTTTTCTCTCTTTGACATGGCACGGGTACTCACACAAACAGAGAAGGTATCTGGATAACGCTTTTCTAGATCATCTGGAATTTCAGTCACCACAGGAACCGGAGTCACTTCAGGAACAGCTCCTACTTTATCACCAGCAAGATCATTTCCCAAAATAAAGGACACACCATTAATTGGAATACGGGAACACAATGCAACAGCGACTTCACCTGATGCTGTGGAGGTCTGGAGGTTAAGACGATGCATGGGCAATGACAAATAACCACCAAAACCTTCAATCAGAGCATTAGAGCCTAAAGAGGACTCATCATTAAACTCCAAAAAGTCCTGAAGAATCAAGGACTGGAAAGCTCCAGTGTCTCTCCAGATTTTAATGGGTTTCTTACTTTCTGGATCAGAACAGAGGGACACATAACCATCCATAAGGAAAGATGAGGAACCAGCCAACTGAACCTTTTCAGACGAATGCTGAACAGTGGAAAATGAAGAGGGCTCTTTTTTAGCTTTTATGAAGGCTACAGGTTTGAAAGACTTTTGCTTCTTGCTCAGAACAGGGCACTCAGCAATAAGATGACCAGGTTTCTTGCAATAGAAGCAAGCTTTTTCTGCAAAAGCACTTCCAGAAGCCTTTTTGGATGTAGAAACTACAGGGGAAACTTGCGTTGAGGAACGAGATCTGTAAAAAACAGGTTTTTCTTTCCGTTTATTCTGTTCTTTGTCAAAGTTAAGCTTGTGTGTCAAAATAAACTCATCTGCAAGGACTGCAGCTTGGTTGAGAGTCGTTACTTTTTGTTCATTAAGGTAAACACAAACAGCTTCAGGAAGACAGTTTTTAAATTCTTCCAGCAACACGAGTTGTCTAAGGTCTTCCTTGTTTTCCACATTTTGGGATTTGCACCACCTATCAAATAGCGTCTCTTTTTCTTTAGCAAACTTAACATAAGTTTGCTGATCAAGCTTGTTGAGACTCCTGAAACGTTGACGATAAGCTTCAGGAACAAGTTCATACATTTTTAATATTGCATCTCTAACTTTGTCATAGTCCACACTATCATCAATACTCAGAGGAGTAAGCCTCTTGTGCTTTTCCTACCAACACACTTTGTAAAAGTAGAGTCCAGGCATGTTTCGGCCATTTTGAGATGGTAGCTACACGTTCGAAATGTGAAAAATACTTCTCAACATCTTTCTCAACAAAAGGAGGAACCAGTCTAATGTGTTTGACTACATCAAAACTAGATTGTTCAACCTGGACAGAGTGTAGAAGTGAGGCATGTTTAAATTCCATTTCTTTAAGAAATTGTTCATGTTCCAGGTGCATTTGCTCTTGTTTTAGCAATCTATCTTTCTGTCTCTCCTGCAACTCTAGCTCTTTTATAGCCAATTCTCTAAGTCTTAATTCAATAGCAGGATCTGATAATTCAGGAGGTGGACTTCTAGATGGAGACAAAGGTGTAGATTTAAGGATGCCATTTTCAATCAAAGCAGCCTTAAGGGCATCTCTGGTGCTCTTCTTTAAGCTTTTGTCACTACTACAAATTGTGACTTCATAATATTCAGCAAGTTTTAAAAGCTGATCTTTGGTTAAGTTGTCAAGCAACTCTTCAGAGGGTGCACTAATAAAGTCATCAGGGGTTGCCATCCTAGATAACTGTACAAAAAACTAAAGTCAAGCTAAACAAAAAGGTTAGCTACAACAAGTCACCCACAAACAAGACAAATAGACTCAAGGTCTCAAAAGTGTCCAACACAGCAGAAGCAGTTATAGATCAAAATCTCTCTCTACAAAATGGCTACCAGAGCCACAACCACAAAAGTAGGCCTACAAACCCTGTCACAACACAAATTTGCACAGTATATTAACCAAAATAGGAAACATTGGTAATATAAAGTACACAAAGGCAACTCTAAAGTCAGGTAAACTAGCCTACACGAAGTCAAGAACACTTGACTAAACAAAACTGCACAAAACACAAGTTAGGATCATGGACACACCACTACTATGGCCTCCAACTCAAAAAAAGGAGCACCAATTTAAACTCACCTAACTTATCAAAACCTTCACTGGGGAGCATGACAAGCAAGCAAGCCCCAAGTATATTAACAAAGTAAACCCCCACTGGTTCCCTACCTATTTTAAGCTTAATCCTGACTATCTTCAATGGCTTGCCGAGCTCGAACCATCACCAGAAATGTCTGATGCAGTCCCTCCTCAGAGTTTGCCACCAAAAATAAAAAAGAAAAATAACAAATGAGAGGCTGAAGGAAGGACGATATAAATCAGCCCAGCTAGCCCCTCCTAACCCAACCAGGGAAGATTACATATGCATAATGTTAATATACTCAAACTATACTCACCACATGCTCACCAGAAGAGAGGAACAAAGCAGCACATGACCACATGATTTGAACAGCTCAACAATGAAATAAGAAAAATTACCAATCTAGGGGAAATACAACAAACTCAACTAATCTGGAATCAATCCCTAATCGATCCGGGACGAGCCCCCAATATGTTACGACCCTGGCTCAGGGGAAGCAACATAAGGGAACTGAAACAACTCAAAGTTTTCACCAAAGCATTTATTTACAAGAACTCAAAAACAATGGACGGTATGGGAGCTGGGACAGCATGTCTGGTCTGGCTGCAGGCTGAGAGAGAGCGTGGAAGAGTCTCCCTTGGCTTTTATGGACTGCCCACAGGTGCAGGTGATCAGCTCAATTATCTGGTGGAGCCAGCATATGGAGGCCAGAAAGTGCCACAAAGGAGTCCTCAGGAGTGCCTCAAACAAAACGCATATTAGTGTGGCATATTCTATAGATGCACATGTAACACAGTCAACAAGATTTGCCAAGAAATTCTTTAAATTTATTAACTTACAGCAGCTGGACGGAGTTTTCATTTTCTGTTGATAGTGTTATAGCGCGTAGTCATAAAGACACTTGCACATCAGGGCTCAAGAAACTAACTTTTATGAGAGCAGTTTGAGGCAGCTTACTTTGTTAATGTATTTAAAATGGGAAGCGAGTCTGGGTCAGCCTGCCGCGGCATGTGAGACAGATATGGAGCAGCAGGACTACTGAGGTTCGTGACACAGAGCTGCTCTGCCTGTCTGTCTCCGGTGTGGTGGGGCTTCTCACTCAGTGGCTGCAGCTGTAGCATGACACAGTGTCTGCAGGAGTTTTATGCTGCAAGACTGTGTCATTTTTTGAGTAGCGACAGTAATATGCACATTTTCAGTGTAAAATAAAGAGAAAAAATGCCCATCTCTGGTCTGAGTGCCGTAAATCATTTCGTCCATGGTCCCGACCCGACCACTGGCTCCAGTTTTTCTTGTTTTCATTATTTAGAAATAGCTTATCTTCACACAGATGGGCTCATTCGCTGAGATTCTTTCAAATGTAGTTAAAAGTTCCCTACAGGAAGTTTAAACACATTATTGTGAAAATATCAATGACACTGAAAAGGAACAATTTCAAAATAAAAAATGTACACCAATTCAGCAGGGCTGAACAAACACGTGGGGGAACACTGAATAAATTAATATTGATAAACTTATCTGATTAAATGCCAACAACCAACTATATACGATACAAACAACTTGTAACTAAACAAAAATAGAAAAAAGAATAAAAGTATTAGTGGGGATATCCCTAATCATTTACATCCCTAAACAGTCTCCACCACCAGACCACCCAAGGGTATGTTTGAGATGCTTTGCCAAGGCATGTGTAATGTCATGTTCTGTTGCCTTTGGTTCCCATGTCTTGACGGAGGCTGCACCAACAAAGACAAAACATAATTAATCACTTTTGTTTTTTAAACATGTTTTTATTGGAAGAAATGAACATTGATCACAGATATTCAACATACATCATATTTCTTACCCCCCACCCATCCCCACCATGCTGCCATGAACCCTCCCCTGTGACTCCAAATATAGCCATTTCAGCACTAGGTCAGATAGCTCTGCTAAAAGCTTCAGACAAAGTTTAAAATATTGTAGTCCAAAAATTATACAGTTTATTACAAGACCACAGCATATGAGCCAGATCAGCTATACGACAGCTTTCACATGTTTAACTCATAGAATAGATCCTGAAGAGCCTGGCTCCACAATAATGGATTTGGCGGAGAACCTTGAACTGAACACAAGCAAAGGCAAGCATATGAGGTTATCCCATTTACTCTATATAATGCATCATCCTAGGTTGTATCAGAGATATTTATTCCAAGTTCCTGTTGTTGTGTACGCAACATGTGTCTAAATAAATGACTTGCCCTTTCAAATCAAAATTTTAGAAGTTAAGAAAGCACATTTTTATTTACCCACAAAATTAACTTGTAAAAGTAACTGCAGTGGTGGAAACGTGCCGAAAAAAAGGACAAAATACAGAATCCGCTTCCTCTCTTTTCTGTGTCTCTTCTCTGCATGTGTATCTTCCCAGGCTCACTCACACACATGCCCCTCCCCCTCAGTAAACTTCCAATCACTGGTAGTATGCAAATGAGCCAGGAAGTAACCAGACTATGGTGTCAGGTTTCAGCATGTAGCGGTAGGTTTTAAAAGAGGCAGCAGAGGCCGTTGGGGTCGGACGCCGGCTGGACGGGACTGTCAGAGAGCGAACGCAAGTCGAATCCTTACACAAACAGAGTCTGGGCCGTTTATCAAAACGTACCTCTATCTGATTGTGGAATATCAGCATTGTTAGAGGAGGACAAGTAAAAAACTGTCTATGGCTACGGCCAGGGGAGGGGAAGGGGGGGTAAAAGCAGGATTTAAACGAGTGGCTTCAGGAGGAGAGCCAAACGGTGGGAAGATGAGGAAAACTGAGAGCACCGAGTTTAAAGTAGTGTTTAAAATGAAGGACCCAAAAGGAATAGGGGGGTTTAGAGCAGTCAGTCCTGCAGAAACACTCAAGGGAGTTGGCGAAGTGGAGGCAAGAATCCTAGCTAATGGAATGCTCATGGTTTTATGCAAGAATGCAGAAATACAAAAGAAAGCAGCTGCGGTTAAAAAGATCGCTGGGCAAAGCGTGGAATTGCATGTATCAAACAGAGTTGAGGGAATCAAAGGAGTTATTTATGGTGTTTCTGCTGACATAACAGAGAATGAAATGATGGAGCAAATCAGGGGAGGAGAAGTGAAAGAAGTGAAGAGGTTTAAAGCGCGGAGTGGGGGAAACCCGAACGCTCCCGTTCTGTTAACGTTTGATGGTTATAGAGTCTAGAGTCTAGAGTCTTCTTTGGATGCTTGTCATTTCAAGTGAAAAAATATGAGACACCTCCGCTTAGATGTTTCAAGTGTCAGAGATTTGGCCATATTGCTGCGACATGCCGCGGCAGCCAAAGATGTTCCAAGTGTGGGGGGGAACATGATTTGTTAGAATGTGATAAGACTGACTTGAAATGTTGCAATTATGGGGGCACTCATATGGCGTCTTCCCGAGGATGTCTGCCCTTGAAAAGGCAAAGCGTGTCCAAGATGTGATGGAGCAGCATACGATTTCCTATGCAGAGGCGTTAAAGAAAGTCGAGGGAAGAGGTGACAATATGTCTGTGTACGTGGGTTCCCACTCTCATATGCCCACTCCAGTTGTCCCTCACCACCCACAACCTACGGTGCCAGCTGATTCAATAGTGGTGAAAAAAGAAAGTTTACTGGCATTTATGGTAGATGGGGTGTACGCTACCAGGGCTGCTAAGGGCAAAGACAAGGAGCTAAGCAGGTTTGACATCATGAGGGCGGTGGTTGAGGCAGCGGGAAGGTTCCTAGGAACAGGAGCGTGTGACCCTTTAGAACTGCATAAATTTATGACAGACTGTCAAAAGAAGGCTACTAAGACACAGGGGAAAGAGGTAGAGGAAATTGTGGTTGATACATGGGAAGGAAATGATGATTAAGCTAATTATCATGGTCTGCATTTTGCAATGGAATGCAAGGAGCTTAATAGCAAATGGACAAGAACTTAAAAAATTTGTTGATATCGGTGAGAGTAAACTTGATCTGATATGTGTTCAAGAGACATGGCTAAAGCCATGCCTAGAATTTGTAATACCAGACTATGAAAGTTTAAGAAAAGATCGTAAAGAAGGAACAGGAGGGGGATGTGCAATATTTGTCCGGGCAGGGGTGCAATACCAACAGGTGGCACTAACAACCTCCCTGGAGTGTATGGCAGTTAGGGTGTGGGGGGACCATGGTAAGATAAACATTGTTAACTTATACACTCACCGGCCACTTTATTAGGTACACCATGCTAGTAACGGGTTGGACCCCTTTTTGCCTTCAGAACTGCCTCAATTCTTCGTGGCATAGATTCAACAAGGTGCTGGAAGCATTCCTCAGAGAGCTTGGTCCATATTGACATGATGGCATCACACAGTTGCCGCAGATTTGTCGGCTGCACATCCATGATGCGAATCTCCCGTTCCACCACATCCCAAAGATGCTCTATTGGATTGAGATCTGGTGACTGTGGAGGCCATTTGAGTACAGTGAACTCATTGTCATGTTCAAGAAACCAGTCTGAGATGATTCCAGCTTTATGACATGGCGCATTATCCTGCTGAAAGTAGCCATCAGAAGTTGGCTACATTGTGGTCATAAAGGGATGAACATGGTCAGCAACAATACTCAGGTAGGCTGTGGCATTGCAACGATGCTCAATTGGTACCAAGGGGCCCAAAGAGTGCCAAGAAAATATTCCCCACACCATGACACCACCACCACCAGCCTGAACCGTTGATACAAGGCAGGATGGATCCATGCTTTCATGTTGTTGACGCCAAATTCTGACCCTACCATCCGAATGTCGCAGCAGAAATCAAGACTCATCAGACCAGGCAACGTTTTTCCAATCTTCTATTGTCCAATTTCGATGAGCTTGTGCAAATTGTAGCCTCAGTTTCCTGTTCTTAGCTGAAAGGAGTGGCACCCGGTGTGGTCTTCTGCTGCTGTAGCCCATCTGCCTCAAAGTTCGACGTACTGTGCGTTCCGAGATGCTCTTCTGCCTACCTTGGTTGTAACGGGTGGTTATTTGAGTCACTGTTGCCTTTCTATCAGCTCGAACCAGTCTGGCCATTCTCCTCTGACCTCTGGCATCAACAAGGCATTTCCGCCCACAGAACTGCCGCTCACTGGATATTTTTTCTTTTTCAGACCATTCTCTGTAAACCCTAGAGATGGTTGTGCGTGAAAATCCCAGTAGATCAGCAGTTTCTGAAATACTCAGACCAGCCCTTCTGGCACCAACAACCATGCCACGTTCAAAGTCACTCAAATCACCTTTCTTCCCCATACTGATGCTCGGCTTGAACTGCAGGAGATTGTCTTGACCATGTCTACATGCCTAAATGCACTAAGTTGCCGCCATGTGATTGGCTGATTAGAAATTAAGTGTTAACGAGCAGTTGGACAGGTGTACCTAATAAAGTGGCCGGTGAGTGTATAACCCGTGTATGCAACTTAAAGTGGTGGAGTTGGAAAAGGTAGTAGATGAGGTGGGTGCCCCTTTGATATGGGTGGGGGATTTTAATGCACATAACCCACTATGGGGGAGCAAAGACAGAGATAAGAACGGGGAAGTAGTAGAAGAACTAATGGAAAGGTGGGGGCTGGTATTTTTGAATGATGGAAGACCAACTAGGATTGACGTTAGAACGGGGAGGGTATCATGCATTGACTTAGCTATAGCGTCACCACAGTTAGCAGGAAAAGGGGTGTGGGAAACCATAGAAGAGAACACCTTAGGAAGTGACCACTTCCCAATAGTGGTGGGATTTGGCCAGTCCTTGAGAGTGGAGGAAGATTCAAGACCAAGACCTCTAAACTACAGTAAAGCTAAATGGGATGAATTTGCTGAGGGGTGTAGAAAGGGGTTGGATAGTGTTAAAGGAGACGGTTCAATTGATGAATGGAATAACAGTTTATATGAAATGATAAAAGATAACGTTAACCATTGCATCCCCAGGAAAAAAGCTTTAAAACGTGAGAGTGTTCTATGGTGGAATAAAAAGTGTGATGAGGCAGTGAGGGAAAGAAATAGAGCCTATAAAATATTAAGAAAGTATCCAGTGCAGGAAAATGCCATAGTGTACAAGCATTTAAGAGCAAAGGCCAGGAAAGTTATAAAATCTTCTAAGAGAGAGTGCTGGAGGAGATACTGTCGAGAACTAGGAGAGGACACATCAGTAGAGGAGGTATGGGCAGTGATCAGACGTATGTCAGGGATTGTTAAGGGGAAAAGCGTCCCAGTCCTAGAAGAAGGGGAAGTAGTAGCCACAAGCGATATTCAGAAAGCCAACATATGTGTTAAAAAGTTCCAGGAGGTTCATAGTGGGGTGAATATTGGGGAGGAGGGTATTAGGACAAGGAATGAGGTAATGAAAAATCAAATGTACAAACTTGAGGTTAACCAGGAAAACTCTGACCCCAGTAATATATTTCTCATTAGAGGCGCTACAAAGAGCAATTCAAAGAGGAGGTAAAACAGCTCCTGGGAAAGATGGCCTAGGGTATGAGGTATATAAAAAATTAGATGATGTTGTGTTGGATGAGATTCTAGCGCTCATAAATACAGTATGGTGTGAAGGTGTTATTCCTGTGGCATAGAGACATGCAGTTGTTATCCCTATCCTAAAGCCAGCAAAGGACACCTCAAAACCAGGGTCCTACAGGCCGATTGCGCTCACAGTGATACTATGTAAAATCATGGAGAGGATGGTTACAGAGCGACTTACATATAAGCTAGAGAGGCAAGGGTGGTTCACACCAATACAGAGTGGGTTCAGAGTAGGGAGGGGTACAATGGACTCTGTGCTTGCACTTGACCTGGACATAAGAAAAGCTAAGGCTAACAAGGAAGGAGTGGTAGCAGTTTTCCTGGACATCGAAAAGGCATATGACATGCTGTGGAAAGAGGGGTTAGGGGTTAAGCTATTTAATGCTGGAATATGAGGGCGGATGTTGAACTGGATTAGGGCGTTCCTGCAAAACAGGACCATACAGGTCAGAGTTGGAGGAGCATACTCAGAAACAGCAGGGATAGACAACGGTACTCCTCAAGGGAGTGTTATAAGCCCTGTCCTGTTTAACATTATGATCAACGATATGTTCCAAGAGGTAGGGGCAGACTTTGGGCTATCATTGTTCGCCGATGATGGGGCAATCTGGAAAAGAGGAAGGAATTACAAGTTTTTAACAGAAAAGATACAAGAAGCACTGAATAAGATGGAAGACTGAGCTAACAGGTGGGGTTTAAAATATCAGTGGAAAAGTTTGTTATATTAAATATTCTTATATTAAATTCGTTATATTTACTAATAAAGGAAGACTGGAAATCTGGGGCTGAATATCTATGGCAAGCCGTTAGAGAGAGTTAAGGAGTTTAAGTTCCTGGGAGTCGTCTTTGAAGAAAGAATGACATGGAAAACGAAAAAACAGTGAAGAAATGTGAGAAAGTTATAAATATGATGCAGTGCCTTTCTGGGAGCACATGGGGAGCAAACAGAGACACTCAGATACTAATATACAGAGCTATGATTCGCTCCACCCTAGATTATGGGTGCTTGGCATATGGAGCGGCAGCCAAAACCAACCTGGCAGTACTAGATAGGGTGCAGGCAAAAGCACTGAGAGTGTGTAATGGGGCATTTCGCTCGACCCCAATCCCAGCTTTGCTGGTGGAGATGGGAGAGACACCTCTAGCGTTACGAAGGAGGAAGCTAGCATTAAATTATAGCTAAACTAAATGGTCATGACCGAGCTCATCCAGGTAGGCAATTGTTGGAGGAGTGCTGGGAATGGGGAGGTGGGGAAAGCGGGAGCTTTGTTTACAGGATAAGAGCGGAGGAGGAGGAGTTGGGGTTGAGTGGGGTGTGCGGGCATACTGCGGTGACCTGGCCTTCTGTTCCTCCTTGGTTGCTGCCAGAAGTGGAGGTAGATTTTATGGTAGCTGAGAGGATGAGGGAGAAGGGTGGAGGAGAACCAGAGGACTTGGTGAGGGAGAGGATACATGAGAAATGGGCAGACCACCTACAGATTTATACAGATGGGTCTATGGACGCGAATAGTAAAAGGGTGGGGTTCGCAGTCCACATCCCCTCCTTGCGGATCACCCAGAGCAGACGACTTTCGGATGGGGTGTCAGTCTTCACATCAGAATTAGTGGCCTTATTATGGGCGCTAAATTGGGTTGAAGAAGTGAGACCGCAGCAGGTGATTATCTGCTCGGACTCAGCGGCTGCGTTGATGGCTCTGCAGGGAGGGAAGTAACGGGTCAGACCAGATCTCATTTGTGAACTGCTAACTACACTTTATAGACTTGAGAAAGCTGGAACTGGAGTGGGGTTCATGTGGGTACCGGCTCATGAGGGGGTGGAGGGTAATGAGGGTGCTGATTTGGCAGCCAAAGAGGCCCTGGGGAGGGAGGAGGTTGATGTGGGTATAGCCTTGGGGATTTCCGAGTACCGCAGCATAATAAAGGAGGAGATACTTGCAAGGTGGCAGTGTGAATGGGAGGAGGAAATAAGGGGAAGGTTTTATTACAGCATACAAAACAGTGTTAGAGGAAGGAACACCACTCTAGGGGACAATAGAAGAGAACAGGACATCCTGACAACATTGAGACTAGGTCACTGTGGACTAGCAGGGGGACTCGCCCGAACTGGGAAACATGCAAATGGACTATGTGAATGTGGGAAAGAAGAAGCTGTTAAACATGTAATCATGGAGTGCTCAAAATACACAGCGGAGAGGAGGGTACTGTTTTCTGCAGTACTTGATGCAGGACTGTCCTGTATCTCACTGAGGAATCTTCTCAGGCCTGGGGAACAACAAAGTACAGTAGTGAACGCCCTAATGGAGTATTTGCGGGACACAGGCCTGTACCACAAGGTTTAAGGCCACAGTATAAACTGAGTAATACCTAGCACAACCTGTGGGAGGCAGCAATACGCCGATGGGCGTCTAGTCTGCGGCAAAGCAAAAAGAAGAAGAAGAAGAAGAGGCAGCAGAGCTTTCCAAATTCGTCTTAATGACTCGTAAGATGATTAATAATAAACAAAAACAAAGTAACATTAAATAAAACAGTGGTGTGGAGAGGAAAAGAGAGAGGAGTGAGACAAATGAGAGAGGAGATTTTTGAGCTGTTTAGTTATGAACAAGAAACAAAAGAACCAGCCAAAAAAAAAGTAAGGAGAAAAAGGTATGGAATGTTCTGCTCATTATCTGTTGTGTTTTATGAATTAGTTTGAGAAGGAATTTTATTTTTCATAAGACTACCTTTCATTTTTGTAAATATTGACTTTTGTTTGTGAAGTTGTAACCTGCGACTCAATCTACCAGGACTTGGTCCTCAGGAACTGTCTGAGCCTCTGTCTGGTCTGAAGTCTAGTAATCAGCCGATAGCGTAGAGTAATCAGATAATATCCTTGGGTATAAAAGACGCCCCAAAGAGACTTATCCACACACTCTGACACCACCCTTTCTCTTTCTCTTGTCATCAGATTCGCGTGGAAGCCATACTGCAGGCAGCGATCAGAGAGGCAGGCCGTCAGATCTACAGAGTGTTCAGAGAGTTGTACAGTGGCATGCTGAAAGAAAACACTCACCTGAGAGCCAAAGTGAAACACCTGGAGACCGAACTGAGGTCAAAGGTCAAGATAACTGCACAGACACTGTACAGGTTTGAACCACCGGGTGAGTTTCAAACATCTTGAACTTAAACACACCATAGCATCACACCTGATTAGAAATTGATATTCAGTGACTCATCACTCACTCATGTTCAGTACACCTGAGGTCACAGGTATCTTGTCACAGATACCTGTATGACAGGTATCACCACAGAGAGAAACACAGAAAAAAGCTTGGGTAAGACACATTCAACACAGGTAGACTTAACACAGGTTACAGTTGCAGTTCATGGTTTGATTCTGTGGTACAAAGGGTTACAGTGGGGGTTCATGGTTTGATTGTGTACTACAATCAATCAATCAATTGATCAGATTTTATTTAGCACCAATTGACAACAGTCATCATCCCAAGATGCTTTCCAAAGAAGAAGAGCAGGTCTAGACCTCGCTCATTAACCTAAAGATAGGACAGATTTGGCCCATCTCATCTTACATGAGTGACAATGGCAAGGAAAAACTTCCTTTTAACAGGCAGAAACCTTGGGAAGGACCAGACTAATGGTAGACAGCCACCAAGCTGTTGCTGGGTTGGGGAGAAATACAGAGAGATAGGGAAGGAGAGAAAAAGGAGTAGGAGAGAGGGCAACCGCTCGTGAAGCGGTTGTTTAGTTTCCCCAATGTACAGGTCCGAGCATTCCTTGCTGCACTGGACAGCATATACCACATTACTCTGTTTATGTGTCAGTGGCCCTGTTTACATGGGTCCAAAAATCCTATTTACAATCAGTTTGAAAGGTCAATCAGATTCAAAATGTCTCATATAAACACCTTAGCCAATCTGATTCACCCGGATCTGATTGTATTTCGGGTCGGATTGTAAGAGGTAGTCTATACCGATTGATAATCCGCTCCATGCTCCATATATACGGCTGAGTGGAGCGGATTGGGTTTACAGAGAGGCTTGTTCGGTCTGCGCAGGCGCTCGGTAGTACGTAAGAGGCACGTAGTGACGTACGCAGAGCGTGCCCAAACGAAAACAAACATGGCGAACAAACAGAAAAACTGGATGGTGGAGTGTTAAAGTGTGTTGTTTCGTGCGACTGACGAAGCGCACACTTCTTGCTGTGTAACCCGGCTGGATTATACTTTTATTAAACTTCAACACATAATGTTCCTTACTGCTAGACTGATTCTAGCTTGATTGATTCTGTGGTAAGATATCTGTGGTACAGATAGTTACAGTTGGGTGTTCATGGTTAGATTCTGTAGTACAGAGAGTTGCAGTTGGGGTTAATTGTCTGATGTGAGGTTCAGAGGGTTACAGTTAGGGTTCATGGTATAATTCTGTGGCCTGGATCGTTATATTTGGGATTCATTGTTTGATTCTGTAGTACAGACAGTAACAGTGGTCTTTCATGGTTTGATTCTGTAGTACAGACGGTTACAGTGGGTGTTCATGGTTTGATTCTGTAGTTAGGACAGTTAGTGTTTAGATAATTGTGCTACAAATTATTGCTGATTAATGATATTATTGTCAATATTCTTTTGAGAGCGTTTTTTCCATTAATGTTTATTAATATACGGCATAATAATCAGAGTAGAGACTATGTCAAAAGCAATAAACTTTCATTTCTCAAAATTGGAGTTTCCAAAGTTCTGAAATAAGATAAATTAAACAAACTTAATTAATTAAACAAATACGACAAAGCTAAAAAACAGTGAAAATAACATGGACTCACACTCTCTTTTAGCAAAAATTGCACTTTTAACAATCACAATCACAACCAAAGAAATAAATAATAGAAGCTATCTCTGTTAAGAAAAAAAAAAACTATACTCTCACATAACTATTAAAACAATAAATAAAATGAAGTATCAAATCTCTGTAAACAAAATTGCACTTCAATAAGTAATGAACATTGGGTGGTGTTCCTTAACTAAACAAAGAACAGCAGGTAAACGAAAAGTGCAGGCTAGCCACAGGCCATATGCAAATCTCTAGCCACTTTAGTTTGGCAGATTCTGAACAAGGAATACCAACATGTTGACGTTGTGTGGTTTAAGGCAGGATCTCTCTGGAGTAGCAATGTTGCCAGCTGTGCTAAACATTCTCTCAGAGCTGGTGCTTGTAGCACAAATGCACATGTATTTTTGTGCAAACTTGGCCATCAACAGATACCTTCTCTGATTGTCATGCCACCACATTAAGGGATCAGAGGACGCATCAAGTACATCCTCCTGGAGGAACTTGGTCAGCACTGCATCAGCCTGCACTCTTTTTGGAACTGCAGCCTGGGCCTGTTCTGTGAGGTGAGCTCTTATATTTTAAAGAAAGCCTCTTTTTTTTGTGGGTGCAGGAAGTTCATCCTCACTTCTTTCAGCAGCAGCAGCTCTGCTGCAGCTTACACCACTGGTACCTTCTTTACTTCCTTCGGGTTCTTTTAAGTCCAGCAGCTCTTGCACAAGCTGATGTTTGACATCATCCAGTGCCCCTTCCTCTTCCATGGTGCCACGATAGCTTGGATCCAAGATGGTGGCCTTTCTTAGGAGGACTTGTATTGCTGGTGAGCTGTATTTTTCAGCCAATACCCTGCATATGTTCTCTTTAACATTAGCTGTCAGTCCACTGTCATCGGGGCTTGGAGAGAGAAGGTCACCTTTCATCAGTTCCAGCACAGGCTTAACTGAGGACACAGTGACATATTTTTCTCCTGAGAGGATGTCTGTGAAATTGACCAGTGACTTTATAGCTGCGTTGAAGGATTCCAACACGGAAACATCCTGCCAGGTTGGGTTGAGGTGGCCATGTTTTCTGTCCTCAACTAGGACATGTCTTATGGCTGGCAGCTGTTCCAGCACCCTGTCTACCATCTTCTGTTAAGTACCCCAACATGTTGCAAAATCCTGAGGAAAAGATAATATATATATATTTTTTTTTCAGTAGGCTATATAAAGTTTTAAACAAACAATTTCTTTTTCCATTCCCACTATTCAGGCTGCACAATATTGGAAAAAACTAACATTGCGATTTTTTTCAACCCTGCGATATATATTGCGATATTAAAAAAAACAGGAATTTTCACCAGATGACCTGTATAGCACTTAATGTTATGCTGCACTGCTGAAATCTTGAGGACAGTTAACCTGCACTGATCTTACCTCTTTTTGTGAGTGTTAGTAGAATGGCTTCTGTCTGTCTCAGGGATATTTTTAGCTTTTATTGTGCTGGGACGTTATTGTGGCAACAGATGAACACAGAACACGTGTTTTGGTCGACATCATCCTTCTTTTAGCCGAAATAATTCCAGATAACTGACTTTCCTTTTCTTATTGGCAAGTCTTCATCTTCTGTGGTTTTCTCTGTTTGTTGCTCAGTTTGCGATCGTTGTTGTTGTATTTACCGGGGTTGAGCTGAGAAACGCATGTCCTCTGAGAATTGCATGCACCTCACAAAACGCACACTGCTTATGGTAGAGTGGTCCACGGAAATGTACAATTTAAAACCCATACAGTTCTTATTTGTTGGGCTAAACAGTGATGAGTTATGTTTGGAAAGTACTTCTCAGCGGACAGCAAGTGACTCACTCCATGTGCAGAACATGTGCAGGGGTGGGTTTCCTCCTCTCTGATTTTGATTGACTGCTGGCAGGGTAGTCTGATTGGCAACTGAGTAAAGAACGAAGGTGATTGGTGGATCCCTGCACAGCACATGCAGAGTCACATGCAGTGTATCTCAGTCAGTTACCCTTGAAATTAACTGAGTTCATTCACCTCCGACATCGCAGGCTCTGTGATGTGACTATTACACACGCGTACATCGCGATGACGATGTTCAAACGATATATCGTGCAGGCCTACTCACTATTTACCATAATCTACACACACACACACACACACACACACACACACACACACACACACACACACACACACACACAGGCTGTCTGGTCTTTGTCGCTGTCCAGGCCATGGGACACAGCAAGATGGAGGTTGTGCCCAAAGCAATTAAGCCATGTCTAGCCAAGATTCTTTATTGCTGCCACAATGTTTGGACCATTGTCTGTAGTGTTCAGACAAGTTTGTCCTCATCCAGTCCCCACTCTGCTAAAGCAGACTTAAGGTTTTCTCCCAGGGTGTCAGCAGTGTGGTTCTCTGGCACATACCCGGTTTCTAAACACTTGGAGGACAGTGTCCAGTCAGCAGTATTGTAGTGTATGGTTAAACTCATGTAGAGGGTCATGTTTGAGTTGGACCACATATCTGTGGTAGTGGAGTAAAATACAATGTTTTTGATGTCGTCCATTATGTTTCCTTTCACTTGCAGGAACTGCCATTTGTGACATGTACCTTCTTCTAGGCAATTCGCACTGTCTGTCAAATGTTTGTAGGTGTCAAGACAAATGCACAGAGTAAGTGCTCTCTCTCATCCAGCATGTTTGGTAGAGAGAGGAGGGAAATGAACATGCACATGTCAATTTATTGAGGCCAGAAAGTTCTCACGTTCATTTTATTTATTGATTTATTGATTATCGTGACAGGCATATGATCATGGTTTGATTGTGTGGTACAAAGTGTAGCAATGAGGAGTACATGGTTCTATTCTGTGGTACAAAGTGTAACAGTGGTGGTTCATGGTTCTAGTCTGTGATACCTATGGTAACAGTGGCAGTTCATGGTTTGATTCTGTAGTACAGAGGGTAACAGTAGGGGTTCAAGGTCTGATTCTATAGTACAGAGAGTTACAGTGGGTGTTCATTGTTAGATTCTTTAGAAGAGACAGTCACAGTTGGTGTTCGTGGTTAGATTCTGTAATACAGACAGTCACAGTTGGAGTTCATGGTTTGATTCTGTAGTACAGAGAGTCACAGTGGTAGTTCATGGTGTGATTCTTTAGTACAGTGGGTTACAGTTGGGGTTAATGATTTAAATCTGTGGGAAAAAGTGTAGCAGTGATGGTTTAGGGTTTTATTCTCTGGTACATAGTGTTACAGTTGGGGTTCATGGTTAGATTCTGTGGTACAGGAGGTTACAGTGGGGGTTTATGGTTTATTCAGTAGTAGAGGGTGACAGTGGTGGTTCATGGTAAGATTTTGTAGTACAGACAGTAACAGTTGGGGTTCATTTTTTGGTCTGTAGACATTTACAGTGGGGGTTCAAGGCTTAATTCTGTAGTAGAGAGAGTTACAGTGGTTGTTCATGGTTAGATTCTGTAGTCCAGCGGATGACAGTAGGGGTTCATGGTTTGATTTTGTCGTACAGACTGTAGCTGCATTTCCATTACATTTTGTTCGCAATATAAAAGCGATGTTTATCAAATTTCGACAAAGTACAATTGCGATTTGCGGGTGTTTCCATTGAATGGTGTTCAGTGCATAACCGAGCCGCTATTTACTGCTGTTGCCGCTGCTGTCATCAGAAGACGAAGGCAGCGGGTGATAATTCAAAGGCAAAGCCCGTATGTATGGGAGCGGACACGGATGAGGGATTTCTGGGAGAGGATCGTTAATGAGGAATTCACAGACGAATTGTGGATTCAAAACTTCAGAAAAATACAAATACAATTCAAAACTTCAGAAATAACTCCGTCTCCTCCCCCGTCCACATACACCGTGCCATGTTTGCTTGAAATGAACTGGTCACATGACCCGCTACGTCACGTCCGGTTACAGAGAATTGCGAGAATAGTGTTTCCATTACACTTTTGCGATATACTTCTATATCGAAACGTCTGAAAAACCACCTCATGAGAGCGTAAAAACTTTTTAGCGATATTTGAGAGGTTTTTCGAAATTTAGTTGTTTCCATTACCAGTTTTCTATTGCGATATTAAGGTTTTGCGCAATTCAGTGGGTAATGGAAACGCAGCTAGTTACATTGGGCATTCATGGTTTTATTTTTTAGTACAGATAGTTACATTGGGTGTTCATTGTTTAATCTATGGCAAAGATATTTACATTGGGTGGTGTGGTTTTATTCTGTAGTACAGACAGTTACAGTGGGTGTCCTTGGTTGGATTCTGTATTAGGGACAGTTACAGTGGGTTCATGGTTCTATCCTGCAGTACAGAGAGTTATATCTGGGATTCATTGTTTGATTCTGTAGTACAGACAGTTACAGTGGGTGATCATGGTTTAATTTTGTGTTACAGTTACAGTGGGTGTTAATGGTTTGATTCTGTGGTACAATGTAGTGGTGCACTGATCACAAGTCTGTGGCCGATTACCGATCTTTAAAAAAATGGACCTGCTTATACTGATTTTGGCTGATACTGATTATGTTTTATATAACTGACAGCATTCACCTTCGATGTTTCAGTCTTATTTGAATGAAAAACATTGAACAATACCTGTTTTACAATACAAACTTTTTGTGTTTGTTGTAACTGCACATGAAATAATAACCTACAGGACAAACGAACAACTTCAACCACCAATAAACTGTCCTGAGTTTTTGGTTTCCTTGTAGTCCAAAAAGAAAAAAATGCCCAAATGCAGCAGCTTTGTGGTTATTTGAATGTAAAAATATAGATCTAGAAAAACTTGCAACAGCTTACAGGACAAGAGCTCTAAAAGTCAAACACTCTACAAAAAGTGCAGCATGTGTAATGTTTTCAAAAATCAGCAGTAATAAGAGTTGACATGGCCCTGGTAAATTGTTTTTACAGACTTATTGTAGTCACTTTTACATTAGTGGCAGATTTTTCTTGATAACAAAAGCATTTTTGCTTTTGCACCAGACAGGCGACTTCCTTTCTAATTAGCTAAATGTCCAGCCAAGCTAAACAGGCGCTCGCTCTCAGTGCTTGTGCATTGGGCAGAGAGATAGGCTCGTGTATCAATTTAAATTTATGATAAATGTCTGAAGATTAATAATCTTTATTTATGACATTTATGCACTCGTTTAAAGGGGCACCACCATAGACCATATACTATGGACAACCTGGTTCCACCTTCCGCCTGTATACGGATTTGAAGCCAAAAAGCTCTCGGTATTTCCGGGTTTTTCTCCACTTCCTTGAAACCAGAGCTGCGCAGTAGCGATGCGCGCATTCGGCCGTGCAGTCGCCGAGAGTCCCTGTGATGACGCTCGGCTCAAACAGCGTATCCCCCCCGGGTGAGCTACGCAATCCCTGAACGCCCATAGGCTGTACCAGGTGTCAATCACAGAAAACATGAACCCCCTCATAACTTTTAAAAATGGAGCTGTACAGAAAAAGGAGGACTTGGGCACAAACCAGTCTTACAATAACTACATGTCAACATCACAAGCAGGGGGGAGAAAAATTTATGTTCTGTGTAATAAATTTATAAAGTTTGTCCACAGTCCCATAAGCTTTGCTGGCGGAGGCGGGATTTATGACCCAGCGAGGAGGCAGACTCTGTCCATTCTTTATACACTCTATGGGCACCACCCACCCTTTTGGGAAAATAAAGAAAAACAAAAAACAACAAATTTTAATTCAGAAATCAAACATTAAGTCAATCTTAAATTAATCAATCTCATATCTTAAGCCGAAATTCTCATTTCAGGGACTCCACTTCAGGAAGAACACTAACAGACAGGAACTTAGAAAAATAATGATCTGTTTATTACAGGATAAATGATGGTACAACATATATGCAATAAATGATAAGATAATGAGGATAAATAATGATAGGTGAATAATAAAAGATTCTTAGTCAGGCTAGGAGCACTAAAGTTAATGATAGTGAGTGAATATGCCCTAACATATTAACCTACACTAACTTTGGTGTCAAGATAAATTTGGATGTCGATTTGGATGAATCTAGGATTACTGGAATAAGTGAATGTCTGAGTAATGACCAGCTCTGGAGGTTTGCATACTTAAGTGAGACTGGTCCTTGGAGAAGATGGAGCAGGTACCGCAGGTACAGGGCTACCAGCTGTTCGAGCGGTTCCGCTCAGATGACGACCAAAGTCAGCCGAAAGATGGGCCAGGAGTTGCAGCACTCGGGCCCGCAGCAAAAGCCTGCACCTGTGGATCCTGTGGATGCTAGTTTAGTCCCACTCAAAACTCTGGCACAGAGGATGACTTTGGGCCTGCCAGGTGGTGTTCAGAGGTGACTTTGAAATCACGCAGATAACTCAAAAAAAAATAAAATAAAAGGCTAAATCTTAAACTGCTATGCTCACAAAAAGTTGAAATTTCACAACTTGAACTAAGAAAATGGTCAAGAAAAATCAACATGAATGAACACGTGGCGTAAAACTTAGAAGGCTAAGAAAAAGTAAGACGTAGTAAAAATAATAAGAGCTAAAAGAAAATAAAGAGGAGGGCCAAGAGAAGACCCGGGAAGACAAGTGGGAGGAAAAACAGTGACAGCAACCCTAACTTTACTAATTTTTTTCATTGTGCTTTGTATACATAATCAATTTTTATGACTTGCATGTACATAAAGAAGTATACTTCAGTAAAAACGATTTTCTATTTTTAATTTGGTTTTGTCAATGTAGCTGTAGGCTAATATTAATTATGGCTAGAATATACACTATTCATAGTAACTTGCCTTGGATCAAGAACAGTGGCCAATCTAGGACTGGGCGATTATATGATCGATGATCGTGATAAATTTCAGTTCGATCACATTGATCAGCGGTAAGCCTATTTACTTGATCAGACATAGCGGAAATGTGCGTCACAACATTTAATCAGAGTCGAGCTTTCCTGCCCACTTCTGTACGTTACCGGAAAAATAAACAGGAGAAGTAAACGTCAACACAACAAATCTGTTTAATCATTTGAGGAAGTACTTCCCGAGTGATTATGCGGAAAGCATGAAAATGCAAGTGGAGTCTGCACAGCCTGTCACTGCTGACGGCACAAGTAGCATTAGCGGTTTAGCTACAAGTAGTGGTGCAGCCACCAGACCAAAGCAGCAATCAATCATATAATACCGGCCAACACTCCTGCTTTTCCCAGGACAAAATGAACATTTCAAGGAAAGGGAAAAAGAAACGCGAGATACGCGAAAGTGATGCGTTCAGGGCAGCCTCAGATAAAACAGTTCTGTATTGCATGCACAGATGTTCAGAGAGCCTCATACAGGAGAGCATGTAAAACATATGAGGACTTTAACACTAACATTCGTGGACTAAATAAGTTCAAGGCATATTGTAGCTATTATGTTTTTTAATTACCATTTGTTATTGTTAAAACACAAAAGTGAGCAGCTTTAATTATACTTATTTGGATGAGCAATCTAATTACAAATACTCTCATAATTAGCTAATATCCACCATACAAGGTAACCCCAAAACTGCCTGGCGCACGCCACAAAAATCTCCCGGATTTTATTACCCAAATGTTGGCAGATATGCATATCATTTACGTTTACATCATCTAATGTTTACATTTTAAAGCATCTTCATTATCTCCGAGGGGGCGATTTGTTTATTTTGGGTCTTGCATACCTGCAAAAGCACTCAGGACTGTAAACTAGTTCATTGTATTACTTAGTATTTATTATCTACATTTGTTGTACTGTTGAGTTCAAATGTTTTTTAGATTTTTCTGAGTGTATCTTATCCAATTTGCTTTAACGTTGTATGTTGATAATATGTTGAACTAATCTCTAGTTTTTATAGTTTTTAGTACAGCTGCTTTAAAACTGGCAGTTTAAAAAAAAAATCGTGATAATAATCGAGATCGGACGATATGACAAAATATATCATGATCGTTTTTTTTGCCAAATTGCCCAGGCCTAGGCCAAGCTGTACAGGGGCTTAGGCTCAATGTTGCTGAATCTTCTCACAACAGCTTCCAATATTTGTGGCTTTAGCTGTACCCACACCATGGTCTGTGTCTGCTTGCCTCTCCATAAGCCGTTTTAGTGCAGTGATGGCTGGGATGACATCTGCGGCTGTAGCTGCTGATGAGCTGATCTCCTTTGTGAGTTCCTCAAAAGGTGCGAGGATGGTCAGCACATTGTCCGTAAGTTTCCACTGGTGTGCAGTGAGTGTGGCTGGTAACTCGTGCTCATCTGCATACACGCCAATAGCATGTCTCTGCTTCATCAGCGACTGCAACATGTAGACCGTGCTGTTCCATCTTGTTGTAACATCTTGTTGCAGTCGCTTCCTGGGCTGACCTAACTGTGTCTGTATCTCGTAGAGGCTGGAAAAGCGAGGGATGAATGCTTAAAATGCCTGACAATTCTCCTTCCCGTTGCCACAACATCTGCAATGCTGCGTTGCGCAAATTGTCCCTTGTTTATGAGTTGCAGTGTGTGTGCCAGACAAGGCAAACTTTTTAAGTTGGCATCATCCAGTGCTTTGGCCATATTAGGAGTGTTGTCCCGCAAGACAACGTGAACTCTTGTTTGATCAATTCCCCACTGATCCAACATTGCCTTAAACTCTGCTGATAAGTTGGCAGCAGTGTGAAACACCTGCTACTGACTTTGTCAGTTTTGGTTATTTGGGGCTATCTTTGTTGTTTAAATTGTTGGGGTGATAAAGATTGATCCAATAAAAATGGTGTTCCTTCTTATTCATTAATAGTAATATTAATGTGAACTGTTACTTATGTCATTGAAATCCAGACCAAATAAGAAAAGCACTAATGTAAATGAAAATATCCCTAACGTATTGTGAGTAGTGTATGAATTTAACGTTGGGAATATTAGACATTTGGAGAGGGACCCAGCCACACGAGAGAGAGTATGCGTTTTACTCTGCTCAACACTCCACCTAACACATGAATCGACTACTTTTTTGTCTAGAAGATAGATTTAGAGTGATGAAATGTGAGATTGGAACCTCTGATCTCACAGATCATTGTACCCTTTATTTAAAGCTACATTTAAGCCAAAGTTAGAAAAGCACAACATGAAGATTGGATCTTAGCATGCTTAATGACAAAACAATGCTAAGGAAAATAAATTGTGATATCAACACATCGAGAAAAGAGAACAATAATGGAGAAATAGACCCCACTATCCTGTGGGATGCCCTGAAAGTGGTGATTAGGGGAAAATAATATCCTATACAGCTCCTCTTTTTAAAAAAAAAAGGAAAAAAAAATAGAATAGAAGAATACACTAAAAAAAAGGTAGAGCTTAAAAAACTAGAGAGCCAACATAAAATCACGAATAACCCAGATCAACGCAGTCTCCCTCCAAAATGTAAAATACTAATGTTGGTCATGTCGCTCGAATGACTGCAGTATTTCTCCCTGCTTCAACAAAAAACATGGAGGACTTCCCCTCAGCTGAAGTCTGTCCGCAGAAAAGACTGGGCAGATGAAACGTACCCGTGTCACAATTTCAGATCCGTGTTTGTGAAATGACTACATTTTGTGCAGTGGACCAATGTAGGTATTTCACGTTATTGAGTGAGACTGCTTTGCCCAGATACTATAAAAAACAACTCATAACCTGCCTCAGGTGACTTAGAGTTAAATAGAACTTTTTTAGATACATTAGGTCTACTAGCACTAGGGAAATCCCAGGATACAATTTTTGGTTCAGTGATTACTGATAGAGAATTGTAAAATGCAGTTAAGAAACTAAAACCAAGTAAGGGACCTGGAAAGGATGGCTTCCTGCCTGAATGGTATAAATAGTTAAAAATAACTAAACCCAATTGTACTTACTTCACTTACTATACAGTTAAAACCAGAAGTTTACATACATTATATAAAAAGGCACGTAACCTTTTTTTCCTCACTAACATTAAATCAGATAAAACTTTTCCTGTTTTTGGTCAATTAAGATTACCAAAAAAATTGTATTTGCTAAATGCCAGAATAATGAGAGAGTTAATTTTTTAGACATTTTTTATTACTTTCTCAAGGTTTACATACATTTCATTAGTTTTTGGTAGTTGCCTTTAAATTGTATAACTTGGGTCAAATGTTTTGGATATGCTTCCACAAGCCTTTCACCATAGTGTGTAGAAATTTTGGCCCATTTCTCCTGACAGAACTGGTGTAACTGAGCCAAGTTTGTAGGCCGCCTTGCTTGCACATTCCTTTTCAGTTCTGCCCATAAATTTTCAATAGGATTGAGATCAGGGCTGTGTGATGGCCACTTCAAAACTCTGACCTTGTTATTCTTACGCCACTTTGTAACCAGTTTGGTAGTATGCTTAGGATCACTATCCATTTGGAAAACCCATTTGCGCCCAAGCTTTAACTTCCTGGCTGATGTCTTGAGATGTTGCTTCAGTATTTCCACATAATGTTCTTTCCTCACGATGCCATCTATTTTGTGAAGTATACCAGTCCCTCCTGCTGCAAAACAACCCCACAACATGATGCTGCCACCACCATATTTCACAGTTGGGATGGTGTTTTCAGGCTTGCAAACTTCCCCTTTTTTCCTCCAAATGTAACAATGGTCATTATGGCCAAAAAGTGCCATTTCAGTTTCATCAGACCACAGGAGATGTCTTCAAAAAATAAGGTCTTTGTCCCTGTGTGCATTTGAAAACTAATCTGGCTTTCTAGGTTTCTTTTGGAGTCATGGCTTCTTCCTGGAAGAGTGGCCTTTCAGCCCATGTTGGTACAGGACTTGTTTCACTGTTGATAATGACACTCTTACCAGCTTCAGCCAGCATCTTCACAAGGGCTTTTGCTGTTGTTTTTGGGTTGATATTCACATTTCGGACCAAAGCACGTTCATCTCTAGGACACAAAACCCATCTTCTACCTGACCGGTATGATGTCTGGACATTCCCATGGTGTTTATACTTACGTACAATTGTTTGAACTGATGAAAGTGGCACCTTCAGGCATCTAGAAATTGCACCCAAGGATGAACCAGACTTGTGTAGGTCTACAATTCTCTTCCTGATATCTTGGCAGATTTCTTTTGATTTTTCCCCATGATGTTACACAAAGAAGCAGTGTGTTTCAGGTGTGCCCTGAAATACATCCACAGGTGTGCCTCTAATTAACTCAAATGTTGTCAATAAACCTATCAGAGGCTTCCAAAGGCATGATATCTTCATCTGGACTTTCCCAAATTGTTTAAAGGCATAGTCATCTTTGAGTATGTCAACTTTTGACTCTCGAGAAAGTAATAAAAATTGTCTAAAAAATACTCTCTCTCATTATTCTGGCATTTAGCATATAAAAATAATTTTGGTAATCCTAATTTACCAAAAACAGGAAAAGTTTAATCTGATTTAATGTTAGACGATGAGAAAAAAAGGTTTGTGCCTTTTTATACAGTGTATGTAAAATTCTTGTTTGAACTGTACATCAAAAACTGTGCCCCCTCATCAAATGAATGAATGAATGACGCTTTAATAACAGTGATCCCCAATGTAGGCAAGAACAAAGAGCTATGTGAAAATTACAGACCTATATTGATACTTGATTGGGATTATAAGATATATACAACCATTTAATGTAATAGATTAGAAAACTTAATACAAGAATTAATTCACAGACAAATCCGGCTTTATAAAGGGAAGACAGACACATATCATATAGCTGCCATATCATATGGCTACCATATGATGAAAATATTAAACCAGGGGCTTTAAATCAGAGGTTCAAACAATGGGCTAAGAGAGGCACAACAATAATTAATACAATAATTGAAAAGGGAGAAATCAGAACCTTTCTAAAACTAAGAGGAGAAAATGAGTTGGATAAACAATTTTTTTTATGTATCTAGAGATCAGAGATTATTTTCGTAAAGAGATTAAGCCAGATCTCCAAAAAGAGCAAAACAGGCATATTGTTGCAATGTGTAACACTTACAAAAACTTAGTTAAAGACCAATATTGGTGCTTTATCAAAGTCTGGTGAGCAGTAAAACACCATCAACTCTTTATATAAGGGACAAATGGGAAAGGGAAATAAAGAGGTAAATAACGGAAAAGGAATGACACATTATGTGCAGGACTTTGATAAAGACATCTACCCCTAGATACTGGAGAAAATTCTGTGGGAAGAACATTGTCAGATTTTCTTTTCACTTGTAGTATGAAGAAAAGCGTTTTGCAGGTCTCACAGCCCTGTTGGAGAAAGTGTGGAGAGCAGGAATGTTGATCATACCCACATCTGGGGAAAGTGGGAAAAATAGAACAAATATTCTGTTGACAGCACATAAAAAAATTGACAACTTTAATGGAGGCTTCATGGACAACTTTTTTTCTCTTTGTAGCACAATGATTTTTCTATTTGACTGTATGTCTTGTTTTTGTTGTTATTGTTAAAAAATGCTTATAAAATTTAAGTTAAAAAAAGAAAGTTGACCCCTTTTTTACTGGCTTAGCCAGTTTCTTCCACCTGCACTTTGTTTGGTTATGCGGATAGATATGCACATCAGACACAAAGGACTGACAGAACTTCACAGCAAGTGTTTTGCTATTTTCACAAATTAAGCAGGCATTACGGCTTTTACGAGTAAGTTTGACAGCCCTAATTTATATATGGATATGAAAGAATTGCATTACATATAGATAGAGTGCCTTAACCAGGGTTGCTACACAGATGGAATTTCCATACCATAATTTTTAGAATTATTTTTGGAAATACCTATTTTTCTATTATAAAAAAAACGTGTTTTTGAACTGTGGTAATAGTCTGGAAACAAATATTTTTCCATACTTTATTTTTCATTTTTCATGCTTTTTAAGACCTGGAAATTGATCAAAGTACTTCCATACTTTCCATACTTGTGTAGGAACCCTGCTTAGCCTATTTTTCAATTTTTTTCCAGTTTGAATTTCACCCTTATTTGGTGTTTTTGATGGTTTGATTCCCAGCCTTTGCCTGTAACTGAATATTTGAGCTCACTCTCTGTTCCACACTTCCTGTCTCTATTTCTGAATCAGTTCCCCCTTTAGATGTGATGAGTAACCTTTAATTTGAAAATTTATCATAATGACTAGTTTACATCCATTTTTTCAGATAACTCAGCCCACTTCCAAGACATCAACCAACAAGTTGCTGACCCTGCTTCTCTCGCTGCTGCCATCTTAAGCTCCACCAAAACCAGGCAAAGCAGAGCCTGCAGAAACCTTCAGGTCCCTCTGGTCAACATGGGCCAGCCACTCCGTGGGCCACTTACAGGCCAGAGCAGCCAGAGAGGCCCCACCTACTCAAAGGAAAACCCAAATCAATTCAATGCTAATGAAAACGCTAATGCTAACCTTTCTGCTGCTTCCTCAGTTATAAAAACAAGCCAGATCTCCACAAATCCAGCATCAGATGTAACCCAGTCCCCCATGACATCACTTCCTGCGGCTTATTATCAGACAATAAAAGAGCCAGTATGCGGGGAAGACACACCCACAGCTGAGGAAGGACAGGTGAGTGAGTGATTGCAGGTGTAATCGTAAAGGGGTTGTAGATTCAGTGATGTTGATTGATTCTGGGAGAAAACAAGAAAAAGACAAGTGATAATTAAGAGAGAAGCAAACTGATAACATTAAAAAATTAAAAAAGCATTAAAAAAACGAGTCGCAAAGTTCACAGAAAAAAAAAAACTTGCAACATATTTTAAAAAATCTATTTAATTCATGTAAGAAGACAGTATTTCAGCAGATTATATACTGTCGGTAGGCCTGTCATGATAACAATTTTTGCTGGACGATAATTGTGCTACAAATTATTGCCGATAAACGATATTATTGACACAGTTTTTTAAATTATAGATAATGATAATATAAGGCATAATAATGCGAGTACACCATGTCAAAAGCAATAAACTTTAATTGCTCAAGATTAAGAACTTTGAACTAGGATGAACAAATATAATAATAATATATGGTGGTATATGGTATAATATAATAAACAGACCTTGTCTCTGGTACGGAACAAAAACTTCACTCCACACTTAACTATTAAAACAATAAATAAAGTGGAGTCTCGAGTCTGTAAACAAAATTGCACTGAATAATTAGCTTTGGGTGCTATTCCTCAACAGGTCAACAAAGAACATGCATGCGCACCTCAAACACATTTTTCAGTTAATGGCCTCTAACTTTTTCTTTATTGATGGAATACAGCTTAGAATCGTTCAGGACATACCTGACGGGCTACAAGATAAACTAGAAAATCAGCATCTTGTTTCGTTAAACTGCGCCTAGGTGGTGCTGTGTAATGTCTACAAAAAAAATGTCAATCTGTGATTTTGCTATAGATGTATACAGCCACATGAAATCTGGTACACAAATCAAAAGGGGTGCCTGCTTGAAGGGCTCCAATGTCAAAATTTACACTTTTGTTGGACCCCAAGATGAGCAAAAAGTGCTCAAATTTCAAAATGAAGATCCCAACTAAAAATGGCTCTCTAGCACCCCGTACTACATTTCAAAATGTGACCCTCACTCCTGTGTGTGACCCAAACCTGTTGAATCAATGACACTTATGTTGGACCCCAAGATAAACACAATGGCAGCCAACTAAAAAGGGCTTCATAGTGCCCCCTACAAAATTTGAAAATGTGACCTTCGCTGCTGTGTGTGACCGAAACCTGTTGAATCAATGACACTTATGTTGGACCCCAAGACAAACAAAAAGGGGAGGTGGTCCTCAGAGGCGCCACACATCTCAGGCCCATTGATTCCCTGCGGGGCGCTTGTTTATTAGGCACGCAAGGCATGCACATATTGTTATCATTCGGGCAGGTACAGTAACAGCCCCAAAATGCAGAGCCATTTTTAGTATGCCCTGCAACTAAAATGGCTTATGCCCTGGTGTTGCAGGGCATACGCCCCTGAAATGGGGAGGGGGTGATGAAAAAAAAAAAAAAAAAAAAAAGCCCCCCAAAATTCCCCATTAGTGTGTATTGCGTGCCAAGGTGTATATTAGTATCCTAGATGGCTGGTTAATTTTTTTTATTATTATAGATGCACCTTTAAAATGTTCAACTACATCAAAACATCGACAAGGGACCTATGATTTCATAAGTGTAGAAGGCTTGTCGATATCTGGTATGGTTTGGCCACAGTAACTGATCAAGCAAGGGGTGCAAACAAGGATTTTCCGTTTTTTTCAGAGTGATGACTCATCATTTTAGAGTGAAGAGAAGTGAACATGTAATCTAAATTTTTGATTTCTAAATCGCTGCCACAGCCACAATTTTCACTCAAAACACGCAAATTATACATCAAAACATAGGAAATCATCGTCGCACCAGTAACATCGTCAAATGCACCTGAGGTGACTGCGTCCCTGAACAAAGACTTGGAAAACCTCCGGGAGTGGGCCGATGCCTGGAAGTTTCACTTTTGAGCACAGCAAGTGCAAGGCGATAATCCTGTCCAGAAAGAGGAATCCCTCTCGACCCGACCTGTACTTTGGGACCACCAAGATCACACTTAGTGAGCAGATGGAGGTGTTGGGTCTTTCTATAGACAGCAAGCTCACATGGACCAGCCATCTGTCCAACATCTGCAGACGTGCTGGACAACGTCTTGGTGCACTGCGTAAGCTGGCCAACAAGCTTGATGCCAAGGGCAGGGCCAACATTTATAAGACCCAGGTCAGGAGCATCATGGAGTACTCCTGCCTGGCCTGGATGAACGCTTCTCCGACCACTCTTAGGCAGCTAGACCTCATCCAGAAGAAGGCTCTAAAAATCATCGGGGTGGATGAGGACCTTGCCCTTCAGCAGTACGCCATCAGCAAGCTGGATCACCGGCGAACAGTTGCAGCAACAACCGTTCTCTATAAAATGCACACCCCCAACTGTCCAGTGGACCTCAAAGCTCTGCTACCCCAAGCCCACACTGTGGGAAGAATCACCCGGAGAGTACTGCCAAGTCACGCCCTGAAAAATTACAAAAAAATACAAAATTCGTTTGTATATTATGAAAAAAATATAACTGCAAAAGCTTTGCAATTTTGTACAGGAATAAAAAACACTTTCAAAATTATGCCGAATATTGCAGAAACTAAATTGTAATAGATTTAGAGTAATTTCAAAGAAGTTTTCAAAACAGAAGTCATGGCCGGACGGTCGCACCACATGATATTTTGACCCTTTGAAGTTCAGAAAAATTACAAAAAACTCCTGATTTTTGAAAAGTTGAAGTGGCTCCATATATTAGAGAGATACTACAAATAGATAGTATATATTTTTCACATTTAAAACTCTTTGTAACATAAAGAAAATACAGCCGGACAGAATATTGAGGCGTCACGTCATTGACCCATGTATGTGTATGTATGTATGTATGTATTTATGTATGTATGTGTATGTATTTATGTATGTATATATGTATGTGTATATATATATATATATATATATATATATATGTGTGTGTGTGTGTATGTATGTTTGTATGTATGTATATAAAAGTCTCTTGGAGAGATTCCTGTATGACTTTCTTTACACGGGTTACACCTTCACTCGATTTTAGTCATGTGATTCGGTCTCACAGCGGTCAATTGGACACCAAACATGCATCTGTAATGTAAAAGCAGCAAAAACCAACATTTTTTTCAGTTTATGGCCTGTAAGTCCTTCATCGATGAGATGCAGCTGTGATTTCCTCAGGACACACCTGGCACAGCAACAAAGCCACAAGAAAAATCTGCGCCTTGCTTTGTTTAGTGGTGTGCAATGGTGGCAGTGCACACAGGGGTTGCAGTACACTGCTTGGGCCTGCCAGTGCCCAGCAGGGCGCTTGTGAACAGGTGTCTTTATTAAAATCACAGAAGGCTGTGTTCATATTCTGATGGGTTTTTTTACATTTCAAATCAATAATTCTGATTTTATATTGATGTCAATTTAAAAAAATCATGAAAGAAAGAAGAGCTTGTTATCGTTGTCTAGTTAGAAACTGAAATCAGAGAAACAGGAATTACCAGGTGTTACAGAAAATAATTTTCATTCTGATACATGAGCTCTTCCCCTTACTGTCAGTCTTCATTATTAAAAAAATAGCACAAAGTCCATTTTAGCCAATAACAAAATGATCATCATTCTTCAACACTAAAAAAATTATAAAAACAAATATTGACTATTTTATTAAAATATTGCTCTAAAGGACACTTAGTGAAACCTGTTTCTGCTTACCTTTCAGAGCACTACACACAGGACAAGCTGTGGGGAAAGGACAACACCTATGAAGCAACTAGGTGAGACAAGAAACAACCAGGTTAGATACAAAACAACCTGGTTGGATACAAAACAACCAGGTAAGTGACAAAACAACCAAATCAGATAAATGACAACCGGATGACACACAAAACAACCAGGTCAGATACACAACAACCAGGTGATATGCAAAACAACCAGGTGAGACACAAACATTAAGAGTGGTCTCCCCTCTTTCAACATTACATTTTTTGTAATGTTAGACATTAAACACAGTTTGTTACTTCAGAGGGTTTTCCTTCTGTGTTGTGAACTTCAACCTTTACAAATTCACTGAAAAACAAATTGAAGCCCATTTTGGGGATAGTAAAAATAAAAAACTCCAAAGCTTTGAATCTGGACTGCGTGCACAGAAAATACATGATCTTAAAGCTAAGTTTGCGCGATCTACCACCATCCTCACTCATTCATTCACTGCCCAATAATGTGCAAATGAGTGTTCGCTCCGAGTTGCATGGGCTGGTCAGTGACTTATATGGGACATAAAGATCTAAAGAGGAGATAGAGACAGACTCTAGCTCAGTGTGCCAGATAGCCCCGGCAGTCTAGACCTATAGCAGCATAACTAAGAGCTGGTTCAAATCAGCCCTGACTATAGGCTTTATCAAAGAGGAACGTTTTAAGTCTACTCTGGAAAGTTGAGAGTGTGTCTGCCCCCCGAACCTCGAGCGGTAAATGATTCCAGAGGAGAGGTGCCTGGTAGCTGAAAGCTCTTCCTCCAATACTACTTTTAGAGACATTTGGTACAACGAGCAGGCCTGCAGACTGTGAGCGTAACGGTCTAGATGGAAAGTACGGTATAACTAGCTCGTCGAGATATGATGGAGCCTGGCCGTTAAGCGCTTTATATGTCACAAGGAGGATTTTAAACTCAATTCTATATTTAATAGGGAGCCAGTGAAGAGAGGCTAAACAGGAGAGATGTGCTCCCGTCTTCTGGTTCTAGTCAGTACCCGAGCTGCTGCATTTTGGACCAGCTGAAGAGTCCTTAATGACTTACTAGAGCAGCCTGATAGGAGAGAATTACAGTAATCCAGCCTAGAGGTAACAAAGGCATGGACTAGTTTTTCTGCATCGCTCTGAGACAATATGCGTCTAATTTTTGAGATATTGCGCAGGTGGAAAAAGGCTGTCCTGGAAATTTGTTGAATGTGGGAGCTAAAAGATAAATCCTGATCAAATAAAACTCCCAGATTTCGCACAGTGGGGCTGGATGCCAGGCTGATGCCATCAAATGTAGCTAAATTACTAGAGAATGCCTCTCTAAGGTGTTTAGGACCGAGGACCAGAACTTCAGTTTTGTCTGAGTTGAGCATTAGAAAGTTATTGGTCATCCAGGATTTTATATCTTTGAGGCAGGCTTCTAACCTGGCAACCTGGCCTGCTTCCTCCGGCTTCATTGATAGGTATAGCTGGGTGTCATCTGCATAACAGTGGAAATTAATCGAGTACTTCCTAATTAATTTAATGACTCAGCAGAAAAGCTCCAGGATGACTTAATTAATGACTTAATTAATTCACAGGTCCCCACTCAGCTTTCAGTCAGTCAGCTGTTCTTGACAAGTTGTTAGGGTGATTTTCTTCAGCGAGTCATGTCATCCTTGTGGGGGGTGGAGCTGTGTCACTCAAATACTTTGGATACTTTGGTGCTAGATTTCTGGAGCCATGGGCCTCTGACAACCATCCTCAGCAAGGACCTTGTACCCATGTTTAACATAGCTCAGGCTCCCAAAATACGTAATGCTTTGTTATTAACCTTCATGGACTCTCCTTCAGGGCAACAAGATGCAAGCAGAATGTTTGGAAACTTGGACGGCTATACCTGAACATTCTCAGACCAGTCCTTGTTACACTTGGGGCATAAAAAAGCTGTAACCCAGATCTGCGACCAGTAAAGCTTGTCAAAATGATCATTTGTGTGGACCTCCCATTCTTTAAAGTGTGAACATGGGCTCAGCAAACCTCTTCTTGTCTCCTTGTGTCTTCTCTTGTCTCTGAGTGTTTTTTAAGCGTCTGATTTGTTTGTTATTCAGCAGCGGAACAGACAGAGCAGCAGGTGGAGTGGAGGACAGTGGAGCAGCATAAGGAGGAGGAGCGGAGGCGGAGGCGGGAGCGGTACAAAGAGAAGCGTTTTTTCTGCGAGCACTGTAGCAAAGGATTCCATCAGAAGCACCAGCTGAGAAAGCACGCTGCTAGCCACTCAAAACCCTTCCCCTGCACTTCCTGTGACAAAGGTTTCTTTAAGGCCTCAGGTCTACAGCGCCACCTGCTGGTACACCAGCTAAGTGATGCCCGCCAAAGTGACCCTGACCACCTGCTGAGCTGCGATCAGTGTGACAGAAAGTTTGGTAGACTGCGGCAGCTCAGAGCTCACCAGCTGACTCATCAGCTTCAGAAAATGCCACTCAGGTGTAAAGTCTGTGAACGCAGCTTTACCTCAGCAAGCTCACTCAGGCACCATCTGGTGTCACATGCCAAAGTGAAGCCTTTCAAGTGTGATGCCTGTGGTAAGGGTTTCACCAGGAAGAAGAGTCTACAGGAGCACCAGACCATCCACACTGGTGCCCGACCATACCGCTGCCCCATCTGCAACAAGACCTTCTCCACCACTGGGAACCTGCGCGTCCACCTGAGGTCTCACTCCGAGGAGCGGCCACATAAGTGCAGCGAGTGCAACAAAGCCTTCAAGAGCAAGATGGGACTGCTTCAGCATCGACTCGTACACTCAGGAGAAAAACCCTATGTATGCCAGACTTGTGGACTCAGCTTTAGCCTTAAGTACAACTTCCAGAGACACCTGCGCCTGCACAGCGGGGAGAGGCCCTACAGGTACACACACACTGTAGGTGGTCCAGTTGTTGTTTTTTTTTTGTGGTGTCATGTTTACCTGTCCTTAGTTAGTAAGACATCTAGAACACACCTGTATGAAGAGGTGTTCTCAGTCTTGGACTTGCTTCAAACTCTTTTGGTTATACAGGATATCGAGGAACCTGCCTGGTTTAGGTTTAGCCTCAGCCCGGATGATTTAATGACAGAATATCTGTGTGTCCAACCAGAAGCTGGTTTTAATCAGAGCTGTTTTATTTAAATTTATCTGACCCTGTATATATATATATACACTACAAACACAAAGTTTGGAAGCAAGGCCATTACAGGCCGAACAGTTGGGAGTAACTTCAAGTTTTTGTTTACAATGCTTTTTTTTAAAATCCAGCATGAGTTGTATGTATTTTGGGATGTATTTACTCCATGATCAGATGTTGCTTTCATGGAAATGCACCATTTTACTCCATTTACCTTTAGATATATATTGATGTTAACAGACCATTGCTAAATACACTCACCGGCCACTTTATTAGGTACACCATGCTAGTAACGGGTTGGACCCCCTTTTGCCTTCAGAACTGCCTCAATTCTTCGTGGCATAGATTCAACAAGGTGCTGGAAGCATTCCTCAGAGAGCTTGGTCCATATTGACATGATGGCATCACACAGTTGCCGCAGATTTGTCGGCTGCACGTCCATGATGCGAATCTCCCATTCCACCACATCCCAAAGATGCTCTATTGGATTGAGATCTGGTGACTGTGGAGGCCATTTGAGTACAGTGAACTCATTGTCATGTTCAAGAAACCAGTCTGAGATGATTCCAGCTTTATGACATGGCGCATTATCCTGCTGAAAGTAGCCATCAGAAGTTGGGTACATTGTGGTCATAAAGGGATGGACATGGTCAGCAACAATACTCAGGTAGGCTGTGGCGTTGCAACGATGCTCAATTGGTACCAAGGGGCCCAAAGAGTGCCCAAAATATTCCTCACACCATGACACCACCACCACCAGCCTGAACCGTTGATACAAGGCAGGATGGATCCATGCTTTCATGTTGTTGACGCCAAATTCTGACCCTACCATCCGAATGTCGCAGCAGAAATCAAGACTCATCAGACCAGGCAACGTTTTTCCAATCTTCTATTGTCCAATTTCGATGAGCTTGTGCAAATTGTAGCCTCAGTTTCCTGTTCTTAGCTGAAAGGAGTTGCACCCGGCGTGGTCTTCTGCTGCTGTAGCCCATCTGCCTCAAAGTTCGACGTACTGTGCGTTCAGAGATGCTCTTCTGCCTACCTTGGTTGTAACGGGTGGTTATATGAGTCACTGTTGCCTTTCTATCAGCTCGAACCAGTCTGGCCATTCTCCTCTGACCTCTGGCATTAACAAGGCATTTCCGCCCACATAACTGCCGCTCACTGGATATTTTTTCTTTTTCGGACCATTCTCTGTAAACCCTAGAGATGGTTGTGCGTGAAAATCCCAGTAGATCAGCAGTTTCTGAAATACTCAGACCAGCCCTTCTGGCACCAACAACCATGCCACGTTCAAAGTCACTCAAATCACCTTTCTTCCCCATACTGATGCTCGGTTTGAACTGCAGGAGATTGTCTTGACCATGTCTACATGCCTAAATGCACTAAGTTGCCGCCATGTGATTGGCTGATTAGAAATTAAGTGTTAACGAGCAGTTGGACAGGTGTACCTAATAAAGTGGCCGGTGAGTGTATATGTCAGCAAAAGAAAATAAGGGCTTAGTTGCAGGGTCGAAAACATTTGCAAGAGTCACAACCTAATGTGCAAAAGCAAAAAAAAAAAATCACAGTTGGATTATTTACTTTAACTTTTTGGCTTTTGAGAGCCTGCATACAAAAATCCTTATAAATCTCAACTGCATTCAAAATACCGCAGAAATGGCTAGAAAGAAGCAACTGAGTAAAGAAACAAAACAAAGGAGTCCACTGCACTCTAAGGAGACTACAGGAACCTGGAAGTTATGATGATAGAAAAAGGCCTGGACGAAAGAATTACTACAAAAGCAGAGGATAAACATATCATTGTCACCAGTAAGACAAATCGGTGAAAGACAGCACCAAAAATAAGCAAGGAAATCAACATGACAAGGTCGAAACCCATATCTCTGACAACTGTGAAAAGATGTTTGAGAAAGGCTGGTTTGAAGGGTTGTGTATCTGCAAAAAAACACTTCTTCGTCCACAGAACAAGAAAAAGAGATATGAGTGGGCAAAAGCTAAAAAAAATTGGACTTATGATGTCTAGAAACAAGTTCTCTGGACCGATGAAAGCAAGTTTGAACTAGGCCTGTCGCGATAATCAATTAATCGCCTTATCGCTCGATAAATAAAAACGAGGTCGGTCATTTTGCCAGCCTCGATAATTGACGTGCGTTTGTTTTCCTCCTCTCTCGCTACCAAAGACGCTGGATGAGAGAAGAGGTCTCACTCTGCGCATTTTTCTCGGCACCTGGGGGCGTTGGCTCTATAGCGGAATGAACGGAGTTAGTGAACCCTCCTGTCAGTCATTCAGTGTCTTTGTCACGAGGGGGCTGGCGCGCACAGGCACACAGACACAGACTTTTGGATACAGTGCTGCAAGTGCGCGTCGTGAGTGAAAAGCAAGCTAACAGAATGAACACGACAGCTTTGGTGTCTAAACCGAACGCAACAGCCCAAGTGTGGGAATATTTCGGCTTTAAACCAGTTTTGTTTTCGTCAGCCACAAAACTCCACGTGTGTGCGTGCGCGTGTGTCTGTGTGTTGGAGGAGCACAGCAGGCTGATGAGAGCTGTCAGAGCGGACTGAAGCTGCTCCTATATGTTTAGTGTTTAACTGACTGAGTTTTGAAACTCTGTTCATCATTTTCGTCTCGTCCCATCAACGTAAACGCACTTTCGTCTCGTCACATTTTAGTCATCTCCGACTTATGTTTAGCTCGTCAACGTTACGTCTTCATCGTGGAAGAAAAGGGAAATATTTTAGTCAATATTTCCCTTTTTTGACGCTGGCGTTGACGAAAATATCTGACGAAATATGACGAAAACAACACTGCTTTAAACCAAATGAAAGAGGTGAGCCCACAAATACGGACGAGCCGATATGTCGTATTTGTTCCAAAGTTGTGGTGACAAAGAAGGGGAATACGACGAACATGCACGTGCACCTCAAGCACAATCATCCCCTCCATTTTTCTCAACTGAGCAAAAAAAGTACCGCCGGAGGTGCTGCGGAGTCATCGTCCCGACAGGTACTGAAGCGTTTGGTAAGCAAAGCAAATATAAACAAAACCGTGCAAAATGGTGCGCGCTGACAGACAGTGGAAATTAAAGTTTATCACTTTTGACACGGTGTACTCGCATTATTATGCAATATAATGTTATCTATAATTTAAAAAACGGTGTCAATAATATCGTTTATCGTTTATTGTTATCGTGACAGGCCTAGTTTGAACTGTTTGGTGCAATACGCAGAGTCAATGTCCGCAGACAAACTGGTGAACGTCTGAAAGCACCATGTGTTACACCCACAATCAAGCAAGGAGCTGGTAGTTCCTTGGTATAGGGATGTTTTGCAGGTGATGGAGTAGGAGATTTGTTTGAAGTAAAGGGTATAATGAAATAGGGACAGTACCACTCCATCCTCCAGCAACATGCTGTTTCATCTGCACTCAGACTTGTGGGTCACAAGTTTGTTTTGCAGCAAGACAATGACCCTAAGCATTCTGCCAAGCTCTGTCAGGGTTACCTAGACAAAAAAGAAGAGGAAGATGTTCTTCAAAAGATGGTTTGGCCCCCTCAGTCTCCAGACCTTTCTCCAACAGGAATACAATCCCTGCAACATACCTTAGAAAACTTGTGGAACGAATGCCTCGTATATGCCAAGCTGTTGTTAAAGCCAGAGGGGGTTACTTTAAAGAAAGCAGTCTGAGCAACAATAACTCAAATACCTAATAATTATAGTCAAAATGTCTTCTGATAAGTTACTCTTTACACAATAGTCATGTTTATTGTGTTGCAAAGTATATTAATGAAACTATGATCTTTTTTATACAAATCTGATCTTGCTTTCAAACTTTTGGCCTGTAGTGTATATATGAAAAAAAAAAAAGACTGTGTAGCGCAGCCTACAGTTTTCATGCTTAGGGAGTTTCCTGCAAAACTACCCGTACACTGATTCCACCTCCACAAAATTTTAGTCACTTGATAAGGGTCCAGCACTGGACAATTTGACACCAAACTTACATCTGTATGTTGTAACACTACTTGGTGGAAGAGGTATATGCTTTTTCGGTTAATGGCCTGTAACTTCTTTGTTGATGGAAAGCAGCTGACATTTATTCAGGCCCCACCTGATGGAGTACGAGATAAGCTAGAAAATCAGCACCTTGTTTCATGAAACTGCGCCTATGCACTCTGAAATGTCTCAGAAAAATGGCAATCTGTGATATTGCAAAGATATGCACAGCCACATGAAATTTGGTACACAGATCAGGAGGGGCATCCTCTTGAGGGCTTTCAATGTCAATACGGAGATCCAACCAAAAATGTCTTCATAGCACCCCCTACAATATTAAAAAATTTAAGCCCTGCTCCATTGTGTGACCCATCCCCATGGAATCAAGGACACTTCTGTTGGACCCCGAGATGATCAAAAAGGTTTCCAGTATCAAAAGTAAAAAGTAAAAATGGCTCCATGGTGCCCCCCACAAAATTTCAAAATGTAAGCCCCGCTCCTGTCTGTGACCCAAAACTATGGAATCAAGGACACTTATGTTGGACCCCAAGATGAACAAGAGGGTCTCCAATGTCAAAATGGACATAAAACTAAAAATAGCTCCATTGCGCCCCCTACAAACTTTGGCTGATTGGGCCCGGCTAAAATCCACATATTTTGCCATGCTCCATATGTATATGTATGTATTAAAAAAGGGGGTCTCTAGCACACCCTACAGTTTTCATGCTCTGGAAGTTTCCTGTATAACATCCCATACACTGGTTCAACCTCCTCAAGATTGTAGTCATCTGGTAATGGTCCAGCACCGGACAATTTGACACCAAACTTACGTCCGTATGCTGTAAGGCCACCTGGTGGCAGAGAGGAATGTGTTTTTTTGTTAATGGCCTGTAAGTCCTTTTTTAATAATAAAATGCAGCTGAGAATTGTTCAGGACACACTTGAATGTACAAATTTTCATAATGAGGGTTAGTCTGGCAACACCACCCCTCAAAGACAAGTAGGGCTTTTTGCAAGCGAAAATCTCAGTTTGGCCTCTTCCAAAGCAAATCATTTACACATTCGATGTTATTTCTCTTCCAGTCTGTTAGGCAGACCTTGAGGAAGATCATATCAAAAAATCATCTGTTTAGGTCAAAGGGCGTGGTCATGGCGTCCTTCAACTTCTGACGTCTTTTTACAGTAAATGACCTACAACACTCAAATGCAGTCACAAGAACCAACCATCATAAAGGTTAGGGCTGCTGTGCACCAGGGATCGCAGGCAGTGTGCTGGGGAGCTGGTTACAGAGCTAGCGGCACAACACTGTTCGGGCCCGTTGGTGCCCCGTGGGGCACTAGTTATAAATTCAAATCGCTACATCTGTTTATATGGGCGTGTGTTTATTTGTTAGGTTGTTTGTTTGTGTGTTTGTTATTTCTTCCTATGTCTTCAAGGTCTACACATTGTTTTTTGTGTTTGTTTGTTTGTTTTCAACTGTCTTTAGGAGCCTGTTGCACGAAACTAGGATAAGGGATTAAACTGGGATGTCTTAGTTATCCTGGCTCAACTTATCTGTGATCCGGTTGTACAAAAGCAGGCTAGAGGAGAGCAAGATATTTGATGGTATAAGTTACCATGGAGAGTGATCCTGTGGAGCTAGCTTGCTCCAGATCAGACTAAGTTCCATGATCTCTTTAATCTCATCCCTCATCTCAGTCAGCACTCACCACAATAGTTATTCCACTGCCCACTACACAATGTTATCACATTTAACTAGACCCACTCTAATAATCTAAACATTTGGGATATTAAATTTTCATCATTTTGGATGAATGATTATTTATGATGATTTTGCAATCATTTAATCATTTACAATTTCCTATAAATGCCATATAAATATAAATACACACCCACAAGAGTAACATAAATTTCCTTCATTGAATAAGTATAAATCAAAGCAAGTAAACCATCAGCTCCTTTAAAACTGAAGTCACATAGTGACTCTACAAGATAGAAAGCACATAATCAAAGGGTATTTTACAACATAGAATAAATACACATTCTCACAAGCTTGTATACATACAGTATACAACATAAGAGGCAAGTCAGTTGAATTAAAGAAAAACACAACTTCCTCTGCCAATGCATGTCATATTTAACTGAAGTTTACAACATGTGTCTCTGCCACTGCAAGACATATTTAACTTAAATATACAGCATGCATGTTATCTTAAATAATTTAACACATATTGGTCCCTGAACGGTCTTTTCCCAGTTTGTTTGGTGACACACCTAGTTAGAAAAATTTAATTGAACTCGATATAGATGTTGGAGATGCAAAACCAAGAGGTTTTATTGTGTCAATCCTGAGAAGCATAAGCATCTGGACAGTGAGGTTAAGTATATGCTAGACAACGGTATTGCTGAGCCGTCTTTATCCAGTTGGGCTTCCCCCTGTTTGTTGGTCCCAAAATCTGACAATACTCCGAGATTTTGTAGTGACTTCCAAAAGGTAAATGCAGTATCTAAACCTGACTCATTTCCTCTTCCATGCATGGAGGACTGCATTGACGGTGTAGGCCAGGCTAGGTATGTAAGCAAGTTTGATTCGCTAAAAGGATACTGGCAGGTCCCTTTGCGCGGATGAGGGAAATGGCTGCATTCATCACCCCCAAATGGATTAAACTCTTACAAGTTGATGCCTTTTGGGTTGCGAAATGCTGCTGTCATGTATCAGTGACTGATGAATATGGTGTTGGCAGATTTGGAGGGCTGTTCAGCCTATCTGGATGATGTTGTTGTCTGTTCAGATTAATGGTCTTCACATGTGAAGCACATCTGGGCCCTTTTCGCTCGCTTGGCTGAGGTGCGTCTTACTGTGAACCTTGGAAAGTGAGGCTGTGTCTCATTTCAGAGACCGCATCGAGCTAAGTGCACTTCTGCACCGTCGAACGGTGCATTTGAAGCGTGCATGACGTCACGACGGCGCGAACGGTGTCCCATTTGGCACGAGATGCTAAGAAATACTAAGCGCGCTTAGCATGTTTTCAAGCGTGCATTTATGCACGCTTTCGTGCCGTCGGTATCCCAGAATGCTTTGCGTGCCGCTGCACAGCTGCGCATTTCAGGTGAGAGGCTGGACTCGCTTGGAGACACAGCGTGTCTTAAAAGAAAGTACAAGAAATCCAAAAACAGCAGACAGGTCAGCTTTGTGGTTTCTGAAGAAACAATCAAACTGATGATGATCAACATTTGTGATCCAGAGGGAGTCGAGCTCAGACGAGCACCACGTCTCTGACACCGGCGGTAGCCTACACCTGCAGAGACACCAACACCTTATTATGCCATATGGATTCATATCATAAATTAAAGCTCAGTGTCATTCACGGATATATACGGCTGCATTGACAGATATATCATCAGCATATTCATTTCTGCCTCCACAAAAGCAGCGATTTCCTTCAAGTACACCAGTTTTTTTCCCCGTGGAAAAGACGTGTTTCTCATACATTCTTTTTTTAAGTCTTTATACTTGACAATGTGATGCTGATGTACCAAAGGATGAAGTATCTCCTTGTTTGTGAAACCTATACTGAAGCAAAGTTCCTTCAAATGCTTCATGGTCCTAATTTTAACAAGTCTCCTCTGAAATAACAGGTTACAACTTCATTCTCATAAATTAATGACTTTATTCTCGTAAATTCACGACTTAAATCTCGAAGTCTTTAAAGAAAATTCTCAATACGGCCCTCATACTCCTTCATACAAAACAATCATTGAATTAATTTTGTGGGAATGATCTCTGCTTGTATGTATCTACTATTTTGTGTCTGTGCGAGGTCGCACAATTAAAACAATACATGCTGCGCTCCGCAGCTTTTTTTCTAGTCAGTCGTGACGTAAGCCTGAGGGCGGGGACTTCCTGGTGGAGTTGCCAAATGTCCCCGCCCTCAACGACTGACTTAAAGAAAACCCGCGGAGCGCAGCATTTACTGTTTTAATTGTGCGACCCTGCACAGACACAAAATAGTAGATACATACCACCACAATTCATCCAATGATTGTTTTGTATGAAGGAGTATGAGGGCCATATTGAGATTTAAGACTTTAAAGACTTCGAGATTTAAGTCGTGAATTTACGAGAATAAAGTCATTAATTTATGAGAATAAAGTTTTAAAGTTTCCTGTTATTTCAGAGGAGACTTGTTAAAATTAGAGCCATGAAGCATTTGAAGGAACTTTGCTTCAGTATAGGTTTCACCAACAAGGAGATACTTCATCCTTTGGCACATCAACATCACATTGTCATAAATATAAAGACTTAAAAAAAGAATGTATGAGAAATACGTCTTTTCCACGGGAAAAAAAAAAGGTGTACTTGAAGGAAATCGCTGCTTTTGTGGAGGCAGAAATGAATATGCTGAGGATATATCCGTTTATGCAGCCGTAAATATCCGTGAATGACATTGAGCTTTAATTTATGATATGAATCCATTTGCCATAATAAGGTGTTGGTGTCTCTGCAGGTGTAGGTTACCGCCAATGTCAGAGACGTGGTGCTCGTCGGAGCTTGACTCCCTCTGGATCTCAAATGTTGATCATCATCAGTTTGATTGTTTCTTCAGAAACCACAAAATCTATCTGAATGACCCGCTGATACATTCACCAATAACCCTGCAGATGACCAGCTTCATTCATTTTCCCCGCCACAAAAGCAGCTTTATGACTTTATATACTTTGACTTTATTCTCCTAAATTTACAACTTTAATCTCTAAATCTTAAAAGAAAAAAAACTCAATGATGTCCTGATCCTCTGCTGTAGTTGTGTCAGCTTTCTAATTTCTAATGTTTTTGATAGTTGAAGCAGAGCGGATCAGTTGTCTCGAAATACTATAATGTTTGGTTAATAGATTTTAGTGAGTTCAGAGATCATGCTCTCATACAGCCTGAGCTGACTGTCTGCTGTTTTTGGATTTCTTGTATTTTCTTTAAAGACGCGCTGTGTCTCCAAGCGAGTCCAGCCTCTCACCTGAAATGCGAAGCTGTGCAGCAGCACGCAAAGAATTCTGGGATACCGACGGCACGAAAGCGTGCATACATGCACGCTTGAAAAAGGGCCGGGGGTAGTGTGGTTTTGAGACCGAATTTGAAGCGCGCTTAGTATTTTGTGCCAAACGGGACACCGTTTGTGCCGTGTGATGACCTCACGCACGCTTCAGATGCGCCGTTCAACGGTTGCGGTATCTGAAATGGGACACAGGAAGGGTACATAACGGCGCAAAACGGCACAAAACGGCAATGCACTCAGCTAAGCGCTGTTAAGCGCGCTTATCCCGATGCGGTCTCTGAAATGAGACACAGCCTGAGTTTGCGAGGGTGACCTACCTCAGTCGGGTGGTAGGGCAGGGTACAGTGAGTCCTGTGCAGGAATAAATTAAAGTTGTAGTGTGCTTTCCTGCACCAGCAACTAAGAAAGAGCTTATGCGTTTTCTCGGACTGGTAGATTACTCTAGGAGTTTTTGCCATAACTCTTCCTTGGTGGTACTTACTAACCTGACCTGCTTAAAGCAAGTGCCACTTTTGCTTGGTCTCCGGTGTGCCAAAAGGCTTTTGAGAATGTTAAATTATTGTTGTGCAGGGCACTAGTGTTGTCCACACCCAGGTTTGATCACCCCTTTGCCCTTCAGGTGGACACCAGTGACATGGGGGTAGGAGCGGTCTTGTTACAAGCCGATGACTTTGGGGTTGAAAAACCGGTCAGCTTCTTTTCAGAGAAATGTAACTTGTATCAGTTAAACTATTCAACCATAGAAAAGGAAGCATTAGCATTAGTTTGGGCCCTCAGACATTTTGACATGTAATTTGGTTCCGGTGTTGTGCCTTTGGTTGTCTACAACCACCATAATCCTTTAAGATTTTTCAACTCTTTGCAGTGCCCAAATCAGATGTGAATAAGATGGTCATTATTGCAACAATCATACTGGTTTCAAGGGATCTGACAATGTAGTTGTCGAGCTCCTTGTCAATAGCCATGTTTGATGGCTATTGACTGTGTTTTTAAGAAGAGGCTAAGGCTCACTTTCTTTACCAGGGGCATGCTGATGCAAATATGCAGCATGCAGTTTTAAGGTCAGTGCCATCTTTGTCAATTGCAGAAAAAGAAAAAAAATTCTGGCGGAAGTGTTAAAAAAAAAAAAAAACATTTAGTTGTAAAGTATTTTAAGTATTTTGTGTAAGGTCAGTATCCATGTAATATTAAAGTCACAGATAATAGTTTGAGTTATCTTGGGTTTGTTTCTGCCTGTTCTGTTTCCTGGTTTTTGTCGTTTCTGTTGTAGGTACCTGGTAGGCAGGGTCTTAGCCACACCCGGGAGTTCCTGGCCAGAATAAATCGTTCTATATTGAGTTGATCATGCCCTCCCCCCTTTTCTTTTGTCTGACTTGTGAGTGGGGTCGTGACAGTGTGTGATAGGTGTCTAGAAAAAAAGCTGGCATGCATAGCCCCTGTCCCCCAGCAACACAGCAGATAATTCACCTGTCAGTACAAACTCTCATCATCACAGCCTTGTAAAAGAGTCATATTCTTGACCTAGCTATGATGTAAACACTGGTCATTAATATAAGTTGTGTAGCTCACCTTGTGATAGGCGCTGGTAGATTCCAGAGGTCTGAAAGACTCAGGAGTCATGGACTGAGCTGAGGCCACTTTGCCACAACAATGCTGATGACATAGTCAGCATTGCAGACTATCTGAAATCATATGATGAAGACTATTTAAACCAATCAATGCACATCTTAATTTATAACAGTGTTCAAAACTAACAATTTGAAAAAGTCATGTTCACCTGAACATTAATGTGAAAGGGTTTCCGCCTCATGGGTCCTTGAGGAGGATTTGATCTTGATGTGTGTGCAGTCCAATGCACCAATGACATTAGGAAAACCTGTAACACAAAGCATGAGTACCCTACTATGACTGTTTACAGCTGTCATGTAATTTGTACGATAAAGTAAGATGAAATAATAATAGTAAACACATTTTATTTATAAACGCCTTTCTCGACACTCAAGATCACTTTACTGATGAAAACAGTTTAATAAAACGACAAGATAAAACAAACACAATATAAAATGGGACAAAGTAAATTACAAAGAGTGGGCTATTCTGATCAGGTGGGTTTTAAGTCTGGAAGATAGGCTATATAAGATTTTACAGTCTGATGGAGTTACATTTACACAATTTTACTCACATCTGCAGTCAATATACCTTTAAATTTCAAATGATTCATAATCAAATTATACTTAAGTTTTCGAAGATGTTGACTGTTTGGATTGTAATTGTAATGGTATCAGCAGAGCAGTGAGTGTGTGTTTGAGCACCACTTACGCATTCAGGCGGTCTGCAGCACTTTGCCACATTTTCTCTTGTTGTTTTGACTGTTACTGTGTTGCCTTTCATTTTGATTTGGTCCTTTACCTCCTCGTAAGCCTAAATGGGGATTTCTGACTCTGTATCTGCTCATCCTGGCTTGGTCTTTGTTTGGGCGCTCTTGTTTAGGATTCGTTGAACCTGGCTCAGTCATTTATCCGGAATGTCTTAAACCTAGTTTTGTGCAACAGGCCTCAGGGTTCACATCAGTTTATTTTTGTTTGTGAGTTTGTTTGGTTGTTTATTTATTTGTGGGTTTTTTTTTTCTTCAGTCGTCTTCAGGGTCCACATGTCACTTTGTTTGTGAGTTTGTTTGGTTATTTATTTGTGGGTTTGTTTCTTCTTCATCCATCTACAAGGTCCATATGTAGTCTGTTTGGGTGAATTTTTCATGGGTGGGTTTCTTAGTTAAGTTTGGTTTTGTCTTCTTGCTTTGTTTCTATCTGTGCTAATTGTTAAAGCAGTTTGTCTATCCTTGTTTTTATACATTCATTTATTAAAGTGAGTGTTATTATTATTAATATTAACCTTACCTGTAGTATGAGTGTCTCCTGAAATCTCACTTGTTAGTCAGCCAATCAGTAATTCAGTGTGTCTGTCCTGTTCCTTCGCAGGTGCACGAAATGTGGCGAAGGCTTCACGGGTACGTGGGCTCTAAAGACCCACATGCAGGTGCATGGTGTGGAGAAGGCATTTATGTGTGACCTGTGCGGAAAGACATTTTTCTACAACTGTCAGCTGCAGAAGCACCAGCGGCTCGTCCACCAGGACAAGGCGGAAGAGCGGGCAGCGAGACGGCAGCAAACCGTAGTGAAGCCGTTCAGCTGTGCCACCTGTCTGAAAAGCTTCAGCACTACCGCTGCAATGAAGATGCACGAAAAGAGCCACGCTGAGCGCAAAGAGTTCCCCTGTGACACCTGTGGGAAGTCCTTCCACCTGCGTCACCTGTACTTGTACCATATGAGGCAGCACAGCGGTGATCGGCCATATGTCTGTGGCATCTGCCAGAAAGGCTTCCTGCTAATGGCGCAGCTGAAGCAGCATGAACTGTTGCACACAGGAGTCAAACCTCACAGGTGTGACCAGTGTGGAAAAAGGTTTAGAACCCCACAAAACTACCACCGCCACCGTCTGGTCCACACTGGAGAGAAACCGTATGAGTGTGCAGTGTGCAGCAGGAAGTTCAGACAGTCCAACCAGCTCAAGTCTCACATGCAGATCCACACTGGGGTAAAACTGTACACCTGTGAGCGCTGTGAGCAGGGCTTCGCCGACTCCCGCCAGCTGAAGAAGCATGTCTGTGGAGAGGAGTGTCACATTATTGAGTCCACCCACAGACCTGAGAAACAGAAGTTTTTGACTTGGTCCGAGGGTTTCACGAACGAATGACAGAGCCTCAGCATCTGGCTTAGTGTAAAGTTTACTGATAAATTTGTTGGTATCTACTCATCTATTTAACTCATCACACCATGAGCAAAGCAATGTCCTTCGTCTGAGGACTCATGACACCAAGAACAGAGCAATATCTTTCCTCTGAGGACTCACCATACCTCTCGCCTTTGTCTGATGAAGACACTTGATGAAGAGATCTGCAATTTTAAATCATTAATAGCTAAACTTAATAGATGGACCATTTTGATCAGATGATGGCTCTGTGATAGCCTGTGTTGTTTTATATTATTCAGCGATTTTGTTTTCCAAAAATGAAAGATTTCCACTGAAGATCAGAAGGTGAAGATTTTAATAAAATACCTGAAATCTAAGGTGTGTGTTCGTTGAATACAGAGGGATTAGAAATCTCTAATGTCTGAGTGATGTTTGCTTTCCCATTATAAAACTAGGTCAGTCAGAAGGACTTGCTTTACAATGTCTGAAACACTTGGTACTGAGAACTAACCTAGAGCTTTGCACTAATCTGCACCAACCAACACTAAACAGGACTGAGATCTAATGTGTTATTTTCTTTATATAAAAGTTAAATGGTCTGTTATTTTTATGATTATATAAATAATATAAATTATTTGTTTTTGGACCATCTTTGAACAGAACTTAGTGCTCCACATTTAGATACTTAATTTATACCAGGGGGAAATTCAGTCATGACACTTGATCTAGAATGGAGTTACTCATTGTGCGGCTCACAAGCCAAAAGCGGCTCATCAAGCTATAATTGGTGGCCTATACGGTAGCTTCCTAAGAATAGGAATAAGAACTTTATAAATCCCCAAAGCAAAATTCAATTGTCGTCTCATTTGTCATGTCTCTAAAAGTCATCTACTATTTACAGAAGAGTTTAAAGTCTGATGGCTGTGGGTACAAAAGATCTTCTGAATCTTTCTGTCCTGCAGCGAAGAGATGTTGTGGAAAATCCAGCATAAACAATGCACAGGAGACAGGATGAGATCTGAAGAACAGCCTGGGCGTCTTTAATTGTACAGATGTAGAAATCAGTACAGATGACAAACAGAGTCTCGACCAAGACCGAAGGAAACCTCCCTAGCTTTTCTTCTACTCTTTTATGCTGTGGTGTGTGTGTGTGTGGTGTGTGTGTGTGTGTGTGTGTGTGTGTGTGAATTCTCCAGAAGGCCCCTCATGATGACATGTCTGCCCCACGACACTTTGTTTAGGTTCGTCTTGACCCTGGCAGAGATTAAATGTTCCAACAGACAGATAGTTCGGGCTCCTGCAAGACAGCTTTGCTTACAATCTCGGGGTCATAGGGCTGCAGGAGCAGGCCAACCTAGATTTTTTGTAGCTTCTTACTAAAAGATAATTACTCTACATTTCTTAACCTAAATGTATGAAGAGATTCTCCTACACAGTCCCCCTGAAACCTGATCATCATATCAAACACTAAACATCCTTATGTGATTAAAATAAAACATGTTCACTAAATTCTAAATGCTATGTGTACGATTTGCTGCATCTAAGACTTCATAATACCACATGAAACAAAAATCAATACCATACCATACCATACCATAGCTAGGATCATTTCAAATTACAGTCCTGATCAAAATCTTAAGACCAGTTAAAAAACTGCAAGAATTTATATTTAGCACTGTTGGACTTTAAGACGGTTCTTCGTAGAGCTTCACAATGCAAAAAGAAGAAATGGGAACAAGAGACCAAAAGTTTTGAGCAGGTAATTTATTGAAAACAACAATTTAACTGAAATCGGCTGTTCATCAGCTGATCAAAAGTTTAAGACCACAGCCTTTAAAAGCCCAAATCTTGCGAAAATTTGGATTCCGTGTCATTTCTTGTCAAGGGGTCACACTGTCAACATCTTTTGATGGCAAAGGCAAAAAAACTCACTGCTTTTGAACGTGGTAGGATTGTTGAGCGGCATAAAAAAGGCCTCTCACAACGTGCCATTGCTGCTGAGGTTGGACGCAGTAAGACCGTTATTTTTCATTTCTTAAAAGATCCGGAGGGTTATGGAACAAAAAAATCAAGTGGTAGACCCCAAAAAATCTCACCAGCACTGAGCCGGAGAATCCGCAGGTGTGTCCATCAAGATGCCGGACGATCCTCATCCCAAATTAAGGCCATTACAGGGGCTGACTGCAGCCCAATAACAATCAGAAGACATCTGCGAAGGAAGGGCTTCAAAAACAAAAAACGTCTTCAAAGGCCACGTCTCCTTCAACACCACAAAATTGCTCGTCTGGGCTTTGCGAGGGAGCACCAAACATGGGACCTTCAAAGGTGGAAGAAAGTTTTATTCTCTGATGAGAAAAAATTTAACCTTGATGGTCCTGATGGCTTCCAACGCTACTGGCATGACAAGGAGATGCCACCTGAGATGTTTTCTACGCGGCACAGTGGAGGGGGCACCATCATGATCTGGGGTGCTTTCTCCTTCAATGGAACAGCGGAGCTCCAGGTTGTGCAGGGGCGTCAAACAGCAGCTGGCTATGTGGAGATGTTGCAGCGGGCATCTCTCATGACTGAGGGCCCTCGTCTGTGTGGCAATGACTGGGTTTTTCAGCAGGACAACGCTACAATTCACAAGGCCCGTCTGACCAAGAACTTTCTCCAGGAGAATAGCATCACTCTTTTGGACCATCCGTTCCCCTGATCTAAATCCAATTGAGAACATTTGGGGATGGATGGCAAGGGAGGTTTATAAAAATGGACATCAGTTCCAGACAGTGGATGCCCTCCGTGAAGCCATCTTTAGAACTTGGAGCATTATTCCCACTAGCCTTTTGGAAACACTTGTATCAAGCATGCCAAAACGAATTTTTGAAGTAATCAACAATAATGGTGGAGCTACTCATTACTGAGTCAGTTTTTGACACTTTAATTTCTGTTTTTGGAGGTGTTTAGGTTTTTTTGAGCTGTGGTCTTAAACTTTTGATCAGCTGATGAACAGCCGATTTCAGTTAAATTGTTGTTTTCAATAAATTACCTGCTCGAAACTTTTGGTCTCTTGTTCCCATTTCTCCTTTTTGCATTTTGAAGCTCTACGAAGAACCATCTTAAAGTCCAACAGTGCTAAATATAAATTCTTGCAGTTTTTTAACTGGTCTTAAGATTTTGATCAGGAGTGTATATCAGCGCGTAAGACTGAAAACCCTGCTCGGCTGTTTCAGCAGCGAAAGAATCTTAAGGCCCCGCGCCCTGGCGACCATCCATTTCCTGGATGCGCTGACATAATTTGAAATGACATACACATACACATACACACACACACCTAACAGCATAAAAGAGAGTAGAAGAAAAGCTAGGGAAGCTTCCTTCGGTCTTGGTCGAGACTCTGTTTTTCATCTGTACTGATTTCTACATCTGTACAATAAAGACGCCCAGGCTGTTCTTCAGATCTCATCCTGTCTCCTGTGCTTTGTTTATGCTGGATTTTCCACAACATAATGGCGAGCCAGCCAGAAGGGAAGCAGAAATTAATTGAGAGAACCAGAGTGCTAATTGAGATTCTGTTAGTTTAATACTGATAAATCTAAATATAGCTGTGCTGAATCCGCATACGCTCCTCACAGATGTGCCACCTAGTGTAAAAGTAATGGGAAGCTATCAGGGGTCACTAAGGCCACAGAAAATGTTTTAAAGTCAAATAACTATTTTGCTACCAGTAGTATTAACAAATGAACTTAGGATCTGACTTTCACAGTGATTCACACCGTGCAAGGGGGGAGACAATGAGACAATTAAAACGTGAGATTTTTAGAATATTCTGACAATAGTTGATAAACTCTTGGGTTCATTGTGATATGTGTTTTTTAGATGAATTGAAGAGACCAATAAAACATTAGTGGGACACTTTTCCAGTTCCAGAGAGACGCTTTTAGACATCAATTCATAGACAATGTGGACATGATTAAAACTGCCAAGGAAAATGTTACATGTTTGTAATGATGATGGGTTCAGTCGATGGATAGAAGCAACATCATCAAAAGATCTTGGAGTCAAAATAAATCTGTCACTGCATGATTTGGTACATCATTTTGGGGAAGAAAGTTAATCTCTCAAGTAAATATCAGATCAGAAAATTTGCACTAACACTAACCTATAGGAAGTTGCTTTGCTACTTGCGCTTATGAGCTTTCACAATCAAGAGTACTGTGATAAATCTTTTACTGCATGAATTACTAACTTACAAAGCTATGCTTTACTGCAGCTGAACAATTAAGCTTTTCGCTTGAGCAGCTGAAAAATTAGTGAATTAAAATATGAGGCAGCTAACTACGATGCAAAGATCTATCGATTAGCAGGAGGAATGCCAAAATCTGATCCCAGTCAAGAGGTGGAGGCCAGTCGAGCCAGAGCACCAGGTGTACATCACCGTCTTTTGAGGAGGGTGGCACAAAGAACGAGGAGAAGACCTGAACACTGTGGTCCTGGTGAACTCTACTTCAATGCAGGAAGAGGGCAATATGATGTGGCGTCATCTACCGCTGACTGCCCAGAAAAAACAAGGGAAGTATGACTTGATAAGAGACACTCCCAGAATGACTGTAGAACTCGTCCTGTTTTCCTGGTGCTGCTGCTGAGGGACAATGTGTGGAGAGAGACCGAGAGAGAGACTGATGACAACAATGAGGGTGAAGGTCAAACTGGTGCCAGTACAGCTGTGAGAAGAAGAAGTGGGAGACATTGTCATCACGGGTGAGTACGATGCAACCCAAAACACAATCCACACCACTCCAGACAGAGCTAGAACCCATGCCAACATTCACAGTTTATTACAGATTTACAATTAGGTTAAGGAAAATAGATAACTCGGGCCCCGTTGGGGCACTGGCGGGCCCGAGCTGTGTCGCGCCTCCCCCAACACGACCGCCTCTCCCTCCCGATCGCGTCGCACTCAAGGTCCAAAGATGGTGTTCGCACTTGTCTGTGGTCATTTATCATTATAATGAATGGGAGGCGCAGTTTCTACCAAAACGCTCGCTGCAGACAAACTACATGTCCTATTTGAAAAAAGTCTGGACCATGAGTGAGGGCACAAACACAGCTAGGATATATCCAAATGGCAAGTTGCTCCTCCTTTCGGAGGAGTTTGAACACATGACATGTGTTTGAGCCATTGAGCGATGGGCAGGAAAAACTTGACTTTTTCTCCTGCCATGGGGGGGCGCTCTTTTGGGGAGTAAAAATTCCTTCACAAATGTGTTGATGGCTAGACATTGCATCATCCTAGAAAACTTGGAAGCCAGTGAGGACAAAAATGAAAAGTTATAAGACTTTTCATAATGTGGATTTTTGGGTTATCTTTGGTGCCCCCTAGAACATAAACCGTGGGGTGCAGCGTCATGATTTGTACAACTTTTAATGGCCATGGGGTGTAGATTGGCCTGAGCAAATTTGGTGCCGGTGGAACGAAAGCTTTAGGAGGAGTTAGCCACATTCCAATGTGTGCGAATCGATCAAAAATGCGTAATAGCCCTTTAACCGTACATTTTACAGATACATGCGCATTGACTTTTTCGTAGATCTTATTGAGATACACGTGATTGTCAAATTTTGTTTCAATATGACAAAGCGTACAGGCGTGACACTCAACAATGTGTATTTTCACCTTATGGGACAAGAAAAAATGGACTTTTTTCTCCTGCCATGGGGGGGCGCTCTTTTGGGGAGTAAAAATTCCTTCACAAATGTGTTGATGGCTGGACATTGCATCATCCTAGAAAACTTGGAGGCCAGTGAGGACAAAAATAAAAAGTTATAAGACTTTTAAGACTGTGGATTTTTGGGTTATCTTTGGCGCCCCCTAGAACGTAAACCGTGGGGTGCAGCGTCATGATTTGTACAACTTTTAATGGCCATGGGGTGTAGATTGGCCTGAGCAAATTTGGTGCCGGTGGAACGAAAGCCTTCGGAGGAGATAGCGAAATTCCACTGTGTGCGGATCGGCAAAAAATGCGAAATAGCCCTTTAACCGTACATTTGACAGGTACGCCCGCACTGACTTTTTTGTAGATCTTATTGAGATACACGTGTGTGTCAAATTTTGTGTCATTTTGACAAAGCGTACAGGTGTGACACTCAATCATGTGAATTTTTCACCTTAGGGGGCGCTATGGAGCCATTTTGCATTTGATTGTTTGGCCGACTTCAGAATATCAAATTTCTCACCAGGCCCGGTCGTCCTGCCAAATTTCATGAGTTTTCACCATTGGGAAGTGGGCCATTTTCCAGTTCAAAGGGGCAGAAAAATAAGAAGAAAACTAGGGCCCCGTTGGGGCACTGGCGGGCCCGAGCCGTGTCACGCCGCCCCCAACACGACCGCCTCTCCCTCCCGATCGCGTCACACTCAAGGTTCAACGATGGTGTGCGCACTTGTCTGTGGTCATTTACCATTATAATGAATGGGAGGCGCAGTTTCTACCAAAACGCTTGCTGCAGACAAACTACATGTCCTATTTGAAAAAAGTCTGGACCATGAGTGAGGGCACAAACACAGCTAGGATATATCCAAATGGCAAGTTCCTCCTCCTTTCGTTTTTTTCCGAGAGAGCGATGTGTTTGAGCCATTGAGCGATGGGCAGGAAAAACTTGACTTTTTCTCCTGCCATGGGGGGGCACTCTTTTAGGGAGAAAAAATTCCTTCACAAATGTGTTGATGGCTAGACATTGCATCATCCTAGAAAACTTTGAAGCCAGTGAGGACAAAAATGAAAAGTTATAAGACTTTTAAGAATGTGGATTTTTGGGTTATCTTTGGCGACCCCTAGAACGTAAACCGTGGGGTGCAGCATCATGATTTGTACAACTTTTAATGGCCATGGGGTGTAGATTGGCCTGAGCAAATTTGGTGCCGGTGGAACGAAAGCTTTAGGAGGAGTTAGCCACATTCCAATGTGTGCGAATCAACCAAAAATGCGAAATAGCCCTTTAACCGTACATTTTGCAGACACGTGCGCATTGACTTTTTCGTAGATCTTATTGAGATACACGTGATTATCAAATTTTGTTTCAATATGACAAAGCGTACAGGCGTGACACTCAACAATGTGTATTTTCACCTTATAGGACAAGAAAAAATGGCCTTTTTTCTCCTGCCATCGGGGGGCGCTCTTTTGGGGAGTAAAAATTCCTTCACAAATGTGTTGATGGCTGGACATTGCATCATCCTAGAAAACTTGGAGGCCAGTGAGGACAAAAATAAAAAGTTATAAGACTTGTAAGAATGTGGATTTTTGGGTTATCTTTGGCGCCCCCTACAACGTAAACCGTGGGGTGCAGCGTCATGATTTGTACAACTTTGAATGGCCATGGGGTGTAGATTGGCCTGAGCAAATTTGGTGCCGGTGGAACGAAAGCCTTCGGAGGAGTTAGCGAAATTCCAATGTGTGCGGATCGGCAAAAAATGCGGAATAACCCTTTAACCGTACATTTGACAGATACGCCCGCACTGACTTTTTTGTAGATCTTATTGAGATACACGTGTGTGTCAAATTTTGTGTCATTTTGACAAAGCGTACAGCCGTGACACTCAATCATGTGAATTTTTCACCTTAGGGGGCGCTATGGAGCCATTTTGCATTTGATTGTTTGGCCGACTTCAGAATATCGAATTTTTCACCAGGCCCGGTCGTCCTGCCAAATTTCATGAGTTTTCACCAGTGGGAAGTGGGCCATTTTCCAGTTCAAAGGGGCAGAAAAATAACTAGGACCCCGTTGGGGCACTGGCGGGCCCGAGCCGTGTCGCGTCCCCCCCCCCCCAACGTGCTGCCTTCCCGTCCCATTTGTGTCCTCTGGCCATCGCCCTCTCTGGTAACGCCCATCACTGCAAAGACCCTTTTCCTTCATCGGCGTTTGCTGTTCTTCCTGCCAGTGCGTGTTGCTTTCACTTACACTTGCCACAGCCAGCCTCGTGAGTGCCTAGCCTATTGGATATCACTGTCACCTACACAGGACAGTCATTACCTTTCTATTAATACTTTGTGTTTTAATTTCACATTAATTTCCATATTGTATAAACAACTGGAAAAAACTTGAGCCCCTGCCCCTGTATAATCATGTGCATGTCTCTGTTCTAGCTCCAAGGTGAATCTTCACTGCTCATGTTCTCCTCAGAAGCACTCACCTCACTCCCCTCAGGTTACTGTACACATGCACCAACTGCCTGCTTCAGGTTTGGATGGAGCTTCATGGTTGTCTTTTGGAGAAATGACCAGTCAAGTTGTGTTTGAAATTTGATTTTTTTCAGGGGCAAAAGGAGCCTCTGCATTCTTGTCAAATATGTAAATAGCATGTTTTTGCAGGTGCTAAAAACCAGACTCTGAGTGTGTGTGTGTGTGTGTGTGTGTGTGTGTGTGTGTGTGTGTGTGTGTGTGTGTGTGTGTGTGTGTCTGTGTGTGCGTTCAAGTCACATGACATATTTAACCGGATGTAGCTGCAAGACGGAGCCTCGTTGACTCTCCGTTTCAACCTATCTCAAAAGTGAGGACCTCAACCTATATACCAGTTTTTAAATTGTGTTGATAGGCCAAATAAAACCAGAGTTATAATAAATTATGTCCGCGATACTTTTTTTCTGCTTATTTTGATCACGTCGGCGCTCGATCGCGCTGTATGAGACAGGAAAACATAGCATGCAGACATTAGCGACAGGTTTTACAGGCGGAAAAGGCTTGCCAAAAGAAAAAAAAAACACACCACAACATCTCTCCTATTGGTGGAAAACTTCACCACAACAACCAATCCAAAATTATATGGTGACTGATTGAGAAGGGGCGGGCGCTTACGTTCTTCCTGCAACATGAGAAGGGAGGGAGGGACTCTCAGCAGGGATGCAGTCTGGGACACGTAGTTGCAAACCTAGCGACTTTGTTGTTAGATTCAATGACTTTTCAGACCCCCTAACGACTTTTTTTAGAAAGAAAGGGACTTTTATCGACTTCTTCTGGAGTTTAGAGACTCTGACATGAAGCAGGCTTTCCTTACTGAGGAGTTAGCAACGCTGCTAAGGGTGCAGAGCCACACATGCGCTCAGAGCTCTGCATGGGAGACTGAAGCTGACAGAGCTGCAGCAGTTAGCAGGTTTCACCCTCAGAGACCACCAGGGGTTCATGTTGAGGCATTTAAAAATTTTTTTTTTTTTGTGCCATAGACACTGTCAGCACAATCTGCAGTTACACTAACAAAAATGCTGCAAAAAACAAAGAATTATGGAAAAATTACACATGGACTGACATAGAGGAGGATCTACACAAGTTTTTTACATCATGTTTTACATCATGCATCATTTACATCATGTTTTTTTGTAGTGGCATAAATAAAAAGTGACATTTGTGAGACTATACAGTGTTTTGTAAATAATTTTACAAAGAACGCCTGGGCCATTGCCTGCATTTTGATGTAAATAGAGGTAAATCACTATGTTCTTTGTTAAAAATTTGCATATGTTTTGAAGTTTACAATTTTTATTTGAAGTTTAAGTTTTAAAAACAGTTCATCACACATATTTGTGGTTTTCACAGTAAAAATGTTACTTTTTTCCACTCGGATTTTATGTTTTGTGTGTGAATTTGGGTCCATTGTGTAAATTCAGTATGTCAACATGATAAAATAACTGTAAATTCGCACAGGTGAGGTTGTGCTGAAAAAAATGATACCAGGCAAGGCACGTGATTGTCAAATTTTGTGTCAATATGACAAAGCGTATAGGCGTGAATCTCAACAATATGTATTTTCACCTTAGGGGACAAGAAAAAATGGACTTTTTTCTCCTGCCATGGGGGGGCGCTCTTTTGGGGAGTAAAAATTCCTTCACAAATGTGTTGATGGCTGGACATTGCATCATCCTAGAAAACTTGGAGGCCAGTGAGGACAAAAATAAAAAGTTATAAGACTTTTAAATATGTGGATTTTAGGGTTATCTTTGGCGCCCCCTAGAACCTAAACCGTGGGGTGCAGCGTCATGATTTGAATAACTTTTAATGGCCATGGGGTGTAGATTGACCTGAGCAAATTTGAAGCCGATGGGACAAAAGATTTAGGAGGAGTTAGCGAAATTCCAATGTGTGCGGATCGGCAAAAAATGCGAAATAACCCTTTAACCGTACATTTGACAGATACGCCCGCACTGACTTTTTTGTAGATCTTATTGAGATACATGTGTGTGTCAAATTTTGTGTCATTTTGACAAAGCGTAAAGGCGTGACAGTCAACAATGTGTATTTTCGCCTTAGGAGACAAGAAAAAATGGACTTTTTTCTCCTGCCATGGGGGGGCGCTCTTTTGGCGAGTAAAAATTCCTTCACAAATGTGTTGATGGCTGGACATTGCATCATCCTAGAGAACTTGGAGGCCAGTGAGGACAAAAATAAAAAGTTATAAGACTTTTAAGACTGTGGATTTTTGGGTTATCTTTGGCGCCCCCTAGAACGTAAACCGTGGGGTGCAGCATCATGATTTGTACAACTTTTAATGGCCATGGGGTGTAGATTGGCCTCAGCAAATGTGGTGCCTTTGGAACGAAAGCCTTCAGAGGAGTTAGCGAAATTCCAATGTGTGCGGATCGGCAAAAAATGCGAAATAGCCCTTTCACCGTACATTTGACAGATACGCCCGCACTGACTTTTTTGTAGATCTTATTGAGATACATGTGTGTGTCAATTTTTGTGTCAATATGACAAAGCGTAAAGGCGTGACAGTCAATAGTGTGAATTTTCGCCTTAGGAGACAAGAAAAAATGGACTTTTTTCTCCTGCCATGGGGGGGCGCTCTTTTGGGGAGTAAAAATTCCTTCACAAATGTGTTGATGGCTGGACATTGCATCATCCTAGAAAACTTGGAGGCCAGTGAGGACAAAAATAAAAAGTTATACGACTTTTAAGAATGTGGATTTCTGGGTTATCTTTGGCGCCCCCTAGAACGTAAACCGTGGGATGCAGCGTCATGATTTGTACAACTTTTAATGGCCATGGGGTGTAGATTGGCCTGAGCAAATTTGGTGCCGGTGGAACGAAAGCCTTCGGAGGAGTTAGCGAAATTCCAATGTGTGCGGATCGGCAAAAAATGCGAAATAGCCCTTTAACCGTACATTTGACAGATACGGCCGCACTGACTTTTTTGTAGATCTTATTGAGATACACGTGTGTGTCAAATTTTGTGTCATTTTGACAAAGCGTACAGGCGTGACACTCAATCATGTGAATTTTTCACCTTAGGGGGCGCTATGGAGCCATTTTGCATTTGATTTTTTGGGCGACTTCAGAATATCGAATTTTTCACCAGGCCCGGTCGTCCTGCCAAATTTCATGACTTTTCACCAGTGGGAAGTGGGCCATTTTCCAGTTCAAAGGGGCAGAAAAATAATAAGAAGAAGAAGAAGAAGAAAGAAGAATCCATCAGGAATAATAGGGCTCTCGCAGCTGCTTAGCAGCTACGCTCGGGCCCTAAAGAAAGAAAGAAACAAAGAAAAACCACTTGGGGAATAATAGGGCTCTACGCCCGGCTGCTCTGCAGCTGGCTCGGGCCCTAATAATAATAAGAAGAAGAAGAAGAAGACTAGGGCCCCGTTGGGGCACTGGCGGGCCCGAGCCGTGTCGCGCCGCCCCCCCCAACGCGCTGCCTCCCCGTCCCATTCGCATCCTCTGGCCATCGACCTCTCTGGTAACGCCCATCACTGCAAAGACCCTTTTCCTTCATCTGCGTTTGCTGTTCTTCCTGCCAGTGTGTGTTGCTTTCACTTACACTTGCCACAGCCAGCCTCGTGAGTGCCTAGCCTATTGGATATCACTGTCACCTACACAGGACAGTCATTACCTTTCTATTAATACTTTGTTTTTTAATTTCACATTAATTTCCATATTGTATAAACGACTGGAAAAAACTTGAGCCCCTGCCCCTGTATAATCATGTACACGTCTCTGTTCTAGCTCCAAGGTGAATCTTCACTGCTCATGTTCTCCTCAGAAGCAGTCACCTCACTCCCCTCAGGGTACTGTACACATGCACCAACTGCCTGCTTCAGGTTTGGATGGAGCTTCATTGTTGTCCGTGGGGTGCAGCGTCATGATTTGTACAACTTTGAATGGCCATGGGGTGTAGATTGGCCTGAGCAAATTTGGTGTCAGTGGGACAAAAGGCCAGTCAGGACAAAAATAAAAAGTTATAAGACTTCAAAAAATGGGGATATTTGGGTCATCTTTGGCGCCCCCTAGAACGTAAACCGTGGGGTGCAGCGTCATGATTTGAATAACTTTTAATGGCCATGGGGTGTAGATTGGCCTGAGCAAATGTGGTGCCGGTGGAACGAAAGCCTTCGGAGGAGTTAGCGAAATTCCAATGTGTGCGGATCTGCAAAAAATGCGAAATAACCCTTTAACCGTACATTTTACAGATACGTGGCCATTGACCTTTTCGAAGACCTTATTGAAATACACGTGTATGTCAAATTTTGTGTCATTTTGACAAAGCGTACAGGCGTGACACTCTACAATGTGTATTTTCACCTTAGGGGACAAGAAAAAATGGACTTTTTTCTCCTGCCATGGGGGGGGGGCGCTCTTTTGGAGAGTAAAAATTCCTTCACAAATGTGTTGATGGCTGGACATTGCATCATCCTAGAAAACTTGGAGGCCAGTGAGGGCAAAAATAAAAAGTTATAAGACTTTGAAATATGTGGATTTTAGGGTTATCTTTGGCGCCCCCTAGAACCTAAACCGTGGGGTGCAGCGTCATGATTTGAATAACTTTTAATGGCCATGGGGTGTAGATTGGCCTGAGCAAATGTGGTGCTGGTGGAACGAAAGCCTTCGGAGGAGTTAGCGAAATTCCAATGTGTGCAGATCGGCAAAAAATGCGAAATAACCCTTTAACCGTACATTTGACAAATACGCCCGCACTGACTTTTTTGTAGATCTTATTGAGATACATGTGTGTGTCAATTTTTCTGTCATTTTGACAAAGCGTACAGGCGTCAGGTGAATTTTTCACCTTAGGGGGCGCTATGGAGCCATTTTGCATTGTATTGTTTGGGCGACTTCAGAATATCAAATTTTTCACCAGGCCCGGTCGTCCTGCCAAATTTCATGAGTTTTCGCCAGTGGGAAGTGGGCCATTTTCCAGTTCAAAGGGGAGGAAAAAGAAACTAGGGCCCCGTTGGGGCACTGGCGGGCCCGAGCTGTGTCACGCCGCCCCCAACACGACCGCCTCTCCCTCCCGATCGCGTCACACTCAAGGTTCAACGATGGTGTGCGCACTTGTCTGTGGTCATTTACCATTATAATGAATGGGAGGCGCAGTTTCTACCAAAACGCTTGCTGCAGACAAACTACATGTCCTATTTGAAAAAAGTCTGGACCATGAGTGAGGGCACAAACACAGCTAGGATATATCCAAATGGCAAGTTCCTCCTCCTTTCGTTTTTTTCCGAGAGAGCGATGTGTTTGAGCCATTGAGCGATGGGCAGGAAAAACTTGACTTTTTCTCCTGCCATGGGGGGGCACTCTTTTAGGGAGAAAAAATTCCTTCACAAATGTGTTGATGGCTAGACATTGCATCATCCTAGAAAACTTTGAAGCCAGTGAGGACAAAAATGAAAAGTTATAAGACTTTTAAGAATGTGGATTTTTGGGTTATCTTTGGCGACCCCTAGAACGTAAACCGTGGGGTGCAGCATCATGATTTGTACAACTTTTAATGGCCATGGGGTGTAGATTGGCCTGAGCAAATTTGGTGCCGGTGGAACAAAAGCTTTAGGAGGAGTTAGCCACATTCCAATGTATGCGAATCAACCAAAAATGCGAAATAGCCCTTTAACCGTACATTTTGCAGACACGTGCGCATTGACTTTTTCGTAGATCTTATTGAGATACACGTGATTAACAAATTTTGTTTCAATATGACAAAGCGTACAGGCGTGACACTCAACAATGTGTATTTTCACCTTATAGGACAAGAAAAAATGGCCTTTTTTCTCCTGCCATGGGGGGGCACTCTTTTGGGGAGTAAAAATTCCTTCACAAATGTGTTGATGGCTGGACATTGCATCATCCTTGAAAACTTGGAGGCCAGTGAGGACAGAAATAAAAAGTTATAAGACTTGTAAGAATGTGGATTTTTGGGTTATCTTTGGCGCCCCCTACAACGTAAACCGTGGGGTGCAGCGTCATGATTTGTACAACTTTGAATGGCCATGGGGGTTAGATTGGCCTGAGCAAATTTGGTGCCGGTGGAACGAAAGCCTTCAAAGGAGTTAGCGAAATTCCAATGTGTGCGGATCGGCAAAAAATGTGAAATAGCCCTTTAAACGTACATTTGACAGATACGCCCGCACTGACTTTTTTGTAGATCTTATTGAGATACACGTGTGTGTCAAATTTTGTGTCATTTTGACAAAGCGTACAGGCGTGACACTCAATCATGTGAATTTTTCACCTTAGGGGGCGCTATGGAGCCATTTTGCATTTGATTGTTTGGGTGACTTCAGAATATCGAATTTTTCACCAGGCCCGGTCGTCCTGCCAAATTTCATGAGTTTTCACCAGTGGGAAGTGGGCCATTTTCCAGTTCAAAGGGGCAGAAAAATAATAATAATAATAATAAGAAGAAGAAACTAGGGCCCCGTTGGGGCACTGGCGGGCCCGAGCCATGTGCCCCCCCCCCCCCCACCCCACCCCCCAACGCGCTGCCTCCCCGTCCCATTCGCGTCCTCTGGCCATCGCCCTCTCTGGTAACGCCCATCACTGCAAAGACCCTTTTCCTTCATCGGTGTTTGCTGTTCTTCCTGCCAGTGCGTGTTGCTTTCACTTACACTTGCCACAGCCAGCCTCGTGAGTGCCTAGCCTATTGGATATCACTGTCACCTACACAGGACAGTCATTACCTTTCTATTAATACTTTGTTTTTAATTTCACATTAATTTCCATATTGTATAAATGACTGGAAAAAACTTGAGCCCCTGCCCCTGTATTATCATGTGCACGTCCCTGTTGTAGCTCCAAGGTGAATCTTCACTGCTCATGTTCTCCTCAGAAGCAGTGACCTCACTCCCCTCAGGTTACTGTACACATGCACCAACTGCCTGCTTCAGGTTTGGATGGAGCTTCATGGTTGTCTTTTGGAGAAATGACCAGTCAAGTTGTGTTCGAAATCTGATTTTTTTCAGGGGCAAAAGGAGCCTCTGCATTCTTGTCAAATATGTTAATAACAAGTTTTTGCAGGTGCTAAAAAAAAAGACTCTGAGTGTGTGTGTGTGTGTGTGTGTGTGTGTGTGTGTGTGTGTGTGTGTGTGTGTGTGTGTGTGTGATGCAGTACTCTGAGAAGAATAATAAGCATATTTCTGAGGTGAATTTTGAAGATTCATCTGAGAGTTAGGAGGGCTGATCATTCCCTTACCCTTTAGATGTCTGTCTATGTCTGTTTTTGTGTGATAATGAAAGAATCCCAACTCAAAAAGGCTCTGTTGATGGTTTTTTTTTTGTTGTTCATTCATATTCAAACCACTATTTTATATCACTGCTAATACGCCAAGACCATTTTATGGTATTTAGCCTTATTATTTCTATACATTTTGCAAGGAAAGAAACCAAGGCCTTCACTAAAATTTCCATAAACTTTAGGAAAGGACCTCTGGTTGTTTAAGGGGGTCATTACTGCAAAAACATATTCTTCCTAAATTTTGAAGGTCAAAGCTTAGATCCATTAGGTTTAAATAGAAAAAGCATTTAAATATGTTAGGATTATAGCATATGACAAATGTGTGCCTCTCAGTGGCCATAACTACTTTGTCTGCTGGCTCTGCAGTCGATTGACGTTCCCCAGCGTTCAAGTCACATGACATATTTAACCGGATGTAGCTGCAAGACGGAGCCTCGTTGATTCTCCGTTTCAACCTATCTTAAAAGTGAGGACCTCAAACTATATACCAGTTTTTAAATTGTGTTGATAGGCCAAATAAAACCAGAGTTATGATAAATTATGTCTGCGATACTTTTTTTCTGCTTATTTTGATCACATTCGGCGCTCGATCGCGCTGTATGAGACAGGAAAACATAGCATGCAGACATTAGCGACAGCTCTTACAGGCGGAAAAGACTTGCCAAAAGAAAAGAAAAAAACACACCACAACATCTCTCCTATTGGTGGAAAACTTCACCACAACAACCAATCCAAAATTATATGGTGACTGATTGACACGGGACGGGCGCTCGCATTCTTCCTGCAACTTGAGAAGGGAGGGAGGGACTCTCAGCAGGGATGCAGTCTGGGACACGTAGTTGCAAACCTAGCGACTTTGTTGTTAGATTCAATGACTTTTCAGACCCCCTAACGACTTTTTTTTAGAAAGAAAGGGACTTTTATCGACTTCTTCTGGAGTTTAGAGACTCTGACATGAAGCAGGCTTTCCTTACTGAGGAGTTAGCAACGCTGCTAAGGGTGCAGAGCCACACATGCGCTCCGAGCTCTGCATGGGAGACTGAAGCTGACAGAGCTGCAGCAGTTAGCAGGTTTCACCCTCAGAGACCACCAGGGGTTCATGTTGAGGCATTTTCAGTTTTTTTTTTTTTTTTTTGCCACAGACACTGTCAGCACAATCTGCAGTTACACTAACAAAAATGCTGCAAAAAACAAAGAATTATGGAAAAATTACACATGGACTAACATAGAGGAGGATCTACACAAGTTTTTTACATCATGTTTTACATCATACATCATTTACATCATGTTTTTTTGTAGTGGCATAAATAAAAAGTGACATTTGTGAGACTATACAGTGTTTTGTAAATAATTTTACAAAGAACGCCTGGGCCATTGCCTGCATTTTGATGTAAATAGAGGTAAATTACTATGTTCTTTGTTAAAAATTTGCATATGTTTTGAAGTTTACAATTTTTATTTGAAGTTTAAGTTTTAAAAACAGTTCATCACACATATTTGTGGTTTTCACAGTAAAAACGTTACTTTTTTCCACTCGGATTTTATGTTTTGTGTGTGAATTTGGGTCCAATGTGTAAATATAGTATGTCAAAATGATAAAATAACTGTAAATTGACACAGGTGAGGTTGTGCTGAAAAAAATGATACCAGGCAAGGCAAGGTAAAATTTTGTAAGAGGAAATATAAAGGTAAAATCTAAAGTAGTCAAAAACGGCCAATAGTGACTCACAGACTCCACAGACAAGTCCCTTTGGCGCCACTCAGTGGGCAAAACTACTTTGTCTACTGTAATGTATATTTGGGTCATCTTTGGCGCCCCCTAAAACATAAACCGTGGGGTGCAGCGTCACGATTTTTACAACTTTGAATGGCCATGGAGTGTAGATTAGCCTGAGCAACTTTGGTGACAGTGGAACTTAAGCCTTCAGAGGAGTTAGCGAAATTCCAATGTGTGCAAATCGCCAAAAACTGCGAAATTGCCCTTTAACCATACGTTTTACAGATACGTGCCCATTGACTTTTTCGTAGATCTTATTGAAATACACATGTATGTAAAATTTTGTGTCAATACGACAAAACATACAGGCGTAGCACTCAACAATGTGTATTTTCACCTTAGTGGACAAGAAAAAATGGACTTTTTTCTCCTGCCATGGGGGGGCGCTCTTTTGGGGAGTAAAAATTCCTTCACAAATGTGTTGATGGCTGGACATTGCATCATCCTAGAAAACTTGGAGGCCAGTGAGGACAAAAATAAAAAGTTATAAGACTTTGAAATATGTGGATTTTAGGGTTATCTTTGGCGCCCCCTAGAACCTAAACCGTGGGGTGCAGCGTCATGATTTGAATAACTTTTAATGGCCATGGGGTGTAGATTGGCCTGAGCAAATGTGGTGCCGGTGGAACGCCAGCCTTAGGAGGAGTTAGCGAAATTCCAATGTGTGCGGATCAGCAAAAAATGCGGAATAACCCTTTAACCGTACATTTGACAGATACGCGCGCATTGACTTGTTCGTAGATCTTATTGAGATACATGTGTGTGTCAAATTTTGTGTCAATATGACAAAGCGTACAGGCGTGACACTCAACAATGTGTATTTTCACCTTAGGGGACAAGAAAAAATGGACTTTTTTCTCCGGCCATGGGGGGGCGCTCTTTTGGGGAGTAAAAATTCCTTCACAAATGTGTTGATGGCTGGACATTGCATCATCCTAGAAAACTTGGAGGCCAGTGAGGGCAAAAATAAAAAGTTATAAGACTTTTAAATATGCGGATTTTAGGGTTATCTTTGGCGCCCCCTAGAACCTAAACCGTGGGGTGCAGCGTCATGATTTGAATAACTTTTAATGGCCATGGGGTGTAGATTGGCCTGAGCAAATGTGGTGCCGGTGGAAAGAAAGCCTTCGGAGGAGTTAGCGAAATTCCAATGTGTGCGGATCGGCAAAAAATGCGGAATAACCCTTTAACCGTACATTTGACAGATACGCCCGCACTGACTTTTTTGTAGATCTTATTGAGATACATATGTGTGTCAATTTTTGTGTCATTTGGACAAAGCGTAAAGGCGTGACAGTCAATAGTGTGAATTTTCACCTTAGGGGGCGCTATGGAGCCATTTTGCATTTTCTTGTTTGGGCGACTTCGGAATATCAAATTTTTCACCAGGCCCGGTCATCCTGCCAAATTTCATGAGTTTTCGCCAGTGGGAAGTGGGCCATTTTCCAGTTCAAAGGGGAGGAAAAAGAAGAAAGAAAGAAAGAACTAGGGCCCCGTTGGGGCACTGGCGGGCCCGAGCTGTGTCGCGCGCCCCCCCCCCCCCCCCCCCAACGCGCTGCCTCCTCGTCCCATTCGCGTCCTCTGGCCATCGTCCTCTCTGGTAACGCCCATCACTGCAAAGACCCTTTTCCTTCATCCGCGTTTGCTGTTCTTCCTGCCAGTGCGTGTGGCTTTCACTTGCACTTGCCACAGCCAGCCTCGTGAGTGCCTAGCCTATTGGATATCACTGTCACCTACACAGGACAGTCATTACCTTTCTATTAATACTTTGTTTTTTAATTTCACATTAATTTCCATATTGTCTAAACGACTGGAAAAAACTTGAGCCCCTGCCCCTGTATAATCATGTGCACGTCCCTGTTCTAGCTCCAAGGTGAATCTTGACTGCTCATGTTCTCCTCAGAAGCAGTCACCTCACTCCACTCAGGTTACTGTACACATGCACCAACTGCCTGCTTCAGGTTTGGATGGAGCTTCATGGTTGTCTTTTGGAGAAATGAGCAGTCAAGTTGTGTTTGAAATTTCATTTTTTTCAGGGGCAAAAGGAGCCTCTGCATTCTTGTCAAATATGTAAATAGCATGTTTTTGCAGGTGCTAAAAACCAGACTCTGAGTGTGTGTGTGTGTGTGTGCGTTCAAGTCACATGACATATTTAACCGGATGTAGCTGCAAGACGGAGTCTCGTTGACTCTCCGTTTCAACTTATCTCAAAAGTGAGGACCTCAACCTATATACCAGTTTTTAAATTGTGTTGATAGGCCAAATAAAACCAGAGTTATGATAAATTATGTCCGCGATACTTTTTTTCTGCTTATTTTGATCACGTTCGGCGCTCGATCGCGCTGTATGAGACAGGAAAACATAGCATGCAGACATTAGCGACAGGTCTTACAGGCGGAAAAGGCTTGCCAAAAGAAAAAAAAAACACACCACAACATCTCTCCTATTGGTGGAAAACTTCACCACAACAACCAATCCAAAATTATATGGTGACTGATTGACAAGGGGCGGGCGCTTACGTTCTTCCTGCAACATGAGAAGGGAGGGAGGGACTCTCAGCAGGGATGCAGTCTGGGACACGTAGTTGCAAACCTAGCGACTTTGTTGTTAGATTCAATGACTTTTCAGACCCCCTAACGACTTTTTTTTAGAAAGAAAGGGACTTTTATCGACTTCTTCTGGAGTTTAGAGACTCTGACATGAAGCAGGCTTTCCTTACTGAGGAGTAAGCAACGCTGCTAAGGGTGCAGAGCCACACATGCGCTCAGAGCTCTGCATGGGAGACTGAAGCTGACAGAGCTGCAGCAGTTAGCAGGTTTCACCCTCAGAGACCACCAGGGGTTCATGTTGAGGCATTTTAATTTTTTTTTTTTTGTGCCATAGACACTGTCAGCACAATCTGCAGTTACACTAACAAAAATGCTGCAAAAAACAAAGAATTATGGAAAAATTACACATGGACTGACATAGAGGAGGATCTACACAAGTTTTTTACATCATGTTTTACATCATGCATCATTTACATCATGTTTTTTTGTAGTGGCATAAATAAAAAGTGACATTTGTGAGACTATACAGTGTTTTGTAAATAATTTTACAAAGAACGCCTGGGCCATTGCCTGCATTTTGATGTAAATAGAGGTAAATCACTATGTTCTTTGTTAAAAATTTGCATATGTTTTGAAGTTTACAATTTTTATTTGAAGTTTAAGTTTTAAAAACAGTTCATCACACATATTTGTGGTTTTCACAGTAAAAATGTTACTTTTTTCCACTCGGATTTTATGTTTTGTGTGTGAATTTGGGTCCATTGTGTAAATTCAGTATGTCAACATGATAAAATAACTGTAAATTCGCACAGGTGAGGTTGTGCTGAAAAAAAATGATACCAGGCAAGGCACGTGATTGTCAAATTTTGTGTCAATATGACAAAGCGTATAGGCGTGAATCTCAACAATATGTATTTTCACCTTAGGGGACAAGAAAAAATGGACTTTTTTCTCCTGCCATGGGGGGGCGCTCTTTTGGGGAGTAAAAATTCCTTCACAAATGTGTTGATGGCTGGACATTGCATCATCCTAGAAAACTTGGAGGCCAGTGAGGACAAAAATAAAAAGTTATAAGACTTTTAAATATGTGGATTTTAGGGTTGTCTTTGGCGCCCCCTAGAACCTAAACCGTGGGGTGCAGCGTCATGATTTGAATAACTTTTAATGGCCATGGGGTGTAGATTGGCCTGAGCAAATGTGGTGCCGGTGGACAGAAAGCCTTCGGAGGAGTTAGCGAAATTCCAATGTGTGCGGATCGGCAAAAAATGCGGAATAACCCTTTAACCGTACATTTGACAGATACGCACGCATTGACTTTTTCGTAGATCTTATTGAGTTACATGTGTGTGTCAATTTTTGTGTCATTTTGACAAAGCGTATAGGCGTGACACTCAACAATGTGTATTTTCACCTTAGGGGACAAGAAAAAATGGACTTTTTTCTCCTGCCATGGGGGGGCGCTCTTTTGGGGAGTAAAAATTCCTTCACAAATGTGTTGATGGCTGGACATTGCATCATCCTAGAAAACTTGGAGGCCAGTGAGGGCAAAAATAAAAAGTTATAAGACTTTTAAATATGTGGATCTTAGGGTTATCTTTGGCGCCCCCTAGAACCTAAACCATGGGGTGCAGCTTCATGATTTGAATAACTTTTAATGGCCATGGGGTGTAGATTGGCCTGAGCAAATGTGGTGCCGGTGGAACGAAAGCCTTCGGAGGAGTTAGCGAAATTCCAATGTGTGCGGATCGGCAAAAAATGCGAAATAACCCTTTAACCGTACATTTGACAGATACGCCCGCACTGACTTTTTTGTAGATCTTATTGAGATACATGTGTGTGTCAATTTTTGTGTCATTTTGACAAAGCGTACCGGCGTGACAGTGAATAGTGTGAATTTTCACCTTAGGGGGCGCTATGGAGCCATTTTGCATTTTCTTGTTTGGGCGACTTCGGAATATCAAATTTTTCACCAGGCCCGGTCGTCCTGCCAAATTTCATGAGTTTTCGCCAGTGGGAAGTGGGCCATTTTCCAGTTCAAAGGGGAGGAAAAATAATAACTAGGGCCCCGTTGGGGCACTGGCGGGCCCGAGCCGTGTCACGCCGCCCCCAGCGCGACCGCCTCCCCCACCCGATCGCGTCACACTCAAGGTCCAAAGATGGTGTGCGCACTTGTTTGTGGTCATTTACCATTATAATGAACGGGAGGCGCAGTTTCTACCAAAACGCTCGCTGCAGACAAACTCCATGTCCTATTTGAAAAAAGTCTGGACCATGAGTGAGGGCACAAACACAGCTAAGATATATCCAAATGGCAAGTTGCTCCTCCTTTCGCTTTTGCCGAGAGAGCAGTGCGTTTGAGCCATTGAATGATGAACAGGAAAAACTTGACTTTATTCTCCTGCCATGGGGGGGCGCTCTTTTAACAAGAAAAAACTCCTTCACAAATGTGTTGATGGCTGGACATTGCATCATCCTAGAAAACATGGAGGCCAGTGAGGACAAAAATAAAAAGTTATAAGACTTTTAAATATGTGGATTTTAGGGTTATCTTTGGCGCCCCCTAGAACCTAAACTGTGGGGTGCAGCGTCATGATTTGAATAACTTTTAATGGCCATGGGGTGTAGATTGGCCTGAGCAAATGTGGTGCCGGTGGAACGAAAGCCTTCGGAGGAGTTAGCGAAATTCCAATGTGTGCGAATCTGCAAAAAATGCGAAATAACCCTTTAACCGTACATTTTACAGATACGTGGCCATTGACTTTTTCGAAGATCTTATTTAAAGACACGTGTATGTAAAATTTTGTGTCAATACGACAAAACATACAGGTGTAGCACTCAACAATGTGTATTTTCACCTTAGTGGACAAGAAAAAATGGACTTTTTTCTCCTGCCATGGGGGGGCGCTCTTTTGGGGAGTGAAAATTCCTTCACAAATGTGTTGATGGCTGGACATTGCATCATCCTAGAAAACTTGGAGGCCAGTGAGGACAAAAATAAAAAGTTATAAGACTTTTAAATATGTGGATTTTAGGGTTATCTTTGGCGCCCCCTAGAACCTAAACCGTGGGGTGCAGCGTCATGATTTGAATAACTTTTAATGGCCATGGGGTGTAGATTGGCCTGAGCAAATGTGGTGCCGGTGGAACAAAAGCCTTCGGAGGAGTTAGCGAAATTCCAATGTGTACGGATCGCCAAAAAATGCGAAATAGCCCTTTAACCGTACATTTGACAGATACGCCCGCACTGACTTTTTTGTAGATCTTATTGAGATACATATGTGTGTCAAATTTTGTGTCATTTTGACAAAGCGTACAGGCGTGACAGTCAATAGTGTGAATTTTCACCTTAGGGGGCGCTATGGAGCCATTTTGCATTTTCTTGTTTGGGCGACTTCGGAATATCAAATTTTTCACCAGGCCCGGTCGTCCTGCCAAATTTCCTGAGTTTTCGCCAGTGGGAAGTGGGCCATTTTCCAGTTCAAAGGGGAGGAAAAAGAAGAAAGAAAGAAACAAAGAAAAACCCCTACAGGAATAACAGGGCCTACGCCCGGCTGCTCTGCAGCTGGCTCGGGCCCTAATAACAAAAGAAGGAAACTACAGGAACAAGAGGGCTCTCGCAGCTGCTTAGCAGCTACGCTCGGGCCCTAAAGAAACAAAGAAAAACCACTTGGGGAATAATAGGGCTCTCGCAGCTGCTTAGCAGCTACGCTCGGGCCCTAAAAAGAAACAAAGAAAAACCACTACAGGAATAACAGGGCCTACGCCCGGCTGCTCTGCAGCTGGCTCGGGCCCTAAAGAAGAAGAAAGAAGAATCCATCAGGAATAATAGGGCTCTCGCAGCTGCTTAGCAGCTACGCTCGGGCCCTAAAGACTAGGGCCCCGTTGGGGCACTGGCGGGCCCGAGCCGTGTCGCGCTGCCCCCCCCCAACGCGCTGCCTCCCCGTCCCATTCGCGTCCTCTGGCCATCGTCCTCTCTGGTAACGCCCATCACTGCAAAGACCCTTTCCTTCATCGGCGTTTGCTGTTCTTCCTGCCAGTGCGTGTTGCTTTCACTTACACTTGCCACAGCCAGCCTCATGAGTGCCTAGCCTATTGGATATCACTGTCATCTACACAGGACAGTCATAACCTTTCTATTAATACTTTGTTTTTTAATTTCACATTAATTTCCATACTGTATAAATGACTGGAAAAAACTTGAGCCCCTGCCCCTGTATAATCATGTGCACGTCCCTGTTCTAGCTCCAAGGTGAATCTTCACTGCTCATGTTCTCCTCAGAAATAGTCACCTCACTCCCCTCAGGTTACTGTACACATGCACCAACTATCTGCTTCAGGTTTGGATGGAGCTTCATGGTTGTCTTTTGGAGAAATGAACAGTCAAGTTGTGTTTGAAATTTGATTTTTTTCAGGGGCAAAAGGAAGCCTCTGCATTCTTGTCAAATATGTAAACAGCATGTTTTTGCAGGTGCTAAAAAACAGACTCTGAGTGTGTGTGTGTGTGTGTGTGTGTTGGCGTGTGTGTTGGCGTGTGTGTATCCTGCAGTACTCTGTACTCCTGCAGTGGCCAAAAAGACTTTTAAGAATGTGGATTTTTGGGTCATCTTTGGCGCCCCCTAGAACTGCAGTACTCTGTACTCCTGCAGTGGCCAAAATGACTTTTAAGAATGTGGATTTTTGGGTCATCTTTGGCGCCCCCTAGAACGTAAACCGTGGGGTGCAGCGTCATGATTTTTACAACTTTTAATGGGCATGGGGTGTAGATTGCCCTGAGCAAATTTGGTATCAGTGGGACGAAAGCCTTAGGAGGAGATAGCCACATTCCAATGTGTGCGAATCGGCAAAAAATGCGAAATAGCCCTTTAACCGTACATTATACAGATACGCGCCCTTTGACTTTTTCGTAGATCTAATTGAGATACACATGATTGTCAATTTTTGTGTCAATATGACAAAGCGTTCAGGCGTGACACTCAACAATGTGTATTTTCATGTAAGGGGACAAGAAAAAATTGACTTTTTTCTCCTGCCATGGGGGGGCGCTCTTTTGGGGAGTAAAAATTCCTTCACAAATGTGTTGATGGCTGGACATTGCATCATCCTAGAAAACTTGGAGGGCAGTGAGGACAAAAATAAAAAGTTATAAGACTTTTAAGAATGTGGATTTTTGGGTTATCTTTGGCGCCCCCTAGAACCTAAACCGTGGGGTGCAGCGTCATGATTTGTACAACTTTTAATGGCCATGGGGTGTGACCTGGCCTGAGCAAATTTGGTGCCAGTGGAACGAAAGCCTTCGGAGGACTTAGCCACATTCCAATGTGTGCGGATCGGCAAAAAATGCGGAATAACCCTTTAACCGTACATTTGACAGATACGCGCGCATTGACTTTTTCGTAGATCTTATTGAGTTACATGTGTGTGTCAATTTTTGTGTCATTTTGACAAAGCGTATAGGCATGACACTCAACAATGTGTATTTTCACCTTAGGGGACAAGAAAAAATGGACTTTTTTCTCCTGCCATGGGGGGGCGCTCTTTTGGGGAGTAAAAATTCCTTCACAAATGTGTTGATGGCTGGACATTGCATCATCCTAGAAAACTTGGAGGCCAGTGAGGACAAAAATAAAAAGTTATAAGACTTTTAAATATGTGGATTTTAGGGTTATCTTTGGCGCCCCCTAGAACCTAAACCGTGGGGTGCAGCGTCATGATTTGAATAACTTTTAATGGCCATGGGGTGTAGATTGGCCTGAGCAAATGTGGTGCCGGTGGAACGAAAGCCTTAGGAGGAGTTAGCCACATTCCAATGTGTGCGGATCGGCAAAAAATGCGGAATAACCCTTTAACCGTACATTTGACAGATACGCGCGCATTGACTTTTTCGTAGATCTTATTGAGTTACATGTGTGTGTCAATTTTTGTGTCATTTTGACAAAGCGTACAGGCGTGACACTCAACAATGTGTATTTTCACCTTAGGGGACAAGAAAAAATGGACTTTTTTCGCCTGCCATCGGGGGGCGCTCTTTTGGGGAGTAAAAATTCCTTCACAAATGTTTTGATGGCTGGACATTGCATCATCCTAGAAAACTTGGAGGCCAGTGAGGACAAAAATAAAAAGTTATAAGACTTTTAAATATGTGGATTTTAGGGTTATCTTTGGCGCCCCCTAGAACCTTAACAGTGGGGTGCAGCGTCATGATTTGAATAACTTTTAATGGCCATGGGGTGTAGATTGGCCTGAGCAAATGTGGTGCCGGTGGAACGAAAGCCTTAGGAGGAGTTAGCCACATTCCAATGTGTGCGAATCGGCAAAAAATGCAAAATAGCCCTTTAACCGTACATTTTACAGATACGCGCGCATTGACTTTTTCGTAGATCTTATTGAGATACATGTGATTGTCAAATTTTGTGTCAATATGACAAAGCGTACAGGTATGACAGTCAACAATGTGTATTTTCACCTTAGGGTACAAGAAAAAATGGACTTTTTTCTCCTGCCATGGGGGGGGCGCTCTTTTGGGGAGTAAAAATTCCTTCACAAATGTGTTGATGGCTGGACATTGCATCATCCTAGAAAACTTGGAGGCCAGTGAGGACAAAAATAAAAAGTTATAAGACTTTTAAATATGTGGATTTTAGGGTTATCTTTGGCGCCCCCTAGAACCTAAACCGTGGGGTGCAGCGTCATGATTTGAATAACTTTTAATGGCCATGGGGTGTAGATTGGCCTGAGCAAATGTGGTGCCGGTGGAACGAAAGCCTTAGGAGGAGTTAGCCACATTCCAATGTGTGCGGATCGGCAAAAAATGCGGAATAACCCTTTAACCATACATTTGACAGATACGCGCGCATTGACTTTTTCGTAGATCTTATTGAGTTACATGTGTGTGTCAATTTTTGTGTCATTTTGACAAAGCGTATAGGCGTGACACTCAACAATGTGTATTTTCACCTTAGGGGACAAGAAAAAATGGACTTTTTTCGCCTGCCATCGGGGGGCGCTCTTTTGGGGAGTAAAAATTCCTTCACAAATGTGTTGATGGCTGGACATTGCATCATCCTAGAAAACTTGGAGGCCAGTGAGGACAAAAATAAAAAGTTATAAGACTTTTAAATATGTGGATTTTAGGGTTATCTTTGGCGCCCCCTAGAACCTTAACCGTGGGGTGCAGCGTCATGATTTAAATAACTTTTAATGGCCATGGGGTGTAGATTGACCTGAGCAAATGTGGTGCCGGTGGAACGAAAGCCTTAGGAGGAGTTAGCCACATTCCAATGTGTGCGGATCGGCAAAAAATGCAAAATAGCCCTTTAACCGTACATTTTACAGATACGCGCGCATTGACTTTTTCGTAGATCTTATTGAGATACATGTGATTGTCAAATTTTGTGTCATTTTGACAAAGCGTACAGGCGTCAGCTGAATTTTTCACCTTAGGGGGCGCTATGGAGCCATTTTGCATTGTATTGTTTGGGCGACTTCAGAATATCAAATTTTTCACCAGGCCCGGTCGTCCTGCCAAATTTCATGAGTTTTCGCCAGTGGGAAGTGGGCCATTTTCCAGTTCAAAGGGGAGGAAAAAGAAACTAGGGCCCCGGTGGGGCACTGGCGGGCCCGAGCCGTGTCGCGCCGCCCCCAGTGCGACCGCCTACCCCTCCCGATCGCGTCACACTCAAGGTCCAAAGATGGTGTGCGCACTTGTCTGTGGTCATTTACCATTATAATGAATGGGAGGCGCAGTTTCTACCAAAACGCTCGCTGCAGACAAACTCCATGTCCTTTTTGAAAAAAGTCTGGACCATGAGTGAGGGCACAAACACAGCTAGTATATATCCAAATGGCAAGTTGCTCCTCCTTTCGGTTTTGCCGAGAGAGCAATGCGTTTGAGCCATTGAGCGATGGGCAGGAAAAACTTGACTTTTTCTCCTGCCATGGGGGGGCGCTCTTTTGGGGAGTAAAAATTCCTTCACAAATGTGTTGATGGCTGGACATTGCATCATCCTAGAAAACTTGGAGGCCAGTGAGGACAAAAATAAAAAGTTATAAGACTTTTAAGACTGTGGATTTTTGGGTTATCTTTGGCGCCCCCTAGAACCTAAACCGTGGGGTGCAGCGTCATGATTTGTACAACTTTGAATGGCCATGGGTTGTAGATTGGCCTGAGCAACTATGGTGTCAGTGGGACGAAAGCCTTCGGAGGAGTTAGCGAAATTCCAATGTGTGCGAATCGGCAAAAAATGCAAAATAGCCCTTTTACCGTACATTATGCAGATACGCGCTCTCTGACTTTTTCGTAGATCTAATTGAGATACACATGATTGTTAATTTTTGTGTCAATATGACAAAGAGTTCAGGCGTGACACTCAACAATGTGTATTTTCACCTTAGGGGACAAGAAAAAATTGACTTTTTTCTCCTGCCATGGGGGGGCGCTCTTTTGGGGAGTAAAAATTCCTTCACAAATGTGTTGATGGCTGGACATTGCATCATCCTAGAAAACTTGGAGGCCAGTGAGGACAAAAATAAAAAGTTATAAGACTTTTAAATATTTGGATTTTAAGGGTTATCTTTGGCGCCCCCTAGAGCCTAAACCGTGGGGTGCAGCGTCATGATTTTTACAACTTTTAATGGCCATGGGGTGTAGATTGGCCTGAGCAAATTTGGTGCCGGTGGAACGAAAGCCTTCGGAGGAGTTAGCGAAATTCCAATGTGTGCGGATCGGCAAAAAATGCAAAATAGCCCTTTTACCGTACATTATACAGATACGCGCTCTTTGACTTTTTCGTAGATCTAATTGAGATACACATGATTGTCAATTTTTGTGTCAATATGACAAAGAGTTCAGGCGTGACACTCAACAATGTGTATTTTCACCTTATGGGACAAGAAAAAATGGACTTTTTTCTCCTGCCATGGGGGGGCGCTCTTTTGGGGAGTAAAAATTCCTTCACAAATGTGTTGATGGCTGGACATTGCATCATCCTAGAAAACTTGGAGGCCAGTGAGGACAAAAATAAAAAGTTATAAGACTTTTAAGAATGTGGATTTTTGGGTTATCTTTGGCGCCCCCTAGAACATAAACCGTGGGGTGCAGCGTCATGATTTGTACAACTTTGAATGGCCATGGGGTGTAGATTGGCCTGAGCAAATTTGGTGCCGGTGGAACGAAAGCCTTTGGAGGAGTTAGCAAAATTCCAATGTGTGCGGATCGGCAAAAAATGCGAAATAGCCCTTTAACCGTACATTTGACAGATACGCCCGCACTGACTTTTTTGTAGATCTTATTGAGATACACATGTGTGTCAAATTTTGTGTCATTTTGACAAAGCGTACAGGCGTCAGGTGAGTTTTCACCATAGGGGGCGCTATGGAGCCATTTTTCATTTTTTTGTTTGGGCGACTTCAGAATATCAAATTTTTCACCAGGCCCGGTCGTCCTGCCAAATTTCCTGAGTTTTCGCCAGTGGGAAGTGGGCCATTTTCCAGTTTAAAGCGGAGGAAAAATAACGAAAGAAGAATCCATCAGGAACAAGAGGGCTCTCGCAGCTGCTTAGCAGCTACGCTCGGGCCCTAAAAACTAGGGCCCCGTTGGGGCACTGGCGGGCCCGAGCCGCGTTGCGCCGCCCCCAGTGCGACCGCCTCCCCCTCCCGATCGCGTCACACTCAAGGTCCAAAGATGGTGTGCGCACTTGTCTGTGGTCATTTCCCATTATAATGAATGGGAGGCGCAGTTTCTACCAAAACACTCGCTGCAGACAAACTACATGTCCTATTTGAAAAAAGTCTGGACCATGAGTGAGGGCACAAACACAGCTAGGATATATCCAAACGGCAAGTTGCTCCTCGTTACGGTGTTGCCGGGAGAGCGATGCGATTGAGCCATTGAGTGATGGGCAGGAAAAACTTGACTGTTTCTCCTGCCATGGGGGATGGGGGGGGGGGGGGGAGGGATGTGGATTCTTTTAAGAATGTGGATATTTGGGTCATCTTTGGCGCCCCCTAGAACGTAAACCGTGGGGTGCAGCGTCATGATTTTTAAAACTTTGAATGGCCATGGGGTGTAGATTGGCCTGAGCAAATTTGGTGTCAGTGGGAAGAAAGCCTTAGGAGGAGTTAGCCACATTCCAATGTGTGCTAATCGGCAAAAAATGCAAAATAGCCCTTTAACCGTACATTTTACAGATACGCGCGCATTGACTTTTTCGTAGATCTTATTGAGATACATGTGTGTGTCAAATTTTGTGTCAATATGACAAAGCATACAGGTATGACAGTCAACAATGTGTATTTTCACCTTATGGGACAAGAAAAAATGGACTTTTTTCTCCTGCCATGGGGGGGCGCTCTTTTGGGGAGTAAAAATTCCTTCACAAATGTGTTGATGGCTGGACATTGCATCATCCTAGAAAACTTGGAGGCCAGAGAGGACAAAAATAAAAAGTTATAAGACTTTGAAATATGTGGATTTTAGGGTTATCTTTGGCGCCCCCTAGGACCTAAACCGTGGGGTGCAGCGTCATGATTTGAATAACTTTTAATGGCCATGGGGTGTAGATTGGCCTGAGCAAATGTGGTGCCGGTGGAACGAAAGCCTTCGGAGGAGTTAGCAAAATTCCAATGTGTGCGGATCGGCAAAAAATGCGCAATAACCCTTTAACCGGACATTTGACAGATACGCCAGCACTGACTTTTTTGTAGATCTTATTGAGATACATGTGTGTGTCAATTTTTGTGTAATTTTGACAAAGCGTACAGGCGTGACAGTCAATAGTGTGAATTTTCACCTTATGGGACAAGAAAAAATGGACTTTTTTCTCCTGCCATGGGGGGGCGCTCTTTTGGGGAGTAAAAATTCCTTCACAAATGTGTTGATGGCTGGACACTGCATCATCCTAGAAAACTTGGAGGCCAGTGAGGGCAAAAATAAAAAGTTATAAGACTTTTAAATATGTGGATTTTAGGGTTATCTTTGGCGCCCCCTAGAACCTAAACCGTGGGGTGCAGCGTCATGATTTGAATAACTTTTAATGGCCATGGGGTGTAGATTGGCCTGAGCAAATGTGGTGCCGGTGGAACGAAAGCCTTCGGAGGAGTTAGCGAAATTCCAATGTGTGCGGATCGGCAAAAAATGCGCAATAACCCTTTAACCGTACATTTGACAGATACGCCCGCACTGACTTTTTTGTAGATCTTATTGAGATACATGTGTGTGTCAATTTTTGTGTCATTTTGACAAAGCGTACAGGCGTCAGGTGAATTTTTCACCTTAGGGGGCGCTATGGAGCCATTTTGCATTGTATTGTTTGGGCGACTTCAGAATATCAAATTTTTCACCAGGCCCGGTCGTCCTGCCAAATTTCATGAGTTTTCGCCAGTGGGAAGTGGGCCATTTTCCAGTTCAAAGGGGAGGAAAAAGAAACTAGGGCCCCGTTGGGGCACTGGCGGGCCCGAGCCGCGTTGCGCCGCCCCCAGTGCGACCGCCTCCCCCTCCCGATCGCGTCACACTCAAGGTCCAAAGATGGTGTGCGCACTTGTCTGTGGTCATTTCCCATTATAATGAATGGGAGGCGCAGTTTCTACCAAAACACTCGCTGCAGACAAACTACATGTCCTATTTGAAAAAAGTCTGGACCATGAGTGAGGGCACAAACACAGCTAGGATATATCCAAACGGCAAGTTGCTCCTCGTTACGGTGTTGCCGGGAGAGCGATGCGATTGAGCCATTGAGTGATGGGCAGGAAAAACTTGACTGTTTCTCCTGCCATGGGGGATGGGGGATGGGGGATGGGGGGGGGAGGGATGTGGATTCTTTTAAGAATGTGGATATTTGGGTCATCTTTGGCGCCCCCTAGAACGTAAACCGTGGGGTGCAGCGTCATGATTTTTAAAACTTTGAATGGCCATGGGGTGTAGATTCGCCTGAGCAAATTTGGTGTCAGTGGGACGAAAGCCTTAGGAGGAGTTAGCCACATTCCAATGTGTGCTAATCGGCAAAAAATGCAAAATAGCCCTTTAACCGTACATTTTACAGATACGCGCGCATTGACTTTTTCGTAGATCTTATTGAGATACATGTGTGTGTCAAATTTTGTGTCAATATGACAAAGCATACAGGTATGACAGTCAACAATGTGTATTTTCACCTTATGGGACAAGAAAAAATGGACTTTTTTCTCCTGCCATGGGGGGGCGCTCTTTTGGGGAGTAAAAATTCCTTCACAAATGTGTTGATGGCTGGACATTGCATCATCCTAGAAAACTTGGAGGCCAGAGAGGACAAAAATAAAAAGTTATAAGACTTTTAAATATGTGGATTTTAGGGTTATCTTTGGCGCCCCCTAGAACCTAAACCGTGGGGTGCAGCGTCATGATTTGAATAACTTTTAATGGCCATGGGGTGTAGATTGGCCTGAGCAAATGTGGTGCCGGTGGAACGAAAGCCTTCGGAGGAGTTAGCGAAATTCCAATGTGTGCGGATCGGCAAAAAATGCGCAATAACCCTTTAACCGTACATTTGACAGATACGCGCGCATTGACTTTTTCGTAGATCTTATTGAGATACATGTGTGTGTCAATTTTTGTGTCATTTTGCCAAAGCGTACAGGCGTGACACTAAACAATGTGTATTTTCACCTTATGGGACAAGAAAAAATTGACTTTTTTCTCCTGCCATGGGGGGGCGCTCTTTTGGGGAGTAAAAATTCCTTCACAAATGTGTTGATGGCTGGACATTGCATCATCCTAGAAAACTTGGAGGCCAGTGAGGGCAAAAATAAAAAGTTATAAGACTTTGAAATATGTGGATTTTAGGGTTATCTTTGGCGCCCCCTAGAACCTAAACCGTGGGGTGCAGCGTCATGATTTGAATAACTTTTAATGGCCATGGGGTGTAGATTGGCCTGAGCAAATGTGGTGCCGGTGGAACGAAAGCCTTCGGAGGAGTTAGCGAAATTCCAATGTGTGCGGATCGGCAAAAAATGCGCAATAACCCTTTAACCGTACATTTGACAGATACGCCCACACTGACTTTTTTGTAGATCTTATTGAGATACATGTGTGTGTCAATTTTTGTGTAATTTTGACAAAGCGTACAGGCGTGACAGTCAATAGTGTGAATTTTCACCTTATGGGACAAGAAAAAATGGACTTTTTTCTCCTGCCATGGGGGGGCGCTCTTTTGGGGAGTAAAAATTCCTTCACAAATGTGTTGATGGCTGGACATTGCATCATCCTAGAAAACTTGGAGGCCAGTGAGGGCAAAAATAAAAAGTTATAAGACTTTTAAATATGTGGATTTTAGGGTTATCTTTGGCGCCCCCTAGAACCTAAACCGTGGGGTGCAGCGTCATGATTTGAATAACTTTTAATGGCCATGGGGTGTAGATTGGCCTGAGCAAATGTGGTGCCGGTGGAACGAAAGCCTTCGGAGGAGTTAGCGAAATTCCAATGTGTGCGGATCGGCAAAAAATGCGCAATAACCCTTTAACCGTACATTTGACAGATACGCACACGCTGACTTTTTTGTAGATCTTATTGAGATACATGTGTGTGTCAATTTTTGTGTCATTTTGACAAAGCGTACAGGCGTCAGCTGAATTTTTCACCTTAGGGGGCGCTATGGAGCCATTTTGCATTGTATTGTTTGGGCGACTTCAGAATATCAAATTTTTCACCAGGCCCGGTCGTCCTGCCAAATTTCATGATTTTTCGCCAGTGGGAAGTGGGCCATTTTCCAGTTCAAAGGGGAGGAAAAAGAAAAAAGAAACAAAGACTAGGGCCCCGTTGGGGCACTGGCGGGCCCGAGCTGTGTCACGCCGCCCCCAACACGACCGCCTCTCCCTCCCGATCGCGTCACACTCAAGGTTCAACGATGGTGTGCGCACTTGTCTGTGGTCATTTACCATTATAATGAATGGGAGGCGCAGTTTCTACCAAAACGCTTGCTGCAGACAAACTACATGTCCTATTTGAAAAAAGTCTGGACCATGAGTGAGGGCACAAACACAGCTAGGATATATCCAAATGGCAAGTTCCTCCTCCTTTCGTTTTTTTCCGAGAGAGCGATGTGTTTGAGCCATTGAGCGATGGGCAGGAAAAACTTGACTTTTTCTCCTGCCATGGGGGGGCACTCTTTTAGGGAGAAAAAATTCCTTCACAAATGTGTTGATGGCTAGACATTGCATCATCCTAGAAAACTTTGAAGCCAGTGAGGACAAAAATGAAAAGTTATAAGACTTTTAAGAATGTGGATTTTTGGGTTATCTTTGGCGACCCCTAGAACGTAAACCGTGGGGTGCAGCATCATGATTTGTACAACTTTTAATGGCCATGGGGTGTAGATTGGCCTGAGCAAATTTGGTGCCGGTGGAACAAAAGCTTTAGGAGGAGTTAGCCACATTCCAATGTATGCGAATCAACCAAAAATGCGAAATAGCCCTTTAACCGTACATTTTGCAGACACGTGCGCATTGACTTTTTCGTAGATCTTATTGAGATACACGTGATTATCAAATTTTGTTTCAATATGACAAAGCGTACAGGCGTGACACTCAACAATGTGTATTTTCACCTTATAGGACAAGAAAAAATGGCCTTTTTTCTCCTGCCATGGGGGGGCACTCTTTTGGGGAGTAAAAATTCCTTCACAAATGTGTTGATGGCTGGACATTGCATCATCCTTGAAAACTTGGAGGCCAGTGAGGACAGAAATAAAAAGTTATAAGGGTTATCTTTGGCGCCCCCTACAACGTAAACCGTGGGGTGCAGCGTCATGATTTGTACAACTTTGAATGGCCATGGGGGTTAGATTGGCCTGAGCAAATTTGGTGCCGGTGGAACGAAAGCCTTCAAAGGAGTTAGCGAAATTCCAATGTGTGCGGATCGGCAAAAAATGCGAAATAGCCCTTTAAACGTACATTTGACAGATACGCCCGCACTGACTTTTTTGTAGATCTTATTGAGATACACGTGTGTGTCAAATTTTGTGTCATTTTGACAAAGCGTACAGGCGTGACACTCAATCATGTGAATTTTTCACCTTAGGGGGCGCTATGGAGCCATTTTGCATTTGATTGTTTGGGTGACTTCAGAATATCGAATTTTTCACCAGGCCCGGTCGTCCTGCCAAATTTCATGAGTTTTCACCAGTGGGAAGTGGGCCATTTTCCAGTTCAAAGGGGCAGAAAAATAATAATAATAAGAAGAAGAAGAAGAACTAGGGCCCCGGTGGGGCACTGTCGGGCCCGAGCCGCGTCGCGCCGCCCCCAGCGCGACCGCCTCCCCCTCCCGATCGCGTCACACTCAAGGTCCAAAGATGGTGTGCGCACTTGTCTGTGGTCATTTCCCATTATAATGAATGGGAGGCGCAGTTTCTACCAAAACGCTCGCTGCAGACAAACTACATGTCCTATTTGAAAAAAGTCTGGACCATGAGTGAGGGCACAAACACAGCTAGTATATATCCAAATGGCAAGTTGCTCCTCCTTTCGGTTTTGCAGAGAGAGCGATGCGTTTGAGCCATTGAGCGATGGGCAGGAAAAACTTGACTTTTTCTCCTGCCATGGGGGGGCGCTCTTTTGGGGAGAAAAAATTCCTTCACAAATGTGTTGATGGCTGGACATTGCATCATCCTAGAAAACTTGGAGGCCAGTGAGGACAAAAATAAAAAGTTATAAGACTTTTAAAAATGTGGATATTTGGGTCCTCTTTGGCGCCCCCTAGAACGTAAACTGTGGGGTGCAGCGTCATGATTTGTACAACTTTGAATGGCCATGGGGTGTAGATTGACCTGAGCAAATTTGAAGCCGATGGGACAAAAGATTTAGGAGGAGTTAGCGAAATTCCAATGTGTGCGGATCGCCAAAAAATGCGAAATAACCCTTTAACCGTACATTTGACAGATACGCCCGCACTGACTTTTTTGTAGATCTTATTGAGATACATGTGTGTGTCAAATTTTGTGTCATTTTGACAAAGCATAAAGGCGTGACAGTCAACAATGTGTATTTTCGCCTTAGGAGACAAGAAAAAATGGACTTTTTTCTCCTGCCATGGGGGGGGCGCTCTTTTGGCGAGTAAAAATTCCTTCACAAATGTGTTGATGGCTGGACATTGCATCATCCTAGAGAACTTGGAGGCCAGTGAGGACAAAAATAAAAAGTTATAAGACTTTTAAGACTGTGGATTTTTGGGTTATCTTTGGCGCCCCCTAGAACGTAAACCGTGGGGTGCAGCGTCATGATTTGTACAACTTTTAATGGCCATGGGGTGTAGATTGGCCTCAGCAAATGTGGTGCCTTTGGAACGAAAGCCGTCGGAGGAGTTAGCGAAATTCCAATGTGTGCGGATCGGCAAAAAATGCGAAATAGCCCTTTCACCGTACATTTGACAGATACGCCCGCACTGACTTTTTTGTAGATCTTATTGAGATACATGTGTGTGTCAATTTTTGTGTCAATATGACAAAGCGTAAAGGCGTGACAGTCAATAGTGTGAATTTTCGCCTTAGGAGACAAGAAAAAATGGACTTTTTTCTCCTGCCATGGGGGGGCGCTCTTTTGGGGAGTAAAAATTCCTTCACAAATGTGTTGATGGCTGGACATTGCATCATCCTAGAAAACTTGGAGGCCAGTGAGGACAAAAAAAAAAAGTTATACGACTTTTAAGAATGTGGATTTCTGGGTTATCTTTGGCGCCCCCTAGAACGTAAACCGTGGGATGCAGCGTCATGATTTGTACAACTTTTAATGGCCATGGGGTGTAGATTGGCCTGAGCAAATTTGGTGCCGGTGGAATGAAAGCCTTCGGAGGAGTTAGCGAAATTCCAATGTGTGCGGATCGGCAAAAAATGCGAAATAGCCCTTTAACCGTACATTTGACAGATACGCCCGCACTGACTTTTTTGTAGATCTTATTGAGATACACGTGTGTGTCAAATTTTGTGTCATTTTGACAAAGCGTACAGGCGTGACACTCAATCATGTGAATTTTTCACCTTAGGGGGCGCTATGGAGCCATTTTGCATTTGATTTTTTGGGCGACTTCAGAATATCGAATTTTTCACCAGGCCCAGTCGTCCTGCCAAATTTCATGACTTTTCACCAGTGGGAAGTGGGCCATTTTCCAGTTCAAAGGGGCAGAAAAATAATAAGAAGAAGAAGAAGAAAGAAGAATCCATCAGGAATAATAGGGCTCTCGCAGCTGCTTAGCAGCTACGCTCGGGCCCTAACTAGGACCCCGTTGGGGCACTGGCGGGCCCGAGCCGTGTCGCGTCTCCCCCCCCCCCCCCAACGTGCTGCCTCCCCGTCCCATTTGTGTCCTCTGGCCATCGCCCTCTCTGTTAACGCCCATCACTGCAAAGACCCTTTTCCTTCATCGGCGTTTGCTGTTCTTCCTGCCAGTGCGTGTTGCTTTCACTTACACTTGCCACAGCCAGCCTCGTGAGTGCCTAGCCTATTGGATATCACTGTCACCTACACAGGACAGTCATTACCTTTCTATTAATACTTTGTGTTTTAATTTCACATTAATTTCCATATTGTATAAACGACTGGAAAAAACTTGAGCCCCTGCCCCTGTATAATCATGTGCATGTCTCTGTTCTAGCTCCAAGGTGAATCTTCACTGCTCATGTTCTCCTTAGAAGCACTCACCTCACTCCCCTCAGGTTACTGTACACATGCACCAACTGCCTGCTTCAGGTTTGGATGGAGCTTCATGGTTGTCTTTTGGAGAAATGACCAGTCAAGTTGTGTTTGAAATTTGATTTTTTTCAGGGGCAAAAGGAGCCTCTGCATTCTTGTCAAATATGTAAATAGCATGTTTTTGCAGGTGCTAAAAACCAGACTCTGAGTGTGTGTGTGTGTGTGTGTGTGTGTGTGTGTGTGTGCGTGTGTGTGTGTCTGTGTGTGTGTGTGTGCGTTCAAGTCACATGACATATTTAACCGGATGTAGCTGCAAGACGGAGCCTCGTTGACTCTCTGTTTCAACTTATCTCAAAAGTGAGGACCTCAACCTATATACCAGTTTTTAAATTGTGTTGATAGGCCAAATAAAACCAGAGTTATGATAAATTATGTCCGCGATACTTTTTTTCTGCTTATTTTGATCACGTTCGGCGCTCGATCGCGCTGTATGAGACAGGAAAACATAGCATGCAGACATTAGCGACAGGTCTTACAGGCGGAAAAGGCTTGCCAAAAGAAAAAAAAAACACACCACAACATCTCTCCTATTGGTGGAAAACTTCACCACAACAACCAATCCAAAATTATATGGTGACTGATTGACAAAGGGCGGGCGCTTACGTTCTTCCTGCAACATGAGAAGGGAGGGAGGGACTCTCAGCAGGGATGCAGTCTGGGACACGTAGTTGCAAACCTAGCGACTTTGTTGTTAGATTCAATGACTTTTCAGACCCCCTAACGACTTTTTTTAGAAAGAAAGGGACTTTTATCGACTTCTTCTGGAGTTTAGAGACTCTGACATGAAGCAGGCTTTCCTTACTGAGGAGTTAGCAACGCTGCTAAGGGTGCAGAGCCACACATGCACTCAGAGCTCTGCATGGGAGACTGAAGCTGACAGAGCTGCAGCAGTTAGCAGGTTTCACCCTCAGAGACCACCAGGGGTTCATGTTGAGGCATTTTAATTATTTTTTTTTTTTGTGCCATAGACACTGTCAGCACAATCTGCAGTTACACTAACAAAAATGCTGCAAAAAACAAAGAATTATGGAAAAATTACACATGGACTGACATAGAGGAGGATCTACACAAGTTTTTTACATCATGTTTTACATCATGCATCATTTACATCATGTTTTTTTGTAGTGGCATAAATAAAAAGTGACATTTGTGAGACTATACAGTGTTTTGTAAATAATTTTACAAAGAACGCCTGGGCCATTGCCTGCATTTTGATGTAAATAGAGGTAAATTACTATGTTCTTTGTTAAAAATTTGCATATGTTTTGAAGTTTACAATTTTTATTTGAAGTTTAAGTTTTAAAAACAGTTCATCACACATATTTGTGGTTTAATTTCACATTAATTTCCATATTGTATAAATGACTGGAAAAAACTTGAGCCCCTGCCCCTGTATAATCATGTGCACGTCCCTGTTCTAGCTCCAAGGTGAATCTTCACTGCTCATGTTCTCCTCAGAAATAGTCACCTCACTCCCCTCAGGTTACTGTACACATGCACCAACTATCTGCTTCAGGTTTGAAATGGAGCTTCATGGTTGTCTTTTGGAGAAATGAACAGTCAAGTTGTGTTTGAAATTTGATTTTTTTCAGGGGCAAAAGGAAGCCTCTGCATTCTTGTCAAATATGTAAACAGCATGTTTTTGCAGGTGCTAAAAAACAGACTCTGAGTGTGTGTGTGTGTCTGTGTGTGTGTGTGTGTGTGTGTTGGCGTGTGTGTATATGTGTGTGTATCCTGCAGTACTCTGTACTCATGCAGTGGCCAAAAAGACTTTTAAGAATGTGGATTTTTGGGTCATCTTTGGCGCCCCCTAGAACTGCAGTACTCTGTACTCCTGCAGTGGCCAAAATGACTTTTAAGAATGTGGATTTTTGGGTCATCTTTGGCGCCCCCTAGAACGTAAACCGTGGGGTGCAGCGTCATGATTTTTACAACTTTGAATGGGCATGGGGTGTAGATTGCCCTGAGCAAATTTGGTATCGGTGGGACGAAAGCCTTAGGAGGAGATAGCCACATTCCAGTGTGTGCGAATCGGCAAAAAATGCAAAATAGCCCTTTAACCGTACATTATACAGATACGCGCTCTTTGACTTTTTCGTAGATCTAATTGAGATACACATGATTGTCAATTTTTGTGTCAATATGACAAAGCGTTCAGGCGTGACACTCAACAATGTGTATTTTTATGTAAGGGGACAAAAAAAAATGGACTTTTTTCTCCTACCATGGGGGGGCGCTCTTTTGGGGAGTAAAAATTCCTTCACAAATGTGTTGATGGCTGGACATTGCATCATCCTAGAAAACTTGGAGGCCCGTGAGGACAAAAATAAAAAGTTATAAAACATTTAAGAATGTGGATTTTTGGGTTATTTTTGGCGCCCCCTAGAACCTAAACCATGGGGTGCAGCATCATGATTTGAATAATTTTTAATGGCCATGGGATGTAGATTGGCCTGAGCAAATGTGGTGCCGGTGGAACGAAAGCCTTCGGAGGAGTTAGCGAAATTCCAATGTGTGCGGATCGGCAAAAAATGCGGAATAACCCTTTAACTGTACATTTGACAGATACACGCGCATGGACTTTTTTGTAGATCTTATTGAGTTACATGTGTGTGTCAATTTTTGTGTCATTTTGACAAAGCGTATAGGCGTGAATCTCAACAATATGTATTTTCACCTTAGGGGACAAGAAAAAATGGACTTTTTTCTCCTGCCATGGGGGGGCGCTCTTTTGGGGAGTAAAAATTCCTTCACAAATGTGTTGATGGCTGGACATTGCATCATCCTAGAAAACTTGGAGGCCAGTGAGGACAAAAATAAAAAGTTATAAGACTTTTAAATATGTGGATCTTAGGGTTATCTTTGGCGCCCCCTAGAACCTAAACCGTGGGGTGCAGCGTCATGATTTGAATAACTTTTAATGGCCATGGGGTGTAGATTGGCCTGAGCAAATGTGGTGCCGGTGGAACGAAAGCCTTCGGAGGAGTTAGCGAAATTCCAATGTGTGCGAAT